ATAGGACCAATGGCTTCAAGTTGCAAGAAAGGAGATTCTGGCTTAACATCTGCAAGAACTTACACTGTTCAACAGTGGAACAGATTCCCTTGGGAGGTGGTGGGCTCTCCTTCCTTGGAGGTTTATAAGCAGAGGTTTAAAGACAGTGGAGCGGACTAGATGACCCTTGGGATCCCTTCCAATTCTACGATTCTATGATTTGGTGGAGTCACAGCTGTGAAGGGGAGGATTAAGGCTTACCTCCCCAGCTGTGACTCCTTCCTTGCTGAAAATGCCCCTCTTGGTTCAATTAGACTTCGAATACTGTAAGGAGCTACAATTGAGTAGAGAAGGGTCATCTCTTGCTCTTTTGCTCTCTTTCTCAGAGAGAGAGAGAAAGGGAGAGCAGTTAGGCATGAAAAAAGCCTGCTATTGATGGCAGCAGCAGGCTTTTTCTTGCTTAACTGTTGCAAGTTGCAGCTGCACACTCTAGGAAGACACTCTCCCCGCCCCCAACACACACACACACACACACACACACACGTCTTGAAAGAGAAGAAGCAAAAGCACGTTTTTCCAAGCCTAGTTTATGGGTGCAGGGTTGGGGAGCTAGAGTGAGGGTGCATGCACAGTTGCGGTGCATGCATGTTGCCCACAACAGTTTATCTACTTTGCTGATGTGCCCACAGTCCCAAAACCGTTAGTGATGCCTGGGCTAAAGTGTTCGTGGCTTTCAAAGTTGAAGCAAAGCAAGCCAAAGGCAATTCTAAGTGGGTTTATCAATAAGAGACGAGATAAGGGATAAGGGATTTACTAACTGGATAGGTAGTTATGGTTTGGTGGAGAGGAGGAAATTGTGCACTAGCAGAGTGGTCCCCCAACTGAATTTCGTCCCCACAAGGACTACTTGAAAATATCCAAAGTTCTTGGTAGACCACTGCGAGAAGTGAGGTTACAGGGAACCAGGCAGAGGACCTTCTCAGTAGTGGTGCCCGCACTGTAGAACGCCTTCCCATCAGATGTCAACGAAATAAACAACTACTGTATCTGACTTTTGGAAGACACTGAAGGCAGCCCTGTTCAGGAAAGCTTTTAAAGTCTGATGTCTTATCGTTTTATTATTATTATTATTATTATTATTATTATTATTCTTTTGGAAGCCACCCAGAGTGGCTGGGGAAATCCAGCCAGATGGGTGGCGCATAAATAATAATAAATTATTATTATTATTATTTAATTATTTATTTTTAATGCCTGTTATAGCAACTTTAATTTAATATAATTCAAACTGCAACACAAGTTTCAGTAGAAAAAAAACAAAAGAAGCAGTAAAACTATAGTTTGCATCTGTCTTGGGAGACAATGGAGGAGTGAGCCTTTGGGGGTAAAGTCAAACCATTGGAGAGTTACAGCGCCTACTGTGGCTGTAGATACTGATACGGGAGACACATGTTTCGTTGCAGCTGCAGTAGATGAAGGCAAGGGTGGTCGTTGGGACTTAAATCCTTAGTGAGTTAGGGGAAGCAATAAAATACAAAAAAACAGCTCCCATATTCAGCCACAAATCCACAGATTTGCCACAGACCTGAACAAAGCTCAAAGGTCATTGGTGGTCCACAGACTGCAGTCTGGAATGCTTGCACAAACATTTTGTGTCCAAATGAATACATTTAGATGTATGTATGTGTGCAGTAGGAGTGATGTACCTCAGGGAGAAACACAGGGGAGGGAGCTGAGATCTGAAGAATAGCAACTCTAATAACATACTAAAAAAAATGTTAGAAACATCCCTATATAAAGGAGAGGCAATAATTCACCGGGGGGAATATCAGAAAAGAGGCACTAGCTGACAAGGACAGCAGGCATCTTGGAATTTTGCCATGCAGTTGAAGAAAGGCAGAATAGTATTTTGGAAGTCAATCATCAGCAATGTTGCTGTGCTTTGTTGGTACCAATTACTCTATGCAAGTGCCAATTTGCAGCAGCTTTAATGCTCATCTGCTACAGGATCACCAACCCCAGAACCATCTGCAGTTTGGGGGTGTGTTCTGATGCTGAAAGTGATACCAGTCCTCAAAGGGGTACATTTTTCTGTTGTCAACTTGGCGAGCAAATGAAAATGCGTTGGAACAGAAATCCTCAAAACTGTACGCTGCAATATGTTATGTACCGGCAGAGCTAATTATTTCTTTGCATTTTTGCTTGCCCTGTTTGTTTGTTTGCTTGCTTGCTTTTCTTCCCCTTCCCCATCATTCTGACTTGTATCATTATAGTATTGCATATGTATGATAGCTCAGCCTGTGAGAATTGAAGTAAATATTAATGACTGCTCGAAGTGGACATGAGAAGTGAACCTTGCCCAGCCATTCCAAAGTACAGCCTGGTTACCATGACCAGCCTAATGCTTGCACACAGAGAAAGGGTGGCGGAATATTTGTATTTGATGACTAAAGCGTGAGTTGGAGAAGGTGATGCAAAAGAAATACACAATGGATGTGAATCAAGGGCTGCAATCCAAAACACACTCCCCAGGGAATGAGCCCCATCGAATTTAGTAAATTCAATGTAAATATTGTATATAGTAAATATAGTAAATATCTTGTAAATATATTTTATATTTATTGTAAAAATATTGTAAATATTGTTAGGCTTGGGCTATAAAATGCACAGCACATGAAGGAGCTGCCTTGCAGCTGAGACACTTTCCTTCAACAGCTGTAGCACTGGTTTATTTGTGTTCCTGTGTAGTATTCCCATTGTTAACTGAATCCACACAATTCCTGGTGCTAACCAAGAGATGGCAGAAGAATCAGAGGAATGTAATGCTGGCTGCATCATTGGCACTTTGCTCATCCTAAAACACTTTACTGGCCGTTCAGTCCCACAGAACTCAATGAGGCTGACTTTTGAGTAGATGTACTGTATAGGAGGGACGCGGGTGACGCTGTGGGTTAAACCACAGAGCCTAGGGCTTGCCGATCAGAAGGTTGGCGGTTCGAATCCCTGTGACGGGGTGAGCTCCTGTTGCTCAGTCCCTGCTCCTGCCAACCTAGCAGTTCGAAAGCACAAAGTACAAGTAGATAAATAGGTACCACTCCAGCGGAAAGGTAAATGGCGTTTCCGTACGCTGCTCTGGTTCACCAGAAGCGGCTTAGTCATGCTGGCCACATGACCCGGAAGCTGTACGCCGGCTCCCTCAGCCAATCCTTGACAGTTGCCTGAAATACAGTTATCCAAACATCTCTTAATTCAGGAGTGGGGAGTGCTTTTCAGTCTGAGGGCCACATTCCCTTAAAAGCAAGCTTCTGGGGGCCGCATGCCAGTGGTGGGCAGAGCAAGGCAAAAGTGGGTGATGAATATAAAATTTTCTTTTTGTACTTTTAGTTTCTATACACACTCATACACCCCTCTATCCAGACAAGCAAGAGTTCATTTAAGGGGCATGTTCCAGCTAGGCAAAAACACCTGGGTCCAGTGAAGGATTTTGACTAGGGGGAAGAGAGATTGTGGCCTGGAGAGAGTTCTGCAGGTTGATGTCATGGACTGGCAGGACACTGAGGAATGGTGGGAGGAACCAGCGGCGGAACCCCCAAGGGACAAGCAGCTCAGAGCCCGAGAATGGATGGTGGTCAGAGGGAGAAGACTGGGAGGAGGAGGTGTCAGAAGCTGAAGGGGCAACAGGGCTTAGTGAGCTGGAAGAGTCTGTGGCAGAGAGAAGTTCAGAATCAGAGGCAGAAGCTGAAGCAGGAGGGTGGGAGGAGAGAGGTCAAGAAGCAGAGATGAGTCAGGCTGATCTAAAGGCATGGGTGACTTCCTTTCCTGCTGCGACCAGCTCCTCTCCTCCTTGGTCTCCCAGAATCAGAAGAGGCATGAAAAGGGCAGAGGAGAGACCGGTGAGGTGCAGATGCAGTCTCCGACTGCTTGGAGAAAACCCTGGAGAAAGGGACTTAGGTAGATGTGAGGAGGCAGGGACCTTCAGTCTCAGCAACTGCTTCATGAGGGCAAGACCTACCAGAGATGGGTTACTGAGCTCATTAAGCCTGGCACTCCTGTGCTGATCATGTTTTTGCTAATAAAGAGTTGACTCCAACGATCACAGTGTGATTTACCACTGCTTGCTCCCGACAGCCAAGTAGAGAGTCCACGAGGGCCGCATTTGGCTCCTGAGTCTAGGGTTCCCGACTCCGGTCAGAGATAGCTCAGCTCCTGTGCCTTTAACAGCAGGCCTGATGCAGAGAAATTCAGCACATAAAAGAAGAATATTGGCATGGAGGTGAAGTGACGGGAAAAACTTCAGCTGTTGAGTTTTGACATGTCAGGCAAAAATGAAATCAATACGGTAGTTTCTAGGTCAGTCGCTAACATCTCCTGTCACTGTTCTCCTAATATAGGAACTGAGCTCTCGTTCTTGCAGGATTCCACTAGAAACATTTTCCACACAGGAGTGTCTTCCCTGAAAAGCACTTATAATATTTTAAAGCCTTGATTATGTTTATCATGCATAGACACCCTTCTTCACACCGACTGCTGGCCTTGATCCAGTTTGGCAAATTGTTCCTGTTTTCGTATGTCACACGCTTGCTGGATCCTCATTTCATGACACGGTTACTTTGCCTTTAATAGACAGGAATTCAGCAAGTTCACCAGTCCACAGTAGAGTAATGAATACAGTTACCGGGGTTGGATTTCCTTAGTGCTTTTGAACTCAACGTCACACTATTATGATAGTTCCATCAGCACAAGCATTTCCGCTTGCCACATGGAAAGATCTCCCTGCACCACACTGTGTGCTTTTCTGGTGTGTGTGGGGGGGTTCTCCTGACCCCCCCCCCCGAGTTGATATGGGGTTGCAGTAACTCTGCTGGCTCCTACTAGAATCCAGCCCAACACGTTTGTCTTGTTCATCCACCCTGAAAGGCGCCCCCAGCTCAGATAACAGCAATAATCAAAACAAACCTGATCAGAACAAACAACATAAAAATAAATCCACAGCAGAATAAATAGCTGTTAAAAAAATGAAGAAGAAAAAACAGAGCCAGAGAGATAGAGATCTATTTACAACATATTTTCCTGCCATGACTGAAGACACTTCATCTCTGTCAGAAAAGAAGGAGCACCACAGCAGCTGTGCCTACACAAAATGCAGTGGGAAAGCTCAAGAAAGCAAGCCAGGCTGGCTGGAATAAAGGCTGAAGGGCAAAGCATTGGCTTGCTTGCAGACAGCAAGCTAAGATATCCACCCAAGGGAAAAACCCATTCTAGGTTCCGCTGGACATTGGCGCAGGTGAGTAACATCTGTTCCTCCAGCTAGATTGATAAGCAAACCTTATCTATCCGCAGCCAATAGAATCTACTTTACTCCTAGGAAGAGCAAGATAACAACAGAGCAAGACTGGAGTAAAAGCCCTATCTCCTTCTGCCACAGCTCTCAGCCCAGGGTAAAGGGGCAGTACAAGTCAACCAATTGCAGCAAGCCAGCTCAAGCTTCCTAAATGGTGGCCTTGTTCCCTGGCTCTGGGGTTCTAACCTAACAGGCTGGGACACGTCCACCCAGAAAGGAGGAAGCCACCACCTAGGGAACTCGTTTAGATTTTCACAATCAGGAAACAAATGGTGGGGGGGGGGGAGGATAGTGATGACAGCTCTTCTGGAAAGGGAATGCACCTTCTGCACAAATATTTGCTTAACTGCAGATTTGCCTGCATGAAGGAAGAAGAGTAATTATTACATAATTTTATGCAGGGAATGATTTACCTTACACTTGGATTGAGTACTACAATTAGAGGGAAGGCAGTAAAATGCAAGAAGGTCCATAATGTGCACCGTGGCTTTCTTAATAGCGCAACTCTAAGTATACCTACTTGAAAGGGAGATTCACTGAACTTGTTGTAGGGGTTTATCTCTGAGCAGACCCCTGACAGACAAGCCAAAGATGACTCAAGCTCTAGATTGTGCTTTCTCCACCCACTAAGCCAAAAATATCCATGGATTACATAATGGTAGGTGTTTGTCAGTCTCCATAGTTTTGAAGAAAAAACAGGAGGTTACTAAGCCCCAGCTTCAGTTATGCCTGCCTGCTCTAAATTCTCAGTTGTGATGATACAAGCTCCCTACCTCTCCTGTGTTTTATCAGAAATGAGTCCCTTTTGTATTACATACTGCACTGGCTTCCTAAGGTTGAAATAACAACTTTTCTCATTCCTTTATTACTTCCAGCCTGGAGCTACCTCACGTTTTAGCTCTACAGTACTGATTTACCCACCCACTGGTGTCTGCTTGCTCAGGCTGGCCCACCGTCCTATGAATAGATCAGACAGAAATAAAGGTAGGACTTTGAGCTGAATTGCCTTTGGCTGGCGTTTACAGGGAGGGCATCTTGCAAAGCTGGATATCTCTGATGACGTGTCCCAGCAGTACTAAGTCTAACAAGGCTGTCTCTCCTCTCTATCCCATGCATACACACCCTGATGAAGAAAGAGAGATCTGTTTGCACAACTAGAGTAGCTTGGCTGAGAGAAACACACCCACATTTGAGTGGGTTAACAACAACATGATGGAAATGCAACACAGCCTTGGAAGAGTTTAGTGTGCAGTTCAAAGCAGACCTTCCTTGTACTCTGCCCTGGCGATCCATAGCAAGTGTAACATTTTAAAAGAAGTTAAGGTACAGGCATAGCTATCAACATTTCCCTTTTTTAAGGGAATTTCCTTTATTCCGAATAGGATTTCTCACAAGAAAAGGGAAAAGTTGACAGCTATGCGTACAGGGTGTGTGTACAATTATTTCCAAAACTAGGATCTTTTAACCAAAGTTAGCATGAGGTTTCTCTATTCATTGATATACTTGCATGCAGTCTATTTGTATTTGTTATTCCTACTAGGAATATTTTAACATGAAAACTGTTTAAGCTAGAAGAAATTTGAGAGCCTTCCAGCTTTGGGATCTTTCCAGACTTATATGTATTTACTTTGCCACTTGTAGAGTTGCTTACTCCTGGTGGCAAAGGATCTAGAAGCTCCTGCTGAAATACTCTCCCTGGGTGTGCCCAAATTATTTATAATGCTCTGTTGAATACTGCTGCTGCTAACTTGTTCAATCCTGTGCTGTTGGAATGCTATTATACTTGTAGAAGCTTAGTGTTTGTGTCCCCTGAGTCCATCCATTCCACACAGAATGCCAGGTAGCAATCCTACGACTTGCAGAAAGGTAAGGTACACAAAACAGATGCTCCAGCTTTGGATTTCTACCTAAACTGGCTAAACTACTAGATTCTTACTGTGTGCATACTGACTTCCAGGGGCTGAAGCAATGTGGAATTTCCCACTCACTAGAGACACACACCAAGACTGAAAGAAAGAAAGAAAATAATGTCTAAAAACCAAACTAGTCTAGAAGCTCAATGTAAAGGACTGCTTACATTGGGTTTTGCCAAGCCTAAATATTTTGAATATCAAAAATGTTTGGCCATGTTGCACAGCAGCAGAAACATCCCTTTAAACTTTGCTGAAGTTATACAGCTCACAACTATTTCAGCAGTCATATACAAAGCCAAACAATGCCACTGAAGTTGATGGCAATTGTGAGCAGGCAAGATGAGTCAACTACACGGATGATCCATTGATGCAATTGTCCTTCAGGTTCCTGGACATGCAAATTTATACAATGAAAACACCCATTTGCTAGTTCTGTATGATAGGCATCTCTTTGTATCATACCAAAATGCACATGGGGGGAATTTGAAAAATAATTGACCTACTTTAAGTACTTGGAAAAGTTTTTTGAAAGTTTGTTATCAGCAGGTGGCTAGTGTAAAATTACATGATTTGGAATTTTGTCATATTTTACCTGATTCATCTAAGACCAAGGGAAATGATTGGTTTGTTGTTGTTGTTTAGTCGTTTAGTCGTGTCCGACTCTTCGTGACCCCATGGACCAGAGCACGCCAGGCACTCCTGTCTTCCACTGCCTCCCGCAGTTTGGTCAGACTCATGCTGGTAGCTTCGAGAACACTGTCCAACCATCTTGTCCTCTGTTGTCCCCTTCTCCTTGTGCCCTCAATCTTTCCCAACATCGGGGTCTTTTCCAGGGAGTCTTCTCTTCTCATCAGGTGGTGAAGGTATTGGAGCCTCAGCTTCAGGATCTGTCCTTCCAGTGAGCACCCAGGGCTGATTTCCTTAAGAAAGGATAGGTTTGATCTTCTTGTAGTCCATGGGACTCTCAAGAGTCTCCTCCAGCACCATAAAAATGGTTTAAAATGTTAATTGACCCAAGAGCTCAGCTGTCCACTTAACAGCTATTATTTCTTAAGCACCTTAAAAACACAGGATGCTATAAAATGTGAGTTGTGTTTAGCATAAAAAACCTAAGCAGAGCAAATTGAAAATAGAAAAGCAATTTGAAATTCTAAATGCAATTATTTCTTGGAAATAAATCCCATTGAATATAGCCAGATTACTTATGTAGAAACACAGATAGGACTGCACTGCCATTGTGTAAAATCCAATTATATCATACTCAGAACAGACCCACTAAATCAGGTTACTTAAGTCCATTGATTTCAGTGGATCTACTCTGAGCATAACTAATGCTGGCTGTATCCCAATGATTTTATTCGCAGTGCCTACTCAGAAGCCTTACTGAATTCAATGGGGCTAACTCCTGGGTGAGTGAGGTTAAGATTGCAGTCTTAGTTTACAATGCATGTCAGCTCAGACATAAGCCACATAGATTTCAATGGGACTTTCTTCCAGTTAAGTTAGTAAAGGTCTGAAGCTTGACTCTCAATCTAAACATAATGGCAAATTTGGCTGTCTCAACTCTTATGCTGTTAGGCATAAACAATATGACACAGCCTGCAGCAGACCACTCTCCCAGAGCTCCACTTAATTGTCGATTGTGGCACAGGTCTTTGGAATAGTGGTGGAAATGCTAATGTATAAAGGATGGAATGTTTTGAAATAGTTTTTCAGAAACTATTGGGCTTGGTTCTGCCACTTTACTGCCCTGCCCTTTCAAACATTGACATATAAAATGCATTACATTATTATAATGACCATATTATATTATAAACCAGGGAACAGAAGAGGAAACACAGACAACATGGGAGTGCAAATGATCCAGACACTGGTATGTGTTTCCCATATAAATAACTACAAAATGTTTGTATTTTATTTATCAACAAATTCTATTTGAGCAAACTCCTCCTCATTGCTGGGGGGAAAAAGTTGTCCAGGTAATATAGCTACACTATTCCTTGCAGCAGTAAAAAGGTGAAGTCAAAAAGCAGGAGAGGAAGGCAGAGAATAAAACTCTTCCTTTTCAGTCCAGCACCGCAGCCCTAACCACGTCTACTCAAAAGCAAGTCCTACTGAATTCAGTGGGGCTTGATCCCATATAAATGGGGGTTAGGACTGCAGCCTAAGCCTCAAGAGAGTTCTATAGTACTTCTGAGTAAACATGCTAGGGTTATACGTAAAAATATATAATAAAAATGGTAATACAAAAATATAATATGCGCTTATTCTTAGAAAAAATTCCCAACAGTAATGCATATACAAAGGCAATGCAGAAGTACACACTTCAGAACTTCCCATCGTAATAAACTTGCTCGCTTGAGTTCCCCGCTCCCCCGCCCACATCTAAGCAATTCTTATGCAAAAGCCTCCCCCCCTTTCGTACAGTCCCGGAAACACTTGGTTCCTTGCTAGCTTTCAATTCCGGGTCGCTCATTAAATGCGGCCAGTCAGAATCAAACACGAACGAGGTCGCCATGCCACACTCAAACACGCATGCGCAGCGCGAGGCGGGCGTATCTCTCGAATGCCACGTTCCAAAGAAGAGAGGAGAAAGTAGGCGGGGAGGGGAGGGAGTTTCGTTGAGGTCAACCAATCAGAAACGGCTGGTCCGAGTTTCTAAGAGCGGCCGCGTTATCCAATCGCACTCACCGAAGAGGTCGGTACGGCCAATCAAAGCCCGCGGAGCAAAGGAAACTCTCGCGGCTGTTCGGAAGTGGGGAAGGAAAGGCGACGCGACCTTTGAAGATGACCAATCCAGGACCGGAGGGCGGCCTTAGGCTCCACGCCAGTTCAATGGGAGCTGAAGCGTAGGAGGGCGGAAGCAGCCAATGGGCGATAGACGCAGCAGGGAAAGGGCGGGTTTATAAAGCGGGAGGCGGGCGCGGAGTGTTCTCTTTTGCGGCGCCTCTTCGTGGTCCGGTCTGTTCGCCTGGGATCCTGCCGTCATTGTCAGCGCCGCCATGAAGACCGCTCTGTTCTGGTCTCCGCTCCTCTGCCTGCTCTTCCTGGGACGGGCCTGCCTGGCCGGCGACGCGGATATCGAGGAGGACGAGGGCGTCCTGGTGCTCAAGGCGGCCAACTTCGAGCGGGCGTTGGAGCAGCACCCGAACATCCTGGTGGAGTTCTGTGAGTGGAGGGGCGCCGGGGGGGGGAGCGCGGATGAGGGTGGAGAGGGAAGGCCGGCCGGGTGGGAGGGGGGACTGAGGTTGGGGGTCCCCCTGTTCGGTTTAGGGGAGGGATGGGGAACAGGCTTTTTCACGTTAGCGGGTCGTCGTCCCCCCCGCCATTAGGGAAACAACCCCTGCCTATTCAGACGTTACACAGTTCACGTGAGAAGGGGACTTGCGAGAGCTGGCGTGCGCCGGCTGCGGTAATGTCTTTTACCAGCCCAAAGAGGGGCCTGTAGGCGTTTGCTCGTCTTTTGCTGTTGGCGTGTCCCGGATGCATGGAATAGGCCGGTGCTACTGTTGCTATATATTTTCAGCCTTGAAAATAGGGGTATAGATAGATGCTTACGAGTTGGCTATGAAACACTGGTAGCGTCTCATGCAGGAGAGCACAGGGGCCCGCTGAAGATTTTGTAAGAGTGCAAAGTGCGTTTGAAATGCACCTCTCTCAAGTATTGGGGAAAGGATTGTGCCATGTTATGTCTGTTGGTGGCATTGCCATAGTACCAGGAGTACTGTTGGAAGGGGCGTGCCAGTAAAGTTAAGAGGCTTCAGTGGAGTCTTGGAAGACTCCCAAAGTTGGATGTGCTGTGCTAGTTGCAGGTTGTTGCTGACGGCAGTGCAGGACAAGAAACTTTGAACTATGCACTGGGGAGAGATTTACATCAAGTAAGCAACAGTATTGAGGACTGAGCCTGTCTCTTGCTTTTCTAGATATTCCAGACTTCCTCGTTGTTTTGTCTACTCATTGCATTTCCACTGCAGAGACTGCTTGTAAAGTAATAGGTGAAGAGGGGGAAACTTCAAGTTAGGATTTTGTGATAGGAAAGGTGCTGGTTATAGTACTACAGGGCAGTCAAAAGTGAAGCTCTCCTTGCCATAATTTTCACCCCCACCCGTCACTTGGATGCTATCTGCATGGAATGTTTTGTTGTGGGTGCATTCCTGTTGATAGAAAGTATCAGTGTTGGAGGGTTGCACAGTAATTGCTTTGATACTAAGTACTTCTCTTTTTCAGATGCACCCTGGTGTGGTCACTGTAAAGCTCTGGCCCCAGAGTATGTGAAAGCGGCAGCAAAATTGAAATCTGACAACTCAGAAATCCGGCTGGCCAAGGTGGATGCGACAGAAGAATCGGAGCTTGCCCAACAGTTTGGTGTTCGAGGCTACCCTACTATCAAATTCTTCAAGAATGGCGATAAATCATCCCCTAAAGAATACACAGGTGAGACTATGGTAATGGTTAAAAAGTCTGGAACATGTGAATTGAGGTGGGGGGGAGAACCAAACCTGGAACATAAAGCAAAAGTGACACAAGAGGATACTTCTTGGTTTTGATGCCTAAACTGTTGGCTTTCACTTCATGTTGTTCAGATATAGTTCTCTGCCTCCTTTAAGCTGTTTGTTCATGTTGTATGTATATTTCACCAGTTTAAAAGGTGCCTGCTAAATAGTCCCACAAAAAATGTTTTTCGTAGAGGACTTGCAACTTTGTCCTTGCATGTAATTATTTTAGTCACTAGAAAGACAAGGATAATCTGTTAAATAGGAATAAGGTACTGTGGTTTCACATTTCTAGCTTAGAACTCCTGACACAAATTAAGGACAAGTTGGCGTTGCTTTTTAATAGTTGCCCTTAGGATATATCTGCTCCCTGCTTTGTATATGATGGAATCAAATGCAAAATTGCAGCTCTTGGAGCAATTTGCTGCATGTAATACCCTCCCTCACCATTGTTTATTCCTTACAGCCCAATTCTGTGTATATCTATTCAGTAGTAAGCTCCATGGAGGTCAGTGAGGCTTGCTGCCAAGAAGAGGTAGATAGGGCTACAGCCAAAGGCAATAAATCTATTAAGCAGTGACTATTTCAGTGTCTGTATTCTGAACAGCATTCTAGCCTTGAAGGAGAAGTCTGTGACTCAAGGCACTGAGCTCATGCTACTGCTCAGTCATAGCCATTCATTCACTAGAGGCTATTTCAGCCTCTTTCCTACATATAAAATGGATGTCCTATTTTTTGAAGTTGTATTAAAACTAAATGAGAGTTTATCAAATATTTCATATTCCCAGTTTTGTGTAACTGAGACAAGCATGCACCTGTAGTTGAGTTTAAAAACACAAAAGCATAGGCACTAGCATGTCATAAATGATAAAAATAGTAACAATTTTTCTTCCACGTGTTACTTGTTGGAAAATGGGGTTGAGGTGGAAGTCCAGCAGTATCTGTAGGACATGCGGATGAGTAAAGCTGCTTTATAACATTACCTGCATTCTCCTCCCTCTTGTCCCTCAGCAAAAAACCTCTGATCCATCCAGCCTTCTGCTCTCTGGACTTGATAATCTTGCCTATATTCATCACTCTTGGCAAAATTATTCTGAGCACAGAAATACCCTTCTTGCAGCCCTATGTTGCTTTTGAGTCCTCCCTGATTCAGCTTCAAAGCTCTCAGTAGCTTTGACCCTCTTGCCTCACTGCTGGCACATCCTCCCACATCTCTTTCCCTGTCTCTTTTGCTTGGCCAGCTCCTCCATGCTTGTGACTGCCTCCCAAAACCCTTCCTACATAACCACTTGCAAAATCACTTTTCCACGAAGCTTTTGACAGACCCCTACTCCTAATGCACCATTGCAACTAAGCCTTTAATACATGTAACTGAAATGTAATTTTCCCCATGTTTACCCCATCCCTCTTTCCCTTCCTTTCCTTTGTTTGCCAGCTTTATCTGTTTCTAAATGGTAAGAGCCTTGGGGCAGGGACATGTCCTTCATCTGAATGCTTTTGTTGAGATTCTTGCCTTACAGGGGATCAGATTAGATAAAACCCAGGGTCATTCTCAACTCTACAATCTATGATTCTGTGAGTTGTGCCATATACGTGGATGATATAAGTGCTAGACAAACTTCTTTTATCACCAAAGCTACTGGCAGACCGCTGATCAGCATGCCTGATCATTCTGAATGGTTGGTTATGCTGATTGTAACATACCGTATTTTTTGCACCATAACATTCACTTTTTTCCTCCTAGAAAGTAAGGGGAAATGTCTGTGCGTGTTATGGAGGGAATGCCTATGGGTGGCATGCCTACGGATTTTCCTCCTCTAAAAACTACGTGCGTGTTATAGTTGGGTGCGTGTTATAGAGCGAAAAATACGGTACTTTTCCCTAACCCAGATATCATAATGGAAGGCCTGTGGTTTAAGGTAAAAGAGTTATTAAAACTCCTAGTCATATTAAAAAAGAAAAATCACAGGTTAAAAAAATAAACAATATTTAAGTTTTTAAAAGGTAGTGGTGGCTGATGGAAGGTTCAGAAGTGGGGTTGGGGTGGGCCACAATGATGTAAGAAGCCTGTTCCTTAGACATTGCTGCTGATTCTCTCCCAAGATTCCATGGTGACAGTTGGGAAGAATCCCTCCACGCTTAGGAGCCTGCCACCTAGAAATAGGCACAAAAATCTCCTTTAGGAAGCTGAATGGTCTTCAGCTATTAACTTTTTGTGCTGGTGGCCGGTGAAAAACTGCATTGGGAGGGCAACACTACAGAATGGCCAGTCCCCCATCCTTAGATCCCATTGTAGGGGAAGATGAGCTTCCAGTTGTAGGGGAAAAAGTGCTTTCAGTTATAGGGGAAGATGAGCTTTCAGCTTTAGGGGAAGATGAGCTTTCAGTTGTAGGGGAAGATGAGCTTCCCCTTATAGGGGAAGAAGTGCTTTCCGTTGTATGGGAAGAAGAGCTTGCAGCAGCCACAGAAGCCACATGTAGGATAAGTTTTCCCACAGGTATGACTGTCCTGCCTCTGATTTTGGCTTTCTTGAAAGGCAGCCTATGCAGCCACTTTGAGTGCTGGTAGAGTTAGTTATTACCTTTTGCATATAAAAAAAAAATAGGTTTATTTTATTTATTAAATTTCCAAACTACCCTTCATCCAAGGATCGCAGTGCAGTTTACAATATCAGAACACAAAAATACATTGCATGGTAACAAAACAAAAAGCAATAACCCATCCCCAGGTTGCTGTATCAGTATATGCATTAAATGTTACAGGCTTGGTTATATGATTTCTTTCTCGTGTGGTAAAAGTAGCTGTAATAAGCAATCCCATACATCTTGAACTGAATTCTTTGGGCATCATTTTTGACTTGGTGGGTGGGTGTACAGCTTGGTCCAGCAGAGTTTTGAGAGCTGCCTGGAGAATATGGAGTACACGGCCCTTCTGTTTCTCACACTGCTTGGCCATGTCCAAGTAAGGAAAGCAGGGCTCTGTCCTCAGTACCAGCTTCACCTAACCTGGCTAGCCAAGCCAAAACACATATTTGTCAGGATCTAGCCCCTCCCCTTCAGTGCAATCCTCTGCATGTTTTTAGACATCCCATTGTATTCAGTGGGGTTTACTCCCAGGTAAGTGTGCATAGGATGGTGGTCTTATCTCAGAGCTTGCACTGCCGGAGATCATGAGCGATCACTTGCTCCCCCTGTCCTGCTGCAAACTTTGGGAGTGAAGGAGGCAAGGCAGTGGAAGGTGAAGGTGGTGGCTGTTCCTAACTCCCTCCTTCAAAGCTTACAGCTGGGGTATGTCTCTTTCCTGTTGTTTCATCAATAAAGCTCAATAAAACTGGAACAGTTTCTGCACCACCACCCTCAAGCTCCAGGGCTGCAGCTCCACAATGTGGGCGATGGTCACAGTGAGCAGGCATCTACCCCCCTGCCTATAGGAATCTTTCTGTTTGCAGGTATAGGGAAGGGCAATTCGTATTATTTACATTTGGGGAATTTTGAAATGGAGATTGGCATAGTAACAGCTTGCATTGTATATAATCAGTGCAAGATGTGCTTAAAGCAGATTCTAAAGGCAGCTAATTTTGGGTGGAGCCTCCCAAGAGTTAGAAATACAGATCTAATTTTAACAGCGTTGAAAAACCGATTTGTTGCTTTTAAGCTTTGGTACTGTGGTAGAAAATCTTGCTTCCTGTATTTTTTCTTCACTCAACCATTTTGTGGTATTCTTCAGCATGAAAATGCTTGCATCTTGCAGAACGTTTTGCATCAGTGATATTATAATGTGGCCCAAGCTCTAAATATACATGAGCCAATGTGGTGATAGAAACAGCATGCTCTTAAATGTTGCTATGAAATATGTTTTGCACTAAGTAAAGCAGCTTTGTGCTCAATAGCACCTTCTGGTGGCAACTTTGTCTTGGAAGGCAAAGGGGTAAGGGAAGATGGTGGTTTATCTCCCTAGAAAGGTGAACAGAAACTCTTTGCCCTCTGAACCAGGAAATAATGGGAGTTTCCACTTGGGGTGATTAGATCAAGTGCTCCAACTTAAACGTGAGAGAGATTCTGATGTGTCTTTTCTCCCCTATTGCAGCTGGCAGGGAAGCAGACGACATTGTCAACTGGTTGAAGAAACGCACCGGCCCAGCAGCCACTGCCCTGGCAGATGTAGCTGCTGCTGAGAAACTGGTGGAATCCAGTGAAGTTGCTGTGATCGGGTTCTTCAAGGTAGAGTGCTTCATTTGGTTACTGTTGTTTTTAGCTGACCTCCCTTGGAGGCCTTTATCTGGGAAGAGATTACACCAGGGCTCGCTAACCTGTTTGGGTCTATGGGCAGTCTAACACAAAGTTCCCTGGGTGACCTGAGCCTAGACAGTCTCTTAACCTAACCTACCTCCCATTGGGGAGGAGGAGAACCATGTATGGCACATTCAGCTCTTAGGGGGAAGGTGGGATAAAAATAGAATAAATAAACTTGCAAACCAGAGAAACTTGTGGGCATCGCACACCACAACCTGTTCAATTGGTTACAGTAGAATCGCGCCCAATTTCAGCGGGGAGGGGAATTTGTGGACACAGGGAAATTACATCTAGAGTATGATGCCAATTTCTTTTTCCCATCTTGGCTCTTTGTTGTTCTTGCATCACTGAGTAAGCAACATGCATCAAATCAAGGCATGGTGTGGAGTATTTAAAACTTAAAATCTTCCTTCTTTCTGTTAGGATGCAGAATCTGATGCTGCCAAGCAGTTCTTGTTGGCAGCAGAGTCCATTGATGACATTCCTTTTGGGATCTCTTCCAACAGCGATGTATTTGCCAAATACCAGCTCAGCAAAGATGGAGTTGCCCTTTTTAAGAAGGTGAGTGGTGCAAAATATTCCCATTATGTGCTAAGTCTGGCTGGCTGCACTCTGCTTCCCCAATATGTTTCTATTCCACATCCACCCACACTGTTACTGTATTTGTAGAAAGTTCACACAGGTCCAAATAGTGCTCTAAAAACTTGATTTGAAGGAGGAAATTGGAAATCACTTGAATTTTTTCTCATCAGCTTCCCCCTCCCTCCTGGAAGTGTTCTTATATCCTAAGGCTTTAGCCTGTAAAACCCAGTTGCTTCCTCAAAGGGTACTTCTAGTATCACAACTGAAGTGGTAGTGTGAAGAGGAACTGATGCCAGGCTTTTGTTTTCAATGTCAGTATAGATGACTAAGGCAAGAGAATCTTAATGATTGGCAGCAAGACTCGTTGCCACTTAAATTGCAATTCTCTGGAACAAAACCAGTCTTTCCATTGCTGAGCTTGTTGGTGGAAGCCAAGCACACTGGATGGATTGTGAAAGCAGAACAGGAAGAAGCAGTCTGAGTAGCTTATTCAGCAAGTTAACCTTGTTAATATAATAGCGAGGTCTGTTCACATGTTAGAGAACCAGAATGGAGGAGGTAATTTAGGGGGGGAAACTTCCAAACAGGGACACTTGTGGGGGAAAAACACCCCTGCTTTGTGTTGCAAGCCACAAGAGCAAGATCTTGACTCATGCCATTATCAATATTTAGGTTGCCAAAGTGGTTTGTCAAAAGGTATGGGGCCCTCAGCGGAGCAACCATTAAGGGAGGAAATCTCAGACTCCAGAATCCTCCAGAACTTACTGTAGTTGCGGGCATTGACTTTTGATAGTGGGAATGAGCGCCATTACAAAGTGGATGGAGACCCCACAGTGTCCATACCCTTCTCTCCACCTGAGAAGAGTAGAGCAACGCATGCTCTCTCCTGCTGTAAAGGCATCTATAGCCTGTAGATTACACCCTGACTGCCTCTTTAAGGTCAATTCTCCCTGCTTCAAACAGGCTTTTCCACCTTCAAGTGTTTGGCATGTTAAGCTGAATACTTGCTTTTTGAAACCTTTCAATCTGTTAAGGGGGTGGGGAAGTTGTGTTTGGCCATCATTTTTATTAAAGGATAGGAGGTAAATTTCTGATTGGCCAGCTCTTCTATCTAAAGGGGGTACTTTTCTGAGTGGCTTAGAACTTTCCTCACTCTTATTCTCCGTTTCTTGCTCCTCAGTCTCGGAGCTGTTGAGACTTCAACCAGCCAAAGTGAAAACAAATCCCTTTTAGTTGCCAAAAGGACACTTGCCCAAGCTTCTGAACTCTTCAGGTGCACACCTGTCAAATGCTTGAATTTTTACACGGTTAACTCTTTGGTGCTGCCATTTTATTTTTATTTTTTTTGCTTCCAACCAAAATGAAACAAACTTTCAGCAGATGCTATATTTGAATCTGTTCCTACCACATTTGCACATGGCCCCATAGAGCTTGAGTGTCATGAAGTGACCTCACTGATGCCCAGGAATATTGTTTGGAATGAGACGAAACCGTGTAAGCAGTTACAGAATTGGACAGGACGTGAAATACCCCTGCAGCTGTTAAGTGGTGAAGCACTGGGAGGAATTCTGTGTAGCGCTAAGCAGATAGCTCTGTCAGCACGATAATTTCTGCTTGCCTGATGGAATGACCTGCCTCTCTTTCCCTGCTGATAGTTATATACCCTCCCTCCCCACATGTTGTTCTGGGGATTGTTCACACACAAACACATAGAGTAAAGCCCTGCTGTGTTCGCAAAGTCTTTGTATGGTCTTCCGCTAGCAGGCCTCTAAACATTGGGGCTGGTGAGAGTGGCACTCAGAATCTTCTGGACTGTGGCAAGATGCTTTTGGAATCTTGAGGTATCTCTAAGTTGGCTAGTTTCTGCTAAGATTACAGGGTATAGTAAAAGCAGAGCTGGTAGGTTCTAAATCAGGCCCTCCAAATGTTTTGAGACTACAGTTCCCATCATCCCTGACCACTGGTTGTGCTAGCTAGGGATCATGAGAGTTGTAGGCCAAAAACATCTGGAGGGCCAACGTTGAGGAAGTCTGTTCTAAATGCATCTCACTGGAGGTACATGAAGGCCAGGAACTGGTTTATTATAAGTCTTATGTAGCACCCATAAATAAGCAGAGGTGTTATTGGCAGAACCGTAGAACATCTAGTCCCTGGTAAGGCTGCACATTTTAAAGTTTTGTTTCTTTGTGAACGCTGGCTTGTGCCTCCTTGCCAGGTGCATTCTAATAAACTGTTCTTCAGGGATAGGTTGTATTAAAAACTGGCATTTTATAAAACACTTCTGAATGTGCCAACAGCATTTTTGGTTAACCTGCCAATGTGAAGGCAGGTAGCTCTTACTATATATATATGGTGTCTGAGGGAATACTGGCTTACCTAAGGCTACCTATTGAGTTCATGGCTAAGGTGAGATTTGAACACAGCACTACAACTACCCAACTTTGCTTTTTGTTTCTTTGTCTTTTGCATAAGCTTCATGTTGTCTTGAAGTAGATTTCTTTGTATAACTTTCCTGGAAAGTTACTCAAACAGGGACCTATGTGTGCGTCCCCCAGAGTCGTGTCGCTAGGGAGCCCAGCCAATGGGATCACTGCTTTCCCTTGCATGTCTTCTTGGTGGATAACCTTGATTCTCCTATGTCTGTTACTCCCTGCCCCTTTCCAGGGTGCCAGGAAAGATTTTGAGAACCTGGACAGTAATAGGTGTTGCTCTGCAGCAAAATTATTCCTGGCAGAGGAATGATAGCGTGCTTTCTGACTTCAGTTCCTGCTTGGCTAACAATAGCCCTGCAGGGATGTGTTGTCCTCTGAGTAAACTGCTATATATTTACTGGTTCCATGTTGTGTGCTGCTGCCTAGGACACTACCTCCTTTTTAGTGGTTCTGTTGATCAGAGAAATATATCTGCTTCCAGCAGACCTGCACAACCTGTTGCCTGCCAGGAAATGAGCAACCTGCTTCTGTGACTTTTGAGAGTTGTGTATTTAAAATACTGTAGAATATTGATGAAACCCCTTTTGAGGTAGTGGGTACCCCGGTGCAAGAATCTGGCAATCCACTTAGTCCCAAACTCCTTTCTAGTCACTGCTCTGTTTACTCCTATGGAGCCTTGAATCCTAGCTTGTTAGTAAGATGAGAGCTTTGGCAGAGATTCTACCCTGGATTTTAACTTGAGGAATTCTGTGCCTTGCTTGTAGTGTGAAATGTGCACCGTAGTTTGTGTCAAGACTTGTCAGTGGGAGCCCTACAGATATAACACTCAGGATTGTGTATTCTGTACTTGTAAAAATTGGAGAAATAATGGATAGAAAGCAAGCTGGACTCCATGTTTGCCTTTTTTACATAAATCTGAATAATAGCCTGGTTGTGGCAGAAGATAAATGTTAGGCCCTAAAGTCCCATTCCTCAAACTATTGACCTGTTTTACATGTAATACTAGTCCAAACTATGACATGGCATGTGGGCTACTGGAGAGAGCCGTTTTGCTTCTCTGCTCCTCCTGCATTTGCTGTGAGCTAAGTTGTGATTTGGCTCAGTGTTGTGTTTGAACCAGAGTTCGTGGTTCACACACCACAAGCATCCAAGCCCAGGTTTGGATAACACGTGAGCTTGAACCAGTCTGTGGTTTACAGCAGTGCAGTGGCGGAAGGACTGGAGGAGGAGCAAAATGGCCACAATCTCATCCCTGGTAGTCAGGTGTGTTCAAGCCATAGCTTGGCTTAGGATTGAATGTGAACTGAGCCATTCTCGGTTTTGCTGTGCCAGCCTTTAGTCCTACATACTTGCACACATTTTTTCATAGACATAAGGGTTAGAAGCCTAAACCACCACCGACGTTTTCAGGAAACCAAATGATTTACTCAATACCAAATTCTGCATTCCTGTAGAGTTGTGGCAGACACTCAGTCTGCCCATAACCTGCGTTTTGGTGATAAGTAGGCTGATGACCCAACTGTAACTCTTGATTGATCTCAACCGTAAGTCGGCTTGATTTATTCTCACGAGTCCCTTTGTGCTTGTTTCCAGTTTGATGAAGGACGTAACAACTATGAAGGGGAGATAACAAAAGAGAATCTGTTGAACTTCATCAAATCAAACCAGCTGCCCTTGGTGATTGAATTCACTGAACAGGTATGGAAGTGGCTCTCTAGCAAGGCAGGGTTGGTTGGTTGGTTGGTTGGTTGGCTGGCTGGCTGGCTGGGTGACCTAACCCACACCTTGATCTGTGTCTACCAATCAGGAGTGGAGAATTCTAACCATACAAATTATACCAAGTAGAATGAACTGTAAATGAGGGAGGGGGGAGTTTGCATAATCTTGGCAACCGGTAACACTCTTGGCCCTAGCATGCATCTATTTGTTCTTCCGCAGACGGCACCCAAAATCTTTGGAGGAGAGATCAAGACCCACATCCTGTTGTTCCTGCCCAAGAGTGTTACAGACTACCAGGGAAAACTGGATAACTTCAAAAAAGCAGCAGAGAGCTTCAAAGGGAAGGTGAGGACCAGGAAGTGACGTATTAAAAATCCTTTCTTTGCTCCCTAGGCTTCCCAGGTGGTGAACACTGGCACTTACAGTGGTACCTCTGGTTGCGAATGGGATCCGTTCCGGAGCCCCGTTTGCAACATGAGCAGAATGCAACCCGCGTCTGCGCGGGTCGCGATTCGCCGCTTCTGCACATGTGCGCAACGTCATTTTGAGCGTGTGCGCATGCGCGAGCGGTGAAACCCAGAAGTAACCCTTTCTGGTACTTCGCCATGGGATGCAATCTGAAAAGATTTAACCTTTAGCAAACATAACAAGAGGTATGACTGTACAGTTCTAATATTGCGGCTCCTCAGGGAGGACATGGATTAGGATCATAGGAGTTTCAGAATATAGATAAGCAACATGAAAAGTAGCACAAGCTGCTTTAGCATAGACTGCTCCTGAATAGCCCCAGCAATCAGGTGACAACTCTAGAAAGAAGTCTTTGAATGGAATAAGCTTGGTCAATGGTTGTACTGAAACACCCTGGGGAGACTTGAGGAATGTTCAGGGGAGCCCTGGGGGGCGGGGAACCATCCTTTCATTAACTTGCAAGCTCATATCTTCCTGCATTATCTCTCTCTTTTACTCTGAGGAACATTCAGGGGAGATGGCAGGGACAGAATGGGGCGTGTGAAGCAAAGGGGCAGAATGGGGAGTCCCCACTGACTCGAGCCCTGTAATGGAACCCCAGGGACTCCCCCAGGGAAGCTGCAGAAAGGTTGTGGTTGGTTAAGGGAGCCATGGAATCAGAAAGGTTGAAAACCACTGAGCTAAGTATTTGACAACTATTAAGCGGACAAGAACTTGCTTTAGGCTTATAGTTGGGCATGAAACACAATTAGGGTGGCAGGAGAAAGAATAGTTACTTAAGGAGGACATAAATAGCTAGTTTCTTGCCTGTGCCATGCACTTGTCTAATGCCTCAATTCCACTGTTGTTCTTCCTCTCTCCTCCGCCAAGATCTTGTTCATCTTCATAGACAGTGACCACGGCGATAACCAGAGGATCTTGGAGTTCTTTGGCCTCAAGAAAGAGGAGTGCCCTGCCATCCGCCTCATTACCCTGGAGGAGGAAATGACCAAGTACAAGCCGGATTCAGAAGAGCTGACTCCAGAAAACATCAGGGACTTCTGCAATAAGTTCTTGGAGGGCAAAGTTAAGGTAATTCTTTTTTCCCTTCCTTTTTTGTATTTTGTTCTTGAGACAGGCATCCATGTGAGGTGATCCCTGCAGCACGAATCACACGAAACCTGAGAACAGTCACGTGGCACGAAGTCTTTCAAGCTGGCTTTGCAGCACGTCCAGCAGCCCAGTATTTAGACTTCATGCTGAGAAGCCCAAAGGGCAAAGCCAGTGGGGCACGGTGCCAGTATGGAAATAGCCTTTAAATGCTGATAAAGTGAGCTTGACAAGTCTGGGAGCTGCTCATAGAACTGCATCACCAGCTCTTAAGAACTACCTCTGCCTTAATGGCTGCATGGCCTTGTCCTCACGTGGCACGAGCGCTTGGGAGGCTTCCATCTTAATCTGGAGACGAAAGCAGCTGTACAGAGCCAGCTACTGCTTTTGTTCTGCCCCACACCTGAATTTTGCAGGGCTCTTTCTTGGCTCTGCCTATTTCATTTACTTTCCTTGCCTCCCATTATTCCTTTTCCTGTTCAGTGAAGTTGCAGCCTTCATCTTAATTACTCAGTCGACTGGACAAGTACACCTTTAAAGAAAATCAGCAGGTCCTTTGAAAAACTGGAAGGGATTATTAAACGAGGCTAAAAGTTCAGGATGACCTTTCTAATTGGGAAAGCTGAGTTGATGATAGGGAAGAAAAAGTATTGTGATACCTGGCTTGATGGACATTCTTGAATAGGATACAGGACTATGGTAGATCTATTTTGGAACACATAGACAGTAAGGTGTTGCATGACATAAAAGGTAAAATACATTCTAGGTTGTATTAATACATATTCATGTTGTAGTACTCTTTTGGTCAGCCTGTTAACATGAGTGCGAGCATGTGGTCAACGAAGCCCCTGCCACTTGGCTGTAAAGGCTGAGTGTTACATATCTATATGCTTCCCCCATATCAGACTCTGTAGATAGGAAGCTGGTGCATTTCTGGAGAAGGAAAGGCTAGAACTCTGTTCTGCTCTGTAGCGTTCTGCTAGATTGGGGGTATATGGTCATTGAATCATGCAGTCCCCCACCTTCACACTAAAGGTGGTACTGTCCCATAGGTGATGTAACATATGCCTCCTTTTTAGCCAGCATTCCTCACTTCTGAAAAGACACTTGAAGTTGTTTAAAACTACAGGGATGGTTTGTGTGCTGGAAAGCAGATAGGAATAGAAACATTCCAAAGACCTCTAACCTCAGAGAAGGTTATGTTCAGCATTGGCCTGTTTGAAGACCCCTCACATTCATGAGATACAGTATGCACGGTCTTCAAGCAAAAGTAGATCTACGGTTGAACAGTTTTGAGTTGGGAGTTTCAAAGCAGTTGATAGATGGAAGATGTAGCCTAGGGGAAGTTGTAGGGGATTTTTCAGATGGGCTTCAAGACAAATTGAATGTTAAGCATGTTGGAAGGATAGAACACTTAATAGAACCCTCTGTTTGCATGCGGAATGTCCCAGCTTAGATCCCTGGCACCTCCAGGTAGGTCTGGGAGAGGTAGTCCCTGGAGATCAGCGAGCTGAATGGACCAATGATCTGACTTCTGTACAAGACAGCTGGCTCTGTACACAATTTTGACACAATGGTCTAATAGGTCCCTTTCATTTTTAAAATGCTCTGGAAAACATCCTAGACCTCCTCTAGGGCTGGGTGATATATTGTCCAAAACTGATAAATCCGTATTGTGATATCAGTTTCATAATTTTTGACCTGGCAATATATTGTGAATCGTGTGTGTGTGTGTGTGTGTGTGTGTGTACATGCGCTATGCAAACATAATCCTGCATGAAAAACCATGAAGCCCTCCAATGCCTGTACATACTGTAGCTCCATCTTTGTTTTAGACATTGTGTTTAGCTGGTGATGTTGAAAACCAGATATCGCCCAGCCCTAACTCCCTCTTGTAAAAATATTGGAACTAATCTGACTCTTGCAGCCATCTCCTCTTGCTTGCTGTGCATATATCTTGCCATGCATTTCTTTTGTTCTTTAACTGAAGCAGAGTGGGCTCTGTCTGCTCAGCATGCCTATGCCAGCTCCCTGTAAACACGCATCCTTCATGCAGCAGCTCATGAAGGACATGGCTGGGTCATTGGGTGGGGTGGGGGTTGACTTTGAAGGAGGAAGTCTATATTAATCTGACTTTTTATAGCCTCTGGCTTTTGTCAGTTGCTCTGCCCTGTCTTGGAACAGTGGGTGGGAGGGTTTCCTGTTGGCGCATTCCATGCTGTTGCTTTCATGTGGGTTCCTTTTTGCTTGTCTGTTTCAGCCCCATCTGATGAGCCAAGATGTTTCTGATGACTGGGACAAACAACCTGTCAAAGTTCTGGTTGGGAAAAACTTTGAAGAAGTGGCCTTTGATGAGAATAAGAACGTGTTTGTGGAATTCTGTAAGTATTTCGGTAGCTGAGCCCACATGCACTCGCACCTTGGCGCATCCTGTCTTGAGTTGCACAGGTTCGGCTAGCGAAGAATGTTTCTTAGGTGGCAGGAACTGGAACTGAGGAGTGAGTGGTTCTTGTTGAACAGATGCTAATCTGGGTTTTGTCCCCTTTCTGACTTGCAGATGCCCCCTGGTGTGGCCACTGCAAGCAGCTGGCTCCCATCTGGGATAAACTAGGCGAGACGTACAAAGACCATGAAAACATCATCATTGCCAAAATGGACTCCACAGCCAATGAAGTGGAGGCCGTGAAAGTCCACAGCTTCCCTACCCTCAAGTTTTTCCCCGCAGGCCCTGGCAGAACGGTGAGGAGACCGGTGGTTGGTCTCTGTAGGTGGCTGCCCCTGGGTGTTTCTCTTTCCCCTCCCAGGGTGTGCCTTGGTTTGAGTTGCTGAGGGTGGGTTCACAGGGGGTTCTTGCTATTGTAGAGGGGAGGATTGCTTCATAGAGGATGGTGCTCATGTACGGGCTATTCTCTCCTCGCAGCAATCATGGGAATCTAGTGGCTGGCTGCTCTTCTTCGACTCATATGGGTGAAGGTGAATTTTCCAATCCCTTTTTTTTTGCTTAGCTGTTCAGAAAGTGATTCTTCAGCCCCCAGTGCCCAGCTTTGCCTTTCGACTGCTGACACACTTCCTCCTTTGCTTTTGCAGGTTGTAGACTACAATGGCGAGAGAACGCTGGAAGGTTTTAAGAAGTTCCTGGAAAGCGGCGGAAAGGATGGTGGTGTAGATGAAGATGTGAGTATCTAAACCCAGGCCCTGTTGGGCACTGGCCTGTGTAGCTGTTTTAGGGCAGGGTTCAGATGCGATCCCCGAGGAAGGGAAGTTTTGTCCTGCAAAGCTACTTCGGGCTTACTGTGACAGCCAAGAATGCTGGTTCCTTAGCAACTTGTAAATAAAGCACAGCTGGTAATACCCAGAATGAACTGGGGTGGTGGGGAAGGGTGTTCCTGAATACGTGCCATTCCATGTGGACTAACCAGGCCACACAAACAGGCAGTCAGCCTGTGGGAGCCCCACCATTCCCAGATCAACTGCAAATGTTCAAGAACATGACTTTTTTTTACATTCCTCCCAGCGTTGACCCTACTATCTGTAGTTCTCGAGAGATGACCCTACACTGAATTGGCTCTTTCTCCAGCACCAGGTGCGAGTGTCCTCTTGCTTGAGTCAAGTAGTCGCTGCTGCCAGCATGTGTAACAATTTTTGCTTGTTCTGTTGCTGTGCTAGCAATGCTACTGGCTCTTTGCAGCACTGCTAGGCTTATCTGGGTGCTGCTGCCCAGCAGGAGTAGCAGCTGAACATAGAGGGGGTAAAGCTCATAGCCCAAGTTAGAATTGCTGTGCATTCAGGGCTGTCGTTCCTCCATTTCCATTGGATACAGGGAGCAACTGGTGACCCAGCCTTTGCACCTCTGCATGTTCCCGGACCCTGTATGGTGGGTTCTGTGTGATTTAAAGCTCTGTAGACTACACTTCTAGACCTACAGTTATCAAGGGTGCCAGCTGTTTGGTACAGTGACCATGAGCAATGCATACACAGAAACTGTATCCTGATTTGATTCCTTTGTCCCTGTTTTGAGCTTAAGCCTTTGCACCAGGCTTTGTTATTTAAGAGTGAACTGGCTTTGATATTCAGCATCTTGGTGATAGACACTATGATTAGCTATCACTTATATGGTTTTCAGGCACAGACCTGGCACTAACATGTAGCTGAGACCTAGCAGAGTAGAGCTGGCCGGCCCCATTTTGCTTCAGCTTGTTTCTTTATCATCTCTGTACACTTTGGAAATTTGGATTTATATTCAGTTTGGTTGTTTGTCAGGTTCCAACACCTTGAAGACAGATAGCTTTTGAACCTGTGTTCTATAAGATGTCACCGGTGGAAGTTTGGGTATAAAAACGTAAGAGTACTGAGCAAAAGAATTGGCCAAAAATGGCCATTAAATCTTCTTGGATTGTAGCAGGTCCTTGAATCTGGGTTTCATGGAAACAGATTTTGAATTGAAGAATGTGATTGAATTGGAGGCAAACAAATTCTGTCCTTCCTGTGAATGGTATTCCAGTCCCTCACGGCTGATTTTTGGAGGTGGTGTGTTGGCTGTTGGCTGGCCCTGTGTATTTCTTGCAAGTGCTTTTGCATTTTCTCATTCTGAGAAGAATAGTGTGCTAGCAGGGTTTTCATAGTTGCTAGCTCAACAGCACAGTGTGTACTCCATTCAAAAAGCATTGGTACCAGATGCTGAGAACAGGATAATGCTAAACATCTGTCTGTTATTCAGCATAGGCTGTTGTTGAAGATAACAGCCTATATTCTTTGCTTCTTGTCAGTATGCTGGTAGCCAGTCTATATTCTTTCCTAAGGCAATGCAGTGGAATGGTATGGTGCAGGAATGTCCAAGAGGTCGATTGTGATCTACTGGTAGATCCCCGGGAGGTTTTGGTAGATCGTGGTCGATCACTGGGTCCCTTTCCTTAGCGCTGGTAAAATAGAATTCGGCCTCACCCTGCCCTCCATTTTTGCATGATCTGCAGAATGGAAGATGGAGTTTACTCAGTGAGGCTGTTGTTTCCTCAGCGATCTGTTGGTGAGCTCAACAGCTATGACCTGAACCCCCCAAAAGGGGGTAGATCACTGCCAGTTTTTCATTCTGTGAGTCTCTTGGGAGTTGGCCACCTCTGGTATAGTGTATATGAAATCATTGGCTGAGGGTATGCAAATCACTGAGGATTTTGCAAGCCACTGAAAGTCAACACTTCTGAAGGAAGAACAGAACATTGGTGGGTTTAGATCACAAATCTAAGGAACAGCCAATTGGATTTGCAGTATAGAGTACTGCATCAGTCATTCGGACTGAATTTCCACTTGTTTTGCTTATTACTGTGAATGGAGCATTTCCCTGATAATGAACCTGAATGTGACCTGTCAGGATCATCTCCTATGATTATACCTATTCTGGAGCTACTACTAATATTTACTTAGAAAGTTCAAAGACAGATACTGGAACAGCTGCCTTAATCGCAGCTTCACTTTATCTGTTATTTTTGGTGTGTTTGTGTGTGAAAGTGAGATCAGATTTTACTTTAACAGTACAGTGGTACCTCAGGTTAAGTACTTAATTCATTCCAGAGGTCCATACTTAACCTGAAACTGTTCTTAACCTGAAGCATCACTTTTAGCTAATGGGGCCTCTTGCTGCTGCCACGCCACTGGAGCACAATTTCTGTTCTCATCCTGAAGCAAAGTTCTTAACCTGAAGCACTATTTCTGGGTTAGCGGAGTCTGTAACCTGAAGCGTATGTAACCCGAGGTACCACTGTACATGGTTGTGTTAATGAAGTTTTAATTCTAAAGTAAGTTTCTTAGAGGTCTTTTGTGCACTTCTTGGTCGAGCAAAACGTTAAAATCACCAACTTGGTTTTCAGATGTGATGGCATTCATCTGATTCAGAATGCTATATAAATGGAGAATGTGCTAAAGTTGGTACAGCAGGATTTTTTTATCCATTCAAATAATTTTGAGATGTATAGGGCAAGCAGAAAGCCAACAGACCTGGTGTTGACCCCATTGTCTTACAAGTTCCTTCTGCCTGGTATATGGAAATTTGTAGGTTGTTTCCATTTTTAATTTTTTTTTGCCTTGAGTGACTTGATGGAATGCATGGACTTTCCTTGGCCTGCACATCTTGGGAGGCAGGACTCTGTCTGCCAGAGGAGCAAAGTTCTGAGCATAGAGGCAGTTACATGAGTTTCTCATGTTATTAAGGGCAATGACAGCTGCGCTGGCAGGACCTAACTGTGTGTTGGCCTCCTTGGCACTGGCTGTGAGAGAAGCTGCAGCTGACCAAGCTTTTGCTTCTTCATTTAAACAGGATCTGGAAGATCTAGAGGATGCTGAAGAGCCAGATGCAGAAGAAGACGATGATGACGCAAACACTGTAAAAGATGAACTGTAAAGACAAGTCCAATCTGCATATCCCCAGACACTACACTGTGGCTGCCACTTCATGCAGTTAAGCAAGTCCAGAACCAACTTGAACCAGAAGGCAGATGCTGTCTGAGAGTACAGGGAATGGTCTAAAGTAACCCTTCATCCTAACTTGTCTGTCAACTGATTCCTCTACTTAATTTTTATTATTATTATTTTCAGTTTGGAAGAGGGATCTGCCTAGGTAGCCAGCCCTGCTGGGTCTTCTCTTTCCCCCCTCCTTTACACACTGTGATGTACATTTTCTTTTCCTAGAGTGTTCTGTGATCTGGGTAGAAGCAGATTGAAACGGCAACATGTCCCATTGCCTAACTCACTTTGGAGCCTCACCAGTAATGCCGCCTTAAAACTTACTCACACTTGTCCAAATGTCATAAGCTGCTGTTGGCCCAGCAGGGTCTTGGATACTGTCTCGGCTGTTTTTCAATTACTATTTCTTTTTGGGGCTGCTCCGGTGTGGAGGAACCTACTGGGCTGACCACGGTGGTGGCAGTGGAAAGGGAAATGAGCAGGTCCTCTTAACTCATTGCATGGTCTTGCTTCCCTTTTATGCTGAGCAGTATATGTATCTCTCTCTTCCAAAGATTAGGATGGCATAAAGACTGTCCTTGAGGGGGAAAGGACCCAATTATTCCTGAGGCAAAACCTTAACTGGTGTTGCCACCTTGCCCCCTGAACAAACAATACGACTTGCTCTTTATACATTTGCTTTGTGAATGGGTCTCCCAGGCATTTACAGAGCTGTTTGGGAAGGGGCCTACCAGAATGAAACAAAAAGGACACTCAATAACTAGGTTTTTTTTGTGGGGGTACTTGAGAGCCAAGGAGTGATGGGAGGACAAGAATGTATGTTGACAGAATTGGAATTAGTTTGGAGCGTCTATGATGCTAAAAGGAATGGAACTCATTGGCCAAATAAAAGTTGATTTTAATACTATATTGTGTATCTGGCTGTTTTGTTTGAACTCTGGTTTAGAGGAGGGAGAAAGGTTGTTTTCTGCTGCTCCAGAGAAGCGGACACGGAGCAATGGATCCAAACTACAAGAAAGAAGATTCCACCTAAACATTAGGAAGAACTTCCTGACAGTAAGAGCTGTTCGACAGTGGAATTTGCTGCCAAGGAGTGTGGTGGAGTCTCCTTCTTTGGAGGTCTTTAAGCAGAGGCTTGACAACCATATGTCAGGAGTGCTCTGATGGTGTTTCCTGCTTGGCAGGAGGTTGGACTCGATGGCCCTTGTGGTCTCTTCCAACTCTATGATTCTATGAGAACTCTTTTCTCATCTAGGCCAGGAAGGATGAAAGTGGATTTAAGGTTTTTTCTGTTGCTGAAACTTGCTTGCATGATAAATATTCCCCCCTCCTGGGGGAAACTTATGTCCAGCCTTTTGCATGTTCTTACTATAGAATTCAAATCTGTTTTGCACAAATGCACATTTGAACAAAGTAACTTAATTTGTGCAAAGTATTGCTTTAGGTATCTGAAGAACAGTATGTTCCATGGGAAGCGAACATGGTACGCTCCAGAGGTATACTATCACTTTCATCTTTGGCTATTTTGACTTCAGCTTATGAAAGTCCAATAGCAAGTATCTGGAGGGTGGATTTATGCTATGTGGTTGCAAAACCTTAAAGAAAAATGGCAGTAGTGGGAAATTACCTACTAAGTACGGAATATAGAATGATACAAACCGTTCATAGATAATAAAAAAACTAATCTGTACATTTAAACATTGATTACATCAAAAAATGCTTGAATTATTTTATCTGCATTCAGCTGTGTGCAAAACTGTACTTGTAGGGGGGGTGGGGAACCCTAGATGCAACATTCCAGGAAATGTACAGGGTCAAATGAGGGGGACCTTACTCTCTCCACTTCCATTTAATTGCTATAACTCAGGAGATGAGCTTGGTCTGTATGTACTACTGAATAAGGTGGTAGAGCAGGCTGTGTCCCTGGAAAATTGGAATTCTATCTGGTAATAAAGAAGGAGACAGTATAGTAAGAGATCATATTTATTTTTGAAGAGGGAAAAAAAGAAGAGGAAATATTTACATATAGTTCCAAGCAAAAACTTTGTGGCTTGGTACCTGAGCTTAATGGGACGTACCAGACATGGGAGCTAAAAATGGCTACCATACAGCTGCGAAGTCTTGAAGACCAGGTTTGCCTCATTGCACTTTTAAATGATGTGTGAATGTTTCAAAAACTGCAGTAAAAAATTGTCTTACACCACATTTTCAAGCCCTGACCCCAATCTTTTCAGTTCTGAGTTATACTCAGTGTTATGGCTACCAACATAAAGATAACTAGCTCTTTTGGAAGGAGATTATTGGTTTGATCAGAACATGAAAAGCAAACCTAAATCTGGGCCATGAATTATCACACCCATCTTCTATAATACCTGTATCCAGATAGATTTTACAGCTGAGCAAAGGCACAAAGGATGGATATAAGTGCCACATTCCTCACAGTGCCTCCAGCAGAAGGATTTGGGTGTTCACAAGATTTGTGACATTTTCACTAGGGTATAGTGCCAGGGCTTTTCAGCTGGAAATGTTCTGGCACCTCTCAGGTAGGCACCATTGCCATTATAAGAGAACCAAGGGAGGTGTTCATAGTAAGCTTGGCACCTCTTCTGGAAAAGTAGCACTGTGTTAGTTTCACTCATCTGTACATTTTAATTGAATTTTCCTGGATGATAGAGGAGGTAGGTGAATAGTTTAGAAGACCAGGAGAACTCCCATGAGTGTTGGCAAATTTCCTTTCCTAGATCTACTTCCAACATGGTTCTAAGAACAGATGTGGAACAGAATGTCACTCCCAACAGAATTAGATATGAGAAACCATGCCTCCGTAAGAAGTGACAGACCCTTCCACCATCCTCTTGAAGGCTGTTAAAGGCAAAGTAGCTTGATCTTTCAGAGCCCTAACGGCTTGCTTGTACCTTTTGAGACTGAGGAATGTCTACATTATTGACCAAAAGGGTAAAATTCAGGAGCAACCCAAATTTGTATCTTTCATAGGCTCCCGGCAGAGCCTGTAATACAATAATACAAAATGGAAGTTTCTCTCCCCTCTCTTCTCAAACCAAATTCATCTTGAAAGGCATTTCAAACTACCAAACTATCTTCCAAAGCTTTACAGGGAAGGAATTCTGTAAGTGGTAGAGTAGATGCCTAATGTCTGCTGAAGTAGATTGGATGATTTAAAAAAAAAGAAAAAAAAGCAAGTGCTTCCTCTTAAGGAAGAGTGTGACTTGCAAGTTATGTAAGGACCAAGTTATTTAAAGGGCTTTGTACGTCATGGCCAAGTCTTTGAATGGTGTGCAGGATAGGAACCCTGGTGTAATAGTGCTCCCGGATGGTCAGTCCCCTGTAATCTGAGCTGCGTTCTGCGTCACCTGACCTCTGTAACCTACATAAATCAGGCAAGTTAGGCAACTTAGTATGACCGCATACTCTGCATAATTCTTTTATTCATCCTGGGCAGCGTCAAGAAGCTCTGCAAGGCTTGAGTCTTCCCCTGGCTTCTAGAGACCTTACTCAGCAAGGTTCTAGAGACCTTACTCTGGCTTCTGAGATTTCACCTTTCAAGCATATCTTTGTGGTTACGTATGCTAGGAATTTACTCTTTATGTAAAGAGGGAGCAAGCACATACCCCCATGTCCAGTGGAATTGTTGTATTCAGCCAATGTTGCAAGGGCTCATATAGTAGAGTCTTAAGGCGCTGGGACTCGACCTGCAGAGGAAAAACTAACACATGCAACCCCCTAGTCTGCAGTACAATGGCAAGATTGTGAGGATGCTATTGCAGTTGCTAGGTCTGAATTTGGATAGCAAGTCTAAAGGCATTTGATGTTCTGAAAAGTGCCCCAAGCTACTCGGGTAGTTTGGTGGCTCCATTGCAACAATGTGCTTAAAATCCCGTAACTGAAGAGTGCTTTCTAAAGCAATACCGTACTCGTCATCACTTGAGCGTTGAGTTAAGTGGAACTACTGCACCTGTTGGTCCTTTTCTGTTATAAGTCTGTCATCCATGGTCAGCCACCTCCACAACAGAGAACTGGGTATCCATGCTTACCTGTCCCGCGCTGTTGCTTAATGCCAGGCAAAACAACTCACCTATGATCTGATCATGGGTGAGGTGACTGACCTTGTGTGCATAACTGAGATATGGGTAGGTGAATTGGAGGGCCCTGACCTTAGCTTGTGTTGCCTATCTTGGTATTTGGTGCAGCATCAGGCAAGATTGGAGCAACAGGGAAGGGATGTAGTGGTTGCTGCATTAAATTTCATCATTCGTGCCAGAAGGGCCAGCCCATCTGGGAGCTGGGAGCTGAGGGTTTGTACCTCTGTTGGGTGGCAGATACAGGACAGGGATGTGGTTGGTGTCCTGTCCACCCACCTGCCTGACTTGGTGAAGAATTTCAGGACGTTAGTGCTGAGGGACTTCAAGATCCATGCAGGGCCTGTTGTGCCTAGGCCTGCTTGGAATTTCATGGGTACCATAGGGCTGTCTCAATAAATTGTGCACCCAACACATACTGGTGGTCATGCCCTAAATATCACCTTTGCTACTGAGTGATTGGGGAAGGATCTGGTGGTGATTATCACCCCACTGAACCATGAGAGAGATCAAATCTGATGTATTTCTGAATGATCTGGGGGATTTTTCAGGCAGCATGGCTGTTGCTTCTGTTGAGGCCCTAGTTTCATTTTAAAATGGCAAGATAGGGAAATTGATATGATCGCTCCTAGACCAATTTCAGAATTGTTTTCAGGCTGCTTTACTACAAAAACAGGTTTGGTCACCCTGACTGATCACTTTTATTGGGAGAGAAACCCTACAACCCTGTGGATTCTTGATCTCTGAGACATTTAGTATCATCATTGAACATTGTGCTCTGGAACAACTCAGAGGGTTGGGGACTTGGAAGCACCTTATTTCTGTAGTTCTTCTCTCACCTGCTAAGTCATTACCAGAAAGCAGTACTTGGATATTGTTGCCCAATCCTGTGTGTGCAGAAGAACCTTGCCCAGCCTGCCAGAGGACAGAGCCATTGGGCAAGTTGAGGATTCTCAGTGTAGAAAACATTCTAAAGGTCAGGAAGCTTTTAATTCCCTCTCGTTCCAAGAAATGGTGTACAAAGACGCACATACTGAACAGCTATTACCTGTCATACGCACAGAATCCTGACAGGTGTTGTGTTTGCTGGCCACTTCTGCTGAAAAATATTTCTGTAAGCAAATATGTAATTCTGTCACATGATGGGGAGCGACAGCAGCCCTAGCAAAGGAAAACAAGTTGCTGCATGCTGATTGAAGGGAAGGCAGGAGACTGTTTTCTCGCTCTGCTCAGCTGGGATGCCAGGCGAGCTAGGGCCTCCAAAAATAGGGTCTGCTTTGTAGATTGTTTCAAATGGCTTTCTACAGCAAAATTAAAAATATATATGCAAATATGCACAAATGTGTTTGGCAGTATTCAAATGACAGTGTAAAATGTACACTTCTAGCAGAGTGGCTGATCCAAGGCTAGGTAAGAGCCGAGAGCTGGGCCCATAGGCAGGGGGAGTTGTGTGACGGCATTGGTCCCCTGCCCAATATGTCACTTTAGTTTCTGACACTAGCAGGATGTCTCTCATTTCAAGCTGCAGAAGACAAACTTTCAAATCGTTGCTATGAGGAATACATGCATCCCATATGAACAGGGCTAGTTTATGAAATAAGGCCTCCATGCCAGCTATGGGTCTTTGGGCTGTTGGTTTTAGCTGCCTTCATTCTGAGATGAAAAGCCAGTTTCTAGCCCAGTAATTTGCTCATCCAGATCTCATTGTGTAGTGTTCTCATGCTTTGTAATATCAAAGGCAAATGGGACATGCTTTTATTCATTGTCACAGTGTCTGTAAACAGGGGGTTCCTTACAAAACCCAGAATAACAAAAGCAGAGCTGTGGGATGTCTCATTACTGCTCCTTGCAGTTGCACTGTTTACCATCCAGTGCCTGCTGAGGTACCCAAGGAAAGTAGATTATTCTAGTTTATTTTTACAGAGTCAGACACTTGGCATATTTCTTCAGGAAGAGAGGGAAGATAAACCTCTTCTCATCAGGCTGCTCTGATGCGGATGCTTTTTGGTTGGTGGCCAATTCTAAAGGGGTAGGAGGACGGATATCATTGGGAATGGCCATTCTGTCCTGAGCCAGTTACGTCTGGAATCAACTGGCTGATTGAAGAAAGAAAAGTTTCCAAGGTTGGGAGATGCCTTTCTAGGGTACGTAGGGTTATATCCAGTGCCAGTCATAATGGAGGAGACACACTGAAGTTAATCAAAGTGGCTAACAAGGTGTCTACCTGATGGGATACAACCCTTTGCTGTTAAGTTTGGGATATGAGACCAATTTCATTCTGTGAGATGGCAGCACTTGAAGTGGGGAATTGGTGGAAATGCATTGATGTTTTCGAAAAGAGGAAATGCATGCTTTCATAGTTTCCACCATTTTCACCACATAATTTGGGTAATATTCTTGCTTATTCAAAACTCAAGATACAACAAAATGCAGCAAGTTAGAGTTATACAACTTAAGGAAATGCGTAGTTTCCTTTAAAAGATGTAAATTTTGAAGTTTTGCTATCTGCACAATTTGAACTGAATTTCAGTGTAGAACTGAAGTTCCATGCATTTCTCTCCTGTGTATATTCTGGAAAACCCACAAAGGTTGTCAAGAGGTTCCAGAAAGCAGGGCTAACAGTGGACTTTGCAAACAGTGGTTTGCAGAATCTGGGGCTGCTGGGTTCTGGGATCTACACAAGCCGATTGTGGAGCAAGCTTGACCCATTAACTATTGCACATCGACAGGTGGGATGTAAATTGAAACCCTGACTTATATTCAAAAGGGGGAGGCCGGAGGGCAGGGCAGCTCAGTTACCAAATCTCATGGCAAATAGCATGAGCGGACTATCCTCAAAATAGCCATGGGGAAGATATATAACAGGAGACACCGCTGGAAATAGTCAGTCCTCAACAGGAGATCACCCACACATGCTCAGTGTTTTCCAAGGAAGTCCCATCAGGAGCAGATATCATAGCTAACATCCCACCAGCCTTTCAGGTGCAAGCGTCACAGAGAAGAGAATCCTTTGGGTCTCAAGGCACTTCAAAGTCGTCTGGGTTGCCGTGTGCTTTTTTTATTATTCCTCAACACCATTTTTCAGTCCTGTCTCGCTGGTCTCTTGCTCTTCCTTCTACCTCTGCCACAATGAAGTATTACTACCCAGACTCACTTCCCAGGTATAGGCGATATACACGAGGCCTGAAAACTGTGCGTTTCCCCAATGACGTTCTCTTCCTGGACCATATTAGGCAGAGCGACCTGGAGCAGGTGGGCCGTTTCATCCGTGCCAGGAAGGTCACCTTGGACACTATCTACCCCTCAGGTAAGTAGGACGTGGGTGAACCTAACTGAAGGGTGGTTGAATAAGCCTAAGCACTAGCAGATGCCTAATCCCAAAGTCAGGCTGTGTGTTACAAACTAGGTCATGTTTTTTCCTCTAACACTTACATCGATATAGGGAGCTATGTCACCTGAAATCCTTTTGCTAGACACTTGAGTATTGAACAGATTCTAAGGTGATAGATGCTAAGAAAACTATGCCAATGTACTGCGCACTCTCTGAGAAAATTTAAATCCCTTTACTAATCTGCTAATGCAGCTTGTTCCTGTGTGAATAAAATATGGCTGCTGAGTTGAGAACAGAACAATATATCCAGTGGCAGGATGAACAGAGCAGCTTCATGCCCAGCCGTAAAGCTGAATCAGTGTTTCTTTGAGCCGTTTCCCCCAGCTATGATCTCAGCATGAAAGGCTGCACTTAAAAAAGGAATCCAGTAGTCACAGGAATTTCAACAGTTACAGCTACTATGGCCCAGTAGATTGTTAGAGTGTGTTTGCTTCTTACTGACTTCCATCACACTTAGACTTTCATAACATTGACTCAGTATTGCAGAAGGCCATAGAAGCCTTGATTGAGGTGCTGTTCTTACAAACTGCTTACTTAATTCCCCAAATAAGTTTCTGGAACTCACTCAGCTTTGGTTAAAATAATATTCTTTTTCTCCATGCAAAGAACCTGGTGGGCCAAAAATTGTCCCCTCTGTGTGCCGTTTCCCCAACAATTATAAGATAATGCAGCCTTAAAAATGTAAAGGCCCTGGTCTAGTTTCCTGAGAAAAAAATATGCATTTTGCTTCTAGACTCCTCCCCACTGTCTCAAGCATATTAGCATAACTCCCTTTTTGTGGGATGTTTTCCTAAGATCTGCAGGTTGTGGCTGATGCATTACCTTTTCCCATTAGGTATGGCTGCCCTCCATGAAGCTGTGCTTTCTGGGAACCTTGACTGCGTCAAGCTGTTGGTGAAATATGGTGCTGACATCAATCAGAAAGATGAGGACGGCTGGACACCCCTACACATGGCTTGCAGTGATGGTCACGCTGATATTGCAAGGTCAGAGATGCAAATTATGTTAACCTTTAATCTCTAGTCTAGCCATGCCCACCCTCTCTTGACAGGCCACAAACTTGGTCAAGGAAAACGGGGAGGGAAGTAGGGCTTGCTCAACAGTGAGTGCTAGGCTTAGACTTGAGGTGATGACATGTCTGTTGGCTAGATGACCATCCTATAGGTAGTGCTAGTCTTCGGACACTAGCAGTGATGTTTTGCGTTGGCGTGTTAAGTGACCTATGATATCTCCCAAATATATAGGATATCTCAAGTAAGAAGGTGAGAATGGAAACCAGATATAAGAGAAGACTGGTCTCTTTATGGAAAGAGGAAAGCTTTACATTGAAACTAACAGCCAATTCACAAGTCCTCTGTATCATCTTGTATATGAAAGCATAGGGAAAAGTGCATGTATGAACTAAACTGTGCATGTGGGTATGTGTGTCAATTATGTCCTCGTCTCATCACCTCATTCTTTAATCCTGCAGGTACCTCATCTCTCTTGGTGCCCAGCGTGATGCTACCAATGATGAAGGGGAGAAGCCATCCGACCTAATTGACCCAGAGTACAAGGAGCTTGTGGAGCTTTTCAAAGCAGCCCGAGTAGACTAAGCTAGTGCCGCTCAGCTCTTTCCCATGTGGAGTTCAGCTTCCATGGCAGGCAGCAGCATTTGTTGCATGCTGCAAGGAGGCTAGCAAAGTTGCCCCTACTACGTTGGCAAGAGTGTACGGCCTCCTAAAAGAGACCACAGTTTGGTTGTAATGTGTATGTATGAGAGTGGCTACCTTGGGGTTTATCAGAGAGCTATGCTTGGGATAGCCCTTCCAGAAAATGTAAACTTCTCTACCATGTGGCCCATTTTCTGGTACCTGCTACGGTCAGGCTTTAGTTAAAATGAGTCTAATGGCTGGGACACACTGGCCCAAACGGCACTGTTGTGCAGGAGGTTCACACAGGTGATTATGAAATGAACTGGACTGGGTACCAATTTGTGTGAACATACACCTTCCAATTATTATCTGGCAATGACTGATTTGAACAGTGCTTTCTCAAAGACATTCAACCTATTCAGGCCTGAAGAATCCTCACACAATTATCACAAAAAGAAAATAGCCCCAACTTCAAGCTGGTATCTTTCTGCTGTATATATTATCCTAAAAATGTCATGTATAAAGTCTCACATGTTTGCTCCTAGATTTGCTTTTCTACTGTTATTTTTTATGTGGTTCTGAAACAGCTTTTTATTTTTTCAATAAAGTAATTTCTACAACCTTGGGTTATTTTTATTCCCTCTGCTCTTGGGAACGGTAGCCACACTTCCTGCCCAGACACTTTGTTTCCCAGGTTGCCCTTAGACTGTTCCCTAGCTGCACATGAGATTTTGGATATGAAATGAGGAAATGAATTCTAAAGGAAAGTAGAACAGCTTAAAAAGCAGAACAAGATATAGTGACTAATGCCTAAAAGTTCTCATTCATACACATCTAGCTGTTTAACTTTGATGGAGGACATGTATTTACCTTGAAGTTGTCCATTAGACATTGTCCCTGCTGCACCGTTATTTCATTCTGTTAAGTAAGGGTCAATGTCCTCCTAGTGGTGCAGTAATAAAATTGTTAGCACATTTGCAAAGCTAAGCAGGGTCTGGTATGGCTTCAGATTAGATGTTGAGATTCCTGCACTGCAGGGAGTTGGACTTGATGACCCTTGGGGTCCCTTCCAATTCTACAGTTCTGTATTATTAAATTATGCAACTTGAGTATTTATTTTTTTTGCAGCACTTATAATATGTGCAACATACTATAGCTCAGGTGATTGGACTAGATGACCCTCGTGGTCCCTTCCAACTCTACAATTCTATCAATCTTTGCATGCTCTTTTCTCTGGAAGACAGAAGAATGAAATGGCAATGCAAGATGGTGGATATTAGCCCTCAGCTGTGCATTGTTTCTGATAATTGCACAGTCTATGGTACACCACACAGTTTGAAGAAATTAAATAATCGGGCTTCTTTTGTTTGTGGCTGCTTCTTTCTGATAGGTTTCAGGTACAGTGGTGTTGTTCCTGCAACCTATCACTTGGAAGGGGAATAAGAGGCCTGTAATAAAGTTCTTACTATTTTTGTCCCAAATGACTTGAGTTGGCTTTAGTAATGACTTGGCAAATGCATGAACAAGACGGGAAGAAAATTAGATGTGACATTTCTTGGAGAAGAGTCAATGCTTGGAGGTTTGTCCACTCAGAGACACCTGATAAGTGCTAAATACTACTTCCCAGTCGGATAGTTTGTCTCTTGGTGAAAATCAGTAGTGAATCACTTGCACCATCTGGGTCAGCATGCTCTGACAGAAGTAGGGCAGCTCTGCACAACTCACAGTTACTTCAGGCTTCCTACATATTTGGTTAGGTGTCACTGTGGTTGCCATCTAAGCATACATCACCATGCAGAGCTATTGTCAGGGCTCACTCTATAATACACTGCACATGCATTAAGTTTGGGGACACTGCTCAACATCCTGAGATCCTCAGCTTTACTTTTAAATAACTTTTAGCCCTGGCAATAGATGATAGGCACAGACAATGCCCAATAAGATGATAAGCAAGGTGTTGTACAGGATTGGTCAGAAGTCTGGGCTTCAGTGTCCAGCAAGGATCTTTGATCTGCCCTTGTCTAGTAAGCAAAAACAAGTGGTTTTCTCTTATTTTTACCTACATTTGTTTGGTTACATTTAGGAGACTTTTGTTGAAACCTTAGTTCCTAATGTGTTGGAGTTGTACTAAACCAGGAAGTCTCCACTCCCATGATTCCCCTTCTGAATGCAGCACTTTAAAATGCTTCTACAGAACACTGTGTAATGACAAAAACCCATTCAAATGGGCAAGTTAAAAAATGAATTTTAAAAATACTACAAGTGTGTGAGAGAGAAAGGGATTGCTTTTGTATTGCTATTTGAAGTGTCAATCTATATAGTGTGCCCTATCCTGAAGGCTTGGGCAAGGTCTAAAATTAATCCTACACCAGAAAAACAATTAACATTTCCTAATTAATGGAAAATTTCTCCATCCTTTCTGTCAACCATGTATCCTAAATGCCATCCCAAAGAGAGCTAGATCTCGGAAAACTGGAGAAGGCTCTTTTCAGATCGCAATTCGAATACAAACACGGAAAATGTTAATGTAAACGTGTGAAATCATGTCAATGATTCCCACCCACCCACTAATCACAGAACTGTCCACACTTAGTTGGCGTAGATTTAGAGCGTAATGATTATGAAAACAGGATGTGGAGAGAAGCCTCAAATGTCCACAAAACGGGGCACACGGTAAACTGGGGTGGGGGTGGGGGTGGGGGTAGCGCTCAGTTAGATCCTGACCCAAGCCGGGGAAGCGGCGACTCTGCTTTGGGCAATGCCGACTTCCCGAAGCTCACAAAGGAGGGAAAGGCGATCTCTTTTAAGCAGCCTCCGTCCCGCTCCGGCTTCTACCCCATTTTTCCGTTTCTGGAGACCCTCCCCACCCTCTCCCGCGTCTCCCAGAGCTTCTTTTCCCCACCCCTCACTCCCGTTTCCATGGATACCCCTCCCTGCCCAGCCGCTGCGTTTCCATGGAAACCTCCTCCCTCGGGTACTAGGGGCAAGGGCTACCCGGGCCCATTCGCCCGCAGTGCGCACGCGCAGCCCGGCCTAGGCGCTCTCTTCCGCCCCGGGCCTGGCAGCAGCGAGAGAAGCCGGGACTTAACCCGGGCCCAGGTGAAGAGGGTTGCGGGTGGGGAATTGAGGGTGGGGCCGCGGAGAGTGGGGCGCCCTTCCTTCCCCGGCCCCCCGTGGAAGTGCTCCCTTTCTGTTCCTCTGGGCCTAGGAGCGCAGTCCCCAAACTCCACGCCTGCCTTGTTGTCGTTCGGGGCCGGGAGAAGTGTGGCTGCTTGGGCCTCCCTCTCCCCGCACCTCCCTCAGGAAGCTTGACATCCCATCTCCGTGCCTGAGGGTAGCGTGGGGTTGCGGATTGGAGGGGGGGTTGTTGAGGGAAGTATTGGGGTTCCCCAAGGCGCAGGTGCCTCTAGGAACTGGACTCGGAGCAGGGAGGAGGGCGGTGGGGTCCCGAAGTGGTGGTCGGGGGGGCTCCAGGGCTTTTTGACACATTCGGGGATTTTTAGCGATGGGGTGGGACTTATCGGTAGTGTGGTAGGAGGGTGGTTGGGATCCTGCTTTCTATGCCTGTAAGATGCTGCAATCTCCTTAAATGTAATAGCAGAGGTGGGCATAGATGCTTCCACCCAAAGTCGGTACCGGAGCAATTTGTCCCCACCCGTGGGATTTATTGAGGGTCCGTCCCCATTGAGCTCAGTGTCTTGTCTTTGTTTTAGCACCGCCAAGCCACACATCCAGGACTTGGGCCAGGGCTGGGAAAGAGGCAGCCATGACGAGGTGAGAAAAGTTATGGGGCTGTGAGAATTGAACTTGTGTTAATACTGAGCGGGCTGTCAGAATGTATTGACTCCTCGATGATTGGAGACTTTCAACCCACAGTGCTGATTTTGTTGTCTTTGGTGGTTGTGTATACCATGGTTATGCACCAAAAATCTTTCTGTGTTGCTACCTGCTGACAGTGGTTCAGGAATGGTGTGGGCAATAAAGGTAAATGGATATAATTGATTGAACCTTTAACTGGTCATTAGCATGGGTCTTTGTGTTCACCTCCCCACCCAGCTTCACTAGGTAATGTTTGGATGTCAGTTCCTCCAAGCTTCTATTCTTTATTTATATAACTTTAGTTTTGAGTCTGAAACAATAACTGTTTAACACTTTGTACATAAGAAGGTGTCATGCTAATCAGGGGTCGGCCATAGGGATATCAGAATAGATCTCTGGGTGATTTGATGTAGAGCGGTAAGGATTTTTGATTCCCAGTTGCTTGGCACTGACAATAACAAAATGACCATCCCTCCAAAGTAATGTGGCTCAAGTGATGAAAAGGGTGGGGTAACCCAAGGTAGATTTTTATATAGAAGGACTGTGAGCTCAGTTTAGTTCAGTGCTCATATTCAAAACAAATTCCTGAGCTCAGTGTTCTTCAATTCTAAGTGTGCAACTCTTGTGAGCTGGCTGTGATAGTTGGATCATTGAGCTCTAGTTAAAAAAAGAAGTAGATTTTGCATGCCTGAAGTCTGCCTATTCCTGATGTAAATGACAACTAAGCACAACCGCAGTCTGTATTGGTCACACTCTCTGAAAAGCGTAATAGCAGCCACATTGAATGGTCTGTAAAGCTAAAGGATCCTTTTGCCAGGATAGTTAGTATAAATCTTCCTTTTTTGCTTCTTTATTTGTGGCAAAGATCAGTGTCTTGTTTCCTCTCTCACTGGGGTCTCCACTGCACTTCCAGTTCTCCTGTCTCCCGAGTTGTATACAATGGCAAGAGAAACAGCAGCCCTCGCTCCCCAAGCAACAGCAGTGAGATCTTCACTCCTGCACATGAGGAGAATGTGCGTTTCATCTCTGAAGGTGCAGTATTTACATTTGAGAAGGCTGATCTCTTCAGTTGCTGCATCTCCACTGAGTCAGTAGCACATTTCCTTACCTCTTACCCTGTATATAACATATGTTTCTCATGCGGTTGCCAGTTCTGGTGTTATTTTTTCCTTACTCGTGTATTTAAGATGGGTGCGGGAAAGTGAAGAAAATGAAGATGAGACTCATTGGAATGTTTAGATATGAATCCAACTCTTGGAACTGACGGATAGTTCTGAGGGTATGTGAGACTTGTCTTCTGATTCTGCATCCAGCATTACAAACATCTGTCATTGCCTCCCTGCTTCTTTATTTGCATTTAAAGACTTCTCCAGTAGTAATGGTGGGACCACTGCTTGGTGTCTAGGCTGTCTTAGGGTGCCAAAAGCTGGCAGTACTCTTGGGCTAAAGGAAAGGGCTCTTCCGTATTCTCCATGTGAAGTTTTATCCCCACTTTAACTGTTCCCCTTCTCTGCAGCATGGCAGTGTGTGGAGCGGGATCTCCGCAATCAGATGGCAAGTGGTGAACGGGGACTTGTGGAGGAGTATGTGGAGAAGATGCCAAACCCCAGTCTGAAAAGTGAGTTTTCTTTTGCTAGCTTTCCCCTTTCAAAGAGAGGTCTAATTTAGTCATGGTTACACCTCCTTGGTGACAGCCGTTTAGATTACTCTGATGTAGGACTGGCTTTGCAGAGCATTTGAAAACATAGAGTCCAAGATGCAGCTGAAAGAATCCTAACTGAAACCCATCACTAGAAGCATTGTTGTCATTGGTTTCCAGATAGTTTCAGGGCTCAGTTCAAAGTGCTGGTGTTGACTTTTAAAGGTTTATATGGCCTGGACTGACTGCTCCAATACAGATCTGTCTATTGACTCAATTCAAGCCCTGTTCCGGTTCTCTCTGGGGTTGAGCTAGATGGCTATGCATGAAAGGGGCTTTTCAGCAGTTGGCCTCAGGCTCTGACATTTGTTTCCGTGGGAAGCCCATTTGTCCTCATCTTTCTTGCTCTTCTGACATACGGTGAAAACTCTCTTGTATAGGAGGATAGTTGGAAACATATAGTGGTAGTGTTATAGTCCATGAATTTGATTAGGTACATGAATATAGATGTACCTACTTTCTTGCATATTAGAGATTTTCTGGTTGCAGAATTTAGGTTATCATTCTAGGTAGAACTGGAGACCCCTTGGGTTTGGGTTGTAGTAATGGCCTGCTGTGTTGAATAGGTCTGGGGTACCAACTCAAACCATTTAATTAGGTGTGTAGGTTACCTGTGATCTGAATTCCAATTTAGGGTACTAACTGTTAGGTGATGGTGGGGAGGCTAGCATCTTTGTTCTTATCCAGGCAGGCTGGAGGGAGTATTGATGGAAAGCAATGTTGCTAGTCAGGAATCTTACCCTAAATTGTGTCTCCTTTCTTCTTTTTTGACAGCTTTCAGACCTGTTGACTTGAGTGACCTAAAGCGGCGGAACACACAGGATGCTAAGAAATCCTAAAATGGCTCGGCCTGCCTCAGCCCCAAGTGCTGGCGTGTGGCCACTGGTACATGAATTTGATGACTTTGTGTTGGTTTCCTCCTTTGGTCTGGCTTGTGCCTGGGGCTGGCTCTGAATTCCCTAAGGAAGGATAGGCTTCTTGCCTTTTCTTCACAGCTTCCCTTGGCCTGGCCTGGCCCGCCTGCCTTCATTCTACAATTGGCCCCAGAAATTACCTTTTCCCCTTAGTAAATGACATTTTACTCTGATGGTGGCCAAGAGGTTGGTGTGTACCCTGTCTGTTTTAGGAGTGTGGAATAAGGCAGAAGAATCAGGAACAATATCTAATCTCTCCCTATACCCATCTCAAAGCCCAGCCCTTCTTAGGGCAAGGCTAAGAGAGAATGATGGGACAGAAGCAATATGGGTTTTCGTAGTCCACCCTATCAATACATTGTGAGAATTCAGACTGACTCCTCATACAGTACCTGAGCTTTTAGACTGGAGGATGAAAGAGTGTTGTGCTACGATCTCCATATGCTATCTGCTCAGCTCTGTGGCACAACAATGGCGAAACGCTGAAGATAGAGGCTGAGGGACCCAGGTACAAAGTCTCCCAAGGGAAAACTCTTTTGGGATTCTGTTGTATAGGATAAAACTGAGTCGACTCCCTTATTCTGAGCTGAGCAGGTACTCCAGGTTCTGCTGTCTTTACACTCTGCTGACTTGCAGCCCCAGCCAGGGGGGCAGGTAGCATTTCTGAGCTAGCCCCAGAGCCCAGCCCCTGTGCCCCAGCAGGGCTGGGGACAGCCTTGGTGTGTGCTGGGCACTGGCAAGTGGCAGTAGTGCCCATGTTTGTGCCCAGCTCAGGCAGTGATGTTGGGGACCCTGCTCAGAGTTGGGTAGGCAAGGGGCATGGTGGCTGTTCTTTTCCCTTTGTAATGTCCCCTCTTGGTCTGTGTCTGTCTTTTAAGGAGTGTTGTAAATAAAAACTGGTTAGTCATTTTGACATTCTGCTCTGAGAATTTATCCTGCATCTCTACCTGGGTTCCCATGAACGGGGCTTGCTTACCAATCTTTCTTTGGGTTCCATGTTCTCATTGTTCTGAACTGTTTCACCTGAGCCAGAGTGAATTTTCTCAAAAGGAAGGGGATTTGTTTTGTTCCTTTTGTTGCCCTAACGGCAGTGCTTGGCAGCTTCCTGTGTTTTTACTTGACTATTACTCTCCATTGGTGCTGGGCTAGTTGCAACTTAGTCTGTTGGAGTAATTTACAGTTCAACCTAACCTGATGCTGTTGTGATTGTTAAGCCTCCAGAAGGGCATTCAAGTCCCTTTTGCAATCCTGTAGGGGAGAAGGAACTATGAAATATCTAGTCCCTTAGGTGTGATGTATTTAGCTATCAGTATTCAGAAAGATATCCTAGTGCTTGGTAAACAGTTGCCATTTGGATACACATTATTTTGTGCACCTTAGAATGGTGTTCACATCGTGCTGTGAAGGAGGTGGAGTTGCAGGCTGCTTAGGGAAAGTGCTTCATGTTAGCTATAAGGTGAAACCTACTGTGAAGCAAGGTCTCTCTCACAACTTGCTATTTCCTTGGCTAATGACATGGTCATTTTCTGTGTGATTGGCAGTAGGCACCTACAGTGTTTCCTTGAAACACTGGTGCTTATTAGGGTTAGCATGGGGTTTATCTGGTGTTGGGTTATGTTGAGTAGTCTTAGCTGACACCTTAAGAAGTTTTTGTGTGCACAGAACACATACCGATATGAGACTCTGCGGCAGAATGGTGGAGACTTTCAGACATCCATTTTCCCTAAGGCAACAGGGTAGGGAGTGTTGCTTAGTAAGGTATTTTTCCTCCTTGAAGTCTGGGAACTGGAGCAGTGGTGCCTGTAGGGTCAACAGGAAGCTAACATTATTTTCACACTGTAATCTGGCTGCAGGTGATATTATTACCTTTAGTTGGATTAGCAGGATTTTCCTACCGCAGCAAACTGAATCAGCACCCCCAAATGCGGTAATGCTTGAATCCTCAGTAGTTTGCTGTGCTGTGGATATTTTATCTCAGTCTGCTTTCCCAAATATATCTTTATGCTAGCTTTGAAATCATACCCAGCTTGCTGGGCGCTTTTGCCAGTCTTGATTGAAGTGGGCAATATTTGCACCCAGCCTGACCAATTTGTTTACTTTGACCAAATGTCATGTCATGAATTGGATTAGAACAGAGTGTGTTTCTCTGCCAACAGGCAGCACAAAAACGTAGCTATGAAAACAACATGGAGCATAGTGCCAAGGAGACGTCAAGGAAGATATAGAAGATCAAATGAAGAAAATAAAGGTTGCCCATGGTGTGATAATGTTAAACGGGATGGTTTCAGTAAATCCTTCAGCACCTTTAATCATGCGCTTCCCTCCATGCAGTATTGCAGGGTTTCTTTTTTGGCTGAAATATGAAGCCAACATGGGAATTAACCCAGTTAAGTGAGATCTTATTTGTTGATCCAAGCTAAACAAAGAGGGCAGTTTTCCAAGACACTCTGAAAGTGTAAATCTTTACTTGGGATAGGTTTACATTCTATTTGTGGGGTTAGTCCATAGAGGTTAGTTCTTTCCATTAATCATTATTGCTCTTTCTTGTGTTTAATAGGTTATGCTTTAGTGCAATGCTGCCTCAGGGAAAATGTGGTTGCAGCCCAAAACAGCCCTATGTCTAGCCCCCCCCCCCCCCATTTTTGAGGAAAACAAGGAAAACCAGACATGTTGTTTTTGGTAATATGTAGTTATGTCCCTTGTTCTTCACCAGATATTTTGGGATGTGTACAGGCTTTAAGGATTTCAGAAAATATTATCAGCCTCAGAATTAGTCCTCCTGCTCCAGCTTTTTGATGATACAGGTATAGATACAGGAATATGCAGTGCTTTGTGAATCTTTGAGGCTAGATGTCAGCCCTCAACTCATTGTGTTGGGATGCCAAAGACTGTAAATGTGCTGATCACATCTGTCCCTTCTGTTGAAAAGGCTACAGAATGGTCGTTCATTAGTGCTAACCCATGTGGCTGTTTGTGTGAAGTTACACCTACATAATTTGAGTCTTTCCTTTGATTTGACTGGGCAGTGTCCCCTGCAACCTCTCACCTGAGTGGCTGCATCCTCAGACCAGATACCTTTGCAACTCACCCACCCCCAAAAATATTCCAAATGTGGGCACGACCGGAATGTGATGAGATTATATGGAACAAATCAGCTTATGTTGATTTCTCAACATAAACATTTTATCATGTAAATTGACCCTTAATCGCTCAAGAGTGATGGGCTTGGTATGGACTTTGACCAGAGAATTTATAATGCTATGTTTTAAAAATACAACATGGTGGGGGAAACTTTTATATGTGTATATCCTTCTATGTACAATCCACATTATTGTGCGTCACACAACTATATGGGTAAAGGAAGACAAAGACATTTGGGCAGCCATTTCCTATAGTCAGTTTTTTTAGTTTATTTGTTCAAGTGCAATAATGAGATTACCTTTAGGTCTTTAAAAGTGATAGGGAAAATCTGCAATGCTGAAACGATGGCAATGAAGAGAAAGAGGGGTGAGTCTTAAATCTTAAAAGTTAGCACCATGGCACTTTCATTTTGACTTTATCGTGTGAAGAACTTAACTTTTTAAATAAGTATGGCCAAAAAAGTGTCTTGATGCTAATGATCGGAACTAAGGGAATAATAAAGAATTCTTGATAAAATGATGCCCCTTATAGAGGTGATAGTGGATGTGTGATACTGCTGATATGTTCACCTGCCTGATAAGACACCACACACATTGGAATTGGAAAAGCCTAGCTATGGCTATCTGCGTGTGCAGAAAAACTGGAACCAGTTCTATTAAAAAATTAAAAGCAGATATTCTGAGCTCCGAGAAAAGGCAGAAGAACCATAGAAGAAACACGGGGGGGACAACAATTGGGTTCTGACATCATGTGGGTGCCTTGTGGAAAGCGAGTGAATGAAGCAATAATAATAAAAATAATGATATAATTTATTATTTATACCCCACCCGTATGGCTGGGTTTCACAAGGCAGTTTAACACTAACCGAGTACAGAAACTAACCCCAGTGTGGGTGCTTGGGAATAAAGTGTCCAAGGTACATTTGTGTGTGTGTGTGTGTGTGTGTGTGTGTGTATTCTTGGTCTGCAGCTAAATGACTATTCATTTGCCAGCTTGGATTTTGTCCCTGGGCCTCCAGCTGCCAATCCCTACGTTCTGCCTTCTACTTAACGTGGCGGCTGTATTTGTAGATGGATCGCACGTCATCTTGTTTTTGCATGATTCCTGTTGTTGTGGAACTTCAGGGCACATGCTCGTGGTCTCTTGAGATGAGCTTGTCACCTCTTACCCAGCCATACTCAATGATCAAAAGTTGTGAAATAGTGTGCTTTCCCCATCCTTTTAGCATACACTTACATGAGCAGTGGGGGATTCTATTCAGCTTAAGTGATTGTGAATGTGGAACTGGAAGAGTACGTGAATTAACAACATGGAACACTGCCTTTTTACAGCCGCACACCTTATACATAGGAGTGTGGAAGCCAACTTAATGGCTTTGGAAACCTGCACTGTTTTCCACACTCATAAGGTACCACAGTCCTGCGAGAAAGCATGAGACATCCCTGTTGCTTTCTGAGGGGACTGGGATTTAAATGCTGCATCTATTAATATACCCAGATCTGTTTTCGTCCTTTGGTCCAGAGGATTTATTGCCATCTAAATTACACTTACTAGATGCAAGATTTCCCCCATCACTTCACCAAGGCTGAACCCTGTCACCTCTGGCCACTGTGAATCTCTTGAAACACAGTCCTATTTAGAGAGTCTGACCTGTGAGGTTTATGAGCTATTCCCCCCCGCCCCTTGCATTTTGTGGCCTAGAATTCTTTTTGGGGTTATGAGGTCAAATTTTGGCATAGTGGGTCTAATTACATTAAATAAAAAAATGTTTTCACCGCTGAAAAAGTGAGGACTTTTACCAAATCACAAAAGTAATTGGATTTAATAGTCCTTGCTGTTAATGCTGGCTGTGATCCTGCACAAGTTGACATGATACCCTTCACACATGAAACGCTAGAGGAACAGGAATATTGTTGCAGGGAATAGCCTTTCCACCACCACTCCATTTCAGAGGGGTGGGGGGCTCAAAACCTTCACTCAAAACCATAATTCTAAGGAAAATAAAATGAATTATTCTAGAAAGATATTGCATTACAAAAAGAAGGTTGCAGCCATGCTGCTCTACAGGATTTTGTGTGAATATGCTTGTTCCTGAAAGATACAGCAGATTCAGAAAAGATACAGAAAGATTCAGGTTTTTTAAAAAGTGGCAAAATGATGGGGTCAGGGAAGCTTATCACTTTTAGTATAAAGCTTATCACTTTTAGTACAGTATTCACTCCTGCAACAGTTGTGGTAAATAAAAGGAAATCGCAAATTCCCAGTAGCAAAATACTGTAGCTTGTGTATTTTTTTAAAATAAAAAAATGCAGTGAGTTTGCAATTGGCTTGGAGGCAAGGGCACATGTAGCTTTCTCACAACAACAAAAATACTGTGCATTTGTTTTGCACTGAAATTGTCCTAAAATACCTTGCACGTTGAAGAGAAACCCATCTAATGAAATAAAGAAAAAGGGTGTTGCTCATACTATAGATTTAAACCTGTGGAGAGTTCACAGTAAAAACAAATATATGATGTTGATGTGGGTGGAACAGTTTCCCTAGTTCATGTGTCAGCAAGCACTCATTAACACAAAGGGTGGGGTTTTTGTGTTGCATTAACTGGGAAGAGTTGGGAGTGGTTTGATCTTGCTCCATCCATCCAAATACACAAGGACGGGGGACGGGACATTGAGACATCCCCATGCTAGTTGTTCTTTATCCATCTATACAGATCAATGTCGCTTGGTTGATCGCAGAAAATAAGGAATATTCTTCTGTCCAACAGGGCCACATTTCCTATTCTGTGTTTTTAATCCTCTTCCTGCTTTCTCACTAAATCCCTTTCAGTGAATTCACCCATCCATGTAGACCCTTAGATATGAGGATAGTAAAGCCTTTGCATCTATTCCATGCTCATCCCTGATGACACAGGTATGCCTATCTGCATATTGAGTCTGTCCCCACTTCCCATACACTAACAGAAAGCTTTTTTAAAAAATTGCCTTATTTATTCTGCCTATTTGCTTGTCTGCTTTGGACAACTTTCCTATTGTTAATTAGCTGCTTGGTAGCTAATTAATATTCTCATGATTCTGCTGCAGGACTTGTATTAATCTGTGATATCCCTGAAATCACAGTGATTCATGATTTCACTAGATTTGTATAACGTGTATAGAAGGGGATGGTGCGTTGCCAAACATGGTTAAAACAGTGTTAAAAGTTATAGGAGAATGAAGAGCAGGTATTATCTTGTGGCTGTACAGCAGCGCAGGTGTGGATAAGGTGAGATCTGCTCAGCGGGCGGCAGGGGGCCTGAAGTGGTGTGTCAATCCGTGTGAGGCCTTCTTTGTTCCACTTTCATTTCCACATGGAAGTCAGCAACTTGTGTGATAACAGTATGGCACAAGAGAGAGAATTTGGAGTACCCAAGCTCTAGCTGGATGGACCGAAACTTGTTTAATTGGTTTCATCCATAAATGTAAGGAGGCTGCAATCCTTTCTGCCCATAAACAAAATGGAAGTGGCTTGGCTGGCTGAAAATAAAAATATCGTAAAACTGAGTCCAACAAAGAGCACCCTCTTCTCTCATTCCTGTTTTCTCTCTCATGTCAAGTGAAAGGAGCCAAAGTGTGAAGCAATGCCCTTGAGCTCCCATGTTTTCTCTGTCCTGATGGGGAAATAAATTTGTGGGACATTCCCTGTTTTTGTCTGAAGATGGCAGTGCTGATACAAATGAAACATGCCTTGTTGGCGAAGTCTTGGCTCTCATTAGGGAGTGAATAGACAAGAAAAAGAAACCAGTCACAAGAACATCAACTGTACCAGACTAGATTGAGTTGACGGCCTGACCTGCTCAGTATGCTGTCCCAGTTGCACAACAGAAAAAAGTACAAACAAGGTTAATATAGGTAGATGTATGCCTTGTGATCTATTCCCAGCTTATAAAAAAACTAGAAATAATTTGAGTCTAAGCTTGCTGTGTCCCAGAGGTAGAGTGAAGAACTCCTGGAAAGGAAGAACTGGCACCTGCAAAGCCTAATATCCAAAGAGTACGTGGTTTATTCTGAGGCAGGATACTGATCATTAAACTACAGTAATAGGGAACTAAGTTTTAAAATGTACAATAGTTCAGCACCATCAGCATATTCCACCATATTCCTAACCAAACATGTATAGTCTTCTATCGTCATAGAGTTAAAACGTTCTTCCTAAAGCCAAGCATCAACCTTTTGGGTGGTTGGTAGAGCTCTTCTATTTGTTTCCTGCTGTTGACAGGCCTTCAAGTAGTTGAATAGTAGATTATGTCACCTCTTAGTATTTTCTGTGCTAAGCAAAATCAATTTCTGCAGTCTGTTTTTATCATGGCACCACTTGTTCTCCAGTTATCCAGCATAGTTGGGGCGGGGAGTTAAGTTCTAGAAATCATGAAGTGGTTTTGACCTTTCCTGGGTGAGGAAGAGCAAAGTAGTCTTAATAAACTAACTAACCAGCAAGAGCTATCTTCGAAACATGAAGATTTCCCTAAATACTTACAGTGGTGCCTCGCAAGACGAAATTAATCTGTTCCGTGAGTCTCTTCGTCTTGCGGTTTTTTCATCTTGCAGCTATACGGCTAGCGGCTAGCAGCTATTAGCGGCTCAGCGGCTATTAACGGCTTAGCGGCTTTAAGAAAAAGGAAACAAACTCGCAAGAACTCGCAAGACGTTTTGTCTTGCGAAGCAAGCCCATAGGGAAATTCGTCTTGCGGAACGACTCAAAAAACGCAAAACCCTTTCGTCTAGCGAGTTTTTCTTTTCTTTTTTTTAAATGATATTTATTGAAAACAATTTTTTTTTAAATTACACACAAAAAAAAGACAAGACAGAAAAATAAAAATAAAAAATAAAACCATCATTCTCAAATTCTCCCCTTTCAATACCTTCTTTCTTTGACCTCCTCCTCCTCCCTTTTCTTGTATCCTGATTAATAATAATCGCAGCAAATCCTTTCCATAATTCATAGTATTCTGTCATTACATTACCTTAATCTATTTTCATCTTATCTTATAGAAAACCTTAAAGTTTAAAACTTAAATCTTATTTTTACCAACTTCTCCTAACCATAACATTCTTACCAAATTCTTTAGACATTTTTACAAGAGCCAAGTAATTTCATTTCAACATTTTTCTAGCATTCATCAATTTTATAGAACAATCCTAATGATAATAATAAAAAAGAAATAAACAATCCAATCTTCATCCAGCGTCCCTTCCTCCTGGTCCCGGGTTTTGTCAGTCCTTTTTATCCTATTAATCTAGCACATTAACCTGGTAATCTTATATCCGAGGCCCTCAAGTCTCTTCCATGTCCCTTCCGCAGCTCTTCTTCATATTTTCCTTTCATTCGTGGGAACTCCAGCTTGGTAATATTTTTGACCCTTTTCAACAAATCAGCCCCTTTTCCATAGTCCAGACTAGACTCCATGTGGTATTTAAAAACATGTTTCAGATTCCCTCCAAAATTGAGAGCCCCCACAGCTCCAAACATCTGACGGCCCATTGCCAGACTCGAAAAGTCCAAATCTCCCTGTATAGGGGGGTCTGTCCAACCCCCCATTTCCAAACCAAACCAAACTTTATCTTTCCAAGTCTGGTTTTTCCAAGTTCATTTGTCAAATCCAAAAATTTATGTTCCTGCTGGGCCGCAGCTCCCTCCGTCTCTGGCGCCCAAGATTCAGCAGCATCCTCTTCTCTCAGCTGTTCTGTCATGGCACACTCCTGTTTTAGCTCCTGGGTGGGCTCCATATAATTTCCCACTACCTGTTCAAAGGTTCTGGCCGCATTAGTCATCAAATCCGTCTTCTGGCTTAACTGATCCAATAGGGCATTTATTTTGCAGAGAGCACCCAACAGTGCTTCTGAAGACATTGTCCTGCAAGGTCACAAATCCTTTCCCACGGTTGTAATCTGTGGCAGCTGCAAGCTCCCAGGAATTAGTTACAATTTCACAGTCCCCCTCTAGGGGGAAATCTTCTGATTGTTCTTTCTTTTAAAAACAATAGCAACAAAGTTTCTTTTTTAGGTATTTTGTCCATATTTGTTCTTTTTAAAATGCGAAAGGAAACAATGGAATCACTATGTTTCTCTTCTTTTAACTATCTGTCAAAGACATTTGTTTCTGGTCAATGAGCTTCAAACGTCAATTCTGACACCCCGCTCCAGGATCAGGACGGTGGAAAATTACTTTGCTTTAAACTCACTTCTGCAGGTTTAAACAGCCCAAAAAAGATCCCCCTTCTTCTCCTGCTGCCGAAGGGGGGTTCAGCGATTTTAAATGATGAAAACCAATCCTTTGAAAGTGATTTTTAAAGCTCTAGTTTATGTTGTCTTTGCTTTATTCTGGCTACAAGGAAACGGAAGGCTGACTTCCTGTTTAGACCTTACCGTTTCAGTACCAAATTAAGGTAAATTTTAAAGTCCAAATTCCTTTCTATTTCGCCAGTTCTTATTTAAAGTCCAAATGTTCAATGTTCCAGTACTCACGGGTGGTTATTTTAGATGCCAAATTGTCTCAGGAAAAAGGCAGCGCTCTCTGGCAACGGCTATGCGGCTTCGCTCCGCAGAAAAAGCAATTGACTCACAGCACCGCGCCACTTCCCCCTCTTCGCTCGGAGCCCGTTAGTGGGTTCCTTTGCGGGTTGGGGGGGCGCTAAGGGTGCCCGCCGAGTCCCACGGTCACAGGTTTCATCCGCCTGTGATTTCCAGAAGGGTCCCCGCTTCGCCGCAGCGGAAAAGACCCGTTTCATGCGGAGCTGGTCCCTCCAGTTCAGAGGGAGTCCGCCATTACCGATGGCGCCACCCCGGAAGTCCAGTCTAGCGAGTTTTTCGTCTTGCGAGGCATTCGTCTTGCGGGGCACCACTGTATTGACATAGAAAGTGTGAATTTTTCAAGCCTAGTCTTCCTTATGCCCAAGGTAGCCTAGGTGCTGAGGGTTGAGTCCTCCAAACGCATCTTCAGCTCTTTTCATTCAGATGAGAATACACAGCATCACCCAACCATCCATCTAGTTGTGTGTGAGAAGTTTTAAAGCGATAATTTATCTGCCGCACATGTATGCTGCCCTTCCAAGGTGCTCCGTATGGATGCTAACCTCAGGGCTCCTCCAGACAACCTATTTATTGAGCATTCATCCTCATTTACTTGCACAATTTAACCTTATGCAGAGGTTAGTTTATGTGTGGTCTTTACTGAGCATATGTTCTGATTTGCTTGTAGGGTGTTCATACACCTTTCCATTAGCCATTCGTGCCAGTGCATTTCCTCTTCGCTTTCTTAATCACAAAAATCCATTTAAAAAAAGGGATTTGTTGCACTATGGTGACAGAGCACTCTAATCCACTTTAATTGGTATGCACTTGAATCCCTCCTGCAAAATACAGCCTGGAGTTGCCCTCACAGTCCCTGCCCTTTGTACTGTAGGTTAGGTAGGCAGAGAGAAAGTGATTTGCCTAGGGTTACTCAATGAGCTTGGGACTGAGCCAGCTTTTGAATCCTAGACTTTCCATATTCAATCCTGACAGTAGCCAGATAACCACACGGCTCCTGTTAAGCTAAGACAGTTTGCTATGACAATAGGCTAAGAAACCCCTGTGAATGATGTATGCAGACTGATTGCTGGATTTCTTCAATCAGAATAGTGATGAGAACTAAGTACGGAATTGGCTTCTAAAATGCCCTGAAGATTTTTCAAGGAGAACAGATCTGTCATTGGCCATATATACCCCTTATGAAATACATAACGCTACCAGAAATTGGGAGGGACTCTGTTCTATTTGCACCAGTAAGTCCTTCCTCTTCCGCATCTAGAGGGGGTGGTTCTTGGAAATGAGTTGCTCATTGTTGTGACTCAGTTCTAATGACGCGCTTGGCCAACAGCCCCTGATAGAAAACATTGTTCCCTTCATTTAAGCCTTTAATTATGTAGTCATTACACTGCTCTTGGCGCAGAGCTGAGATACGCAAAACACGCATTCGGTTATGTGGTCTGCGTGAAAGGATCTAGGAACCCTCATAGGCATGGATGGAATCCCTGGTGGTGTGGTTCAGATGTGTGTTTGGAATAGAGCCAAATTTCTGCATCAACTTACTATAGTGGATGTCTTGCATTAACTCTACAGTTCAGTCTGTACACTTGATCTGTGTAGGTGTTCTTGTACCTGCTCAGTCTATACTTGCAAGTACAGAATGAATTTGGGGCGGCAGCACTGTTTTCACAAGGTACAAGCATACATTTGGCTCTAGATGACTAGTTTTTAAAAGGATGGTCAATGGAAGCATCTTGGAACCAAAGCTTGACTGCACATCTCTAGGAATGTCCTGTGCAACCTGAGGGATGGAGGTGCCATGGCAGCAGTGGGGCAGTGAATGCAAGTTATATTTGGAATTATAAAAGGCAAACGCCCTATAACAAAAGTGAACTCAAACAATACCAGAATGAAATTAGGTTGCTTGTACTGCAAATACTGGAAACTGCTTTCTCCCCCACAGATGTGTGTGTTCGCAAGTGCTTTTCACTGCAGTTTTTTCAATTCTTCTGTGACAAATTAGTATCTTCTTGAGATAGGGTGAAAATAGCACAGTATTCAAGTTAGGTTGACACCCCGAATATATGTGGTTGTGATATTTTTGGTTTTATTTTTATGTTTCCCCTAACAGTTCCTGACATTGTCTCTTTGATGACTGTTCAGTACATCAAGCTGATATTTTCTCAGTGAGCTGTGTTATCTGTAAGGATTATCAGATGTCTTTTCTGCATACTTCATTTTTCTAGAATCCCAACACTTGTGCTTCTCAACCTTGAATTTGATTGCATTGTTTCTTATGAGGCATTTTATGAGATCTGTGTGTAAGTCTGTTGCAGCATTTTATGAGCTTAATTGTGCTAAATCAAACTGATTGTCTCCGGTTGTGCAGACTTCCTCTCCATCCCCTTTTCCAGTTAATCAATGGGTAAACTGTGAGACACCCTGCAGTTTGCCTTTTCTACGTGGTGAAAAATCCCATTCATCTCAAGGCTCATTCTTCTTTTAACCTGATCTATGAATGAACTAGTTTCTCTTATCCTATGAGTCATGACAAGGGGATCTAGATACCTGAATGACTTTTTCTGCTTTGAGCTGCAGAATATATAATTTTAAATAGGTTTCAGTGACTTTTTGGAATTCAAAGCTGTTGTTTTTCAAAGCATGATTTAATTAAGCTTTTCAAAATCCAGTTGATAATGATAGGTTAAGCAAGTGCCGTTCCTGAAATCAAGGAAATTTTAAAGTACTTAATTTTGGCTGGGTTTAGTTTTAAGGTTCTTGTCCTCTTTGTTTACATATCCATTAGCTTCCCTTAGCTCCCATCTAAAAAGGAGTTTGTATAATGTGGAAACATTTTTATTCCACATAGCTCCTGAATATGTTTAGCATGTGTTTGTTTATTTTTCCTGAAGCCAACAGTTTAGTTTTATTTTATTTGGTAAGAGAGCTAGGATTGTGACAGTTATCTGATTTTCTTTTAATGACCAAATTTTACGCTGTGAAGAGCAAAATGAATCACTACCATTAACGCTGAGTTGTTACAAACAAGATAGTATTGAGATAATAAAAGGCCCTAAGAGAGCAACAGAAACCGAATGACAGCTTCCCAAACTCATTAGGCTGATTATGGTGCGTTTCCTCTCCATACATTATTCCTAAGGCGCTAGCATTTAAAAGTGTGTAAACATTATGATGTCTCTTTTAATCCACAGAAATGCATGTGCCTAAGTGGTGAAAGTACGTTTTGAGGTTTTACTGAACTTCTTTGCAGCAGAATAGAAAACACATTTCTATAAAACACTTTAAAGTGATGTTTTCATACGTGGGCCTTGAATCATCATTCAAATGAAATAATGCTGGAAATAGTTATTCTTTCTGACTGTTTCAGCTCTGTTTCAATTGCAGGCATAGCTGACTCTTATAAATTAAACCGAGAAAAGATTTGAGAAGGAATTCAAGTCTCACTGTTTTGACACCAGAGTGGTGGATGGGACAGCTATAGCTTCTCTTCCTATATATTTTTCTTGGACACCTTGCAAGACACATGAATTGCTGCACATGCCCCATCTACTTCCCCCCCCTTGCTCTTCTGACGCTCTTATTCTCTCCTCCTCTTCTGAAATCTTATTCTTTGATACTGTTTGCACAGAGGGATGGGGGAAATCAGTCAGGACTGAGGCTAGTGTAAAGATTGATTGTGGATATCCACTCCTATATGAAACAAGACTCAAGATTGATTGTCCTCCTTTTCAGTAATTGTATATTTAGCAAAGGAATGATCGTACCAGTCCTTGACATCTGTGCAGTTGCTTGCTAATTTTACAGACTCCTCTCCATATGAAGTAGTCTGCTAGCTCCAGAGTCCATCACTCCTGTGGGCAAGGTAATGTGTGTATATGAACCAGCATGGCCTGGCTTAAAAACATCCCCCTTCCACAATCACAAGTTGCTCACCTGTGCTTAGGCAGAGCTGGTCTATATGTACTTTGTGATAAGTCCTTGTCTCCTAGTGTTTAGTCATGCCTGTGTCCACCAGCAGGTAACTCATTCCTCCTAAGAAGTCTGGATTCCTGCCTAGCTAGTGCTGCTCTTGTCAGAGCATCCCCCGTTACCATGGAAGCCCATTCTTCTCAGATGACATGTGCCATGGTCCTTTACAGCTGGGAGAAAATGTCTGTGCATTTGATCTTCTGCCCTGCCCTGTGGTGCATGGAACCCAAGAGTGCTGGGGAAGCAAGCAGCACTGGTGGGGCCCAGGAAACCGCTTCACTTTCTGCTCTTTGCACTGTGAGAGAACTTTGCAACCGAGGAGAACAAATCTCCCTAAAAGGGCCTCACTTCATTGGGAAATGCAGGCAGTGATAAGAGGAGCTAGTGGGGGATGTGTTGAAGTTGGGCTGACACAAGTTGTTTTGGGAGTAGTCCTCTGAGAGACACATGTGGCAGGGTACAATTTATGGGCCCCAAAAATCAATAGGTTGTGTGTGTGTGTGTAGTGGGGTAGAGAGTGGCAGCAACTTTAGCTCTTTCTAAATCACCTTTCTGGGCCAAGTTCATGACACCATAGTCCAGAGTTTCCCATCATGAGCATTTGTTGATAAGATCTGAGCATCCCATGCCAGGAATAGGAAGGAATGTCTGCCAGCACCTCCTGTGTTGTGTGGGTGGGGTCTCTGCCTGCTCCCTAGGCTCTAGGATCTGGACCGTGAAATTGACCCCGATGGGGCTCTTACATAAGTTTCTGTCTGCGCTTGGAGACTAAGTGGCTGTCAGAGGCACAGCATCGCCCACACGACAGACAGGAGTGCCTAGGGTGCTGTGCTCTCTGGGCTGTAATTTATCCTGCCAACTCTACTCAGTGTGCCAATAGAGACACAGCTTTCTGCATTTGGGCACAGTTACATAGGGTGGGAGATAAGGACGGTGTGTGCCAACCATGCATTATTGCTGCCAGGAGTCCAAGGCCTGCCTAGGATTCGTATCTGTGAAGGTCGAAAGTCAGTCTCCCTGGACTCTTCATGACGATGGTACAGCCAGCCCCCTTGGCTATGGGCTGGCCCTATGGTGCTTACCTACAACATCTGAGTCCACATCTGAGTCCACAAACATGCTACTGAAAGTTCTGCCATGGTGACATTGTCCTCCATCCCACATAGTCTTGGAACTGAGTCGGCAGGAGACACGTCATTATCAAGTATTTAATTGCTCGTCTTGGAATTTGAGCATTACAGAACCAGAGTGCAATTGCTCCCCTCTCTCCAATGTGGTGGGACATGGGTAGTGCTGTGGGTTAAACTACAGAGCCTAGGACTTGCCGATCAGAAGGTCGGCTCCCGTTGTTCGGTCCCTGCTCCTGCCAACCTAGCAGTTCGAAAGCACATCAAAGTGCAAGTAGATAAATAGGTACCGCTTCAGCGGGAAGGTAAACGGCATTTCCGTGCGCTGCTCTGGTTTGCCAGAAACGGCTTAGTCATGCTGGCCACATGACCCAGAAGCTGTATGCTGGCTCCCTCGGCCAGTAAAGCGAGATGAGCGCCACAACCCCAGAGTCGTCCACGACTGGACCTAACAGTTAGGGGTCCCTTTACCTTTACCTCCACTGTGGTGGTCACAGCAATCTCTCAGCCTCTTTGAAGGCAACAGCATTGTGGGCGCTCCCTTTCAGAGGACAGGCACGAGGCATCTTTCTTGGGCTTCACTTTTGAGATACTTTGACAACTGGGAAGAACGAGCCATCCATGCCATGCGCCTGACCCGCCACCAGCCATATTTACCTTTGCATCAAGTGCCTTTGTGCTCCGGCAATTTGCTTCAATTAGGCTCGTTATCTCAGTCAGAGGCACCCGGTGACGGCAGTGGCTTCCTTGCAGGGGGTGGGGGGAGACATCAGCTCAGTCTGTGCCCCTTGCTCACCACAGGCCTGTGAACAGATGGCTGAGGTGGTGGTTCTTGAGTCCATTCTCGTCTGCTCTTGGGTGTGAAGGTTGCAAGAGAGAGGAAAACAATAAACCAGGCAAATACTGCTGTTATGTTTCCAAAGACAACTTGCACTTCTGGTCACTGTGCTTGTATTCCATGTGCAGTGTGAGCTTATATGCAAGATAGCAACTCAATTTTTTTATTTCAACGGTTTGTATGACACTTGTATGCCCCACCATGTGTGAATCCCTTGCAAACAACTGCAGTGCTTGGAGACAGAAAGTTCATGTATCCAAGCGGTCATTTCTCCTCTAGATCACATCCTCTAGACTGCTGGGAAGAGCACAGAGAAAAGAAATGCCATGTTGCATCTGCAACCATTAAACCAGATTCCTTCATCTGCCCCAGCTGCAATAAAACATGTCTCTCCTATATCGGTCTCTACAGCCACAGCAGGCACTGTAACTTTCCAGCAGTTTGACTTTACGCCTGATAGTGCATTCTTCCATTGTCTCCCCAGACAGACGGATACCAGCAACTGTGTGCCGCTTCCTCACAGCCTTCTCTAAGCAGTTGTACAGGGGACCCAATAGCATAAGACTAAAAATGGGTTAAACCTTTAAAATCAGACCTCAATTAAAATGCTTGCTGGAATAAAAGAGAGCATTTGATAAGCTCTGCGAGTTCAGCATGTCTGAATTTTCAAAACAGCCATCACTGCCATCATTTGGAGCAGAAAGCATTTTTCTCCAGATTGCACAGATTGCCCTACTTTGCGGAATTTTGCGTCTCTTCTCCTGTTGCATGTTAACACGGAGTGAAGGCTCGGATTAAATGGTCACTTGGGCCTGCTGTGCCTTTCAGATTCTTGAGTCCTAAACAGAATGCGTGGGTACCCTGTGGCCATTGATGTTGGCTCTGGGACATGTTTACAGTCTGTTGGGTCTTAAGCCAATCAGGCCCCAGGTGTGACTGCGGTCTGGCTGAGGGCGCAGAGGGCACTGGATTGTGTTCCTTCCCAAATGAGGGAAGGAAAAGCTCTACATCTCACGGCTTGGGAACGAGGTGTTGTTTTGAATTAAAACCAGTGGGAGATGAAACGAGGAAGGCGTTCACTGGAGGGTCACAGGCATTATGAATGCCAAGCAAATAACTGGCTGTGTGCATGTACCCCCCTGTCAAACTGAAGAGGGTGTGCATGCGTAGCAGCGAGCGGAGTGTTAATTTGGCATATGCTTCCCTGTTTGGGGGGACATTTTGGGAGGTGGTGCACTGGGGGAGAGACAGGGAGACTAATCCCATGAACAAGGGGATTGTCCCGTTCCTAAAACTAGCTCAGGGAGACTTAGAAGTCACATGCTGCCAAAGCACCTTAGGCGGAGGCACAAAGGAACTGGAGAGAGTGTGTGACATAACTATGCTCTCCTGTTTGCGCACGTAGCACGGGGGTGGACGGGACACGACGACAAGTGCTATGTGTTTGTGAAAGATGTTACACAATTTACGTTTCTTCTGTAACCCGTCCAGCAGGCATCCAAAGTGAGCACAATGGGTGCGTCATCATCCCACGTCAGGAAAAGGGCCGTGCACTTTCTCAAGTGTGGTGCTTTGCAGAAATGACGCCACTAGTGGATTATTGAGTACATCATTGGCCATGTGTGTTCAGTACCTGGTTCAGGACATGACTGGGCAGGGCTGCAGAGCTGAGCAGTCAGTATGATTTCAGTGATCTAATATCACAGGTATGGGAAACCTGTGGGCCTCAAGATGTTTTTTGACTCTTAACTCCCATCAGCTCTGGCTGGGATGGTCAATGATCAGGGAGGATCATGTAGTCCTGCAATATCTGGAGCGTCACAGGTTCCTTCCTAACAGAAAAGGATCTGGGATGTGCTGCAAGTTCATTTTCAAGCTTACCTGCTCTCTCTTCTTCCTCAGTAGGATCTCTTTGTCCCATCTTCAAGTTTTGTCTGCTGTTACTATCTCAAATAATGCTTTGTGAATCAAATTACATGTCAAGATGAATGCTTTTTTTCAGGCTTGTATAAGCATTCAAACTGTTTCCACAGATGTCTGTAAGAATCCACAATGAGCAGTAACCTTGCCCCAGGCCCTTTCAGTTGGCATTCAGGCCTTATTCCAGGTCAGATAATGTGAACAGTATTTAATCTTAAAAATACACCTTGGCAGCTTTAGGGGGACCTTTCTTAGATCAACCTGTTACAATTCTGCACTGCCTGAACTTTATTCCAGCTCATTCTATGTGTACATGTCTCCCTCCACCAGAAGTAAAGAGAACAAGGCCTTCACAATGAAAATGCTACTCCTGCCGATATTTTCCGTGTGATGACCACCTGTGATGGAGACCCCCTGAGCAGTCCTATTGGACTTAGCAGTTGGAGCAAGGGCTAAAAAAAATACTTGCTCAAGGCCAGACAATTGCTACGCAGCAGAAAATAATGAAAATTACATTTCTGGTTTATAGTCGATTCCCATTCACAAGAAAGCTGCAGAGGCAGAAAGAAAGCAATCTGTCTAAGACCAGACAACAAGTCCATGGCTAGAAAGCATTCTCTGCCCACAGAGGGAATCCACACCATAGTATACGGGCAGACCTGTGATGGGATGGAAGAGGAAGAAACCAGGCTGGAAGCAGGTAAGGAATGGAGAGAAATCTGCTCTCTGCCCCACCGGACCACCTGCCTCCTGAAGCCTGCCACAGCTGAAGGTCATTGTTTCCTGCCAGTGCTTAGACTGGCTACAAATGGGAATGGGCAAGAGGGAGGTAACAGGAAGCTGATGGCCTCCGACTGCTCTGATGATTTCCTAACATGCCTGCACTGAAGACTTCTTCCATACAGCAGCTGGTGTCCTGCTATGGCACATCACTAAGATGCGTATGCATGGAGTTATTATGTGGCTGTTCATGTTCAGAAGCCACATTTGTGCATGCGTGCACATGTGAATGTACATATGCTGAAAACCTTTTTTAAAAAAGAAGCTTTTTTTGGACAGCGTGGAATGCAGTGTTCTTAAAGAAGAACATACCAATAGTTGCTGCTTGGAGATTTTGGAATCAGAGGGTGCTAGTGAAACACTTTTGTAAAGGGACTTGGGGACTGGATGGGACATCACACAGGGGTAGGAGTTGGCAATTACCTGTTTCTTGCAGTGGTTCTAATTTAAAGCTGCTGCGTGGCCTCCCTGGAAAGGTTAGTACTTCTGAAGGACAAGGCTGGTGCAGGACACCTGTTCCTGTCCATGCTGGTGAATGAAAGGCAGTCCAGGCCCCAGCAAGGATAAACATCTCAGTGCATCAGGAGGCACCGTCTAAGTTGCCAGGACATACAGCACAATTTATTGGGTCCTTCAATCACCCAAACATTGGCACTGACAGGCAGACATACGCAGACACAGAAGTGGCCCTCAGAGCTTGTATTGCCCACACAAGTAGATTTACAGAGTCACCCAGCACAGAAGGCGCAAGCATGCCCACAGTGCGGATGCAATGGTACAGCCACGTACAAAGTCAATGACCCAAGCGAGCCGTGTCACTTCTGCATAGATATATATACTGAATGGTAGTACTGATTTCCTTCCAAACTCTGCAGGCAATGCTTTCTGCACGGCTCCAAAATATCTCTTTAAGTGGTATGCCATCCCATGTGCCCTGAAGGCAAAGACGTCTCTGTTCCAGAGACGACATTTTCATATGTGCGAAAGTGGATCTGCAAAGTTTGTACTCGGAGAGCCCAAGTTTTGCAACCACTAAATTTGGCCTTTTGCAAATGGGACACTTCGCATAGGACAATTATACATACATTTGCATGTTTTGCTGCACAATTTGTTTGGGGAAAATGAAAGAAACATATGATAGCCTCTAGATATATCCTTCCCTGTGACTGATTTTAAAAAAAAATTGCACAGACCCTGTGTGTGTGTGTGTGTGTGTGTGTGTGTGTGCATTTAGCAGATAGTGCTTGTTCTCTGTAATTTATGAGGACTAGAAACTTGGTTGTTGGATTTTGGTGGTTGTTTTTTTAAAAAGAGGAAATCAGAGATTCTTAAGGAGTCTGATCAGTGCTGATTCTGGCACAATCATAAATGTGCAGGCTTTCAAAGTTTCCTAACAATGGTACAGAATCTCTTCCCACTACAAAGCTTGTTTGGCATTGTCACCTCTGTCAGGATGCCCTGTGGCTGGGCTGTCCCCTGGATCTCACGTCCCGGAGCATTCGGCATGCGGACAGGCAAGGCAGCTCGTCTTGCTGGGTCTCTCGTAAGCATGTCTCCAGCACGGAAAAGGAATTTGCACCATCTAGTCAGCGCCGAGCTGCTTGGCAGAGGGCACACTTTCCAGTCATGTGTCCCACAGCCTCATGGGCTGCCAGCTGCCCTCTTTGCTCTGCAGGACGGCTGCCTCAGGGGGCAAAGAGTGAGACAGACCCCATCAGCCAGGGGCAGACGGGCAAGTCAGCTTCAGAGGTTGCTCTCGGCTGTGTCAGGGAACTCGTAGCAATGGGGCTGCTCGGCCACTGCCAAGTTTTCACTGGCACTGCATGCTGTCCTTTCCAGGTACTGAGTGCTGGTGTGCATGGTGGCTTGGCTGCGGCCCAGCCCATTGAGGTAGTTGCCAACCAGCTTGTGCTTCTCGCCGGTCCTGGTACCCCCGTTGCGGACATGGGGTGTGTGGCTGTACGTGTGCTTGTATTCCTCTTCTATGTCCCAGCCAAGCTTCCAGCGCGTCCATTTCTTCATGAGCTCTGACTGCACCTATGGAGATAGAAACATTTGCGGGGAGGATGTGTTATTTACTGGTTTGAGGTTGTATTTTTAAATATTATTATCCGCTGTAGGCTGCTTTGCCACAAATGGCAGGATTATAAACCTTTATAAATAAACTCTGTATTAATCTCATGCATATGAGAAATACAGCCAGTTTAAGGGCTCACAACTGCAAGTTACATACAAACGTGTATTTGAACATGTGTGCTTCATGTAGTGAAAAGCAACCTCAGAAGGGAAAATTTTTCAAGGAGAAGGGTGCCTAAAATGTTTCCCACTGCCATTTTTACCACATCTCCCCCTGCACATGACACCCTCAAATTCCAAAATTAGCAGTGCAGACTAGACTTTTGCCGAGAAGATCTGACATATTGGAGATGGGAGGATGCGGTGGAAAAGCATCAGACAGAGAAAGGGCTAAGCACCACCTCTCTTACTGCTCTGTCCACTGAAAATTGCACATGCCCCTTTCTGAAACCATGTGCAGCTGGTTGGTTGCAACAGAAATGGGTACAGAAAGAAGCAAACACAACCAACAACACTTGCAGATTCCGTTGTACTTGTAACAACAGCTCCGCCCTGGTTGTGTTCTGCTTACACAGTTCCAGTTACATGGGCGACAGACACACACGGATGAGGAGCTTTGACTGCATCTGCCTTCTTACCACTTGAATTAAGCTGGGTGGGTCACTCATCTCTGACAGTATTTCAAAAGACATTGCATCTTGCTCCAGCTGTGCCTCCAATACCACTCAGATAATACAGGTGGAAATCATCCTTGCTGCCATACATTCCTACCTGTGCAGCAGCTTGCATGTCCTGTATCTCCCTCCTCCACCACACCCCCACCCCAGTTTAGAGCACACTTACCTCCTTATTCACAAAGCAGTAAAGAATGGCCACCAGCATTCCCTAAAGAGGCAGAGAAGTCAATCAGAATAATGCCATTTACTGTATTTTTCCATGTATGACGCCCCCTATTTTGGGGGACTCAAATTTAAGAAGATGGGGGGAGATGGCTCAGACATCTTGAGCTTTTTGGGGGGAGGATTGCGCTTTGGGGGGGATTGCACAGGGTTGTTGAGCTCATCTGTCCCCTCACTGGCAGAAGTTGCCTATCGCCTGTCCTATTGCCCCAGCTTCAGCCAATCAACACCAGCCATTGACACAGCAACCAATAACACATCCAACAGCTGTGGACAGACACGGCAGCAGCTAATCAAACGTCTGCCCTATGCACTATCCATGTATAAGAAACTCCCACTTTTTAGCATAATTTTTATAGGAAAAAAACCTAGTCTTATACACAGAAACGTACATTAAATAATAATTGCAACCAGAAAGGCTTGTCTCTCTATAGTTTTTGAATGGGCCTGAGCAAAGAATGGGCTTCTGGTGTGCCTCACCTGGAAGGAGCTGAGGAAGAGGTCAAAGAAGAGCTTGACGTAGCGCAGCGTGCCCTCGGCATGCTCATCCGTGACAAAGGCGAAAACCACCTCGTGGATTCCCAGCAACGGGATGAGCGTCAGTGTTGACTTGGCCAGCCTAAATGGGGCATCAGCTAATTAGAATGCATCACAAGCAAAAGGCAGCAGCATCCCACAGTATTCAGCCCGAACCCCGTATGAACCACCTACCTGGTGGAGGAACGAATGGGCTTATGAATGACAAGAAAAGAAACCTGCTAGACTCGTATCGAAGGCCACTTTAAAAAGTCAGTGTACCCATCCCCCAAACCCATGGACGTGTGGAAGGGATACCCCTAACCTACAAAGGCTGTGATGCCATGGGCAATGATGGCGTAAACAGGATGATAATAGAACCTTCCCATTCCGGGAAAAGCTATGGCACTGTAGAGCAGGGAAGGGTGGGAGCAGGAGCCAGTACCGGAATTTGTAGTCTGTGTAGCGCATCTGGTGGGCACGGAGCTTAGAGACCAATATCTGAATGATACGGATGAAAATGAAGAAGTTGATCTGAAAGTGAGAGAGTGTGTCTGAGTGGGAAGAAGAGGCAGGACTGCAGGAGAGTCAAAAGACACGCATAGCAAATAAGGGTCTAATTTTAGCCACGATTACTACTGTTATTAATTCTGGACCCATCATAAGCTCTCAGTGGCTTGCACAGGTCTCCCCAAAGTGCCCCATCCAGGCTGTGACCATGTCTATGCATCACTGGGGCTATAGGATTAGACGTTTGCAGAACAGTTACTGGATCACTGGTACATATGCTTGCTAATAACATTTTGTGATTTGAGCACTTAGGGAAAGTGCTGTCTATAATATACATACTAAATTATTGTTGTTGGTAACATGGACAACAGGGGTGGCTTATCTTAGGCTTGGAGGCTAAATTGGGTCCCCAAAGAAATGTTTTCTCACCCCACCCCAGCAGTATTTTGACAGCACAAAAAACAGCAGTTAATTAGTTGACACAGTGCTGGTTTAAGCCTCTTTGTCCTGCTCAGCACCTTGATGGTGATGCTGTGTGCCCTCTCCCCTGGCATTAACTTCATCATTTTATGGACGGTGAGGCGGTTGATAATTCCCTCAGCTGATCTGCATCCATCAGTTAAGGAAGTGGGCTGTGTGCCTCTGTGTGCATACCCCCAACGTGGCTAATGTGGTTTTCAGGCCAAAATTGGTTCACAACCTACCCCTGGCCTGACAAGGTGCATCACATTGTGGCCCTTAGACATTTTATTACTTGGAGGTTGCCCTACTCATTTTTCAGGAACACCAAATAAGAAGGCTGGAGGCAGGAAAATGATTGTTCCCTCTCTGCATTTTGCTAGACAAGGGCAGCCATTGTGGGCGGTTCAGTGGGCATCTGAGACAAGCGAGGAATAAAGAGAACTCACCAAGATGGCCAGGAACACAGGGAAACGCAGGATCCACCAGAACCCCATGTTATGATTGGTACTCCAGCATCTCAGGAAAGAAAGAAAGAAAGAAACCATGGATCGTGTGCAACAAGTGTGACCTGGCACACTGTCCTCTTCCTTGCAGCACCTCCCACCCCCACTGCTCACACTTAGTACAATGTGGCCTGCTCACACCCATAGCCCTCATAGGAATGTCACCTGTTAAGTTGCCTGGCAATGACAGAAGCATTGCAGATAACCTACAAGCAGTCTGCACAGCAGAGACACACATTGTCCTGGAACTTACTGAATATTTTCATAAAGAAATTTCACCACTACCCATGGCACAATGAAGAGTACTGGGGCCCCTGGAAGAAAGAGAGAGAGAGAGAGAGAGAGAGAGAGAGAGAGGATTTATTTATTTATTTTTTAAAAAAGGAACGGCCTCTGTCTGGCAGGACAGAGGAATTTAACCTGAGAAGAGTTTCTGCGCTAGATTCATCCTGACTCAAGATCTGCCAGTGGCTCATTAAACGCAACCAGGAGGTGCAGGGAGTCGAGGGATCCTCAAATCTTGGGAGTATCACTGTAGTCAGTTTTCTTGGAGTTATACATTCTCTAGGTGAAGAGGCCAATCTAAGTTGAAAGATCTTGTCTCCCAGCCCAGGCTCCATGAACATAGAGACAATCCAACCTGGCCTGGTTGCCACATATACATTTGCCAAATGGCACGTGTGGTTTAGGCATGGCTTCACCGGAAAGAGACAAAACCTCAGATTTCCAGGCAAGACCTGGATGTTTCTAGATTGCAGAGGGGCTTCCTTCCCCCCACTGCATTGTGCCCTCCTCCCAAACCTGCTCCAGGTCCCTCTCCCAATCTCCAGAGTAGGCTTGCAGGCAGTGGCAGGGGTGTGAAGAGGGAGGAGAGGGAAGGGAAATCCCATTGTGTTTGCGGGAGCCATTCTGCTCATGAAATGACTTCGTTGGATACAACTGTGTCTGTATAATTGCTTAGTAGGAAGCAGCTAGCAAGAGGCACAAATGGCATTGTTACGGGAGAGTTTACTGCAGACTCAGTGATGTTCGTGTCGACCAAGTTTTGGGCAGTGACCACATGACATCAAAACGCCATCCCATATGATATAGTATACCTTTTTTCCTTTTATGTTGTTCAAAATAACAACAACAACAACAACAACAACACCCAATATCAGCATTGTGTGGGCACCGTGCAAAGCTTGCATGCATGTGTAGCACTGAGATCACAATAGACTGCCATGTGGAAGCACCATCGGACACATTCAAAACAGAATGTGGAAAAGTATATTTATTTATTAAATTTATATCCTACCCTTCCTCCCAAAGGAGCCCAGTTTATGGATTAAACCTGCTTTTAAGATAGATAGGATAAGATGCAGGCAGCCAAAGTGGTGTCCTCAAAATTTATTTGGACTACAACTTCCATAATCCCTGATCATTCACCCTGCTGGTTGGGGCTAATGGGAGCTGAAGTCTGAGGACATCTGGAGGGCACTAGGTTGACTACCCGAGGGATAAGATGCAAGAGTTGGCATCAGAAGTCCCATGCAGGCAGTAGCTCTTTAGCAATTAGGCAGTGGTATGATAAGAACCACTTGTTAGCCAGAGTGTAAATATCTCTCACCCACTGTTGTCTCTGGTCAAATAGATGCTATCGGGTTGTTGCTGCTGCTGCTGCTACTGTTGCAATGTCTCAAAAATCTACTTGATCCACACACGAAAACAAAGATCACCACAGCCAATCACAAGCAAACAATCACACCCTAGGCCAACCCCAACCTCTCTCACCACCAAAGGAACACAAGTGAACAACACAAGCAACGCTGACACCAAACTCTACATACATTAAACATAATAGAAACACCGCCACCCGACCCCACCCCCATCCATCTTCCCTCTCTCCACCCCCCCTTTCTTTTTTCCTTTTTTTCTTTCTCCCCCTAATGCCTCAACAAATGAAACGGATTTCTAAAAATGTTACATGGAAAAAAAATATATGAGGCATTACACTTACTTCTGTAAAACAAGAAAATCCTTAATAATTTTTTTTTTTTTTAATCTACTTGATCTGAGACCATAGTGGGGGTAAGAGGGTGGGTGATCATTTTTACTGAAAACATCAACAACAGAATGCCCTCAAAAACTACAATCTCTACATGGCCTTAGCTGCAGTACAATGTGCTGTTCCATGTAGAGCTGATTGCCCTTTGGGGCAAACATTACTAGTCATGAGGGATGGATGACTACTGCGGAGAACAGCACTGTCTCCTTCCCATGTCTCCCCAGTAATGTTTACTGAAAGAAGACAGATGAGACGGTGTCGTACCCAAAATGTCCCCCCCCCTTGCTGTAAGGAGCAGCCAATCAAGTGCAGGAGGTGGGGCTTGGCATGCTTCTGTTTCTGTTATTTCTGATATGAGCTCACCTGATCGGTGCCTCCCAGGCCTATGTGTGGATCTGAACTTAGTTAGCTGACGTCTTTCACACTTCCCAAATGTTCCAGCACAGTTCTTGCCTCAAAATACGTGTCCAAATGTGTTTAGGAATTGGTCTTTTGAAGGGGGAAACATTTAGAAATATGTATTTTGAGACAAGAGGTGTTTGGAAATGCATCTTTTGAAAGAATGTTAAGTTCAGATACATGTTTACGTGTTGAATAGGGGCTGCTGCTCCTATGCCCCACCCACCCCCTGGCTGATCCCCTCACAGTTTTCCTTCCTTCACAGCTTGCCCCAAACCCCTGCCCCACCTAACAGCTCCACCTCCTGCTTATCCCACACCCCTCCTTTCCCCCCTCACAGCTCACCCCAACCCCACCTTTTAAAGTAAGAAAGTCTGAGGCACTTCAGAGAGCTGTTTTCTGAAGCCCCTGCCCCCTGTTAAACCTTGCTGTAGCCATGTTTAACAGAGCGGGACAGATGTTTCAGAGAGCGGTTTGTCAAACCTCTCTGTGGACCACTTCTTCCCTTCTGTTCAACACCTTGCCTGGGCCGCTTTCCACCCACGCTGCTTACTTGCCAAATGGCCTGCTTGCCCACTTACCTGCATGCTGTTATGCTGGAGTTGGCCTGGCTGCCATGTGAACTCCAGCGTGACAGCAGCCTTATGCTTCTATTTGTATGGGAAGAAATGTGAATTGTCACGTGGAATTATTATGTTTTAAAATTGCAGCTTAATGTGTTCTTGCAGAATGCCTGCAAAAGTGACACAGGCTGCAAACAGACTGATTCACTCATCCCTAGGGTTGGCAAACTCTGAGAATGATGACATCACATCCATCTATCTTTTACTGGATGTTTACCAGGAAAACCGAGAGAGAATATGCTGTTGCTCTTCTCAATTGCAGCCCATGCATCATTCATAACACGTCTTGCTTGCCCTTTAGTCTCTCACGCTCAGAAAGAAAGAAGGCAGCTATTTAGTAGGTAGCTGGTAGTCACAAGGGTCAAATCTGACATTCAAGCAGGCATATCTTGATTTTCTCTTTTTAGAGGAAATAAATAGTAAGGTAGGGATGCTCAATGCTGGCTTCACCAGAACCTCACAATTCCTAGCTAATCTGAAACTATTGCAAAGTCTGAACATGCAAGATTTTAATAGACAAAAAATTACTCAGGAAGGCTCTAGATAAAGGAGCACTTGGGACTTTATAATCTAATTCTTGCCATTTAAAGACAGTGATTGCAGAAAGCCATTGATCAAGCAACATGCTCATTCAATGGCATATCTAGGCCTTTCACCCACAGGAGGGCTTGTGGAGGCTATCATTCTTCCAAAGTTCTTTTTTTAAATGTACAGAAAAGTAAAGCAAAGGCACCTCTGTTACTTAGAGGAATAAACTCTGGGTAAAATGGCACTGTGTTGGTCAAGCAATGAGGCATTATCTGCCTTGGACTCAGAGTTTCTGTGAGCACAACTCAATTCACAGGAAACTCCTGCTGGAGGCAGGGGGCAGGTGATGTTTGCCAGTTCCTCTTTCCCTCTGAAGCCCCCCTGCGCACTCTGAACAACTGAAGGCGTAGGGGATCCTCTAAAACAGTGAGAGGGGGAAGAGAAGGGGTGAAATAGGCAAAAATGACCCTTTCCCCCTTCCTCCAGTGGGAGCTTCTGATGGATCTCAGTCCCTTCCACAAACATTAAGAGTCCTTCAGTCCACTGAAATGACACTCTGGGCCCCACCACTGTGCTGCTGCCAGCCCTGCCGGGGCTTTGTCTGTACCACTGCCACAGACCACTGCCACTGTGCCCTCATTGCTGCAGCCTCACTGCTGCCACTGCATCATGGCAGCATTGCAGGTGCAGGTGCTGTCAGAGATGGATTTAGGACAGCGTGACTGGTTCCACCATACTGGGTGCTTAGCCTAGGGGATGCAGCAGGGCTTGCAACTACAGTGGTAGCTCGGGTTACAGACGCTTCAGGTTACAGACTCCGCTAACCCAGAAATAGTACCTCGGGTTAAGAACTTTGCTTCAGGATGAGAACAGAAATCGTGCAGCAGCGGCACAGTGGCAGAGGGAGGCCCCATTAGCTAAAGTGGTGCTTCAGGTTAAGAACAGACCTCCAGAACGAATTAAGTTCTTAACCCGAGGTACCACTGTATAACATGGTAAACTGAGCAGCAAGAGAAGGGGGTGTGTGATGAATTTTGGCCTCATACAGAGCGCCACTGAAATTTGAAAGACCCAAGTCCAGCCCTGCTGTAGTGGTGGGGCTGGCTGCAGTGCACGTATGGCAGGGGGCAGGGCCCCCCGGATCTGCAGAGGGGGTGTCATCATGGAGGTAGGGGTGTTGCTGGGGTGATTTGCCTACAGCGGCAAATGTCACAGGACAGCCTGCTCTGGATCCAACACTGACCATTGTCACCATCATTACCTTCTGTGTCACACTCTCCCCATCCCATAACTCTGAGACAAGGTCATATGCCCCGTCCCCATAACATAAAGGTGGGAATCCTGGCCTTATCTCCCCTACCCCCCACAAGCCAAATTTCTTTGAAGTGCTATTAATCAGCAGACGTGAAGTCACCGCCCATCAGCACATCCCCTGGTCAAGCCGCATCTCTGCCTGCCCCACACCTGACGTCTTTCGAGGGAAACCATTTTGGCTCATATGGACTGGAGCTTCCCCACCTCTGCCATAATAAACAGTGCAGATTAGTGCAATCTCCAGCCACAGTGCTTCTCCTTCCCTGCCACCCTCAGTGACTCTCGCCCTGCTGTTTCTGCTCCAGCGAAGGTGCCTCTGACACTCAGTCACTCGTCCTTTCCAGGGCCTTGGCAACCCTGCATATACTCACCCCAGCCGATGCAGAGGTAGAGGCTGAAGTAGCTGCGCTCGGAGAAGACGGCCAACACCAGCAAGTTGTGCAGGTAGAGCCCCTCCACCAGCAGCCAGCAATAGTTGGCCACAATGCCGTACTGCATGAACACCGTGGCTGCCCGGCACCTGGCTGCTGCCTGGGGGAATGGCAAGGGGTCAGTGAGAAGGGCAAGGGAAGTCCAGGAACTCTCAGCGAGAAGCTCTCCTCCCCCACCCTACCCCACTCTACAACCCAACCCCTGGATCAGCTTCAACACAAAGTGGACATGTCCCTTTAGCAGGCAGATTCATGGGGGCAGCAGTTTGCCACTCTCCCTAGTTTTGTGGTTGGTACGTTAAAAACAAAAGCCACCAGTACAGGAGGTCTCAAGTGGCAGTAATGCGTAGGACTTGGCAACGAGGCAATGGCTTGGATCAAGTTTGGAAATGTAGCTGGTTCAGGCTGCTTGGTGACAGCAAAGCATGGTGTTTCTGGTTCCCATAACCATGAGTGAAGGTGAGTACTGAACCAGAGGAGGGTTGAAGAAGGTGCTATTGGGGATGCTATTGGCATGGCTTCATTTGAAGCAGGGCTTAGCCCACACGGTCCAGCCTTCCAGCAGTTTAATTCCAGATACTAGAAATTGCTCTTGCACTCTGGGGGTATGTTATTAACTCATGACTGGATGCATCAGAGAAACGATATACCATATTTTTTGCTCTATAAGACGCACCAGACCACAAGACTCACCTAGTTTTTGGAGGAGGAAAACAAGAAAAAAAAATTCTGAATCTCAGAAGCCAGAACAGCAAGAGGGATCGCTGTGCAGTGAAAGTTCTGGCTTCTGTGATAGCTGCGCAGCTTGCATTCACTCCATAAGATGCACACACATTTCCCCTTACTTTTTAGAAGGGAAAAAGTGAGTCTTATAGAGCAAAAAATACGGTAGTCGCCAAACTTAGGTTTTAAACGGGACATTATGGATGCATTACAAGCTGACTTAAGCATCGTGAAAGCTCTGAGAAAACATCCTATGCCTTTCCCCCCTTATTTGCTGGCTCTTGTGAATTTGTATGTGAAAACAGCTACTTGGGAGTGGGCCCTAGTGTGTAGCTACCAAGTAGTGTAGGCAGGGGTTGTTGGGTTACCATAATTGTTTATGTGTGGTGCAGAGGCGAATCAACTGAACCTTCATGCTCCCTGGGGAAAGGGAACAAAGGAAATGAAAATTAAGCAAGTGTAAAAAAAAAAAGGGGGGGGGACCAGGAATGTTTAACTCACCTCATCACTCAGCCAAAGACCCACACTGTAGTCGTCAATCTTCTGGTTGAAGTGAGTGTTGAGCAGCTTGTCGATAATAAGCACCGAGATGCCCTTCAGGATGAAGGAGGCGAAGAGGTTCATGTGGATGTAGTTGCGCATGCAGTGCAGCTTGCTGGAGAGCAGGGAGCTTGTCAACAACGCCTGTCCAGCATGGCCAGCACCATGCAGCCAGTGCCTCTCTCCCAGATCTTCCTCCCAGCCCTTGCACCCTGATCTCTCTCTTTCACCCCACTGTACTAAACCCCCACCCCGCTCCTCCATGCCTTGTGTTCTCCACTCTGCTCCTCATTCCACACCTACGCATTCACCCATGCTCTGCTCTCTCGTGAACTGTCGTGTGGCTTACCACGAGCTCCTGGCCAATCTGGAAATATTTTGCAGATTTTGACCAGAAAATATTTTAATTAAATCCAGACCAACGTGACCCAGGAAGGCACTTTGTTAGGGGTGGTGTTAAGAGACCCCTATTCCCTTCACAATGCTACAACTCCCAGAGAGGTTTAACAATCAATCCCTCTTCCCAGGGAGCTCTGGGAATTGTAGTTCTGGGAGGGGGTCTCCTAATATCTATCAGCATCCTTAATCCTACAACTCCTTAATCCTACAGCTTTGGGGAGAACCAGGGAAGTTTAAAGGGGTATGATCCTGCTTTAAATATATAGTGCAGATAGGGCCATATTCTCTCTCTCTCTCTCTCTCTCTCTCTCTCTCACACACACACACACACACACACATACACACTTCATTCAACTGACGTAAGTACACACCCACACAGTCATATATTCTCATCACAAGTACACAGCAACATGCATACCGTACTTCCCAAAGTTGCATTCTGACATGGCTGCTTTCTCTACCACAGGGATAATTTTTATCTGGTGCCTGCTAGCAGAGAGACCTGTGACACTCCTGATCTTATACTTTTTTGGAGACAGGTAAATTAATTTGTATTCTCAATGTGTGCACTTGCTGAACCTGCCGTGCGATTAGGGATCCAAATGGATCAACCCAACGGAGTAAATGTAAAACAGCAGCAACAAGCTTGTGGTGAAAAAAGAGGGTTGAATGAATCCACCTCAACTTTCTCTAATAAAATATATTTTTAAAGAAACACAAAACTGCATTGTATGTAATTTGTCTCACTCGGTCAGAAAGCATGCAAAGTGTTGGTTTCTGCCAAAGACGTTAATATGTAAAGAGCAATTCCCAGCATCTCCAGTGTGGACGGATCCCTTCCAACTTAAAAGAGCTCCATCTCCACCCAACCAGATAGGATCATAGAATTGTAGAGTTGGAAGGGACCCTGAGGATCATCTAGTCCAACCCCCTGCAATGCAAGAATATGCAGCTGCCCCATACAGGGATCAAAGTTACAACCTTGCATTATCAGCACCATGCTTTAACCAACTGAGCTGTCATCTCACTTCTTTCCAGGCGGACCTACAGCCATTCCACTTCCTTCTAGGAGGACCAAATGAAATCTGGTCTTACTATCCCACTTCACGGTTCCCTCCCCCTCACCGCTTTGGGCACTGCCCCTCAATGTGGTCACCCCCATCACCATCACCCCCACCCCTCCCAGGCCAGTTCCCAAGGCACCTGAAGCCCAGCAGCACAGCCAAGGCAAGGATCAAAGTGCAGAGTGACACCGAGTAGCCAACCGTGTACATCACCTTGAAGCTCCCGTAGATCTTAGCAAACCACTCCTGGAAGTCGAAAGAGAGGAAAGAGACAATTTGAGGCCCCAAAGGGATGGTACTAATCCTGGTAATCTATCTGCTCTTTAAAATGGGTATAGTACGTTGAGTACAAAGTCAGTGGAGTCAACGGAGGCGGGGAATGTTCTTGCAGACAGCCCCCAGGACTCATTTAGATAGCCATGCTCTCACCTGCTCTAAGATGGTCTCGTTGTTCATCACACACTGATGAGCATCACGCAACGACTTCCCTTCGGGGGTGGTCACCCATTGTCCATCTGGGTCACACTTCTTGAATACATAGCCATGCTTCACTGTAGGGAATGAAGGCATAAGGCAGGCTTCCTCAAACTCGGCCCTCCAGATGTTTTGAGACTACAGTTCCCATCATCCCTGACCACTGGTCCTGCTAGCTAGGGATCATGGGAGTTGTAGGCCAAAAAACATTTGGAGGGCCAAGTTTGAGGAAGCCTGGCATAAGGCAAGAGGAAGAAGAACTCGACTGAATCAGAAGGCCCATCTGGCACAGCATCCCGATTGCAAAGTTGTCTACACAAAGCCCACCAACCAGAACCTGGGTGCAACAACCATCTCCCCACTTGTCATTCCCAGCAACTGGTATTCAGAGGCATATTGCCTCTGTCCATGAAGTCAGAACATGGCTAGTAGTCACTGATTGCCTTATCCTTTGTGATCTTATTAGGATTATTATTATAACTCCACCCTATACTTGTTCTGACCGTTTGTTGTTATTCCTCTGTGCCTTCCCACAGTCCCCATCTCCTGCACCCTCAGTACTTTTCCCTCATCCTCTAGTTTATTATCATCCCGATCCCTCTTCATTCCTTTCCTGTCTATTTCCCCTTCTTAGGGCTCAGCCACACTTTCGTTTGTCCCGTGATTTCTAGTATTTTGTATCACTCTGTTATAACAGGTCCATAGGTTTTTGCTTTGTCCCACCACTTTCCCTGGGGAAACCTGTTGTTTACTGCTGAACTGGAACAAATGTCATGAGGAAAACCCAAAGAAAAATGTGTCTCTCTTCTGAACCAGTCCTAAAATAGTTCCTGAATTGGATTCTGCATGCTTTCCAGGAAGCTGTTTTGTGGGAAGTCTGCTCCCACCTCCTTTCCTTCTCTCCCTGCCTACCCCTGTGGGATAATTTTTCCAGTTGTCTCCCCAGCTTCGAGCACCCCACTTCTAGTTTCCTCAACATGCTTAAAATGTTTTTTTTTTTAGTTTACTCTTCCTTGTTTGGTGCTCATATTAAAACAGTGATCAAGTGATGTATGTGCAAAATCTGTGTGTCCCAATTCGTTTGCTTTTATTGGTTGCAATGGTTCCAAAGGCAGCTTTATTTTCTGCCTGTAATAATACGTATTAAATACTGTGGTACCTTGGTTCCTGAACGGCTTAGTTGATAAACAAATTGGCTCCTGAAGCCCGCAAACCTGGAAATAAGTGTTCCTGTTTGCATCCATTTTTCGAAAGCTGATCATCCGTTTCTGCTGTCGGCATTGTTTCCATGGCCAATCAACCAATCAGAAGCTGCACCTTGGTTTGTGAATGTTTTGGAAGTTGAACGGAGTTCAGGAATGGATTGAGTTTGAGAACCAAGGTACCACTGTAATATGTATTGGAACAGAGCCGGCTCACCAATGAGGCGGGGTGAAGCACCTGCCTCAGATGGCAAAAGTGCTTTGGAGGCACCCTGCCTGCCCCACCATTTCTGCCACTGCTAGAACAACCCTCTCTCACTGGCAAAAAAGAGATGTTCTGGTGCATGGCATCTCCTGGGGTAGAGAAGACGAGCAGCAACACCTGGAATGCCTTGGCTCTCACCAAACTTGGCAAGGAAGTGGTGTTCCTGTGCATTGCATTGCCACTCCCCACCCCCACGGGGTGGGAAAGATGAGTGGCAGTGCTTTGAAGGTGGCATTCTGGCAACAGTGAAAGTTGGGGAGCAGGGAACAGCGCATTTCTGTTTCACCTCAGGTGGTGAAATGGGATGGACCATCCCTGTACAGTGGTACCTCGGGTTACAGACGCTTCAGGTTACAGACTCTGCTAACCCAGAAATAGTACCTCAGGTTAAGAACTTTGCTTCAGGATGAGAACAGAAATCGTGCAGCGGCGGTGCAGCAGCAGTAGGAGGCCCCATTAGCTAAAGTGGTGTCTCAGGTTAAGAACAGTTTCAGGTTAAGAACAGACCTCCGGAACGAATTAAGTTCTTAACCCGAGGTACCACTGTAGTGGAAATGTCCTGGCCCCTTTTGTGCATGTTGAATGATTATCTGATTATCCAGTTTCCTGAGTATCTGGCTTTTCTGATTTTCTGACTCTCTGCCACAGGTGAGTGGAACTGAAGGTGGAGACAACTTTAAAAGCGGACTATTGATTATAGGAAGCATGAACAGGAAAACATGGGGTTTCAAGGGAAAGCAGAGGCAGAAATCACAAGTGGGAACACCCAGGCCTGGACCAAATTGAAAATGGCGCAAAGAGGTATGGACTTAAGGCAAAGTGTGGCTGGGCCCTGAGTAACTCTCCCATGTCACTTCCTTCCTTTTCCCCCCTGCCAAGGGCACAGGCCCATTCCAGTCTGCTTCTCCCCCCAGTGCACGCACCTTGGTCGTACCAGGGCAGGTACCAGGGGCAGGAAACATTGACAGTGCTGTTGGGCTGTGCATCAGGCCAGCACGAGTACTTGTCAAAGGTTCGGTTGCAGACCAGCTCTGTCAAAGAGAGGAGGAAACTTAGGATCTGCGTGTGATACGGTGGTAGTAACAGCGGGTTATATGTGTGTCTGAATATGTGTACAGCTTCGTCCTTATTTTTCACTCTTTCTTTAATTAGGAAACTTTCCCCACGTTCATGTCCTTCACGTGTTTCATCAACCAGCAGAATTTGCCCTTGGGACACATATGGGACCCTTGTTGCCAGCTTCACATGCATGTGTCTGCACACACAACTGCCTAGTAATTCATCCACAAACCTCACCTCCACTCTGCCTCAGCCTACTCTTTGTGCTCTACTGCTGTCTGAAACAGTTTTTACAGCAACTTCTTGAGGAAAAAGAAAAAGAACCCTCATCTTTTGCGTATGCTGATTTATGAAACAACTCTTGCCTCTGGGACCCAGCACTGTAGGTAGCTCATTTTCTCCCTCAAGCTTGGCATAGGGCCGTAGCTTAGTGGTAGAGAGAATGCTTTGCATGCAGAAGGCCACAGGTTCAATCCCTGACATCTCCAAGTAGGGCTGTGAAAGATGCCTTGTCTGAAATCCTGGAGAGCCACTGCTAGTGTGTGGGGAACGTTTGGCCCTCCAGATGTTGTCGAACTACGACTATGAGCCCCAGCAAGCATGGCCAATGGACAGGGGTGATGGAAGTTGCAGCTGAGCAACATCTGGAGAGCCATTGGTTCACCACACCTGGTATAGACTCTACCAAGCTAGCATGGTGGTCTGACTCAGTGTAAGGCAGTTTGCTATGCCCCTTAAGCTTCCAAAATTCTTGTCTCGTTTCCACAGCATGCACAGATGCATGTGGTCCCAGCACTCAGCTGCTCATTGCCTAGCAAGGAGGCTGAGCTTAAACAAACAAACAAGCAAGAAAAGCAGCTGGGTGGAAAAACTGACCAGTGCCTTTAAATGTCCATTGCACTTCAGAGTGATAAATGTCCAACCCCCTCCTTGCCCCCACCCGTGACTTCAGTGCTCTGATTCCCAACCTCCAGGGGGCGCTTGTCTCACCAGTGGATAGTGGCAGAAGGCTCATGTTGTGGTAGCACTCTTCGCTATAGGCCTTCCAGCTCTCAAAGAGGAAGTCCATGATCTGGGCTGAGGGTCCCTGAAGGAAAAAAGACAGCAGAAAGGAGGACCGGCCTGATATATATGTGCCTCTCAGGCCTGGGATGGAGAGGGGCTGGGGAGGGTTGGGGACGAAGGCCCTTACCTGAGGGCACACCACCAGTGCCAGCAGGATACTGAGAAGACGTGGTTGGGACATCCCTCTGCAGGGCTGCAAAGCCACATTGGGATGTTCCCAGAGCTGCTGGCTGCCTACAGAACGTCCTGCGGCCGATTTAGCAGAGCCCTGCGAAGGATAAGATAGAAGGAGAAAAGAGGAGCACTTAAGTCTGCCCTTCTGCAAACTCTCGGCTCCAGTACCCTGGCCCCAAGGTGGATGACGCACTCTGCAACTGGGTTTGTTGGGCTACATCCAGGAAGGCTGTCCAGTGCCAGGAAATTCTGGGCTGACAGGGACCTGCTAGGAGTGAATATGGCCACCGCAGCCTCCGCCCAGATCAGGTGCTTGGTGGTGGTTTGACCCTGCCTCTGGTTGGTGCGGGGAACCTTCTGACCCTCACTGCAGCCAGGAGGAATTGAGGACGCCCAATCTAGGGGGCTGCTTCAGATGCCAGTCACTGTAACAGGAGCCTCTTTAGGGGTGGGGAGCTATTTCAGGGCTGGATTTGGGTGCAGGCCAAGTACCCAGGGAGACTTGATCCACTACAATGCAGCACAGGGGGGCTGCCCTTTTCTTGCTCGTCTCCTCAGAGCACCAGCATGCAGAGACTTCCCTGCCCCACAGGCAAGCTTGCCAAAGTCTGCAGCCAGTGCTGGGGAGCAGCAGGTAGCCCAAAACAACAGAGCACGAGAAAAGAATCCCAAAGCCTTTGCATAGCTAGGCTAGACAGTGGATCTCTTGTACAGTCGTACCATGGATCCCAAATGCCTTGGTACTGGGGTGTTTTGGCTCCCGAACCCCACAAACCTGGAAGTGAGTGTTCTGGTTTGCAAATGTTCTTTGGAACCCAAATATCTGATGGGGATTCCGCGGCTTTAGATTGGCTGCAGGAGCTTCCTCCAGCCCACCAGAAGCTGTGCTTTGATTTCTGAATGTTTTGGAAGCCGAATGGTCTTCTGGAACGGATTCCGTTCGACTTCCAAGGTACTAGCAAAGGGAAACATGGGTGCCTTTGGGGATAGGATGAGCCCTCTCACAGGACACCTCTGTCTATGGTATTGATTGGCAAAATAGCCTTGCCTTGTGGCCAGAAAACAGCAGTACTTTGGATTAGAAGGCAGGTGTATGAGACAGAGAGAGAGAAAGAGAGAGGGAGACAGAAATGTGGGGAGTGGGGAAGATAGCAAAGAGTTCTGGAAATAATGGTTGCATACACAGCATACATTTAAAACACATTCCCCTTCTCGAAAGAATCCTGGTAACTGTAGTTTGTTAAGGATGAGGGTAATTGTATCTCTGTAAGGGGTAGACGACAGTTCTCTGGATTTGGGATGTGTCTGTGAAAAGGTGCTTTGAATGTAGGCAGTACACTCAGCCAATGTATCTGGGATCCAGAAAACCAGTAGGATTGTGCTGGTGGTTCTGACGTTGTGCTGTCTGCAGGGATCCAGCAAAGGGCAGTAGCTGTGCCGTCTGTGGGGTGGTGCAGGCAGCGACAGAATGCCACACCGAGGTACCAGGGGTCTGTGTGTATGGTGTCTGCAGTAGGCAGCGCACGTGGGAAGGAGGGTAGGGCTGTCTGCGCGTTGCATGGTGGGTGAGATGAGGCTTGCTGAAGAGGACACATGCCCCAATGCCTGGAGCCCTGATCTGCTCATGGACAGTGGCTTGTGCATTCCATCACCATGACACTTCCTGCGCTCCTGCCAGCAGGGACTCTCCTGATACAGAGTCAACTTCTCCCCAGCAGTCCGTGTCTAGGAAAACATTTCATAGGGGGAGGGAACGAGGGGGAATGTGCCAGTAGCGTTGCCCCTGGTCTGTTTACAGCTCCTGGCATAGCCCAGCTTAAGGCCAACCAGGCTGTTAATCATTAACGCCCTCCAGGGATCTCCTCCAGGGATGAACCCAGGGATGTTGTTGCCTCCTAACCCCACAGCCTTCATCCTACTGCCGACAAAGGCCCCCATGTGTTCAGAAGGCTCGACTCCTTGGCTGAAAGACTGCTGTGTGTCCTTGTAGGCGGCTGTTGGGCAATGCCCGCCGTGTTGGCAACCCATCCGGGATAAACTCAGATTCACACCAGAGCTAAATCCTTCAATCCCTCTCTAATCTGGTTAAAGGGCTCCTGAATGGGATCACAGTGCTCCGGACACAAACCAAGTATTCTTGCCGTGTGCCTTGGAACAGACGGGCCATGCCTTTGGCCCAGATGCGGCCGGAACTTTGCTGGGATTGCGAGAGTGACCTTCCGGCTGTCCTGCGAAGCCAAAAATAAGCACTTGGCCTAAAAATGCCTGTTCTGCCCTAGAATGAAAGGCTCCTCGTGATCCACTAGGTCCATTCTTCAGCATGCGCTGGGCAACAAACAATGGAAAGATCCCTGCATATGGAGGGCTTACTTTCCCAAGGGCTACTTCCCAGATTGCCAGTATTTACAGAATCTACACAGAACTCACAGGACCCCCACTGTTATGATATAGATTCAGGTAGGTAGCTGTGTTGGTCTGATGCAGTTGATATAAATAAAAAAATTAAAAAATTGTCCAGTAGCGCCTTAGAGACCAACTAAGTTTGTTTCGTGTGTGCATGCACACAAAAGCTTATTTTGGAGAACTGGAGAATTTTTAATTTTTTTATTTGTTATGATATAGAGAGGGATAGAGAAATGGCAACATAAAAAAAATAGGCCAGCGGTGGAGGAGCTTTGTGAGGCCATTGGCCAAATTCCCTTCTCAGCAAACTTCCATGGGGCCACATTCCAGTGCTGGGCAGGGCCTGAGGCCAAAGAGGGCAGAGCAATGAATATAAACAATTCCTCTGTACAGTAGGCTAGTGTCTAGTCACCTTCACACACCCCTCTCTGTTCCTCTGTACAGTAGGCTAGTGTCTACCTTCACACACCCCTCTCTGTTCGCTACCCAGACAACCAAGAGGCATTATCAAAGTGCAAGGACACATTCCGGCTGGGCAAAGCCACTCTGCATTGGCTCCCAGTACCTTTCCGAGCACAATTCAAAGTGTTGGTGCTGACCTTTAAAGCCCTAAACAGCCTCGGTCCTGTATACCTGAAGGAGCGTCTCCACCCCCATCGTTCAGCCTGGACACAGAGATCCAGTGCCGAGGGCCTTCTGGCGGTTCCCTCATTGCGAGAAGTAAGGTTACAGGGAACCAGACAGAGGGCCTTCTTGGTAGTGGCGCCTGCCCTGTGGAACGCCCTCCCAGCAGATGTCAAGGCAATAAACAACTATTTAACTTTTAAAAGACAACTGAAGGCAGCCCTCTTTAGGGAAGTTTTTAATGTCTGATGCTGTACTGTTTTTAATATTCAGTTGGAAGCCACACAGAGTGGCTGGGGAAACCCAGCCAGATGGGCGGGGTATAAATAACAAATTATTATTATTATTATTATTATTATTATTATTACTCATGGAGGGTGCAAAGCAGGGCCGGTGAGGGTTGTGGGCTGGGGAGGATCCCAAGGGCCAAAGACAGGGGTCTGGAGGGCTGCATTTAGCACTTGAGCTCCCCTACTCCTGGGATAGGTTGTGGCAATATACAACTTCAGAATTGTTTTTCAAAATGTGAAATTCCTTTGGTAGGAGTCAGGGCAGTGATGGCCTCAGCTGATTGTCAGGGCTTTCATAGTTCTGTTTGTAGCGCTATGTGAGCCCCAACAATCAGCTGACTATTGGCACTTGGGCATAAATTGCAGAGCTCTCTGCATGGACATGTGGGCAAAAAGAGGGGGCGAGGGTCATCTGGTGCCATAGTGACGTTAGGTGATTGAGATGTGGGGCTCTATTGTTGCGTCAAGTACCTGTTGTTGAATACTCCAGTTTGGGGTGGGCAGGGGGCTCAGTCATAAAAATGATATGGGAGGATGGGGGATCAGTGTTGAAAACCCCTCCCCAAGCACTGCGGCGCTGATCCATTTTGCCTCTCTCCCACAGTAGTTAAAAAGAAACCAAACACAGGCGATCCAGTTCCTAGATCGTTGGTGTCATGTCTAGTTTTGTCCTGACAATTGTAGTGCCTTTGGACTATGAGGATAGTTCAAAAACTAACAAGCCCATTAAAGGTAAAGGGTAAAGGGACCCCTGACCATTAGGTCCAGGCGTGACCGACTCTGGGGTTGCGGCGCTCATCTTGCTTTATTGGCCGAGGCAGCTGGTGTTTGTCCGCAGACAGCTTCCGGGTCATGTGGCCAGCATGACTAAGCTGCTTCTGGCGAACCAGAGCAGCGCACGGAAATGCTGTTTACCTTCCCGCTGGAGCGGTACCTATTTATCTACTTGCACTTTGACGTGCTTTCGAACTGCTAGGTTGACAGGAGCAGGGACCGAGCAACGGGAGCTCACCCCGTTGCAGGGATTCGAACCGCCGACCTTCTGATCAGCAAGTCCTAGGGTCTGTGGTTTAACCCACAGCGCCACCCGCATCCCGTTAACAAGTCCATTACAAAATCACAAATGGAAGTGTGCTTCAACACAAACAAGACTTTTCTTCCATATAAGCACCATTTGCTCACTTATTTTGGAGAATGCAGGCAACATTCCTTCTAAAGTTCCTCTACGTTTCTCTGCACTGTCGGCTCATAGGCAGCCATTCTTACATTGTACATTGCAACGGCAGCACAAAACATTCAGGCAGCACTGCTGCCTTACCCAGTTTTCAGGTGGCATTCATGGATGTGGCTTGTGTGTGATCCTTGCCCCGTCCCCTGCCATTTTATCCAGCTAACCTCCCATGCTCTCCTCTGTGCTACTCTGCTAGTGTTCTTGGGTGTAAATGGAAAACCTCGAAATTTTATTGCTGCTTTCTCAATTTCATCAGTCCCATAAGGATTGCACCACGTGCAATTTCCAAGAAATAAGGCTGGAACTAGCAAAACACTCCTAGTCTTGGAGTTAATAATAATAATAAAGTACATAAAAATTGGTGGTGGTTGTCTGAAAGCATTTGGAGAGCATACTGATTTGTAGCACTAAAAGAAGTTCTGGCATTTGGATACACCCCAGTTTTTGGATTCTCAAACATGTGCTTTCAAGATTCTGCTCTAGATTCATTCTGCACTTCATTCTGGAAATGCATACTTTTGGTGCTCCAAAAAGAGCATCCTGAGAGCCAAAGCTAGAGCTTGACTGGTCAGGAAGGAGTGAGTGGCGCATGTCCAATTCCCCCTATCTCTAAGGGACATTTTGAAACCTTTCAGAGCTTGTCAGAGGGACAGTAACCAGCCCATAGTCTGGAGGGCTGCTCCCAGGACTATCCCTCTATCCCTCCTCCCCTCCTTGTGCGGTTATTTTTAGCCCTGGGAAATCATGTTTCCTTAGAGCAGTCCCTAATTGCTGCTTCTGTTTGGGAGCTGGGAAGCTCATTGATCAGGAAGCCAGCAGCGCCAGATGCTGCTTTCGCTCCTGGGCTGAGCTTTCTCCATATTTAGATAGTAGGACAGACAGATGCGTCTGTCATGATGAACCTTGCCTTGGTGGCAGCAGTGTGCAAAAGTTTTTGCTGGGGATGTGGGCAGCTCTTGCGATTCCAGATCACATTGGCCCAGGTCCCTTGCCTAGGGATGATCCCTACTGGAAAACTTCTCTACCTGACAATCCTCACCCCACCCCAATGCCACCCTGTGGAGCCAGGATTTATAAGAGAGTTCCCCACCTGCGTGTTGCTGAGCCACCTCCTTCCCCACCACTGGAACAAGCCCCCTTGTGCTGCCTCTCTTAGACTGTGCCCAGGCTCCTGGGCTCAAAGTTGACAGGAAGAGACTCTTCAACTGGATTGCGAGTACCCCTGGTTGTTGACCCATGGCTCACTGCCCCAGGGAGCCCAAGCCCTCTGAAGTGGCTGTACTTCATATAGGAATCACTTCCAAAAGACAGTGGGATGGCGGGGGTGAGGAACCAGTCCTACTCTTCTTCTCCCCAAAGGTGAAGGCGGACATTTCTCCTTATTTTAGTGTTTTAATATTGCTCTAAATAAATAAATGGGACGCGGGTGGCGCTGTGGGTTAAACCACAGAGCCTAGGGCTTGCCGATCAGAAGGTCGGCGGTTCGAATCCCCGCGACGGGGTGAGATCCCATTGCTCGGTCCCTGCTCCTGCCAACTTAGCAGTTCGAAAGTATGTCAAAGTGCAAGTAGATAAATAGGTACCGCTCCAGCGGGAAGATAAACGGCGTTTCTGTGCGCTGCTCTGGTTCGCCAGAAGTGGCTTAGTCATGCTGGCCACATGACCCGGAAGCTGTACGCCGGCTGCCTCGGCCAATAAAGCGAGATGAGCGCTGCAACCCCAGAGTCGGTCACGACTGGACCTAATGGTCAGGGGTCCCTTTACCTAAATAAATAAACAATTGTCCCTCCCTTGCCTGAGAAGCCCCTGCCCCGAAGGCACTGGAATGCCTGGCTCATTCATGCACCACAAGAGCTGCAGGCTTCCAAAAGGCTGAGTGCAGAGACCTCTGGCCTAGATCCCTCCTCTGTACAAACAGCTCCCGTTTGTCCTGATGTCTCCTCCCTGCCACCCCTTAGCCCAGCTGGACAGATCACCCTCCTGGCTCAGAGGAGCCTCTTCCTGCCCCCAACCCCAGCTGTGTCGGAGAGGGGTTTTCTGGTCTCTGGCCAGCTCCGTCCTCAGCCACCTCCTAATGCTTCAGGGAAGCTGCAGGACTGCCCAGGACCTCCTTTGGTGTCCTCCAGCCCCAGACACACTCCTTTGGCCCTGCCCCATAGGGAAAGAGAGAGGGAAGGGGGGATCCATTTGTCTCCCTGCTTGACCCAGCTGTGACTCTGAATGATGTTTTCCCTGCCAGAGTGGCCTCTCTTTTCTGTGCTTGGCTAACGTACTCTAATTAGTATTGCAGGCTAATGACCTTGGTCCCTGGAGACCCCAGTGAGAAAGCGCCTGGCTGGAGCCACAGTTCTAGTAAGGACGTATCGCTCATGGGAACAGAGCAAGCTGCAACATACAGAGGCAGAGGTTGCCTCCATGCTCTGGCCACAGGAGGTCTACCTGCAACGATGCACAAAGAGGGAAGAAGTTCCCACCAAAGAAGAATGGATAAATAAATAATGGATAAATAAAGTTAACAGCTAGAATCAGAGAATCTGCTTTGTGGAAGAACAGAAACCTGTTTTGGACTATTTAAAGAAATGTTATAGTATGATGAATTCATGATCAGGATTTGAACTATGAGCAACAGAAGGAATTATAGATTATTGTATTATTGTTATGATATAAGAGAGAGAAGCTAGGGTACAGCAAAGGGGAGTAATAAAAAACACCAAGGAAAATGGGGTGGGAAGTCGACAAAGCAAAAGAAAAAGTATTATGTATTGGAATGTATATGTGATTTTTTTAAAAAAATAATAATAAAATATAACCAAGAAATCGCAAAAAAGAGCCTACCTGCAGTGTGTACATTTCCTGTCATATTATAAAACTTAGTAGGTGCGAATGGGGCTGTCATTGTACCTAAACTTGATCTATCTCACGGGTTTGTTGTTAGAATAAAACAACAATACATTGTAATCTGCTCATAGGTTAAGATCAGACAGAAATACAAAGAAAATAATGCATTAGTCATGAGAGCTAGAAAGTTTGGGTGAGAGCTAATATTCCCAGCAAACTGAAGTAAGCTAGATGAGCACTCTTATCCACATTAAATGCACCAGTTTAAGAGATTAGCACCTTGTAAGGTTTAATTATCATAACGTAGTCACCTGTGAAATGTTATACAACATTTAATAGAGAAGCTTTCTACCAGTCAATTTCAATCTCATTTTCTGTTTCTTTGCCTCAGCAAATTAGTCAATTATCTGCTGTTATTCCCCCTTACCCTTCGTCTTAAATTTCCTTAGATAATTATTATTAAACTTTATTTGGGGGTTGGGAGCCTTTTTTGCTTTCAGAAATTGCTGCAGCTGTGATAAACTGCAGAAACGCAGCGACGCTTTTGTATTGCAGAAGAACTTTCGGTGCCAATAACAAGAGTATTCTAAATGAAAACGCAGTATCACCCTCAATCTTAGCTTGTGTTGTTGCCAGTAAAGGAGAGAGGCTGCATCAGTTCTCCTTCCAGAACGGGAAGGTTGCGTATATATTTATGCTGAATCTGCTGCTACTTGAGAAATTCAGATACACCCCTGTCCGGAGATGAAAATTTGTTTTTTAAGATCTTTAGGCCACTCTTGGTGGTTTCCTTGTGAAAACGGCTCCAGGAAATTTGGGGGCTGCCCTAACTGGCAGATCTGCCCACTGTTACACAAGTCTTGGTCACTTCTAGCCTGGAATGTTGCAACACTATACATAGTGCTCTAACACTGGTCATCTGCCTCACAAAGAAACAGAGTCCAATTCTAGAGAAATAACTCAATGGTGGCAACAACAAAAAAACTAACCTGCTTTAATGTGGGTTAGATGAAATGGTCTGTGAGGTAAGTCAAGGAGCAGGAGGATAGCTGTATAGAGAATATGTTACAGGCTTTACAGAAATAAATAGCTTAGGGGTAATATCAGTTATTGTTGGGAGATTCCCAGGATGCCTTGCAACATATGCAACAACAGGGCATGCTCACACTGTCCATTGCCAAAGGAAGATGGAGAGCATTACCAACAGGAGTATTGTACAGTGGTACCTCGGGTTAAGTACTTAATTCGTTCTGGAGGTCCGTTCTTAACCTGAAAATGTTCTTAACCTGAAGCACCACTTTAGCTAATGGGGCCTCCTGCTGTTGCCGCGCCGCCACCGCGCGATTTCTGTTCTCATCCTGAAGCAAAGTTCTTAACCTGAAGCACTCTTTCTGGGTTAGCGGAGTCTGTAACCTGAAGCGTATGTAACCTGAAGCGTATGTAACCCGAGGTACCACTGTACTGCAAAGTACTTAAAGGACTCGGGGGCACAGGCCAATGCATAAAATTTGCACAAAATATTGTTTTAAAGTTTAAAAAGAAGAGGAGGGAGGAAGGGAAAGGAGATCCAGAACTGGTGCAAAAGACCTAGGCCTCTTGGATTGCCCCCAAACAACACCCATAATTACATAGGAAATCTGATCACAAGCATTAGACCAACAGGTATCTCTGTCTTTCCCCCTTCCTCTTAGGCCCCTAGGGCCACCTATTCCTCCAGTACTAGATTTGATATCCCTGACCCAGCTGGCTTCCTACCATTAGCCCCAAGCTGGCTTTGCAGAGCCATCTGGAGACAGTTTTGACCTACATGCCTGGCACCAGAGGGAGTTCTCTGGGTTCTGACATATCAGACAGGAGGTAGAGGTGAAGCAAGTGCTTGAAATTTAGTTGCTGAAGAAGATGACTGATGAGTGTAAGGCTACATCACTACAGCAGGATTGTTTTCAGAAGGCCACCAGAATCTGCCTTCAGAGAGAGATGATGCCTTTTTCGCCTGCTGCCTAACTTTGACAACTCAGCCAACACTGGCAAAAACTTAATTGGTCCAAGGTAGGCTAATCCATCATGTTTTGGGTGGCAAGGGTGATAAATGGGGAGGCTGCTGCTCAGGCTCATGGTAGTCCCTAATAATCCATTGTACTGTATTCCTATAGTGTTGTCTGTGTTGTTCTTTTGTGACTTAGCAACTCCTATCCAGGCTTGCCAGATCACATTCTAGAGGTTTGTTGTATGGATCTCCAGGTTGTGATCTGGCAAACCTACTCAAATGTCCTGGTGTGCCCCACTCCCCAGTTCACTCTTCACGTTCATAAAAAGTTTGAGGCTAACTCTCATACGTGATATACAGAACTGAACTAATGATGATACCCAGCCATCTGTGGACAGAAGAGCAGATGTATCAGAGACCCTTCAGATGTCTTCTATTGTGCATTCATTATGATTTGTGCTCACAATGGGGCAGTTATATGCAATCTGCTTTCAGCACTGTTCATGCCTGCAAAATGTCCACAATCAGTGCATGTCCCATAACTTACTGCTGAGTTCCTGTATAAATCACATCAGAAGTCCAAGGCTGCAATCCTAAGGCTTGTGGCAGAGGACAAATGAAAGCAGTTCATCCACCTCATCCTACCTGTGTCCTGCTGGGCACTCACCCCTCTTGCACTTCTCCATCCATTCCCATTTTTTAAAAAACAATTCCCTCTCATTGGCAACAATAGTGTGCAATTGTGCACAATGGGGTGTGGCTCAAGCACCCTGGGATTCCCTTCTTGTGTAAATAGACCAGAGGCACAAGTATTGAATCATGATCCTAAGCTAAAAACCTCTGCAAAATAACCTTGGGCCTTTGTGACTGTAAGCAACAACTTATTCATCTCCATCAAACATACTACCAATGTGTCGCAAGATAAGGGGCCAGGGAGTGTGCGTAGGACAACAACAAATAACCTTGATAGGTCAGGCAAGTCACTGTGCACATACCACTGGGCCTCAGGTTTGTTAGCCAATAGGAACTGGGAGAAAATTACCTACACCTGATGACGAGTTAGACCCTAACTGTGAAAACAGAACCTATCTGTTAATCCTCTCCCAGATAAAATTTCCTTGCTACCTTTTAAGCACAAGCCCATCCCATCTGACTGTTCCTTGTTACCATTTCAGAGGACAAGGGGGAAAACACCCTAAATATATTGCCTAGAAAAATTTGCCATAGGGTGGGAGAAGTCCTTGCCTGAATTTTAGACAACACTATAAGCTAACTTTTCACAGAATCCCATGTAAGGAGTACTCTGTGCACAGCTCTCGGGCTTTGGAAAATGGATGGAGTGGCCCTGAATACACCTTCAGCCTGGTAGGCCAGGCCACTGCAGGATCCCTGAGCCCCCTAGGATTTCAGCCGAGCTCTTCATTCTTCCTATTTCTGTTTTCTCCTCCACAAATGATGAAGATACCCCTCTCTTCTCATCTCACAAACGCACTGCTCATCAGCTGCTAATATAGGATCAGACTGGAGACCCTGAAGAATTTATTTGGCAAATGTAGGCAGCGGGAATCTGTCCATTATTTCCTCTCACATTCTCATTTTTTCCAATCTTAAATTCACTTCTCCACATTTCCACATTGGCCTGCATTTTTTTAAAAAAGTCCTTGATTTGGATTCTAATACAGTGGTACCTCAGGTTAAGAACTTAATTTGTTCTGGAGGTCCGTTCTTAACCTGAAACTGTTCTTAACCTGAGGTAACACTTTAGCTAATGGGGCCTTCCACTGCTGCTGCGCCGCCGCCACCGTAGGATTTCTGTTCTCATCCTGAAGCAAAATTCTTAACTACTTTCGGGTTAGCGGAGTCTATAACCTGAAGCGTCAGTAACCCGAGGTAGTACTGTACTGGTTTTAATATGTAATTGTTTATAGTTGTTTATAGATTTTGAGCCAGTGTGTTAGAGTGTCGGAGTAGGACTTGGGAATCCAGGCTTCAAAACCCCACTTAGCCATGAAGCTACTGAGTGAACTTGGGTCATCATCCCCAAGCCTAACCTACCCCAAAGGTTGTTCTGAGGATGTGAGAATCATGCTTGCCGCCTTGAGTTCCTTGGAGGAAAGGTGGGATATATATGCAATAACAACAAATAAATGCATTTATTTGTGTAAACCACTCAGAGGTTGTTTATGGCAAAGGGCATAACAGAAATTTATTGAAGTAATGTAGCATTGCTGAATAAATTTATTGAGGAGTAAATAAAATAAAATCCTTATCACCTTCAATCTCAGCTGCTCCAAGACAACTGTCTACTCCCATCCCTGGCTGGCACTATTCACAATTCGAAGAAAAGGGCCAGGGAATGGATGCCTGCTTAATGCATATGTTGTTGCGGCAGAGATTCCTCTATGACTTGGTAGCCATGGCACTTCCACTGATACAGTGGCAGGAAATACGCATGGGAAACATCCCTCTCCTGGAGACTCTACCTGGGCAGGGACATTCCCTTGTTTGCTTGGATATGGATATCAGAGATGCACTTGGCCCCATCCTGCAGGGTTGGTCTTTCTTGGCCTTTGGCTTTCTGGCAATTCAGTAAATAAAACCCTAGCCCAGCTGTCCTGGAGGAAATCCAGGTAACAAGGCCATCTTTTCTTTCTCTGGTCCTGCTACTGCCTGTGTACAATGTGCACTGGGCTTATTAACTTGGAAGGGACAGCAGTATAAACATCCCTTTGAAAACATAGGGCAGGAAGTCTTCAAAATGCAGTGCCCCATCTTCCCAGAGGAACCCCCCCTGCAGCAAACATAACAACTGGTCCAGAGTACAGGGGGAAATGGCCTATGGGGAAAGGATTGGAGGGAGTCTGAAATGTTCTGTCTGAATCCTGCTAAGAATCTTAAGCATTGCCTTGCTTTGATAGACCAGTGGGCCATCTCATCTGATACAGTGGTACCTCTGGTTGCGAACGGGAGCCGTTCCAGAGGCCTGTTCTCAATATGAAAAGAACGCAACCTGCAGCGGCGCATCTGCACACAAGCGGGTTGCAATTCGCCACTTCTGTGCATGTGCTTGATGTCATTTTGCGCTTCTGCGCATGCGACGAAACCTGGAAGTAACCCTTTCCAGTACTTCCGGGTCGCTGTGGGACGTAACCTGAAAGAACATAACATGAAGAGGATGTAACATGAGGTATGACTGTACTCTTTATCTCAAAGTAATCCACAAAAGCTCACAGGCAGAATGGTGAAGGTGGGCCCCCCTCCATTGATATTATTTACCTGCTCTTCACCTTAAGGTCCCAGGAAAGGGTGGTTCTGGATAGACCCATTCCCCATGAATATATAAATTGGCTTGAAAAACAAAAGCTTAAATAAAATCCATAACTAAGGGTGGGAGGATGTGGATGATGCTGTAGCAGCCCTGCATCTTCTCCATTCTCCCTTATAATTTCCATAATACAGGGGCTGTGTAATGTGCGATAAAACCACACTCATCAGTTTCCCTGCTCCTCCTACTCAATTGGCTGCCACTTGCAAGGTGTGGGGTGAGAAGTGGAGCATGATAAAGTAATGCTGTACATTTTGGACTATTATACATTAGTGCAGATAATAATGAGACGAAGGACTGCTATTTTCAGTGCCAGCTATGCATTCTTTATGGCTCCTTCTAATAGTGAATTAAGCGGGTGGGTGCTGCCGGGATTACAGCTAGAATAGAGATACTGAGAAACAAAAAGGAGGTATCAGGATCCTCAGGGGATCTACATGCTTTGCAGAAGCACATTTTAAAAACAACAACTAAGAGGGCACCTTCCCACAGAAAACAACCAAATGAAGACTGTGCACGCTTTAAGGAGGGAAGATACACTGCAATATTGTGTTGCAGGTCTCTTGTTCACTGTTAATTCCATCCTTAATTGTGTTTTACTTAATTTGTCTGTCCTGATTCTACTGCCACCCAACATTCATTGGATGAATCCTGAGTTCTAGTATCATGAGGAAGAGAATGCCTCCCCATTCACTGTCTCTATACACAGAATTTCACCTCTTACTTTTGACACCTTTTTTCTAAACCCAAATGCATTCATCTTTTTACGCTTTCTATTTAAGGAAAATGATTGTTTTAATTGCCTTTTTCTGTACCTCTCCTAGTACTGTGGTCGTCCCTTTCAGATGCAGAGATCAAAACTGAACATGCCATAAATAAATTTGCTGCTTTATTCTTTGTCCCTTTCCTAATAATAGTTCATAATACTGTACATTCTGTTTACTGCCACAGCACACTGGGCTGACATTTTCAATGAATTCCCTACTGTGAACTCCATATCTTTTTCCTGAGGAGTTACAGCCAATTCACCATCAGCTGGGGAATTTAGGATTTTTATTATATTTTTGTTCCAGTGGGCATCATTTTGCTTTTACATTGAATATTACCATGTTTTGCTGTTTAGGAACCTTTTAATAGTCAAAAGCTTTAAAAATCTCCATAATATCAACCAATTCACACCAGTCTATATCTTTGTTGACTTCCCAACCCTGACCAAAAAATGACTAAAGCTTGATTTAATGCTGTTTCTTCCAAGGCTACACATTTAATAGTTCTAGCTTTAATAATGCTGCTTCCACCAATTTGCCTGGGTCAGATAGCTAGGCTGATAGAAATGTAATTTCCTGAGACTGTACCCTAAAAGATCCTTTTTAGAAATTAGCATTCCACTAGCTATTAACCCTGTGGTATGAGAGTCATTTTGGTTTAGAATTACCTTGAAGATGAACAACTTCACATTTTGAGTTCTTTAATAATTATTCAGTGAATGCCACCTGGTCCAGGTGAGTCATTTAAATTTGTCAACTGAATTCCATTAATGTTGTTGTTCTTTGTAACCTCTGGGTAGCAGAGGCTGCTTCCAGGTGGATTTTATTTTGGTAGGATTGGTGCTCCTCACGCACACATGTTTGGGGGGTTTTCCGGCATCTGGAGAACATTGTTGATATCAAAATCACACCTTTTCTCCACACTTACCCTTTCAATGAAAAAACCTGACAAGTTTTAAAAACAACAACCTGCTGCCAGTAACCCGTTTGCAATATCTGAACGATCAGTTTGCAACAGTAAGCTTCCATCTGAAAACACTCGTAGTTATTCAAACAATGTGCAAAGCAGACACGGTTCGAGTGTGGGTATATTTCCTACATGTTGGGTGCTATAGTCCCATTGACAGAACTATCAGGCGCCTGTTGTGTTAAGCTTATTTATTTTCCTTATTCAGAAGAGCATCATAGTTCTGTGACTCAGGATTTCATTGTACACTAGTTTAAAGCTCAAGTACAGCCCAATCCTATGCTTGTTTACTCTGAAGTTTGATAGTGCTTACTTGTACATAAGTGCACCTAGGAAGACACCATTAGTCCTTCCTTTCAGAACAATGCCAGTTCTATGGCCAACCTATGGGAAAGACACCACCATTTCTGATAATTTTATATTTTCATCTCTGTGCTGCAAACTATGCATATGCTTTAGGCTTTTGCAGTAGGACTGCATGAGTGGTTTCTGAATTCCAAGAGGTGGGTGGGATTGTCTCTTGAAAAAGAGAAGAAGAAGCAGGAGGAGGAGGAGGAGGAGGAGGAGGAGAAATAGTGTTTCTGTAAAAAAATGGGAAAAGAAAAACTATGCCTGGTGAAAGAAAGATGCGCTGCAGCATCACCCATGCTGGGAATGTAATGCAGTACATTCTCTCTTCCAGACTCTTCTCTCAGCAAACAAGCATCAAAGCTGTTCTGATCCTGCCTCCCCCCCCCCTCTCTCTCTCACACACACATACGATTTCACCCATCCCCTCCCCTTGATTGCTCAAGAGAGAGGCTGTGGGGAGAGGAGGAAGGGGGAAGCTGCTCTCTTGTTAAAACACAAAAGGATTAGCCCCTAGTGCGTTAATGGCACAAACCTTGAAGCTACAATCCAACGCAGCAGGGGCTTCAGTGCTTGGCAGGGGAGGGGATGTCTGAGGCAGGAACTGATGCGATGCCAACAACATAAGGCTGGCTCTGCCACTAACACCCCATTTCCCACTAGGGATCAGGTGGCTTCAGCCAGTCTTAGGGGGAGAGTCATTAGATCCATCAACCACTTGTACCTCTGCCATTATCCCACTATTTTGGTCCTATGAGTGCGCACACCCACAGACCAAAGGCCTCATGGCTCTGTTTCTGCATCTTAATTTTGATCTTCATTACCCTCTGCTGTCCCCACCATCATCAGCCTCGGCTGCAGAAAGAAATAACGGACTAAATCATAGTGATGATGATGAGAAGTATCTGATTAGCTGGGACAACTCTGATGTCACAAACGGCCGGGGTAATTCAATTTCCACAGCACTTTTCTTGTATTTAGCTGTGAAACAGCTATAGAGGATGACATTTCAACATTACTCAGATGTGAGGGTGCAGGGGTTTGTTTCTTTCTGTTTTAATATACAAATAGGCCAAAGAAAACTTCAGACAACTTTTTAAGTGTTTACACTCTAATGTAAAAAAAATGGTACTATAACGTAAAATGACTCTTTAGGAATAGGTGAGCCCTTGATTTCAACAGCTCATCTCCATGAGTATCCAGAACCCCTACTATGAGGCAGAGGAATGAAAAGAGCTTCCTCAGTATTATTGATAATCCCCACACAGCACCTTGTATTGTAAAATGTGATGAGACGCTTCCTGGCCTTGGGAGGTAAGAAAACAACAGAAGCCAACTGGAGAGAAAGGAATAAAATGAGAGTGATCAAAGGACAGTTTGGCAGGCAGGCAGGCAGGTGACATTCCCTATTTGGCTAACTGCTGCTGGATTACAAATTCCATCATCCCCTGCCCACTGTCCATGCTAACTGGGGCTGATGGGAGCTGGAGCTTCCCACCCATGATTGAAATGGAGGAGGCAAAGTCCGCCAGAGTGCTGACTCCTGCCCCATTGGTCACTTTATCCCACATAGCGACACAGACTATGTGCTGTAAAGGAAAGTGGCTAAAGGGAGATGGTCAGTAGTTTATACTAGAAAGGGAGCAACTCCCATCAACCCCAGCAGGCATGGCCCATGGTCAAGGGTGGGGGGAGCTGTAGCTTAGCAATACCTGAAGGGTCCAAGATTAGCCATCCTTGATCTATGAGAGGACACACCAGCTGCAAAAAAGGCTGTGTGGCCTTTTCAGATGAAAGACTCCTGTCACCAGTTAGATCTCTAGAAACGGATCTGCTGAGACAAACCATCTTCTGACTTACAGCACAGAATCTCTGACTTCATCCCACAGTGCAAGAACAACACCTGTGAACCACACAGAGGTTTTTTGCCTGTGTGGTTTGAAATCAAACCATGTGGGCAAAGCCACAGGCTTGCACTTTGCAAGCCCTGATGCAGTGCTGTAAACTGGGTTTCACAAATCCTGCTCATCACCCCCTGTGCAAGGTGGGGTTGACGAAGGGCTTGGTACTCTGATGCAGGTAATCTCTTTCAAATTCCATCAACTCAGGCTGAAGAGCTGGCACAGCCTTCTGAAGAGCCAACTGTGCCTTCCCACTGGCAGCCTGTTAAGTATGGTGAATGGCTAGAACAGCTGCTGGAGAGCCATTTAAGGAGGACATGGCCAAAGGCTTTACAGCCCAGGTATCCTGCAGAGAGCATTTGCTCCTGCTACATGAACTGCAGAAGGATGTATGTGTGGTTCTTCTTATTCTGGTAGCTTCCTGGGCTCATTGTCACATTGTTTGAGGCCGAATATCTAATCTCCAGGGATGCGGGTGGCGCTGTGGGTTAAACCACAGAGCCTATGACTTGCCGATCAGAAGGTTGGCGGTTCGAATCCCCGCAACAGGGTGAGCTCCCGTTGCTCGGTTCCTGCTCCTGCCAACCTAGCAGTTCGAAAGCATGTGAAAGTGCAAGTAGATAAATAGGTACTGCTCCAGCAGGAAGGTAAACCGTGTTTCCGTGCACTGCTCTGGTGCGCCAGAAGCGGCTTAGTCATGCTGGCCACATGACCCGGAAGCTGTACGCCGGCTCCCTCGGCCAATAAAGCGAGATGAGCGCCACAACCCAGATTCGGTCACAACTGGACCTAATGGTCAGGGGTCCCTTTACCTTTACCTTATTTAATCTCCAGCCCATTTTCTCTTTGCTTTGCTAACTCTACATGGAATCGATAACTCACTGGCTCAATGGGAAGCTTTGCTGCTGTTTTGCCAAAGTAAGGGGCTAGTGGCAAGGGGGCTTGCTGCTGCTGCTGCCATTGCACATCTGGACACAGTGCCTCTGAAATAGATACATCTGTGTCTGCTCATGCACAGACCAATTGAGTCCATGTTAGGCGACTGTTGAATCCTTTTCTAAGCAAACACCCAAACCATGAGCCTGCAAGACACAGAGAAGGCGGCAAAGGATCCTCTTCATCCTCCCAGCATGCAACTTGACCCATCCCTGGCTGCCCTCTGCTTGGGGGCTGGTGATGAGACACACCCCCAACTGAAGGGGGCAAGATTGGAGCAGTTGTTATTCTGATGCACCAGGCAACTTCCCAACTTGCAAGGTCTCGTAGTGAGTAAGACTTGTTCAAACAGGATACTTTGCAATCACTCTGTTGACACAGCCCAACTCGGAGCAGAGGCACAAAGGGCACAGTGGAGAGGCTGAGACTGAACCTAAAGGACCCTGCTCAGGGCCTCCCATCACTGCAAATATCCCCACAGAACGAAGTGGTCATAGCTCAGCACTCACTCACCCACCACCATGGCCCTTGTGGTGTAAGGAACTGCGCTCGAGAGAGCCTAGCTGTCTGCCACTTAGCGGGCAAGCACTGATGCCAAGAAGCACATGTGCAGGCAGAACTACAGGGTGTGCAAAAGTCTACATACTGCGTCTCTCGCAGGCTCAGCCCCAGAAGACATTTTCCCATTCAAAATCTGATAGGCAAGTGTGTGGTGTAGTGGCTAGAGGGTTGGACTAGGAAAGGAAGAGATAGAGATCCAGGTTCCAATCCCCACTCACTCAGCCAGTCACACAAACTGAAGCTAACTTAGCTCAAAGGGTTGTTTCGAGGATAACCTGGGAGAATAGAGTTATGCAGACCCCTCCTTGTGCTCCTTGGGGAAAATACAGAATAGAAATGCTGCAAATGAATAAAGGCAGATTTCAATCCATTTGTATTGGCAATGTAACGCAAAGCCCTGCCAGAATGTTTTCCAGAAATTGTTGCCTCTTGAAAGCATGTAAAAACACATCCACCTGACTTACAGTGGTCCATATCAAGAAGTATATAACATCCCCAAATAAGTAGGTGACATCCACAGCTAGACACAACAGAAGAACCAGATTTGCTGCTTAATTTGAGTTGGAACCCGTTTTTGCCAAGCCATAGGTTCTGCTAGAGAAGCTAGTCCTGGATCCTGGAGTCTGAGGTCCAAATCACACAACTGGAGATGGGTGCCCTTATGCGGATTGAGTGAATCTGTTCAATCTTTTCACCAAGCAGTGAAACAATGGTGCAATAGGTTCTCTACACTCTCCAGTCATAATTTTTCAATGCAAGCTGAGATTTTACTCTACTATTACAGTCCAACTACAAAGTGTTTATGATGGTGCAGTAGAACACCAGGAGACTTTTCCCCCAGTCTTGATTTGAGCATTCAGTGAAGCAATCACACAGCCAAATCCAGCCCAAGATTCAATCAACTCACTCAAACTGGCAGGGCTGTGTGTACGGAGTCTCCCAATTACTGCACTAGTAGGGGGTTGCTTTTTTCTTTCTTTTTTTCTTGTTCTGGTTATCCAAAGAGAAGAGTCCATGCCTCTTGAGCATGCACAAGCTCAACAAGTCTAGCCAGTCCCTCCGTTTTCATTGGTGGCTACAGAATAAGTTTTCCTGGTTAGAGGGACTGGCTTCCAGATAGGGCTGAACTCTGGCCATCATTTTACAAATTAAGCACCAGCCGCCAACCAAGCACAAAGCTGAAACACTGTAACAAGCTTAACAAACATATCTAACAAGATATGTTTCCCAGAGTCTTATATTGAGACTTATGCCAAATGGGGCATCAGAAATTAGGATTTTCATATCATCCATGCTACATGAGGAGCTGAATTATATCAGACAAATGAATGGGTGATATCATGATACACTGTCCTCCAATTACATCCAGGGCATTTTGTGGCACACAGAGAATAGACTCTTCACTGTGTTCACAGCCAGACAGTGAAAACATCTATTCTGGGCCCCAAGCAGCAGAGGATTTGATACACAGGGCAAGAAAAATATGTGCTAAAGGTAAAGTGGACAAAGAGTATGAGAGATTGTCACATCGGGTCTCAACAATCCAATAGGTCAGGACTGTTGGGAGGGGATAGATAATGGGGATGTCTTAACACACTGAGTGAAAGGCAGTATTAGGTGAATGAGTCTGGGAAGGGCATGTGCATTTGAAAATCTTCATAACTGCAATTGCAATGGAATCTGGGGTGTCAAGACATCTTTCTTTTTCCAATAATGTCAGTTTTACTTTAAAAAAGCAACACCCAAGTTTCTTGTCATCAGCATTATTGGGGGGGGGGGTTGAAAATGTGCAGACAGTACTTTGTGAAAACGTTGTGAAAACGTAAGTGGGGTTTTCGGCAGCCAGAGGCAAGGAAGTCTGTGCTCTGTATATCTCCTGTCCCATCCCATAAATGCCCTTCAAGACCTTTGTACACACTGTTCTCTGTGTCATGTGTTTCTGCCACCAAATATTTAAAATTCCCTAAAAACTGGCACACAGTATCACTTTTTTTTTTAACTAACATATTTGTGGTTTCACATCATGTTGAAATATTTGCATCTCTGCATAATTTACACAAGTGATCTTTGGAGAATTATAGGTTTCTCATTAAGAACTGAATTGCTTTTAAGTGCATAAATCAAGATCACATTACAAGAATTTGCTTCTGGTGATTTGCTTCTGCTACTGCATTTTGGAAGGGTGTAGGTGGATAGAAGTGGCGGACTTTGGGGTCTCAAATTTCAGTGGCACCCCCTCCTCTCGCATTCTATTCTACATCATAGTTGCAGCGCCCCCTGCGGTGTCCCCAAGGCTCTGCGCCCAGTGCAACTGAACCAGTCACACTCCCTCAAATCCACCTCTGTGGATAGAAGCAGAAATAGTCACAAAATGTGCTGTCAGTTCCACCTGATGGGACCATACTGGGATGGGGTTGGAGCTGAGGACTATACAGTAGTACCTCGGGTTACAGCCGCTTCAGGTTACAGACTCCGCTAATCCAGAAATAGTACCTTGGGTTAAGAACTTTGCTTCAGGATGAGAACAGAAATCGTGCAGCGGCGGTGCAGCGGCAGCGGGAGGCCCCATTAGCTAAAGTGGTGCTTCAGGTTAAGAACAGTTTCAGGTTAAGAGCGGACCTCCAGAATAAATTAAGTTCTTAATCCGAGGTACCACTGTATCATGCAGCAAGGAGGAGTGATTCCTGCAAGGCATTTTAAGACAGGTCATCTCAATGCTCCATTCCATGACATAGAACCAAGAGGTTAATTAAAGGGAGACTGTCTGCTCCCATGCAGCTTTTCCAAGAATTTGCTGTACATGTCATCACACTCAAACAAGGGAAACTGAATCTAGCGAGAAGCGGGGCTGTTACCTAAACCCCACTGCTGTTCTGGGCTTGTACATAAGGATCAGAGGTCAGAACTAACCCTGAAAGCCAATAGGAAGCGATTTCTACTCCTCGTGCACACACTAAGAGGCTGCCATGACTGCTGCTACAAGTCTCTTTTGGTTCCTATCCTGCCTCACTAGTGACACTGGAGGAGCCAGATCCCCACAGGCTGCAATTCTGTCCTCACCAGCAATGTACCCAAAGCAAGGCAGTTAACCCAACGCTGTCCATCGTAGCAAGAGAAAGGCAAAAGTCAGGCTTGCTTGGGATTGTTATATCTGGTGTCCTGCAATTATCCTACCTTGGTGAGTGCCACACACTACTCTTGGTATAGGCAATTTAGTGAGTTTTGCATGAGATCGTGTGTTTACAGCAATAACGTTAACAGTAATCCCAAGCAGGGTAGGGTGGACTCTGAACCAATCCATTCCTAAATATAAATCTTTAGAAGTTCATTCATACACTGGATACCATTTTTAACACCTCCTATTTGAACAACAACAACATCTGTAGGGGAAAATCCTTCTACTTATCCTTCCTAACTTCCCCAAGTTGCCAATGTAGGATTATACCGCACATGCCAAGCGTTTAGGACAGATTTGCCTGAATGGGTAACTGGACCAGTATACATTATTAATCTCCCTTATGCTTTGTGCGCCAATGTTCACCCCACTTTTGCAGAGATGGGTATAACCAAGCTTAAGTTCAGTATTCATTGAACCTGCTGGGCTTCCAGATCTGTTTGTTGTTTAGCAGTGTGTCACATTAACCAGAGATTTTCATATGGACGTTTTGTGATTTTGCAATACAGTGCGTAACACATTAAAACAAATAATCCTGTGCCTCGGGTTGTATATTGTAAAAGTGGCCGTTCCAATTCCGTTTCTTCCTTAGAATCACAGAGTTTGAAGGGACCACAAGCGTCATCTAGTCCAACCCCCTGCAATGCAGGTATCTTTTTGCCCAACATGGGGCTCGAACCCACCACCCAGAGCATAAGAGTCTCCTGCTCTAACCAACTGAGCTATCCCGGTCATGCATAAAATAAAAGAATTTTTTAAACCAATTGGCTGTCGTCTCCGGAGTTGTTTTTTTCACCTTTTGGTTACAGTTCACACGGGGCATGTGTTTGTCCATTCTACAGGCACACACACTCTCCCCTCTGCCACCTTTTCTCCTGCACACATAGCAGATTGCCATTAGTATTAATTAGGTTCAGGTTCTGCTAGGTGTTACGTGACTGATTGTGTGGCTGGGTGTCTGCAGGAGGCTGTGGGCAGGAGACAAGAACATAGCCCTGTGATGTGATACTAGAGGGCAGCATGGAGGAGGAGGAGAAGCAGGGCAGAAGAGGAACTGTATGTACTGTGTATATGTGTGTGTGTGTGTGTGTGTACACACCATAGCTGTCAACTTTTCCATTTTTTAAAGGGAAATTCCCTTATTCTGAATAGGATTCCTTGCAAGAAAAAAGTTGGCAGCTATGGTACACACACACACGCCTAGCCATAGGCACAACTCCATGGTGGGTATATGTGCCCCCTTTCTCAGTGGCCCCTTCCATGCCTTGGCTTAATGTGACTTGTGAACCCCTTTGTGCCTCCTTTCATTCCCCCTCATCCATGCAGTGTTCTCCAACTACTACTGCCCCACACTTTCTCTTCCCAAAATCCAGAGGTTCCCTGTGCAACTGATGCAATTCTCCTGTTTGGGTTTTCAAAGCAAAGGGCATCAAAAAACTGTGGCATGGGCGTAGCCAGGATTTTTGTTAGGGGGGGCAGAACCTTAGTTAGTTAAATATTTTTATTGATCATGGGGGACAGCTGCCCCCCTGACCCCCCTTGGCTATGCCCATGAACTGTGGACTAGAGAACAAGGCACTATCTATTTCAGGGCTGGTCAGACCTCAGGCTTGCAGGATGTGCTTGGTGGTGGTGGTGGTTTAACGGGAACCCACAAGATCCACCAAGTGGAGTCAGTGTAGCATTAAATAATTCAGATCCAGGGAATTAATTTGGAGTACCAGAATGAACTGAGCTCACAGCCCTTCCACCTGGAAACCACTCCTGGTTACCTTCAAGCATTCTTTATTTGGCAGAGTAATTTGGGGTCATCTCGTTTTGCTGCAGCCGTTGTTGATCAAAGGGGAGTTGGAAGTCATACCTGATACTGTTTGCTCTTGGGAAGGGAGAAAAATTGTATTGCTCTTAAGAAGTAGCTAAAGGGGTCCTTGACTGACACATGTGTGTGTATGGTTATCTGGTCAAGGATTACCCTGTGTGTCCACAGACAAGGGCTGCTATATGTCCGGATTTCCCAGGACATTACAAAGGCAGAATTGATGTCTTTCGGGGTGTCCTGTTTTTTTACTTTATGAAATATGGCAACCTTACCACAGACTAGCAAGCCAGCAAGGCAAACTGGGTGGTGCGTGGCATATTCTAACAGGCTTGCTAGAAATTGTGCCAAAGTTGACTATATACTTGGCTTCAATGCGGGTCCCTGACCTCTCGGGAGAGGACGCTGCTCCCCTTTTAACAGTTGCAGAATCATAGAACTGTAGAGTTGGAAGGGACACCAAGGATCAACTAGCCCAATTCCCCACCCTGCAGTGCAGGAATGTATAGCTGTCCCATATGGGGACTGAACCTGAGACCTTGCTGTTACCAGCACCACGTTCTAACCAACGGAGCTCTCCAGAAGTCCCTTCCTTTAACCCTCGACAAAGCTGTCCCGCTATATTCGGCTGCCGTGTGGACGCCCCGGACCGAGGCCGTTGTCGCCTCGCCTCCCCGGGGCGCAAGGCAGGGACGAGGCTGGCTGTTGCATGTGCTCAGCTCCATCCCGTTCACCGCGGGGAACCCGAGGCCATAGCTGTCAACGTTTCCCCCTTTTTAAGGGAAATTCCCTTATTCCGAATAGGATTCCTCGCAAGAAAAGGGAAACGTTGACAGCTATGCCCGAGGCTGACGGGGAGAAGAAGGGGGGGAGAGCCCCCTTCCACACCGCCGCCCTTCGGTGCCCCTGGAACCGGCTGAGGGATCTCCCCGCCACGCGCTCGCGCCCCTCGACGTGACCAAAGGAAAAGGGAAAACCCGCGAAGACGGCAGCCCTCCTTCTTCCCTCAGCCGCCGGCCCAGACCTACCTGCCTGTGTGGCTTCAGTTCTCGGCGCTCCCCGTCGGGCGCATCGCAGCCGGGCAAAGGGTCGAGGAAGTTCCCCGCCAAGGGGTCGCTCTGCGCCGGCTCCTGAGCGCTGGCGCTCCGCTCAAAACTTTTGCCAGAGCCGCGGCTCAATGCAGCCTCAGAGACCGGCTTCGGGGGGAGGGACCGGCGAGCTGGGGGGTGGGCGCCCGGAGGGAGGGAGGGGAGGAGGAGACAGCGGCCGAGCCTCTTCGCGGAGCAGCAGGTGCGGGCGGGCAGCCGGAGGGGCGCCGCGTTCTCCTCGCGCCAGGGAAGCAGCTCTCCAGAAAGGGACCTTCTCTCCTGCCGGAGTCGCAAGTTTTCACCCGCCGTTGCTGCTGCTGACGCGCAAAAGGAAAGCGAGACTTGGAGGTGTCAGGGAGGGCTGCGCAGACCACCTCCTCCTTCCTCTCCCTCCCCCCAACTTCGGGGGAGGTCGGCAGCCGAGGCTCAGGCCGCCTCATGCTTCCCAGGGCCTCGCGTCAGGGGGCGCCATCCTGTTCCTGGGACACGTGTACTCTTTGAGTGGCATCGGGGAAAGGGGGCAAAGGGTCAGGCGGTCATCAAGCTCAAGGCCTTCCTCGCACTAATGAATGCCGTTGTATCCCAAACTTGGGTCTCCAGCTGTTTTTGGACTACAACTTCCATCATCCCTAGCTAGCAGGACCGGGGTTAGGGATGGTGGGAATTGTAGTCCAGAAACAGTTGGAGACTCAAGTTTGGGAAACCCCTGGATGAATCAGATGGGCTTATGGTGAGGTCCGGAAGTCTGCTTCCATACCTAATAGGCCTTGAAGAAAGTTAAGCAGATCAGCCTTGTGGTCTGAATTGTTAAGGAAAAGAGAACACCTGTGTAAGACACCAACTCTGCTTTAGGGCTTTTTCCAGACTCAATTTTTAGTGCATTAGTTGCACCCATGGGCAGGGAGGGGCAGCTCCACCCCCTAAATAAATAAAAAGCATAGCTAACTGAGGTTCTGCCCTCCCCCCCACAAAAGGCCTGCCCCCTAACAAAAATCCTGGCTGTGCCCATGATTGCACCTGCCTTATCCAGGTGTTATGCAGGACATCTGGTTGGAAAAAAGATGTTCACACCTGAGGGAAGGTGTCTGAAACATTAAATATGTGGATATCTTTTTTCTTCTGGCAATATTTCTGTTGCAGTGGGTGTGGGGGGAGAGCCCACCTGCCTCCTCCATAGCATATCAGTTGTGACAATTAATGCCTGTTAATTTCAAGCTCAAATTTTGTGGTCTCTTCCTCCTTTCTTCCTTTCCATTTAGCATTGACGCCACCCATTTGTGATGGTAATACATGGATACCTCCCTCTGGAAATGCATCTTGCAGAAACAGATTTGTAACTAAAATAAGCATCTTTACCAGATGACTGGAAGTAAGCCAGCGCAGCACCAATTTTTATAAAGGGGTGAGGGCAGCGAGCCAGGAAATCACAGGCCAGTTAGCCTAATGTTTGGCCTTGATAAATTGCTGGAAGGCGTTATTAAAAATAGACTTAGTAAACATAAAGAAGAGCAAGTGTTGGCACAGAAGAATTAGACTGGCTTCTGCAAAGGGAAGTTCTGTTTTACTGATCTTTTGGAATCATTTGAGAGTGTCGACAAGCATATAGATGTGGATAGTAGACAACATATACTTGGGCCCTGTCTGCACTATACATTTAAAAGAGTATCATACCACTTTAAGCAGTCATGGCTTCTCCCAAAGAATCCTGGGAACTGTAGTTTGTTAATTCTATTCCCTTCACAGAGCTACAATCCCAGGGTTTTCTGGGAAGAGGGATTGTTGAACCGCTCTGGGAATTGGATAAATTTGTGGAGAACAACGCTACCAGCCATGATGGCTATGTTCGACCTTCACTGTTGGAGGCAGTGTGTCTCTGAATACAAATGATAGTAATGAGAAGGTATGTTTCGTTTCTTGATTGACATCATTGCTAGGTCGAAACAAAATTTAAAAATTCCTCCCAGTAGCACCTTAGAGTCTCTAAGGTGCTACTGGAAGGAATTTTTAATTTTTGTTTTGACTACGGCAGACCAATACGGCTACCTACCTGTAACTAGAATCATTGCTAGGTGTGTGCTTTATAGAAAGCAAGCAAGCAAGCAAGCAAGCATGAATGAATGAATGAATGAATGAAATAAAAAGAAATAAAACTGTTCTTCAAATAAACAAAAATCTTCCACTTGTGTTCATACACTCTATAGGTTTGTCTCTGCGCACAAAATAGCTACACAGATCTTTTTAAAAATATATATATATATCTACTTTTGGGAAGTTGTTATTTTAATTTGGGTGGGAGATTGGATGCTGTCCCTACTCCATCCCTTGAATCCTACAATGTTGGGGAAAGTTCAAATGCACATTGAAAACAATTCACATTGTTAGTTTTGTGCTCAACAATTATTATGAGTGGAAGTTGCTTTTATTTCCTTGTGTGTAGAGTGGCGGTGCTATAGAATTGTTGGAGAAGTTGGTCGCTGTTGGAAGCAGGATGCTGATTCTACAGGGGGAATTCTTATCTCCTCTGGTTACCAGTGCCATTTTTGACAGCTGATGAGATTTGAGAGATTGTGCATTGCTACTGGGAGATCTAGGCTATGGAATTAAATCTATCTGGTGACTCTGAGCAAGGTCATGATGGCACACTCTTAAGTTCCAGACCATTAATTCTGGAATTGCTAGGCAGTTTCCTCACATGGTCATTCCTGAATTCCAGGGATGTGCGGACCTACTTTGTGGGTTTAATTTCTCTCATTCCTTGCCTTCTCCTTCCCCTGTGTGCCACAGGGCGAGTACACTCTCTGGTGGCTTTTCCTCCGTCCCATTCAAAGCTGCTGTATTTCTCAGGCACATATGCCTCAAAGAAGCCACTGCAATAATTGAAGGGAACTGTGGAACAAAGACTCAAAAGGCATTATAAAAGCAACCCAGTTCACAACAGCCCAAAAGCTACTGATACTGCCTTGCCGTAGGTATGTATACTCTTGTGTGATCCAGTTTTTTATATATATAAAAAATCCACTTCCCGTATAAGCAGGACAAACAACCCTAGCCACTGGTGGTGATGTCAGGCCTCAGGCCCTTAGTCATATGCTGTGGTCATTAAATAAAGGTAAAGGACCCCTGACAGTTAAGTCCAGTTGGGAATGACTTGGATTGCGGCGCTCATCTCGCTTTACTGGTTGAGGGAGCTGATGTTTGTCCGCAGACAGTTTTTTTCCAGGTCATGTGGCCAGCATGACTAAGCCGCTTTCGGCAAAACCAGAGCAGCACACAGAAATACCATTTACCTTCCCACCAGAGTGGTACCTAGTTATCTACTTGTACTTTGACATGCTTTCAAACTGCTAGGTTGGCAGGAGCAGGGACCAAGCAACGGGAGCTCACCCCGTCGTGGGGATTTGAACCGCCGACCTTCCGATCAGCAAGCCCTAGGCTCAGTGGTTTAGACCACAGCGCCACCAGCGTCATCTCACAGGGCCTTCCTGGCGGCAACACAAGCTATCCTTCATAGGTGGGAGGATAACAACCCCATTAGAAATAGATGAGATGGTTAATCAAAACAGGGCAGCTTGGCTTCCAAAGAATAAATTGAAATGGGTGGGCGGGGTGGAGGGCGGACACCCTTAGAAGAAATGTGTGCAGATTCCTGAAATATTTTGGGGGGTAACTTTGCAGAATGTGTGCAGAAAAATAAGGACAGATCTCTGTTCTTTCTATATATATATTGCAGCATGAACAACAGAAATTCCAGGGATGGGGAACTAACTTGTGGTTTTCCAGATATTGTTGGACTACAACTCTCATAATTCCTGGCCCTTCTGGCTGGCACGGATGGGAACTGGAGTGCATTTTTAATGCAACAAGAGACAGAAGAAGAAGGGTATGTGTGGAGGTGTTACCTGTGTCTCAATTCCAGAGCCCTCTGTTCAGTGGGCACTTTTAAGGCATGAAAAATGCAGGTAACACCAGGATATCCACAGAAGAAAATCCCACTGAGCCACAGAGCATCCTACATGGGATCTTGGATAAAGGCTGTAGTCCACATTCTCATTTGTTCTGTCTCTCCCTCTCCCTCTGAACCCTCCCTTCCTGCTGCAAGTAGGCCCTTCTAAGAGATACTACAGAGCAAGTAATCAAGCACCAGTTTTTTTTTTAAAAATTGTCTGTGCAAGCTTTTTCCGAATGCTCGCCTTTAACAACACTTTAAAGAAATACCACTTAGTCCCCCAGTGCCATTTTTTAGTGACTGACCCTCGGTAATTGGATGGGGCCATTACAATCATGCTCTGAACTGGTTATTGCTGATGAGCCTGTCAAAAGAAAGGGAGCTTATCACATTAGCTGCAGTAATAGAGACCACAAATCCCTTGTATGGCTGGGGAGTTAGGTAATGAGAGTGTTGACAACAGCTTTGGAAATGTGGTCCTAGATCTGAGCTGTGCCCTCCTCGCATCACCCCCTGCCCAGTGAAAGGGTGCCTGTTAATTCCTTTTAAGAAGGATCTCTCAATATGCTGCCCTTTTCCACCAGCCTCTGGGGGAAAGGGAAATGCATTTAGTGCTGTGCTAAGTCAGCCGATAGCCTGTTAGATACTGTGCTACATCTTGGTAGCAAATGAGCACTGAGTTGGGATTCGGGGACACCTGCCTCGCTGCTCAGGAAGACATGCAGGGGAAAGGTCTAGGAAGACAGTTCGGCTTCCTAGAGGATGGCAGCAAAGGGCAGAGGTGTCTGCTCAGTGTCCAGAGAGTGGTAATGTTTTCGTGTGAGGACAGCCTCTGAGTTACTTAGCTTCCCCTGGAGACCAGCTGAGCCATCATACTGGGAGCTGGGGGAGAGAACACATGCTTGGTGCATCATAGCAATGAATAGTTGGGGCTCATTAGTGAGAGAGTGTGTATGGGGAGTGGGGGGGCGGAGGCTAAGTTCTGCACACAAGAATTTTCTAAGCAGAAAGAGATAGCACTTTAGAAAACAACACACTAGCTCCTGCTGCTTCTGACCTCTCTCCAAATTGGACTGAGGCAGAAAGCACAGTGGATGCCATCAAACCCTATGCTTCAAAGGCTGCTTTCGGACAGCACTCTGACCTCATGGCTAACCAGACCCCGGTGCTGCTCAACGTCACCTGTTTTGTCTTAATCCTTTTAATCAGATGGTAATTATATTGCAGTTGCTTATGCAAAGTGTGATGGTGATGCGGGGCCAAGAAAATTATGTTTTGCTTTCCACTGGATCCTGCCTCCATCCATTCTTCTCTGACTGATCATGGACTTAGGGGACTCAGAGTCCCACGTGGAGTTGGGCAGCAAAAGCCAAACCCTGTTGTTTTTTATATCAATATTTTTGGAAGAAAGGTGGTATATAAACTCCATCAATTAATCAATAATACAACAGTTAACATGCCTAAGAATGCCAAACTGCTTAAAAAAAAAATCTCAGAGATTCTTTTCTGTAGCATAAAGCTGTGATAGAAAGGAAACCTTTTGTTTTGCTTGCCCTGGAACTAAGTTTGGGCCACTCCAAGCCCATGATCATTGCAAATTAAACAGGGCTCCAGCTTCCAAGGAGATGTTCCTCTGGCACTTTTGTTTGCTCAAAAGAGTGGAAGAGAAATTAAAGCCACCCCCGGCCCCAACAAAGGGCTCAGCTGCTCCTCTGGGTGAACGGAAAGGCTAAGAATGGTTCCCGCAGCTGGGGTGTCTCGGGACATCGGAAGTGACTGCGGCAGAGAGGGAGGGAAGAGGGGCACATAGCAGGAGCAGAACTGAGACTCACAGAGGCCAAACTGGGTGAAGTAAACTTGGTCAGGGAATGGGGTCGGAGGCCTCTGGGAGCATCTCACATTCTCCAGCAAACAAACAGCATGCTGTGGAACAGGGCTGAAAGCTACCCCAACTCTCCTAGGTTTTGAGTTCATCTGCTTTGCTCACCTGCCCATGTTTGCCAGTGGTTGTTGGTTCTTGCTTGGGAAAGGGCTGTAGCTCATTGGTACAGCATCTGCTTTAGTCTCAGGTTCCACCCCCAGCTTTCCCAGGTAGGACTGGGAACACCTCCAGTCTGAAACCCTTAGGATGCTGCCTGTGCAAAAACAATCATCTGCCTTGGTGTAAGGCAGCTCCCATGGTTCCCAAGTGGCGTCAGGAGAGAACCTGGCTAGCAAGCATTTCCTTCCATGCTCCTTTCACCTACTGGAGGACACTGAATTTGCTCTAGCAAAGACCCGCTATGCCCTCCACTATTGCTTGTTCCCCAACTTCAAGCACCTTGCTAGGACAGTCTAAGGCAGGGGTGGCTAAGCTTTGGTTCCCTAGATGTCGCTCAACTACATCATCTAGGACTATTGACCATGCTGGCTCGGACTGATGAGAGTAGGGAGTCTAGCAGCATCTGGAGGGCCATTAAAATACCTCCCTGCTGCTATTCTAAGCAGTTTTAAGACTCTAAAACTATACTAGCAGTAATTTGCCTCAGTTATACTTTTCCTACTCAGATGGCCAAGTCGTTGCATTCCCCATGGTGAGCAGGAGCTTTGGTTGTAGGACAGTCCAATGAGCTAAGCAGTACGACCACACCCCTCATAGCTGCCCAATTCCATTGCTCGCCAGTTGGCAGCAGGGCAGCGCTGATGTGCTCAATTCCAGTGACAGCAAACATTGCGCGGGATGACCTATTGACCTGTTCACGTGCAAGTGGGGTAGAAGCTGGACTGCCAACTGATTAAAGATCGTTAGCTGATTAATGTTCTGGCTTTTTATCCAATCTACTAAGCAATTGCTGAAATGCAAATACTTGACTAGCATGCTACAAGACCTCAACAGAATACTTTAAAAAAATTATTCTAAGGACCACTTGCAATTGATAAGCAAAAGCCACCTGTCATTGCTGAGAAGTAAAGTCCCACCTTAACATTCCTACCCCACCATATTAGGCACATTAAATATTAAACTCTATTGGTTGGTTTGGAAGCTGCAGCTAGTGCAGAATGCTGTGACTACTGACTGGTACATCTAGCTGGGCCATGTATGACACTGGTTCTTAAGGATCTGCAGCTGCCATCTATTTGCGACTGAATTAAGTTCCAAGTTTTATTATGGACATATAAAGACCCAACCAATTTGGGATTATGGTACTGAGCAGACTGCCTTCCCTGCTATCGGCCAAATCAAACTTTATGCTCATCAGAGGAGACTCTGCTGGCCGTACCATCTGGAAACCTCGCAGAAATGGGCCTTTTCAGTTATAGCACCAACCGTCTGGAACACTCGCCCAAAAAAGATCTGAGAAGCTCCGTCTGCTGGATGCTTCAAAGGCTTCCCAAGATATCAGCTGGTTACGCAGGTCTGTTTGAGAATGCTATTGCACTCAGTTCCAACTTGCTGTTTTAAATGGTGGTTTTAAAAATGTATTTATTGCATTCTGATATTTATTTGACATCTATTATAGTTATTGCATTTTGGTTTGGTTTTCCACTAACGCAGCATGTCAGGGGAAGCCAGCAAAGGGACTTATGCTTGCACAATGGGGCTTCCCCCTGCTTCTCTCCCAGATATACTCTGTGGGGCTGGGAGACCCCCCAGAACAGCATGCAGGGGAAGGAGAGGAGAGATTGTTCCATCTGGCAAGCAAAAATGCTTGCACTGAAGGAACAATTGTATTAGTGCAATGCTGAATTCCACTCTATAATTTTTGTAAACTGCTCATGGTTTGTTGCTGAAAACATTGGTATACAGTGGTACCTCGGGTTACATACGCTTCAGGTTACATACGCTTCAGACTCCGCTAACCCAGAAATATTACCTCAGGTTAAGAACTTTGCTTCAGGATGAGAACGGAAATCGCGGGCGGCGGCGCAGCAGCAGCGGGAGGTCCCATTAGCTAAAGTGGTGCTTCAGGTTAAGAACAGTTTCAGGTTAAGAACGGACCTCCGGAACGAATTAAGTATGTAACCAGAGGTACCACTGTATGCAATATCTGAATAACTATTAAGTAAATCAGTCCCTCTGCTGATAGGAGAAGTGGCCCAACAACATATAGAGGGCCACAAGTTTTTCATCCTCTATTAGGGAATAGTCCCCATTGAGCAAGCAGAACTTAACTCTGAATAGACAGGCATAGCATTGCACTGTAACTCTCGTGTCAAAATCAACGGGACATCAAGTATTTTTTTCAGCCTTGGTTAGTTTATGCCCATTCATCTCCGCTAAGGGCCGTCTGCTTTAGTTTCTAATTGTTCTTGCTTCAGAAGGAAAGCCATAATCATTTCTCCTGGAAGGCTGCCGCTGAATACAAACTCGACGAAAACGTCATGTTGTAATTTATTTCTCGTCAAATCTGGTGCAGCCAGCAAATAGCCAAGACATCTCTCTGGGCTTCATGATGGTAAGCCCTACAAGAGCCCCACGACCTAAAATCATTGCTTTCTGACAGCTCTACTGATTAATTTGGAGAACAGGGGAAATGATGTTGATCTCTAACACACACTGTAGCCGCTTAATACGCCATGGGTTGCATCCAATGTTACTCGTGCTCAGAGTAGGCCTGTTGAAACCAATGGGCATGACTAACTTAAGTCCACTCATTTTATTGGGTCTACAAAGTGAGCAAAAATTAGCTGGATACAGTCTGATGCTTTCAAATATTGCCGTTCCGTGCTGCTGCTGTGTTTGCTTCTTATCTTTGAGGGCCACCCCACCGCTAGGCCCCACAGAAGCTCGGCCTGCTTCCTCACGCTCATCTGTGCTGCCAAACACAGGCCTGTTTACTGAGGGGCTGGCCCAAGGTTCAATGATTCTCAATTCACTTCCACTGGGACTAGATACTGTCCCTTCTGGCAATGTGAGCTTCTGCTCCATTGTGTCCCCCTCCTCTTCTCGCCGCCTCGCCCGACACACACACATATTAAGTGGTAGCTTTCCTTTCACAATGGCAGTGTCGGGCCAAGGAACCCTGCTGTGTGCTCATTAATCGGACCGCTGGATGCCTCTTTTCCTGGGATACAGATGGACACAAATGCCAGACATTCTCCTGGCCCTGCAGCTGTATGCTCTTCTAGCCTGTAAATTTCATGCTGCTGCTACTCTTAGCGTATGACAAACCAAGCATTCGAAGGGCCTTTTTTTTTTTTTTTGTCTTCTGCCTCTGGGAATTATGCAACAGCATCTCCCAAGAGCCTGAGAGTTGTACTGAAGGGGGAAATCAAGACCCTCCTTCGCTGAGTGGGTTAGTTAAGTAGGTAGGCCAGGCTTGGCTAAGTTTATTACGTATTGATATCCGAAGCTCTCTGTTTCCAACGGTGGTCAGCTCAGAAGCAGGGCAGGTTGGAGACAGCCATTTACTATTGTTTGCTCACAACCTTTGAACATGCAAGTTCAATTTTAGCAATTATTCATGTAGACCTTACCATTAAGCACAGTGAGGTGGGCCATCTCAGGAAACTGATTTTGAGTGTCATGAAAGGGCAGCAAATTGTAATATCCGGGGACTGTCCCCGGAAAACAGGGACGTCTGGTAACCATCAAACAAGAGAATAAGACAGTCTTTGCATGGAGCCAAAATATAGGAACATGGGTACCAGGTGAACACATCTAGGAAGGGAAATCCATTCTTCTGCTGCCACCACAGAAAAGGCCCCTTGTCTGACAGCCATCATTATCCAAAGGCTTTGGAAGACCTCCAGAGAAATGTGTCCAAACACTATCTTAACTGATGAACAGGCTCACCTAGAGAAGACCAAGGTTTTTAAAAATGCCACTTTTTAGAACAATCTTCTCACAAAGCAGTTTGCAATACATCAAATAGCAAGTTGCAACTGTAAAGCTGCTGAATCCAATTACAATAAAACAAACTGGGACCGCAGAGTTGTTCCACAGCAAGGCATTGTAGTTGTGGTGATCTTAAAAAGTGCCTGCTCCCACTGCTTCTTTGTCACAGTTGTGACAAATAGAAGAAACTCTATTTAAAGTTTTAACAGTTTCCTGCTCGATAAGCTGTATTTGCCAGAGCAATGTGGAGGTGCAGGCATTCTCTGTGGCCCCCTCTCCCCATATGCCTTGCTCTGTGGAAGGGCCCCGAGGACATCCCTGTAGGAGTGCCATGGACCCTTTTGTTGCAGCCGCAAAGTGGTGATGGTACTCTTAGTGCTAAAGGGTGACGGGCAGGTGGCTGGATCAGTGGAAGGGTGCAGAAATTCACTGTCTTACCCGCTGCACCATCTGAGACAGACACATTTCTATTCTCTTTCTCTACGCTTTTTGTAGTTCTACAAATCTCTACAAACAAACAAAAGCTCCTGGCAACTATTTCAACATCCTGAACAAGTGTGAGATGCTGAAGTTCCCAACCATTATTGTTCAAGCAGACGGCTCGTTCTGCACTCAAAGGAACATGGCTGGCTCCTACCATGCAATTAACAGTAGCTGGCCAGTGACATCGCTCCCATTCTCTCCTCCCCACTGTGTTAGGGGGCCGGCTAAGAGCCAATGAGAATCCAGAAAGAGCATCACGCTGCCTGGCTTGGCGCTCTCAGGAAGGCTTCCAGAATACTTATATCTGTTGCGGGAGCCACTATGGGGAGGAAACCTGGCAAAAAAAATGTAAGAAATATAGCAGCAGAAGGACAACAACAACATCTGTGTTTTCATCTATCACTTTGAACACTTGTCTCATTATCCCAGACGAAAGAAAACATTTACAAAGTGTCAGTTACAATTTTATTACATTACCCGGAGGCTCGTTTTGTGGTATGTAGTCTGAAGTTTTTGTCTATTGTATTTTATTTATTTATTTGATCAACTTTATATACTGCTTGATTGTAAAAAAACAACATCAAATGAGGTTAATATTTCACCTTTCTTCCAAGACTTTCCAGATGGAGCACACAGTCCCCCCCCATTTTATCCTTCCAGCAACCCTGTGGGTTAGGATAGGTCAAAAGAGGATGACTGGCTAAAGGTCACCTAGTGAGGAGCATGGCTGATGGAGTTTCGAACTGGTCTCCCCAGTCCCAGGCTGACATTCTAACCACATGGCAGCAGGCATCACACCGGAATGTGTGTTATACATTGAAACATGCTGCATCCTTAAAAATATCATTTTGCATACACATTTGTCATGTGAACAAGGAGAGTGCAATGAAGGGAAATGTTTCAGGAGGGAGCACTGTAATTATATGCAGCATGAAGTGCGACAGCAGGCTTCCTCAAACTCGGCCCTCCAGATGTTTTGAGACTACAATTCCCATCATCCCTGACCACTGGTCCTGCTAGCTAGGGATCATGGGAGCTGCAGGCCAAAAACATCTGGAGGGTCGAGGTTGAGGAAGCCTGTGCTACGGGCTCTGCAGGGAAAACTTCACAGCTTGATCCTGCGTCAATGCATAAACTAACCCTGAGCATTCATAAGCACCAGTGCTGAACAGCTTCTGTCCCAGGTATGAATAGGAGCCAATTTGTAGGGGCTGAGGTCCCTTCGCCCCCCCCATAAAATATTTGAAGGGGCTAGCCTCCCCAAAAGTTGGTGGGCATTGCCTTTCAAATGGTGTGTGTGTGCCACATCATGTGGGGCAGGGCTTACCTGGGTACCCCCCTCCAATATTTTATTCAAGTTGGCACCCCTGCCTGGTATCCCCTTGCTTATACTACTCAGGGCTCCTTATGCTACCTAAACCAAACTACGCTAGTCAACTGGAAGCAGTAGCAGTCGTGAAAGCAAGTCAGACTACCCTTTTAGTTGTGGAGTAAGCACCAACTCAGAAGAGGGGCTGAGTTTGAAACGCATGTTGGTTGAACTAAATTACACACACACCTTGCCACCACCCCAGTTGACATTTGTCATTTGTGCCATTTCTTCCATGGCTAAGCAAAGTTACACCACTATGACCATTAAGTCAAGCCTAACAAATACTAGAAGCTGAATACCTGATCCCAGTGCCTACGTTTGCCAGAGCGACGCACAAATAGGAGAAATAATGTGTAAAGCCAAGACAGTACTCAAATCAGGGATTGTGTAGTTCTGTTCAGTGTTTTGTAGCACTCTCCACACTCATTTGGCAGTTGTTTTGAATGGCAAGAAGTTAGAGGTATTTGCCAGCTTCCTCCTGGCCTGACCCCACCTGCTAAGCCAGGATATTGTGCAGTCCTTGCTCCATCCTAGGAAAAACAAGCTTCCTTCGTAGGAAACATCCAACTACCCTGGCATGTATTTTGTGAATTGACAGGGGTGCAGCTGCTGGACCACACCATGTAGCTTAGGTTCTTGGCATCTCTGAACGATGTTGCATATATTCATAAAAAAGACTGACTGACCACATCTTCTTTAGTGTTCTGTAGTCAATTTTACACACACAGCAGCAAATCAAACAACTACCTGCCATGGTGGACGAATACTATTTCCAGGACAAGAGGCAGCACGCTTCTAAAAACCAGCAGCTGGAGAACAGCAGCAAGAGAGGGGTATTGTGCTCATGCCCCACCTGTAGACATCCCAAAATTGTCTGGCTGGCGACCAACAAGGCAGTTGTATTATGTTCAATCCTAGCTCCCTGACAAGCATAGCCAAACAGGCATTTGCTAGAGCTACATTTTTTTGGCATGCATTGAAAGCACCGTCAGGACATGCCTCTAAAAAAATGCAATGTGTGATACCTCCCTCTGTCCTGCTGCAGCACAGGTCAGCCAGACCCAGGTTATCCTGGCAACACGCTGGAAGGGGTGAGAGAGGAGACAGGAGTCACATATGCTTATCTCCTCTCCATCACTAATTGGGGCTACGGAGAGCACAGTCTGCACCCAAGCTCCATCTGCTGAGTGCCGACAGTGCCTGGAGCCATCTCCACAGCTCCAGTGCTTTATGCATCATGCAGCAACCTAGCACTGAATGCATCAAGCTGGGGAGAATGGAAGAGCGGCACACTTGCCTCTGCGGGCAGTAAGCTCTCTGTACTGTGCAGAACAGTGCAGCTTTCAGTATCCAATCTGCATCCTACTTGGAGAGGCTAAATAAATTGGGGAAAGGAACAGAGGATAAGTGCCAACCAACAGCTGCTGGCCCCCAGAATCACACTAAGACATAGGGATCTAATGTGTCTTAAAAGGGGTGCAAGTCAGATCCCCAGGGGTGAAGAACCTGTGGCTCTGTAGATGTTGTTAGACTCCCAACTCCCAGAGCCTGCATGACAAATGGTCAAGGATGATGGGAGAGTTGCAGTAAAAAGGTAAAGGTAAAGGACCTCTGGATGGTTAAGTCCAGTCAAAGGAGACTATGGGCTGTGGCGCTCATCTCGCTTCAGGACAAGGGAGCCAGCATTTGTCCACAGAAAGCTTTCTGGGTCATGTGGCCAGCATGACTAAACCACTTCTGGCGCAACTGAGCACCGTGACAGAAGCCAGAGCACACAGAAACGCTGTTTACCTTCCCACCACAGCAGTACCTATTTATCTACTTGCGCTGGCGTGCTTTCGAACTGCTAGGTTGGCAAGTTCAAGAGGCTCAGTGGCTTAGACCACAGTGCCACCCGTTGCCTACCACAGCACTACAACTTCCAGTCTTTTTGTCGCTATGTGCCTCAGCCACTTAAGAGGTCCATAGGTTGTTCTTACCTGGGGATACTGGAATGCGGCTCAAAGAGCAGGCTTGGGAACAAAGTGCTGTTATTGCCAGACCTAATTAAGCTTTGTTAAGATGACAAATTTGCATTCCCTTGGCCTTCTTCTACAGCCCAATTAGCGCCTTGTCCAGACGCACCTCTCATGCAAGCCACACAGTATGGGGTAGATAAATGTTGGCAGCCATAACTAGGGACAACACCTGTGTTTGAGACACCGCTTCCTCATGCTCTGTTTGAGACAGAACAGGGCTGCCGATTCCAGGGACTGAACCTGGGACCTTCTGTATGTAAGGCGGAGGCTCTAAGACTGGTCCACCCCCCTACATGGGTTTATACCATTTGCCTCATACAATAAAGGGACTCAATCTTAAGTCCTGTAGCTTCCCGCTGCACTTTGTACCACAGCAAGATACTGCATAGGAGAAAGTGGATCTACACAATTTGGACATCAAACTCCTTAAAGTCTGGCAACAGAAGCAATTTGCTGCGACATGGACTAGCCCTGCTCACTCAACCATGCTAGGTTGGCACCTGTTGAAAATGAGAATACATCTCTCTCTCTCTCTCTCTCTCTCTGGAAACTGTTAACTAAAAATGGTTCAATACGCCAATTTGAGGGACATTTTAAATAACAGCACTGTACAAAACCGTTTAGCCTTCTCATTTTCCCAACAGAGCGAACTTGGAGGATGTAAATCCGAAGTCATATGACACACATTGAAAGGGACTGGCGCTTCAGGAACGAGCAACACCTGCTTTTCACAATTACTTTATTGTCATGATTACAAAAGTGCTGATTTAGTTGCTCTGGCTCTTCGACCCCGCAGAATCATTACCCTCTGGAATGACGCTTCACACCCGGGGGGGCTGACCGGTGAGGGGGGCACCACATGCCGGCAAAACAAAGGCCAGCAGAAACAAGGGACAAATGGCCGATACGACAATCACTTCATTAGGCATGGGCCGGATCCAGAGGCATTTAAAAAAAAAAAAATCAGTGCTACAGAACGGGGCCTTGACAACATCACAGAAAAAGCAAGGCAACGTGGAAAGATTTCACAGCCGTCTAGGCTCCCTCCAAAGCTGCCAAGAGGCTCAGAGGAACTGCCAGAGGATAAATCGGGCAGGGAGTAGGGAAAGTTTGGCAGCTTAAGAGGCACACAATGTCTATCTGTGACACCTACTCTAGAGTAAACCTAGTAAACAGAGGGCCTCCCCCTGCCCTGCAACCTTAGCCCATGCCATGGGTCTAAATATGGACCATGTTCTCCCCGTCCCAGATCCTCCGTGAAGGCCTTGCCAACTTACGACAGCCCCCCCCACCATCATATGCCAAGAGGCCTGCTCACTTGGGGTACATGAGAAGCGAAGGAGGTGTCACAAGGGATTCAAATGTTCTCTCCCCCTGGCTGAGCTAACTTGGCTCTTGCTAGTTAGAGGAATACCTCAGAAACCTATTCTCTGCTCTCATTAGTGCCCCTCCCCCAGGAGGCCCTTTGGTTTCAGGAGGCTTTGGCTGAACAAGGTTAAAGCGAGAAGCAAAATGAAGGAGGCAAGGCTTGCTAGGCCGGCCGTAGACTGCGGTGTTGCTTGCCCTATGCTACCACTACTACCAGTCACAGTTAAATACAAGGGGCCATCCGTGCCTCATACAGCAGACCTGAGGGTTAAGAAGAGACTGAGGTAGGATAAAGGGAGGAGGCCGGACGCAGTGAGGGAAACCTTGTGTTCATAGAAACATTTAAAAATCTGGGACGCTGAAGGGTAAGAAGGAAAAGGTGCCCGCCAGGTGTATTGCTATCGACAGCCCCACCATTAACTAGTAGAACCCCTCTCCAGTTCACTCGTAAACATTTAAAAATGGACAGAGAACATTATTATTATTATTAAGTTTCTACCTCCCCACATGGAGATGCACGTCTGCTCCAGAATAGCAGGGGAGAAAGCAGTGCTCAGCATGGCAAGGTGACTGGGAGATGGGAGGCCGTGGCACCCAATTCCCCCCTCCCTCCCCAAAGAAACAACGAAGGAGACTGAGGACAGAGAAAGATGGTGGTATTGCAGAAGAGGCAAGTTACTGCCCATGGCACAGCGCAGGAGCAACTTCAGTCTTGCAGGGCTCCCGTAGCGAGTGGTAGCAAATGTTGCAATGCCAACGGGCAAGACAAGGGCATTCGTGGGGCTGTTGGGCGTTAAGAGGAGATGCTGTGGGGTCAGCAGGGTTACTACTGCACGGCAGACAGTATTGTGGTGCTGCTGCTAACGGCAAGGAATGGAGGCTCCAGTGAACTGCTGGGCATAGGAGAAAGGCATTGTGGGAAGAGGTTGGCCGCTCACTGCTACTGGGCACTAAAGGAGAGAGTTCTGATTGGCTGTCTGTCATACCATCAGGCACCAAGCAATGCCAAAGGGTTGGCTAGCAGCTGTGAGAAACTGTCAGGCACTGAAAGGGGGCATTCTGCGAGAGTTCAGCTGGTGCCGCAGCGCTAAAAAGGGCACTGTTAATAATGCCTCACCTTGGCAAAGGAATATTGTGTGATACCCAGGCACTGTGGGGGTCGTAGTGTCCAAGCCCTCCCCGCCCCCGGTCCTCCAGGTTTATGCCTCTGACTAAGGCAGGCCCTCTTCTCCCTCAGGCCAACACTTTGATCCCAAAGTTTTTGCGCAGCTGCTCCAGGAAAACAAAGGTGAGCACCGTATGAGGGACCAAGCGGACGCCAGCAGGAACAAGGCCCTAGAAGAGGAAATTGGTTATGGTCAGCTTCTGTCAATCCTGGAATCGTGGCCGCAAGCTGCACAGCTAGACCAAGGAGGGAAGGTGGGGCTTGAAAAAGAGGCAGCTGGCAAAGGCTCCCAGTGGAGAGAAGCCCAGATTTTGATCCCATGCGTCTACTCCAGTATCTGGAGTCATATGAGGCTTTTTCACTCACCTGGCATCACCTAAAGGCCAGGTAGCCTGGCATGCAGCTGTAGCACTTGAGCAGGGGAAGGGATGCAATGGAGGCAGTGGAGCCATCTTGGGAATAGGGAGGCAAACTGGAGAAGCACAGTGGCTGGGGACCAAAAGGGCAGGAATGCAGGACTAGGAAGGGCTAGGAGTTGTGCTGTCTGCATTGCGTGCCTGGTCTACTTGGTGCAATCACCCATCGATGCTTCTGCTGCATCTGCATTACCTTATAGAATGCCAGTGGCCCAAGCTTGGCTGTCTCCATTGCACAGTGCACGACACCCTGAGAGAGAATGAGAAAGAAGTCAGCCCATGCCCAGGCAGCCCCCTGTACAGATCCCATTCCTCTCCTTACAAGGCTCAATCTCTGCCAGTCACAAACTGATGAAGCGCTGCAGCAGCCAGAATGATGCTCAGGGGCATGGCACCAAGCAGCAGCAAAAGAAAAAACAGAAAGCTGGCCAGAAGGCCAGTGATATCTATAGGATGATGCTTAGTTCAAGCAACCAATGAATCAAGAGACTGGAAATCAGGACAGCCATTGACAGGGATCAGATCACTCACCCGATACTCCCCCTGGGAGTTCATAAGGCGTGTCTTCAGCACATCCAAGGGCTGACACAGGAATGTGGCACATCCTCCCTGCAATGAAAAGGGGTGTGTGTGTGTGATGGCAGCAGAGCCTTTTTGAAATCCTGTGTTACAGGGCATGGCGTGAATGTCACTAGAAGCACGCCCACTTGATAAGCTAGTTATCAACTGACATACTGCTACGTGGTAGTTGGAGGAAAGGGCGATAGCTCACCCCACCGCTGTGTTAAGAGTAGAAATCCAGTGATGAAGCAGGGGAGTGGCAAGGCATTTCTCTCTAGTTGCAGACCACTGGTTTACCAAACAGTTACCTAAAATTAGTGCGTGGCATGTGCTGTGTTTTTAAGTCATGGAGCAGAATAAATGGGTAGAGGCCACAAAATCATCTTGCATGATCTGCACTGGAATATATAGTTCCCTGAAGCACCTCCTTCATAGTGCCCCAGACCTTAAAGAACCCCATCCCTCTATCCAGCTAATTCTCTTTCTCACCAACCTTTCAAAGCCTTCTATAAAACCAACTTCTTGGGCAAAACCTCTTCTACACTGCAGTGCCTGCTATTAGCCCTACCTTCCCTTTTACCTTTTCCCCTTTGTCAAACCTTGCTCTCTCCATTAGTCCTTAATCCAGAGGCTCATGGTCTTATTCATTCCAAACAGCACCCAGTAGACTAACTACTGGGTCCAAGCAGATGCTCAGTAATGTAACAGCTTTACAAAGGAGCTACAAATCAGTCATGAGCCTAGTACAGGCTTAAACAGTGTATGGTCCCCACCAAGCCCAAAACAAGCCCCAGTCAAGTATGGTAGATACTGTATTTTTCGCTCTATAGGACGCACTTTTTCCCCTTCAAAAATGAAGGGGAAATGTGTGTGCGTCCTATGGAGCGAAGACGCCATAGCCCCGCGACCCTCTCCCGGCTGGAGAGGTGACGCGCGGCTACGGCAGGAGCCTTTCCGCTGCTCCCGACCCCTCTCGCTCTCCAGGCTTCCAAGGTAGCCGCCTGAACGCACCTTAAACGGCACCTTGTTTTAGAGCGGGAAAACAAGAGGGGGAAAGTTCTCTCCCTCTCTGCGCAGCGCCTCCTGCCGCTTCGCTGAAGGGGTGCTGGGCAGAGAGGGGGAGATTTTTTTTTTCTTGTTCTCCCCCCTCTAAAACAAAGTGCGTCCTATTGTCCGGTGCGTCCTATGGTGCGAAAAATATGGTACTTCACCACCTACCACCCTCCCCCATATTTTTACAATCTCAGGCAGGTCAAACATTGTGTTTATCTTGGAGCATTACCACTTGAGCAGGTCTGGTTAACATAAGAGATAACTCTTATGGCTCAATTGCCAGACAATCCAACTTTAAATGATGAGCTTTCTGGGTTTGAAATGCTATCTTTGCAGGGAAGGACTAGGACCTTCATAACAATCCATTCTTGGTAGCTCCATGGACTTCGACTTTGGACCTCCATCTCCCAAGAAGGTGGAACAAGCATCATGGCTTTAACCCCAATGAATACACACACACACACAAAATAAAATCCTTGACTTTGCACCCACACCCAGGTATCCACTTACAGCAATAAAGCTGGCCAAGAAATGGGTGAGAATATTGTCGGAGAGGAAACCGGTCCCAAGAACCAACTGCTTAGCCTGGTCGTAGCAGGAGAGCTGCAGAGAAGCAGAAAGATGTGAGACTGGCCCCAAATCTCCCAGCACTCATGAGCAAGCAGAGAGACTGGCCCTGAAACGGAGTGTCCATTCTCTGTTGAACCACAAGGGATCAGGCAAGACTGCGGCACCAGCCCCTGCAGTGTATCAGGAGGACAAGTGGCAAAAGTGTGACTAATCCTCAGCCCTCTTGGACAAATCTCCTGTCTCATCAGTACTGCCAGGGAGACAAGGAAGTTGTTGGCCTAATCCGGGGGAACTTGGGGCTCTCTAGACTACCATCCCTTATTATTATCTTTGCTGGCTGCAGGTGCCCCACCCCTGGCCTAACTCATCTTTAAAAGCCCTAAGCCAATATACTGAGGACACAGGTGGACTGGGAAATATAGGATCTCATTCTCCAGCCTACACCGGGTCACTTGTGCTTTTACACCCTTTTGCACAAATCTCCCACCTTGAGAAAACAATTGCTACAGAGCCTGACCTCTCCTCTCACCCCCACCCCCTTGCAGCCCCAGAGACAGGAGAGACAGTACGAAGGAACCTACAAACTAGCCTGTTAACCTTGGGCCCAGAGACTAAGAGAAGCCTTCAAACATTTTAACATTTTAACATTTTGAGTCAAAAGCTATTAGTGCTGTCTGCAGGTTTTGCAAATACATGCTGCCTTCTGCATCCTGCTGTCTGAACGCAGCTGCCTATAGCCTCCCTATGGGAAGACTGGCTCTTGTGGGGAAGCCATGCATGGACTAGAAATCTTACCCTGCATGCAGAGCGGGTGTCTCTTCCATTACATCTGACTGTAACAGGACAGGATTTCTACAAAATCCTGTTTTCCCTCCCCAGGTGGCTAGAGAACATGTCAATCGATTTCATGCCTGGGGTGAAAAGTGGGCATATAGATATGGCCTTGATGTGCACTGTGGTAGGTATATGCCTAGCTGAATATGCACACATGTAGGCTGGATTTAGGTGCACATCCACCAGCAACTATGGCTCTTTTTTGTATCACTACCTGTCCAACAGTAACCAGGGCCCCTCGACTTGCTGCCATTGAAGCTCCCGAGAACAATTTCTTCACACCCTCTGCAAAGACAAAAGGTATTCAAGGCATGGGGTATACAGGGTAGAGCTCACCAGGTTGCACAGTCTACAAACAGCAGTGCTTTTCTGCTCGTCAACTCTTCAGAAACCACAGCCTCCCAGCCCCTAAGACACTGCACAGGAATGGATATTCTCTATTGCTCCCAAAGATACAGGAATGAGGTTATAATCTACTAGGTGCTTAGAAAGCAGAGCCAATCTATAAAAGACTTCACTGTATTCTAGCACAGGCTGGTTTTAAAAGGTTATGAAATAGTTCCTCATTTAGCCAAAGCCAGACGATCAGAAGCCTTGATAGGGCAGAGATACTGATACCCCATCACAATAAAATATCTGTGGTTGGAAGATTAAAATATAAATCTGTGGTTAGAAATCAAAGCATCAGAGAAGATAAGATCTCCTATTAGATGCCTGTGGAAGAGAGAACACTGCTGAAACTAATCAGGGACAGAGGACAGGGGCAGTCGCTCAGACTGGGTCTCTCTGCTCTTGCACAGTTTCACTTTTTGAAACCCAGTCCAGCTGCCAATCTATGCACACTTGCCTAGGGGCAAGCCACAGTGGATCTGAACCAGTGAAGGCTGCAGGACTTGTAGACTCTGCTCCTTGCCTTTTCTCCTCAATTTCCAGAGCAACATGGAGCAGGAAGCTACCATTCCTCATCCTTCCACTGGACTTTAAAGGCAGGAGGGGTGGGTCTTATTTTCTCCACTTGCCAATCTCCCTCTCCCCCCATTGCCCCCCTCTAACACACACAAAGGGACAACCCTTTTAGTCTCCTCTCCCCCTTTTCCCTGGGCCCCATATGCTTGTTCTCTGTGACGCTCTAGAAGCCAAGTATGTGGTCAACTCTGAATTCTACCCGTGTGAACTCCAGGTCACCATATTCCCCTGCACTTCCCATCAGCTTACTCACCCCTCTCCCTTCCAAACGTTCAGCGGCTGCCAGACTCAAGAGGAGCTTGCAAGTGGCTCCCATCACTGATCCCAAAGAGCCACTAAACAAAGGCTGTACCTGCAACTTTCGCAGGCTCTCATCCTGCCACCAGCTTTACTTCCAGGTAGTTTGCCTTGGATGCTGTTGCCCCTTCTCCTGGCACTGGTTTTGCCAGCTTCCTGGCACCGGGACTGGCCTGTAACCTAACAGCTCCCACTTCCGTATAGAAAAGGGGGCAGAGGCTGCAGCAGATTCTCCCCAAGGACCAATTTCTTTCATTCAGGGTGAGCTCCCTGTGGCCTCTCAGAAGCTCAAACTAGCCACACTGCGCGCTGACCAAATCCTTACCTTCACGAAGCACCCGATACAACCCATCCAGAGCATGTGAGTAGCTAGAAAGCAAAGAGAGACCATATTAGACACCTAAACCCATCTTGCTGCAGCTGCTACTTCTGCTGGCCACACCAGACAGAAGGCTGCAACTATAGACTCTTCCAGATCTAGTAGGGACTTATAGAACCCTGGGCTTTGGTCGCCAGGGGGTGCTGTCCTGATTCAGAAAGGTGTCTTTGAGCTTCAAACAATTGGAATTTGAGGATCCATGCTGCCCCTCTGTGGCCATGCAGCTTCAATACAACCCTTTACGGAGGGATAAAGGCTTTCACAGGGTCCGCCTCCTTAATGCTATTATTTGCCTCTCCCGCACTTGTGCATCTCCTGTACAACCCCCCTCTGCAATCTGGACACTCACTTGCGCCGCAGATGCACCGGCTGCTTCATGTCATTCTGCATCCTGTGGAGGGAAGAGCATCACAGCGTTAAGGACACTTTCATGAGGGCAGGGAGACAAAAGCCTTTCCCAAATCACACCCACCCACCCCCGCCACCATAGGATGCTGAGTTTGCCCCAGAGAAGGCGAACCACAGAGACAATGGGCTAAATTCTGTGTAGCTGTTCAGAATTTTGTGATCATATACCTGAAGGAGCATCTCCACCCCATCGTTCAGCCCAGACACTGAGATCCAGCGCCGAGGGCCTTTTGGCGGTTCCCTCCCTGCGAGAAGTGAGGTTACAGGGAACCAGGCAGAGGGCTTTCTTGGTAGTGGCGCCCGCCCTGTGGAATGCCCTCCCATCAGATGTCAAGGAAATAACCAACTATCTGACTTTTAGAAGACATCTGAAGGGAAGATTTTAATGTTTGGTGTTTTTAATATTCTGTTGGGAGCCACCCAGAGTCGCTTGGTGAACCCAGCCAGATGGGAGGGGTATAAATAGTACATCATCATCATTATCGAGTTGGAAGGAACCCCATGGATAATCTAATGCAGCCCCCTGCAATACAGGAATATGCAGCTGGGATCAAACCTGCAGCCTTGGCATTTTCAGCACCATGCTCTAACCCACTGAGCTATCCAGCTAGCACTAAGCAGATTTCTCTGTCAGCAGAAGCATTTCTGATGGTGAAATGATCAGCCCTCTCCTCTCCCCACATGCTGCTGCAGGGACTCTCCAAACCCCCCTGCCCACCCGAGCCAATTTAAGGGGGCACGAAGAGGGAAAACACCACTGAACTGGCGAAAGTCCTTGTGTGGGCTTATCCAGCCCCATGGAATGTCCCCGAGTTCAGTAGGGGTGTAAAGAGTCAAGTGAACAGGTCACGGGGAGCTGAACTGGGCAAGGTTGAAGCACAGCCATAGGGAAAGGGGAAGGAGACCACTGACCTGACATTCACCATGTCCGCTGGGGTCCCCACGAACCCACCGGTGAAACCTGCAACCAGAGAACAGCAGGTGAAAGGGGGCTGTGCAGCCTGCACTGGCGTGGCCCGACATCCTGCGCTTGCCAAGCCCCAGCTCACCTCCTACTGCACCTAGCAGCACCTTCTGGTAGAAGGGCATTGGCCCCTGGGCACCCTGGCTCAAGTGGTCCCGTACAGTCTCATAGATGGCAAAGCGGGTGAGGGAGTACGTCATCTGGAGAAGCAGAAAGAGTCAGAGCAGGTTGGCAGCAGCTCTCAGGCCCTGGTCCTGCCCAGCACAGGGCAATCGCTCATCAGAATCACCGTTCAGCCATGGCATCAGCTTGGCAATGGTGCAGCCCCTGCGCTGGCATGACCACAGCCTTTGCATTATGGCGCTTGTGCCCTTAAGAGCCATGGCAGCAGTGTCCTTTTCGCCAATCAACAGGCACCACCCGGTATATATGCAAGAGGTGCGACCCCAAATGAAGCTCTCTTCTTCCCCAAACCCTGCTTGCCGTAGCAGAGGCCAACCCTAACACCCAACTATTCAGGAATCATAGATTCTGCAAGCAGAATGATATTCAAGCAGGGCTTATGGTGACTGCAGAAATCAATGTAACCTTATTACAGAGCCGTTTGCAAGGATTGAGAATTCCCTTGCAGAGTCATGTGCCAGTGTGCCAGGAGTGGAGGGAGCCATTGTGACGGTCAGTGCACTGCTAAATAAACAAGATATTAAAAGGGAAGAAGGATACAACTCAAGAAGCTGTCGCTTCTCTCAGCTTCTCCTCATCTGCACAAGATGCCTGACTCATCAAAGTCTTGGGGAGGACATAGCTTAGAAGCACATGCCTCTTTTCAGAAATTCCTAGTCTAAAAACCTGCTTGACAGTCTCAGATGGCAGAGGCTACTGGATCCTTATATTCTATTGACAATATTCTGCGGGATTTTTGCCGTTAACAAATGGCCTCTCAGTTTCAGAGACTGCAAGTCAACCTAATTTACAAAGCTCTGTCCGTGAAGCCAAACACAGTCTCAGTGTTAAATCTGTGGAATACGCTTTGAAGGGTGCTGGAAGAAGCTGCAGAACTCTCACGGGTAGCGTGACGGAACCAAAAGGCTGGCATGGGGAGCCAGACAAAAGGAGCAGGACTGAACAGACCAGGGTAAAGCAATTGTTGCAGCGGCCCAACAACTCACCTGCCGGCAGAGGGAGGCACTAAGCCCACTGTAGAGGGCCAGAAAGCCATCGTTGCGAATCACACGCAAGGCCATGCCCGTCATGCGCATCTTCACTTCCTGCTGGGTTTGCAGGTGGACCTAGAGGCAAGAAAAGCAGGTAGCAAACAGGTCAGGCTGGATTTGCCAGGCTCTTCGTTCTCCAAGGGATATTCCAGGGGGGCCAGGGCAAGGAAAAGATTAAGCAGCCACGGCCCATGCACCTCTGATAGAGCAAACAAATGAAACTGCAACTCCACGTCAACAAGATCTCAGGAATTCATTGTAAACATCCACTTTGAATCTTTTACTCCAAGAATACTGCCCACCAGAGCTTAAGGAGAGATTCTTTCTATTTTTAAAGCTATGACTGATTTTTCCCCCCTAGAGACAATCCCTTTGCATAAGAATTTATATTTTGCTATCCTGCTCCACTCTCCCCCATAAAATGTGGAAAAGGATTCCTAACTTCTGGTTTCCTTGATTTTACAAAACCCTTTCCCCTCCATCGGGACATGTGGCTTGCCCAACAAAACCTACTCCTTCCAGAAATACAAGTCTTACCTCCCAGCTACCTCCCCCAATTTCTCCCAGATATTATTCCCCCCAGTGAGCTGTAAGAAGATTCCTGCATTCTTCACCCCATAACCTAATGGGTGCTATTAATTTTGGAGGGTTTTGCAATCACAGCCGCAAGGCACTTGTTCCAGCCATGGCAAGGGGCTTCACTGGACAGTCTGGTGCCTGCATCCACATACGATTGCTGACCCATCTGCTTCTGTAGTTTAGAAATGCAGGTCAACATTGGTTTCCCAGATTACCATCCCACCTGCAAGCACCCTGACCTCGCAGTGGAGCAGCTCGTGTTTATAGTACTGTACAGCCAACTTGGAGAGAATTTAGGTGAAAGGCTGCCACGTTGATAAAAATCAAAAAAACCTTGGCAGGGCCATTGGCCAACCAGCCCTTATCCTGAAGAAGGGGAGAGGTCAATTCAAGCAACAAGAGAATGTAGCCTACACAAGTTCTGAACTGGACCCAGAAATGAAATAGTACAAAACACTTGCACTTCTCGACACTGGCCTTCTCCCATCCTGCATGATATTACTGTAAGGAACAAGGAGTCCAAGCAATTATCTGACTGGAGGTTCTTGAATGCAAATGTACCAATGTTTTATAGGCAGCTGGGGATAGCTTAGTTGGTAGAGCATGAGACTCTTAAATCTCCGGGTTGTGGGTTCTAGCCCCACATTGGGCGAAATATCCCTGCATTGCAAGGGATTGGACGAAGTGACTCTTGTGGTCCCTTCCAACTCTACAGTGATTCTATATTGGTTAGCGTGTCGGATTAGCAGCTGGGAGACCAGGGTTCAAATCCTCACTTGGCCGCAGAGCCAGGCACTACCTCATAGGGTTGTCCTAGGGATTAAATGAGCAGGGAAACCATGTACTTGAGTTTTTGGGAGAAAAGCAATAAATAAAATAAAATATATTTTATATAAATATATAAATTTAAATAAATTTAATTTAAATAAATAGAAGCAATCAATCAATCAATCAATCAATCAATCCAAGAGCCTTCTAGGAGCAGGGGTTAGAGTTCAACAACAACAAGACCCACAGCTTCGCCATTTTTGGTAAGACCCACCCTTTTAAGAAGCAAGTGGACTGAAGCAGCCCCCGGTGGAAACACACATCAGCTGAGGCTGCAGAAGTACCAGTAGCCAGGAGAGGGCAGTGAAGCGGTGGACAGCAACTCAGATGGGCAGTGTTCCCAGGCAGCCAGTGGCAGCTCAAAGATCCCATTGTGAAGGATGAAGCTGGAATGTGCTCATCAAGCAGCTGGCAGGCCCAGCAGTGACACAGGGAAAGCAAACGATGGAGGCTCAAATCTGCAGGAATCTCCAGGGTTAGCAGCTTCATGCTGGCATTAGTGTGCCCCTGCCAGACCATAACAAGGGAAAAGAATGTTCCCACCCCATTAGGGACCAGGGCTAAGTATGCAGAATGCTCAGGGAGAGGCGGGTGAAGTGGGTGAGAATCTCAGAACAGGCCTTGCCTGGTAACTTGTCAGTGGCTGGGCAGAAAAACTTCGTAGCCCCACAAACTCCCCTCCTAAGAAAGCTATCTTTCAAGTTTATTGAGTTTGACAAGTCCATCCCCTTTCTGTCAGCTTTAAAGCAGCCTGTGGGGCAGACTTGGGCCATGTACACACCATACATTCCCACCCCCACAGAATCCTGGGAATTGCAGTTTGATAAGGGTGCTGAGAACTGTAGGTCTGCGAGGGAGTAAACTAGGGTTCCCAGGATTCTCTAAGGTGTGTGAGTGTGTTTCAGATGTATGTTGTGTATGCAGTCTTTGACATTTGACTTTGAAGAGTAAGGACCAAAGCTGGGGACACCTTGCTGCCATGATGAGCAACGCCTCAGAGACCACTTTTAGAATGCATGCAACTTTTGGCCTAAGTTCATGCAGGTGACAAAGAGATGGGGAAAGGGGCAAGGGCCGGGCCAGGCAGAAAGGAAGGTGGAAACAGGATGTAGCCTCACTTATCACCAATGTTGTGGCCACTGACAGATTACCCCTGAGAAATAGGCCCTAGAGTAGACAGAGAAAGGCAGTTGGCCGATCTCGTCTAGGTACACACAAAAGAAAGGCGGGACAGTTGGGTAATAAAAGGGCTTAGAAAAGTTATCATTAAAATCCCAAGCAGGCTTCTGTGTGGAGATCTAGAGAGCAGCCAGGAGAGGCCTGTTGACACTGGTCTCTTCCTGGATTATAGGACAGATGTGACTAACTGGCACAGCTCGAAGAAGCCCACACGAGGACTGCTACTAGTGCAATGGGGCTTTCTCCCCTCTCCTCACCCCACGTTCCCCAAATTGGCTTGTAGGGAGGAATCAGGAGAACCCTTAGAACACCACATGGGGGAGGAAAGGGAGGACTGTTCCCTTGAGCAAACAGAAATGCTTGCCTTGCCAGAATGTTTGTTTTAGTGCGACATTTGAATTCTTCCCCATGTTTTGGCCTCCCTCTTTCTTCCTTTCTGATTGGCTTGCCCCATGTCAAGGACGAATGTGTTTCGCGTACATTTGAGGAACCTTGGATTCTGTTTTTAAAACAGAAAACAAAAAAACTTAAGAACGCCCACTATGACGACTAACTGAGAAATAACAGCAATAAAGATTACAAGGCAAAAGAAAATAATTTATCTGTACCCATTCAACAGAGTACGGGAAAACACTGCATCTGCTGATCAGGGCTGCATGCCAGAGATCATTAAGAGAAAGTCTTAATGGCCCCACTGACCTTGGACATGCCACATTCCCTCTGTGCGCTTGCCTTTCAGGGCAGAAACTACGGTATCTGGCCACTTGTGAGGGGTCTGCACAATGCCAGAAGTGCAGAATCGTGGCTGAATGGGGCCTCTTTGTTTTTTGCAGGCCTCCATTCATACCAGGAGATACTGCCACTGAATTCAAGCTGTTATCTTGGAAGTCCTCACTTCCAAACCAACACAATTAGGCCTCAGTCTCTCAAACCAAGAAAATGCTGCGCAAATTCTATATCACTTTACACACAGTAGAAGCTAGAAACTAGACAGGCTATACCTGTTTTACAAGTACAGTACAGTAATATTTAACAGAGCAGGGGCCAAACTACTGTGATGATAATTATGCCTTGATCTGTGCTCTCTAATTGGTAGTGGAGAATGCTAGCTGGTCAAATTATACTACACATAATGGAGTTAACTGTCCAGGGGTCCTTTACCTTTACCTTACATAGAATGAACTGGAAATGAGGGGGAGGTGTCTGTTCTCGTTTTTGTATTTTTATGTTTCGAACTTGCCCTGTGATCTTCAGCTGAATACAAATTTAATCAATCAATCAATCAATCAATCTGAACAGACTCAAGACTGTTGCCTTCAGTTAGCGCCTTAGGCACTGCTTCCTGGAAGGCAGCCAACGCCGTCTGGCCAGAGGGAGCCACTACAGGGCACACAGCGGCAGCAGATGCCAGTCTGCTGTGCCCAGGAAACGAGACACCAAGGGGTGCCAGCCAGGGCCAGAATACCAACCGCAGGCCACGTCTCTTGCCTGGGAAACGGGGTACATCTGTGCACCACGGTGGTGGTGGAGGTGCCCAGGCAGTTCCAACTTCCTAGTTATCAACGGAGCCAAAATGGCAGATAGAAATCATTGTAAGGGGGGGGGAGAGGAGAAAAGGGAAATGCCACGCCACTGTCAACCCCCTAGAGTCTCCAACCCAGAGTGGGGGTGGGCTAAGGAAGTGTCTCCTCGCCTTGCCGTCGCTCGCGCTGCCTTAGACGTAAATGGTAGGTTAGAGGTGAAGAACCTCTCCTTGGAGCACTTTCCTGTTGAGCCACCTTTGCTTGCAGCCAAGCGGGGAAAGGAAGCGGCGCAAGGAATTCCCAAGCTGCAAAGGAAACACGCGGCAATATTGAAGCGGAGGGGGCGGCGAGAGACAAATAGCAGGGATGGGGCCAGCAGAGATCAGCGCAGGGGAGCCCAGGGGGAAGACGGGATGCAGAGGGCCGGAGAGGGATTTTAGGGGCCAGGTCCCCCCATCCGTCGCCGGGGAAGGGGGTGCCCCGTCTTCTTTCCTGGCGGGTTTCTCCCCCCTCCAACGCAAGACGCACCTTGAGCAGGTCTAGCGGGTGGGTGCAGCAGGCTGCCCCGCACGAGGCCAGGCCTCCGAAGTACCAGCGGGACACGCGTTTCTCCACCATCGCGCCGCCGGCTCTGCGTGGCTGCTGCTGCTCCTCACCTCCCCGCTGCCCGGACCCGGGAAGCCCGGCCGCCGCCTCCTCCTGCTCACCGCCGGCGCTCCCTGCACTGAACCGACGAGGCCTTAAAGGGGCAACGCCCGCCATGGGAGGGACGCCTTAAAAGAGCAACGCGGAGGCCCGGCTGGGTGTACCGGGGAGGGAGAGTAACCGGGAGAGGGTACGCAGCCTTCCTCCGCTCAGGCGGAGCCCCCGTCTTTGTCCGCCCCCGCGCATTCCGGCTTCTGGACAATCACCTTCCGACGATGGATTCTGCAGCGTCGGGCGCCGCTGATCTCCGCTGCCCGCCAAGATCATGGCTAATCTGGAAGGAAATCCTGGCTCTGTTTAAATCGAGCAGCCAAGCTGCTGCTGACTCCTTCGTTGTAAATTCACACACAGTTCCTCGGCCCCCCCACTCCTTTTTTGGGTTTTGTGGTACAGTATAGATAGGGAGGAGGAATTAAAGAACCTTTTAAAGAGGGTGAAAGAGGAGAGCGCGAAATATGGTCTGAAGCTCAACATCAAAAAAAAACACTGGTCCCATCGCCTCCTGGCAAATAAGGGGAAGAAATGGAGGCAGTGAGAGATTTTACTTTCATGGGTTCCATGGTCACTGCAGATGGTGACAGCAGTCACAAAATGAAAAGATGCCTGCTTATTGGGAGAAAAGCAACGACAAACCTAGACAGCATTTTAAAAAGCAGAGATCGCCTTGCTGACAAAGGTCGGTATAGCTAAAGCTATGGTTTTCCCAATAGTGATGTATGGAAGTGAGAGCTGGACCATAAAGAAGGCTGATCGCTGAAGAATTGATGCTTTTGAATTATGGTGCTGGATGAGACTCTTGAGAGTCCCATGGACTGCAAGAAGATCAAACCGATCCATTCTGAAGGAAATCAGCCCTGAGTGCTCACTGGAAGGACAGATCCTGAAGCTGAGGCTCCAAGACTTTGGCCGCCTCATGAGAAGAGAAGACTCCCTGGAAAAGACCCTGATGCTGGGAAAGATGGAGGGCACAAGGAGAAGGGGACGACAGAGGACGAGATGGTTGGACAGTGTTCTCGAAGCTACGAACATGAATCTGACCAAACTGCAGGAGGCAGTGGAAGACAGGAGTGCCTGGCGTGCTCTGGTTCATGGGGTCACGAAGTGTCAGACATGACTAAACAACAACAAATAGATAGGTCAAACACAATTGCAAAAGGAGAAGAGTGCACTAGCTGGCAACAACAACTCCCTGTCAAGTGTATATTTGGCGGCAAACCTGGATTTGTTCTTGCGTTACATCAGCCAAACACTTATTGTACATAACGCCATTGTAGTTTCTTGTTCTACATATGACTTTCGGAGTGCTGAGAGAAATGTTTATTGTGAAAGTGTGTGTTCCTAGCGCAGGTGGATATTTTTGCAGCCTTGTAACAGACATGATTGGCATCAAAATACCAGCCCTTATGTCTCCTGCCCCCTCATTTAAGAACTTAACCCTTTCCAGGGAATGTTTGTTAAGAAAAAACTGTTGACAGTGACTGTTTGCAATATCTGAAAAACCTGTTTACAATATTAAGCCCGCATCTCAAAGCCGTGTCATATCGCCTCAATCACACCATCTTTCATTGGTGACAGTCCTTGTATTCATAGGCCAGGTCTATGGATATTTACTCAGATGCAAGTCCTACTGTGTTTATTGACGTTTACTCCAGTACGTGGGTTTAGGATTGCAGGGAGCTGAATGCCACAGAAGATGGCATCCCCTTGGCAAATTCTATACACAGTGAAGGGCAACCATCACACTGGGTATCCTCACCACCATATGGAGCAGAAATATTCACTGTAATATGATGGCACAAGATAAGAACTGTTGAAGGCACAGGCCAGCATCATTCAGCCCACAAGCATAATGTCTATTCCCACTCTTGGCTGCAAGCTATCAAGTGGCTTGCATGTGCGCAAAAACTGGTCCTCAAAAAGCAATAAGATCCTAGAGATTGGCATATTGTCTCTAACTCCAGGATAGCAAAGAGATCACTGTTAGGCTGAACTGCCATTCTTGGTGAGTCACACTGCCCTAAACAGGAAATGGTGGACCTGGAGAAGAGGAGGTTAAGGGGTGATATGATAGCCATGTTCAAATATATAAAAGGATGTCATATAGAGGAGGGAGAAAGGTTGTTTTCTGCTGCTCCAGAGAAGCGGACACGGAGCAATGGACCCAAACTACAAGAAAGAAGATTCCACCTAAACATTAGGAAGAACTTCCTGACAGTAAGAGCTGTTTGACAGTGGAATTTGCTGCCAAGGAGTGTGGTGGAGTCTCCTTCTTTGGAGGTCTTTAAGCAGAGGTTTGACAACCATATGTCAGGAGTGCTCTGATGGTGTTTCCTGCTTGGCAGGGGGTTGGACTCGATGGCCCTTGTGGTCTATTCCAACTCTATGATTCTATGACCTTATAATTTGGACTTTAGGGTGAAGGGTGGGAGTTGATTGATTAATAATTTATATAACATATAATTCTTAGCTAGCACCAAAGTGTGCTCTGACAAAATATTACTTACCTTGAGCCAACACCTGAATTATCAAAGCACTGTTGTACTCAGCGCCAGCTCTAGCTCGAAGTCTGCTCTCTATCAGTGTTCACTTTCTTAACACATCAAAACGCAAACAGTATGCTCCTCCTATCCCTGAACTACGTGCTTTCTGGCCAGCGATAAGATGGTTCCTAATTTCCCTTGCACTGACAGAGACTGAAGATACAACAGTCTAGCGAAACCAAGCAGACTTGTAGGCTTTGTGGGGGCCCACAGTTGTCAGAGTGAGACCATTAGCCCTTGTATTACGTATGTGATCTGATAGGGCACCACACTGTATTGTCCTAAGAGTCTGCTGGTTTCTCATCTTCTCAGCTAGGAGTGTGATAGCTGGGATCCAGGCTGGTTCATGTGCTAATCCTATGCTGGTGTAGTGAGCAATGGCTTTACCTAGAACAGGAGTGGCTAATGTAGTGCTCTCATGGCCAAGGATGGTTGTTGTGGTCCAACTTTGAGCACCCCGTCCTAGATTTCTGGGTTCATGTTGAGTAGGAAAAAGGCATGCAGTGGGCCAGGCCTCTGGGAGACAAGGAGTCACAGGTCCAGTTATAGAGCTCTTTGGATCAGATCCTGCCACTTTTCTTCCAGTCCTGTGGTCACTGGCTTTGCCTGAGATGAGGATCAAATTTACTGGCTTTGCCTGAGATGAGGGTCAACATTTTTCTCATTGCTTTACACTTTCCCTGAGCTACTATACAGCTTGTTGACCTGCCTCTTGAAAGCTTCCTGGCAATGTTTATTTGCCCACACTCTCTGTCCCCATCCACTTACCCTCACCTCTTGCAATAAACTTTTCTTCTCCCACTGCACCTTGAAACCAACACAAACATGTTCTGTATTGTGATCTGAATGTTATCAACTGCTCTACCCTAGCCAAACTTTTCTCTTAGGGAGCCTGTGGCTTAACATTCCATATATGGACCTTTTGCTATGTACTGGGCCATAGATCCAGATGGCTCTGGCAACCAGAATGGCACTCCCACTTTCCTTGTCTAAATGGTAGCTTGAATGCTGCTGATGTTCCTTCATGCTGTTAATACTGGCTGTTTGGGCTGGCAGGGGATTTGAGTTCCTTTGGAGGAAAAACCTTGGGAGCGCTTGTACGTTGGAGTACTTGTTGTTGATGGGCCTTGACCTCTTCCAGTGGAAGTGCTGGCTACCTCATAGTTTTGTCTGTTGCATGTAGAGAGAACATATGAAACCCCCTTACATGAAGTCAGAACATTAGTCCATCCAGTTCAGTACGGTCTTGTTTGGACTGGCGGTGGCTCTCCAGTATTTCTGATATCCCAGAGATTGAAGCTAGGACCTGTATGTGGGAGGGGCAGGAGTGGGGTGTTCTGTGACATTTGTACCATTGCTGCAGGTTGATGTGCCCACCATGCACGGCTAGTGTCAGTTGGCAGAGATGCAAGTGAAACACCCACAGGCTACTGGATCTTGTTTCTGTTAACTCTTCTTGTATTTAGGATTGTAAACAGTAGTCTTGCCATAGCAGCCACTGCCACAGTGGCACTACAGCACCTTTAGTAGAAAGGAGAGCCTAAATATGTGCCTCACTACAACTGCACCATGCAGCATCTCAGAGATGTCTAAAGCTGAAGGTGATGCAGAAAACTGTGGAAATTTAATTTTGTGTGTTTCTAGCCCCCAGTGTGCAAAAGCATGGAAATACATGGGCAGGGTCAAATAAATGTTTCTAAACATTTCCTTCATTTTGTATTATTTGTTGCATACAAAAAACCAAAAACCCAGAAATCAAAGCTGATTGAAAGTCGAATGTTAGCATCATGCTCTTCTCTGAGCTGGCCAGGGACACTGTTTATTGTTCAACCTTCTCTTCAAAAGCATCCCTTCCCACTCCACTCCCCGCAAACTGCTTTAAGAGCACACACCTTGATGGATGTACTAACAAGGGCGATGCAATAGAGTTCTTTACTGCACTGGACACAGGAAGCAGGAAACCACATATTTATGTTTAAAACAAAATGGCATTTAGACACACAGTATGGTTACGAGAGAGGAATTTGGAGTGCTTTAGCCATTTTAATATTTTCTCCCCACTATTAATACACCTGCCAACTTTGGAGGATGCAGCTGCCTCCCTCCACACTCACGGCCTCCTATAAGTGATGTATGTGACCGCAGAAAGTAATCAGGGCTTCCTAGTATGTGGAATTTCTTGCAAGAGGGCATGGCTGTATCCACAGAGGACTACATCATAGCATAGGTTCTGTGCACAACCGCTGGGATGCATCGGACAAAAATATCCTAAACTAGTTCCTTCACTGGGAATATTTGGCATTTTGTAGTGAACTGATTTAATGGAAAATGCCTAATAAGAGACATTCAAGAAAGAAAGAGAAACCAAACTCCATGCTTCTTAGCAAAAAGCCTATGCAATTGGCCACTTCCAGGATAGACTGCTTGGAACTAACTAGCTTTTATGAGGCTGAGGAAGGCAAGAAAGCAAAAGTGGTCAAATACGGCATTACTTTCCATACCCCCCCACCTGCCAAATAGAACTCAGGAACAAGTCAAGGTGAAAGGTGTGACAATATGGCCTTTGGACTAATAACCCAGCTTGTTTCACTGGATGTCTTATCTAAAACCAACTGTGAAGATCAATTCTGGCCACTTCAAAACGGTGTAGCGAAAAGGAACACACTGTCATTTATGAAGAGAACATGGAACAGGCTGAAAGAGGTTCACTGTGTCCCAGAGGCCCTTCCCTTTGTGCTCCACTCCTTCCAAGAACGGTCTCTTCCAAGCACTGACTCCCCTCATCCCTTGAAACAGGAGCTCCTGTTTGGATAGATTTAGCTGCCCAACTTTCATTTGGTGAAGCTACAAGCCAGCGAGGGCCCGGCAGTAAGAAAAGCCGAGTTGCCTATAAATCACATCCGATGGGGTTGAGGGAAGGAGTGTAAAACTGATCCACTTGTAACAGAGAACAGCCAGGAGTTCTGGAAGATGGCCAGAGAGATTTTCCCACGAGCTCAGGTTCTTGGTGCAGAAAACAGGTGGAAAGAAACAGGGCAACTAGTATTACTCAGGGTATCTATGCATGGTGCGGACCTACACAATGCATCGTCCCTGCCCAGGATTACCTGGTGCAGAAAAACCTGTCATTTAAGTTAATATCCTGAGGAGAAAAGAGATCAGGCCTTTTCACATTCAATCTCTTTCATGGGGAGGAACAGCTCATGATGGGGAAAGCTGCCTGCAATGCAAGGCAGGTCCCTGGACCACTACACTTCTATGTTGAGTGGTTAGTCATCACCATGCTTCGTCAACATGCTTCTCCCCAACCCGGGCTACAATTCCCATCACAGTATCAAAGAACTGAAGAGTCTGAAGGGACTCAGAGGGACATCTAGCCTAACCCCCTGCAATGCAGGAATCTCAACTAAAGCATCCGTGACAGATGGCCATCCAACCTCTGCTTAAAAACCTCCAAGGAAGGAGAGTCCACAGCCTCCCAGTCAACTGGGAAGGCTGTCCTTGTGGGTCATGTTAGAAACTGCAGCTAAGAGAGTGGCCCTGAATACCACCAAGAGACCCTAAGATGAGCAGCTAGCAGGATCTGGTGCAAAAACGCACAAACCAGGGAGCCCTTCCAGGTAAGGAGGGACACTGGTATGCAAGAAAGTCTGCTCACACAACACTTGTTCTAAAGGCATTTGCCCCCGTGTATACTCTTTATAGATTCAGTTCCTTGCAGTGTTGGTACAAACAACAGACCCCCATTGTGCCGAAGACATTCATCCCACACTGGGCCATCTCAGTGGACAACCACATTGCAGAGAAAACAAGGCGGGGCACAGCTTCATGGAACTGCACAGCATCCCACCACCACCAGTCAGCAGGCAAATAAAAGCTTCAGGTGGGTGACAGAGCGCAGGACTTTCCCCTGCTCTGCTTTAGTCCTTTGGCTGCCGATGCCAACCGTTACTCCAGAACGACAGTCCCTCCTGCTGCCTCCAGAGCAGCTTTGATTTTCTCCGCTTCCTCTTTAGAGACGTGTGCCTTGATCTCTTGAGGAAGAGACTCTACCAACTTTTTCGCCTGCAAGAGATAAGAGAGCCGCTCCAGTTAGCCATGGAAAGGGATAACGCTGAACCCAAGAAGCTGCTGCCTGCTCCCACTAGTATGGGACCCTCTGTGACTTCGCCCCTATCTCCCCACTTGGCAGATCACGCAACCTAGAAGATGAGCCAAGCAGAAGCGTTTCCTAGGCTGAAGCGGCAGTATTACTTTTCAGCTGGCCAAGTTCCTGGCAAGAAACAGTAAGCCATTTCTGACCAGAGTCCAAATGCTTAGAAGAATCCTCTTTGGAGCATCATGATTCGCAAGGGACTTGCCACACTAGCTGGTACTATCTCAAGGGATGCAAATTCGCTTCCACTAACTCCGCATTACCTCCTCACTTTCCTCATGTGAACGTTCCTTTGGCAGCTCATCTCTTTGTAATTTGCTGCCCCCAGGTGGTATGACCAAGGGCTCATCCACTCTTCACCTGACCTGTATTGTGTACTGATTCATTTCCCCTGATTACCGTGTACTGATTAAAGATCCCAGGGCTTTCCTCATTGTTCTGCAACTGTGCCTTGTGAAAATTTGATCTTTCCCACTGAATCAGATCTTTTTTGATGGATGCGCAGAAAATCCAAAGAGAGATTTTGCTTAATGGAGCTTTAATTCAGCAGGTAGGAGCAGATTTTCGGAAGGCACAGCCACAGAAAAAGAAAAGCTCCCGGACCCAGGGGAATAAATTGGTACACAATACAATCAAAGTACAGGTCAAGCGAAATGTGTATTTGCCCTAAGTACTGACTGCAGACCTCTTGTGGATATATCAGACAAGAGGCAGAGAGCAAGGAGGTACTTGCACCACCATTAAATGCACAACAGTAGCCCAAGTAGATGGGGCTACTTGATAATTAAGTTCTGTATGAAACAAGTAAAAGGAAACTTGCCTCCCTCAAGCCTTTAGCACATTCACCTGTTAAGTCAGCCTTGAGCACCATCTGCTTACCTGGACAAGGTTTAAGCCTTGCATACAATTCTTCACCTCCTTGATAAGTTTCACCTTATCTGCAGCATTCAATTCAGTCAACTTGACTGTAAAATTTATCTTCTCCGGCTTCTTGGGGACAAAATCCTCTTCAGCTTCCTAGCAAAAAAGATAAAAACCCACTCACAATTGGCAACAGGAGCCTGACCCTCACATCCCTGAAGTTTCATTAGCCAATGGTAGTACCAAAGTACCATATACAGAGGGAAGATCTAACAAAACTTGCACCAGCTACTCCTTCATTATTTCCCCTAAATTCTTGTGTTGGGCTGCAAGACCATTGCTGAATCTTTATTTTTATTTAACCATAATGTATATAGCACTTGACTGCAACAAAACTGTTATGCGGTTTACAAGAAATGAAAACCATCAATGAAAAGTTAGAAGCAAGTAGTTAAAACATTTAAGAGTTGATCAAAATCAACAGTAAACTAGAAAGAAGATTAAAACACCTCACCATCTATGCTAGTTCTCCTTTAATGATGAAGGAATAGAGACAGTAGGTCAGCCCAAAAGCCTTGCCTTAACTGAACACCAGCTTTTTATTACTGGAAGTGGCCCAATGAGCATATCTAATCAGTTACTGGAAGTAATAGCAGACGAATTGTTATTGACTTGAAAGGCCCAGCATATGGACCAGAAACTTCTGATTGTCCACAATGGGAAATAGGTGGTGGGCCAAATGGACATTTCATCTGCTCCACAAATGCTCAAGATCTTAACCAATGTAATACAAGCAGGCAATTTTCACTAACCTGCTGCTGTCCATATGTTTTGGACTACAGCTCCAGATGGCAGTTGTAGTCAAAGACATCTGGAGGGCACCAGGTTGGCAAACGCTGATCTAAGGCTAAAAGGGAGAAGTATCATAATGTTGTATAAGTAACCTCCTTTGAGAAAGGAGACTTTGATGTGGAAATCTTCACATTTAAGGAGCACTTGCCTGCAGCTTTGGAAGTGTTTGCATGCAGTTTACGCAAATCCCTGCATTTTTTGGGATGGGAAGGTGATCTCAAAACAAGAGCTACTATAAAGATTGTCTTGACATGGTACTTAGAAAATCTTAATAAGGGGAATGGGTCACAGAAAGGTGTGGCCTCAAGGGGCAACTTATATTGGGAAGAAAAGAGGGAGGGAGGGTGTGGGATGGTAAAGTGCATGTTCTTTGAGATAGCGTGTGCGCGGGGGAGGGGGGTTGTTTCAGCGTCACTTGGACAGGTTCTCTTTCTATTCGCTTGTTATGTTTCCTTGGTGGTGTGAGAGGCTGGGGTGGCCTAGGATGTGGTTGACTGTCTTTGGTTGGCTGCAGTGGGATTTGTTTGTGCGTGCGTGAGGGGCCAAGGGGCAATGTATTAATGCCAAATCAACTGTCAACAAAACATCTACCACTGAGTATTTAATTCTAGTGAACGCTACTGACCAGGAATATAGAACTAAGAACTCAGTGCATAATTTGAGCCGACCTGTTTTGATCCAACAGCTCCCAACTTGATTCTTGATGTAGTATCAGCCCTGAGATGTCAACTGCAGTAAGAGTTATTACAACTATCTGCCCAATCTTAGGTAAAGGGTTTAACATCCATGTCCAGGCTTCCCTGTCACCTGCAGCTCAGGTCTTTGTGATGTCCACAATAATGACAGGGTTATCCTTGGTTATTGCAGGCCCAACACATCATGTGCTAGATTTAAATTGTTGCAGTGGCCTGAAAATATGTGATGCAATGGCACCCTCTTTTTCAGGGACAGACTACTCATGATTTTGCCTTTACACATGGACCCCTGGAACTAAACCTCACATAAGTGGCAGGCCCACTGCACTGGTGTTAGTGCTATTTACTCTTTAGATAGCTTAACGGCTTTGTGTGGCTTTTATATACAGTAAATGGTATTTTGGTTCTGAACATCTTATTTCTTAAGAGTTCATAAGACAGGGTATGTAAATAAATAAATGTGGCAAGACGATTGTGATACCAAGCACAACCACAAAGTAAGCCCCTATTAGCAGAGAACTTTTCTCACCCCTGCATTCCCATCTCCAGTTGCTGAGTTTGTTATACACCAGTAATATCCAGGAAAATGTCATCTGACGTGTTAGCAACACTGAAACAACCTTTTCCATGACAGTGCAGCAGAACTGCTTCTCTTTCTGCTTCAAAAGCCACTGTTAAATGCAGGGCAACAACAGGCTGGCTGCATGCTTAGTCCAGCAGCCTCAAGCAATCAACATGCCTGTTATGTAATATTTTGGTGCCTTCACACACAACGCTCTCAACAGAATGCTCATTTGTAGGGCTGCTGAAGTTTTCCATTCAGACATTTGCCCAGCTACAGCTGCTACTCAGCCCAAATAAACAACAAGTTAAACAATCGATCCCTTACTGGAGCTGCTGCTTGTGCTGGTGGCATCATCCCAGCCATTGGCATGAGTCCCATATCTTGGATCTTGAGGGTTTTCTGAAGAAAAAGACAGAGTAAGCAGTGTTAAGAGAAATATTAATCCTTCTTCTATATTGTATGCATCACAAAAACTGGGGAAGGAATTCCAAAGCACCCCATCCCAGAGAAATACATGACCAACAATGAGCTGTCTGCTGCTCCATCTTTCCCTAGTACAGCAATCACCCTGCTTCCCATGCAAACACTGGCACCTTCAGTAGTTCATTGAGGTCAGAAATCTCCAGTAGGGTGAGGCTGGCAATGTCTTGAACTAGCTGCTGAATCTTGGGTGAGTACTCCTTGGGAACATTATCAAGAGGCGGAGTTGCCAAGGCTTCACTTCGCTGTGAGCTGGTAGTCTTCAGCATCCTAATAGCACATGCTCGTGGCTGATGCTGCCTGTAGAAAAATCAACAAAGTTTGTCAGCACTTCATGGTTCACAACATAAAGACCTGTGCAAGCAGCAAATGAATGAAAGAATGAGAACAGATGTGCTTCAGGAGAAACAGCAAGGCCACCCAAGTGAGAAGAAAGGGTGATATAAACATGGATTGGTGTAGGTGCTGTGGAAAAGGGGGAGAAGCAACACCTCTCAGCACCAACAAAACTGTAATTAAAAAAAAATTAAGGAGATGTCCATATCGTTGTTGTTTAGTCGTGTCCGACTCTTCGTGACCCCATGGACCAAAGCACGCCAGGCACTCCTGTCTTCCACTGCCTCCCGCAGTTTGGTCAAACTCATGCTGGTAGCTTCGAGAACACTGTCCAACCATCTCGTCCTCTGTCGTCCCCTTCTCCTTGTGCCCTCCATCTTTCCCAACATCAGGGTCTTTTCCAGGGAGTCTTCTCTTCTCATGAGGTGGCCAAAGTATTGGAGCCTCAGCTTCATGATCTGTCCTTCCAGTGAGCACTCAGGGCTGATTTCCTTCAGAATGTCCATATTACTAAAAGGCATTTTTAAAAGCTTGAAGTGTTTTCCAATGTGAGGTGTAGAGAAATTTGTTTTCGCACTGTGAGCTCCACAGTGGGATAACTCAGAGCAGATAGTTGTCAACAGAGCAGGTGATGAGCAGGGTGGACTGATTTAGATCTTGCACGGTCTACTCTAATTTTCAAAAAGGAAGTCCTCTGCTCCACAAAGCAAGAATGTATATTCATATCCTAGTAGGGCTTAAGTAACTTAAAATGTGCCTTCTTACTTATAAACATAAAAATTACCTTGGAACAAATCAAGAGCCAACTAATCTACCATTTTTTGTCAAAAACAGTCCAGACAGTTCTATCCAGCCCAGACAGCTTCTACCTTCCGTTTCTACCCGGACTATTTCTCAAACTTGCTGTTTGTGACTAGAAACTGGATATTGAGAACAAAGGGGAGGGGGACATCTGCAGAGATAGCCCTAGGCTGTCCAGCAGAAACTGGCCAGTGGCTGACCTTCTCTTGGTGTTGCAGGGAGTTGGACTAGATGACCATTGGGAACCCCTTCCATCAGTTTTAAGCTCCTACCCACTCCTTGCCTATTGACTAAAAGCAGGAGCCAGGAAGCAGGAAGTTTCTGGTTTTAAGTCTCGCCTCAGCCATAAAAACCAGCAGGTCGGCCTTTGGCAAACTTGCCACCACCAGCTTCGCGCCCTCGATGGTGATTTGGGGTTAGCGAGGGCGGCCCACCTTTCAGAGCTGTTGCGGGCACCACCAAACGGGAAGTACCCGAAACAGCTTTGAACATTTCACGGCGGAAAAAGCGCGCGTGGGCGCCTCATCCCTCACGCGGGAAAGGCGGGATTCCGATGGGATTCTGGCACGTGAACTCGCCTAACCTCGACCTCTTTCGGGCCCCTCGGAACCGCCCAGCCCACCTCCCGCCTCTTGCATACCGCAGCAGCAGGCGGATAACGGTACCGAGCCGGCCCGCGGGCAACATGGCCATGGCGGCAGCTCCAGGAGGCGGGCAGGACGGAGACACACCGGCGCTCTCCTCTGTCTCCGGCGTGCGAGCGGCAGAGGACGCCGAGGGAACGCTCTGCCCGCTCCTTCTCTCTGATCCAGCGGGGTGCACCTATCGCGGCCGAGTTTGATCGATGGCGCTCTAGGCGGCCCGCCGTGCATCTCCGTGGTTGACGGAGGTGACGTTCGGGCCGCTTCCCACCCTTACACAATGCCGCGCTAGGGATGAAGACTCTATGGCAGGCGTTGCTGCGCGCGGCGGCGGCGGCAGACGCGTTTGTTAGCAACGGCGGACGTCTCGCGGGATTTGGGAGCGTGTTTTCTTTGCGCGGGAAGAGGAAGGAGCGTTTGGAGCTTGCGGAATGGAGGTGGTGTCAAATGGGTGTAAAATGGTGTTCCCGGAACGTGCCACTGAGCTCTTCAGAGGTGGTTGTTTGATTCGTTTAGCAAGGAGACGTTTAGCAAGGGATTCAGAAGCTGGGAAGGCATAATTTGATATTGCCAAGTGCACATACTAACAGCACGGCGCTGGGACCTCTGACAATTAAAATTCGGCCTAGCAAATCACAGGGTTTGTTTACAAAGCTGATAATTAAGCTAAGGCTGCAGCCTTGAAACACTTGGGAGCAAGCCCTATTGGATTCAGTGGGACCTACTTCTGAGTAAACAATAATTTCCAAAAAGATTTTGGTGATGTACAGAATTGGTCCTGACTAATTTTTTGTAATTTGATAGATACCAGCGTGCTGGATATTTACAGAACACAAAGATGTACAGTCTAACTTGGCTTGGATCCAGAATTAGCTTTGTGTTTCATCCAGTCTGCCTTCTTGAAACAAAGGGCTTTTTGTGTGGGAGAGATGCAGAGACAAGGATTTGCATTAGTTTGATTTTAGCCAATGCTGATAAGAACTGAAAGTTTTTAGAAACAGACTTGCCCATCAGACACCACAAATGAAGAACTCAGTGGGGAAAACTGCTGCACACCAGAAGCCCCACAGCAGAGCTCATACTGATTTGTATTGTTTTTCAATGCCTGCTAAAGCCTTTTTCTTTAGACAAGCATGTATTAATTTGATCCTTCACAATAAAATGAAGTTGTACTTTTTAGTTTCAGCAGTTCCATTTCTTGACCTCTTATACAGTGAGTGATGGCCGCAAGTCTCAGCACTGTTGATTTAGAACACATTCCTGATTCAGGAATATTGCAGCCAGCCTAGTACTGATAGCTGGCACTGATCTTAATAGCTCATGAAACAAACTCCTAGACAAAAGTGATCTTGTATAGTAATGCTGTTAAAGTTATGTATTACTGTATTGCATTTGCATATAAATAAAATCTAACAAAAAATCCAACAGAAACAAGATCCCAAAGACAACATGTTTCTGAATAAAAACAACAGGACTCTGTGACCCCTTAAAAGGCAACCATCTTATTGCAGCATGATGAGTATTTGATCAGCCTACTTTGTAGAATAGATCATCAGGTGTATGAAGCAGACACGCAGCTCAGAGGTCTGTACAAAATATCCCCGTGAAAACATTGTGTTGAATCTTTCAGCAGGATTGTCTGAGCTGCAGGTGCAAGGGCAACACGTGCTTTTCCTGCTGTAGCCAAGTGCATCTTAGTGTAATCTCCTTTGCCTTAATAAATCTAGCTTAGGGCATCATTGTAGGGCTGGAGATATCAGAAAGCAAACAGAAATCCCGGGAGAAGAGAACAGAGCCTATCTCCAGAAAAGATGCTAGTTTCGCCGATGGCTGAGAGAAACAAGGAAACCATCCTTGAGGTGCTGGCTGACTATGTGGATGACACAAGATCAGCTTTTGGGCTTGAACTGGGATCTGGCACAGGACAGCATGTGGTGCACTTTGCCCAGGCCTTGCCCACGGTCATCTGGCAACCCTCAGAGATCAGCCCAGCTTCTCAACAGAGGTATACTGGGGCCTGTGGTGACAGCAAGGGATGGGTGTTGTAGTAGTGTGTGGACCATGCTTTCCCTTGGCCCCAGCAGAATGTTGGCACAAAATCTGCACTAAAAAGAACTGGCTCTTAGTCCTTGTTTATAGTCAACCAAAAGGGACTGTCAAAAACCATATGGCAGCTTGTGTTCAGTAGACTGGAAATGCCTTTCCAAGAAATAGCTAGACTGTTCTGCATTGGACAGATCCTAGCTGTGCATATATTCTTGGTAAGAAAGACTTGCTGCTGAAGCAGTAACGGCATGTGTATATTTCAGCGGAATAGTGAGAACTTCTTGGTGGCAATCTGTCTTAGACTATAGAATAATCTGGCAATAAAACAGTATATGCCAAGGTAGATGCATTTTTTAAAAACTTGGCTTTAATACCTGGTGTTGCTTTGACTACTTAGCCTGGGTCTGTGGATTGTTGGTAGATTAAAATTATCATGGTTAATACTACAGTTAATATTACAGTATGAGAAATGAGGATTATTTTTTTTGAGTTGTGGTATGACAAACATGAACAAACGGTTGGCGAGCGTCCAAGGGGTTTTCCAGACGTTCCTTCATTACATTTTATTTTATTGTTAGCTATTCCTGAAATTTACAATTTGCAAAACATGCACAAGGGTGAGGATAAAATTGTAACAGCATTTCGTAGGTGGCATCTTGGCCTGCGCAAAAATCATCTGGCGCAAACAGCTTAAGTCAACAGATGGAGTAAAGAGGGTGTTGTGTGGGGTATTCCTTTTCAAATAGCAATAACATTTCTAATAGTCATTGCTCACCAAGAGGTGTTGGGAGGGATGAGGAAGAAACTGAAGGGCATAAAATGGCATGGGAGATTGTGCCAGTGTGCTGTATTGCTTGTCGCTAGCGTCACATACACATGTAATTGAGTGCCTGTGTCATTTACACTGACCATAATTCACAGAGCAGTCACATCTGAAATCTTAGCACTGTCACTTGGAAAAATCATAAAAATGTGTCCACCCCTTTAACTTGGAGAATCAATGTTGGATGCATATATCATACCCTTGTCTAGCCTTTCTCTGGTTCAGAGAAAGAAGTTACATACATTTCCCACTAGCATCCTACTATATTACCTGACTGTATTTCAAAGCCAGTGCTGCTTTTTTTGTGGGGCCAGGATGAAGGAAACTGGAGAAAGTAACTCTCCCCTTTTTTTATTATGGCTTTACACACAAAAATAAGAATCTTCCATCTTTTCCCACAGCATCTCTGCTTACATCCAAGCCACCAAGGTGACCAATGTCCGAGAACCCCTTGCCATAGATGTAACACAGCCATGGGACCAGTGGGCTGGCTTGAGTCAAGGCTGTTGTGACTTCATCATTATAATTAACCTGCTGCACATGACTGATCAAGGCCTGGAGGTATGACAAAGCACTTAGGTCAATATTATGGAAACTGACCTCTGCAAAGGATCTTATTCAACAGATAACCTTTTGCGTTACAGGGAATGTTTAAAGGCATAGGACAACTGCTGAAACCTGGAGGCATTTGCTTGGCCTACGGGGTGAGTATAGGAAAACCATCCATTACAGCTTAAGCTCAGTGGGAAGGCAATCACAGGCAAAGTCCGCTTTGCCAGGATTCCCCATCTGACCTGCAAGGTCATATTTCATTACATCTAGGTATGGGTTGGGGTATGCCAGGAGTCTTGATTTGTGCAGCTCTCAAAGTGCCTGACCACCAGCTTGTTGTTGGGAGCCTTTGAATTGATGCGCAAAACAGGAGCCCCAGGATCACTCTCCCTCCACATCAGCCAACAGGAAGGCGAGTGCTTCTGCTTATTGCTCTGCTCGGATGCGTAAGAGTTTTGTGCACCCAAGCCCAGTGCTAAGCAGTATCCACCACCGTCCCTACATCAACTTGATGGAAAAGGAGAACCTCAAGGTTGGAAAGCAGCTCATATTTTGATTCAGGTCTGCCACAAGACTTCTTGCTCTTCCGCAAACGTGCTCATGAGTCTTACAGCACAACGCCTCCTGCGAAGCAAATCCTACTGAATTCAATGGGGCTTGCTCAAGGGTCACTGATGTTAGGTTTGTTGCCTTCGTTCTAGACCTTTGCCCTAAGAGCCCCATAGAATGCTGGCCTGGTGTTAATTCCCTCTGCTTCCACTCCACAGCCCTTCGCCGTTAATGGGATCATCCTCCCAGAGTGCAATGTGCAACTGGATAACATGCTCCAGGCCAGGTATGTTAGAGCTGAAGGACAGGATTCCATCTCATCTCCCTTGTGGTGACCACCAAAGGCCTAGTGAGGTCAAGGCAGGATGGGGAAAGGCTACTTGGAAATTTCCCCTTGATTTATTTCCTCACTATTTACATGTTGTGTAGTAGCATGGAAGATGGACAACAGGGCAAGATTTTGTGTTACATGATGAAGACGAGCTACAGGCAGAGACCGTGTTTAGCCTTTAGCCTACTGTTTCTCCTCCTTTAGGAAAGGGCCTAAGGATTTCGTTGTGACGAGGCCATGTTCTACTTTTAACACATTATGCTCTTAAAATGGCAGAAATCCTGAGTGGGGACTGAGAGATGTGGAGGAGCTTCGTCAACTGGCAAACACTAATGCACTGCGGCTCGAGCGCATGGTAAGAGGCTGAGGTCAGCCTACAACATTGTAGGGAGCAATGAAATAGAACTGCAGAAACCACAACCACCATTTCCCACTCTTGCTCTTTGTTTCCTGGGAAGGGGGATCCCACCAGCTCTGCAGTTTTTCCCATAGGCTTCCATTTTGCTCATCCTCCCTCATGCAATGACTCAGCGCCTATTTTTCTTCCTTAGCTGGAGATGCCTGAATACACCAAATGTTTGATCTTTCGGCGGAGGGAGTTATGATCTCTGGCTACGGAAAAGTCAAAGGAGGACTGCCCTATTTATATGGATGGGTGTGGAAATTAAATTAAGAAAAAGAAATGGATGCTTCTGCAACTTCTTTGGGGGAGGGGGGGAATAACGATTTCAGAATGGCTTTAGGAAATTCTATTCTCTGCGCTGCCCCAGGATGACGAATGCCTCCTGTACCCCCTTCTAAGACCTTGCATACACCGGTGGTCACAACCCACCAACTAGTTCTGCAGAGACAAAAACTTTTAACCCAAGGCCTACGAGGAAGCACAGACTGAAAAAAGTTTTAAATACTTTATTGTCACTGGTTCCATTCTGCCTACACCAGCACTAAACACAAGAGATGAGTCTTCAAAAGCAGCGAGCATAAGTAGGGCAGAGGGAGGAGAGAAGAAACGCAGGCCTGGAGCAGGCTGTGTTCAATGTCGTGGGTTCTCCAAAGGGACTGAGAAGAGACATGGAGGGCTGTGAGATCATGGAGGGGGAGGGGGCAGTCGTGTTGGAGGTGAAGGCCACTTGATTGGCAAGATGCAACCATAGAATGTACTAAAGGGGAGGGGGGGAGAAGGATGTAGGCCCAGATCATGCTGTGGGCTGGGCCCATTTACTCTGGCTTTGGAGCATGCTTAAATGCAGTTTCCAATGAGAAGAGCAGCTCTCCAGCCTGTAATGGCGCACATAGGAGGCACTCCTTGAGAATTCTGCTCTGCTACCCAGCCAACACAAAGCTAGGAGGATCAGGCAGTGGGCTACTCTCTCTCTCCACAGCCAAGGAACAGTGTATAAGGTTATTTGAGCACAGGTGTCTCTCGCTCCTCGCAGAAGGCTCACTTAGTGAGGGATGGAGGGGGGAGGTACAGGTAGCCAACAGGAAACTACCTAGGACAGCAGGGGCTCAGCTCTCCGTTCCCCAGGGTGGGGATGGCGCAAGGTAATAGCAATGGTGTAGCGAGTACAGCAGTGACCAACAGATGGTAGTGTTACAATGTCTTAGAAACCCACCCCTCCCTTTCCTCATAAGCCAAGAGATTAGTCAAAGGAGATCAGCTGAGCCTCTCCGCTGCCGCCTTGTGCCTGTTGCACCTGGACTGGAGCCTGCTGAGGAGGCTGCTGCTGCTGCTGAGGTCCTCCAGGAGGTGCCATCTGTAAGGAGGCAAACAGGGAAGCGAGTAAGGAGGTCTTGTTTAAAAAGGCATCCTCCTCCCCCATTTAAAGCTACTGTAGTAATGGTCCTCCAACCCATGGATTGGCACAGAGGCTAAAAAGCCAAACAATGTTGAGCTGAAGGAATTCAGGGCATCAGCCTAACATAACATGAAGAAGTCGCCAAAACAGTTGCCCCCAAAGTGGCTGGTCGAAGACTCACCTGCTGATACATAGGCTGCTGTCCTGACAGGTAAGGCTGCTGGGGTGGCAGGTTACTCAAACCCTGTTCCTGGCCAGGGAGGGTTGACATGAGGTTCTAACAGGAAAAGAGGAGGGCATAAGACTTTCCGCCAATCCACATGGCTCCATTCATAACAGGAGGCAGCCTGAAGCTTAGGGGTGGCTTTGCTGCCTCTATGCACATACAAGAATTCCCCTTCAGTCCTGTCTGCTGGCTGCCCTCACACCGGATACTGGAGAAGGCGCACAGCGCAACAGTTTCAAGGAGTCTCTCACCTGCATATTGTAGGGCTGGTAGCCCATGGAGACCGACTGATTGCCCATGTAACCCTGCGGCGCTTGTGTCATGGCTGGGATCGCCTGGGTCTGGGAAGGGGCAGCTGCGTTCTGCAAGGTAAAGGAGGCAGGAATGGGTGAGAAGTCTAGACAAACTTCAACACACAGGCAAGAACACAGGGAGAAACTTTTGCTACTTGCAAGCTGGCAAAGACTATTTATATTCCACTCTTCCTCCAAGCAGATCAAGGCGGCATGTACAGTCCTCTCCACTGTATTCACATAGGTGCTATAGGTAAGACGGAGAGCTTGCTACTTGCACTGTGCTTGATGGCTATGGGAAGACTTGAACCTGGAATTCCCAGGTCCAAATCCAAATGCTTGAACCACAACACGCATAATGAGATGAACTGGACTGTAGTCCATTGAAGCTGATGCAATGATTATTATTATTTTTGTCTTTTATGTTGCCACAAGGCTCCGTTATTTTTGCTGCAACAGACCTAACTTGGCTACCCTTCTGAAAATGGTTTAAAATAGGTGCTTCAACGTCATAATAACAGAAGCATCACCGCTAGAATGATTCAAACTTGGATTTTCTCTGTCCTAGTCAAACACTAATGACATCACCACACTGGCTTGAACTCTTCCCCCTCCACTTTCACAACAGTACATATAACCTGTTGGGATTTAATCCCCCGATTTGGGGCAAAGGAAATTTGGGCTGTGGGTCAAACTTGCCTGGTAGCCTTGGGTAGGTGTAGGTTGGTAGGAAGAATAGGCAGGATTCGTGGTGGGCACAGCCTGCCCTTGCGGAGCTGCCTGGGCGTTATTAGTGCTTGCTGAGTACATGTAGGTGCTCACCATGTTGGGATCTGAAATACAGATGAAATATGAGAAAAGGACAGCCTTCCGAGACCCGGTATCCCGTTTCAGGTGCTTTCAGCTAACACATTCCCCCTCCATCCTATTGCTCTTACCTGTTCCTGCCACAGGCATTGCAGTGTACGGTCCGGTGCTGCCCTGGGCAGGCTGGCTCATGTACACTGTGTGCATAGGTGAGCCCTCCACAGAGCCTGCTGGGCTGAAGGTGCCTGGGAAGCTTGTGGGGCCTGATGGCTGGTAGATCACCCCGCCAGCAGGAGGCATGGCCTGCAGCTACAGAGACAGGAAGCAGGTTAAAAGAGGGACCGTGACTTGGCTGATGTATTTGCAAAGAGAACAGCCATGGAAGGGAAGAGGAGGAGGGATTCTCGGCCTCTCCACCCGTCATACCTGAGCATACGGCAAGGAGAAAGCAGGCATCTGGGCCCGCATTTGGATCGTTTGCTTCTGCTGCTCCAGCCGCAGCTGGCGCTCCTTCTCTTGCTCCTGAAGGCGCTGGATCGCCAACTGCCGTTGCATCTCCAGGTATTCCTACAAGTTGGAGAAGCACATGGGATGTGTTACAACACGGGAGCCATGGGGCTTCATGCTTTACTAGGCTGCACCGCTTGCAAACCATTTTGCAGAGGGCAGATGTACCTTTTGTATCGGACACACTTGGCACCGGCCACCTCACCTGTTTCTTCTGCCGCATAATCTCAAGCTTCTGGGCTAGCTGGATCTGGCGCTGGCGCTCGGCCTCCTCGGCAGCACGGCGCAGCTTCTCCCTGTGTTCCTCCCGCAGAGCGTTCAGGGCTCCCCGCGCATCCCGGATCTGGGCAAGTTTATCTTGAAGTCCTTCATAGTACACTGGGCAGGGGGAAGGGGCGAAAAAAGGCGTAGTCAGAAGCCCCACCTCCATGAGATCCACAGGAGGTATAGCACTGAGGTCCAGCGCCGAGGGCCTTCTGGCGGTTCCTCGCTGTGAGAAGCCAAGTTACAGGGAACCAGGCAGAGGGCCTTCTCAGTAGTGGTGCCCTCCCTGTGGAACGCCCTCCCACCAGATGTCAAAGAGAAAAAACAACTACCAGACTTTTAGAAGACATCTGAAGGCAGCCCTGTTTAGGGAAGCTTTTAATGTTTAATAGTTATTTTATTTTAGTGTTCTGTTGGAAGCCACCCAGAGTGGCTGGGAAAACCCAGCCAGATGGGCTGGGTATAAATAATACAAATATTATATTATAGCTCTCACCTCAAGGAAAGCAGGGCAGACTCCTCAGCGTGGGCCAAAGGCATCACACCATCTTCCCTTCCTTCCCACCCCAATGCTAAAAAGTGGAAAGGAAGCCCCAATGCCCATTTTGGTTCAACGCAAGGAAGTCAATTAACCGCCTATGATTTAACAGGGAGAGAGGCGATCCCAACCGTGCTACAAGCTCCTCCCACAGGTCTCTGCCCACATTAAGGGCCGGGGCCCTGGGAACTTACGGCGGCGCTCATCCAACTGGTTCAGCAGCTCCAGGAGCTGAGGGTGCATGCTGTTGATGGACTGGAAGAGCGAGAGCACGGCGGAGTCATTGGTGATGCTCCGGCCCCGCAGGTGGTTGCTCTTCATGCGGTTGACGAAGGTGGTGACGGCGTTCTGCAGAGCCTTCAGGAACTGGTCGTGGCTCTCGTCTGTCTCGCCGTTTTGGTATTGCTGCTGGGGAGACCATCAGAGAGAGATGGGGAGACCATTAACTGGAAGCCGAAATTCCAACTAAGTTAAAGCTCAACCGAGTTCATTTTTCAATGTGGCTTCAGCTGCCTTGGGTTACCCCTGTCCTGTTTCCCTGCAAGGCGATGCATCTCCTGTAAAAACCTTAAACCTCCAGACTGTTCAAATGCAGCACAGAAAGCTTGTCGCACTCCGTGCCTGGCCTCCTTTAATCCCGCTGCTCACATTGGAGAAAGAAACAGCAGTTGCTCACCAGCTGGCAACCATTTCAGGAAAAAACCAAACAAACCCAGCAGCTGAGCCTAATTCTGCCTTACTGTGGAGCATCCTAAGAGCACACAGAAAGGGAAGGCTGCTCTTACCTCCACCACACTGAGCGGGGCAGGCTGGACCTCGGTGTTCTGGGTTGCTGGCTCCCCCATGGATAGCGGGGCTGAAGGGGTGGGGCTCTTGCGCACCTCCTCCTGCTTCTTCTCCCAGTAGTTGCGGTTCAGGTACCGAGCCAACTGCAAGGAGATGTTGGGAAACAGGAAGCAAGCTGGTTGTCACTAGCCAGGGTGCCGCTGATACCAGCAAACTACAAAATGGCATATGGGGATGGGGGGTCTTACCTCAGGGTCAATGTCCTCGGCCAGAGGTGCAGAGGAGTTCTGAAATAAGACACATATTGCAGGATTAACCACCCATGCAAAGATGAGTACCCCCACTGCCTCCCCTTCCCTTAGGAGATCAAGCTTGAAACGCTGCCTGTTTCAAGCTTCAAGGCATGAGGGGACTCGTGAGCAGAAGGAGCTGCTGAAGCAAGGTGACAGGAAAAGCCAACACCCATTCTCTTCCTCTCCCATGGACATTGTTGGACTTACCAAAGAACCACAGAATGTTCATGACACGGGAGAAGTGTCTAAATGGCAAAAGGGGAAATCTCTCCAGGTGGGTGGGCACTTACCACAGGTGAGGAATAGAGGGTGTTGACTGGTGGAGCCGATGAGGTGACTGGTGTCGGCTCAGCCTTGGGGTATGTGGAATACGTGCTTTTCTGTCTCTGCAGAGGAAAAGCAAGAGGGAGAACGATATAGGAATGCTTCACCGATTCCTGAACTTGCACAGCAAGCCAGGAACCACTTTTGCATTCAGCCAGCAAGCCAGAAGCTGATTGGGAATGAAGCATGAAGCATGCCTCCTGACAGTTACCAGCCACGTCTGGGCATCTCAGAATGGCACAAATAAGTGTGCCGTTAGTGATGAAATTTGATTCACCCAGAATCAGCATGGTCTTTATCTGCTCTTAATTAGACAACAAAATGGGAAAGTTAGTGCAGCATTTTAATTAACTGAACACGGCATAACGTGTATGTTTTCCGGAATCGCTTCTGGTAGTTACAAACACCCGATTGGCAAAGTACCCAACAATTAAAATGCCTCATTTTGGCAGGGGGGAGACGACATCAGCACAAGTTTCCCATATTTGAGGACTAGGCTGTTGCAGGGAAAGGAGTTTATGCAGAACACTGAGCTACCAAAGCTCTTTGGGCGCTACAAGGCAGTCAACCCTGCGGGGTACCTCCGAGTATTAATGTCACAGGAATCCCCCCCTAATTCTCAAGACACAAACCATCCTTTCCTTCTCCTCTGCCTCTGACTGGGAGAGTGCAATGGCCAGCTGCAGCTCCTCCTCCTCCTGCAGGGCAGTTTCATCACGCTTGGGAGGCAGCTGAGGGCAGAAGAAACAACAGTCACTGTAACCCGGGTGAAGAGGTGACGGGTGAAGCTGGAGCCCCATCCCTTGCCATCACAGCCAAATGCTCACCTGGGACTGCTGGGAAAGAGGGCTGGTCAGGTACTCAGGAGGAAGCTCCGTGGTTGCAGTTCCTTTCCCCTCTGCTTTCCTGTGTATACAGAGAAGCCAGGATCATGACCACAGCTGAACTGCAATCTGGTGGTCGGCCAGGGGTTTGGGGGGAAGAGAGGACCACTCAACACCTGCTCTATTGTAGCATCTGTTGGTCTGCAATAAGCCAATTAGCTCTTTCTCTTTAAGCTGCAACTTGCCAGACTACAGTGGAACCTTGGTTCTCGAACTTAATCCGTTCGACTCCTGAAACAGTTTGAAAACCAAGGCACAGCTTCCTATTGGCTGCAGGTGCTTCCTGCACTCAAGCGGAAGCTGTGTTGGACGTTCGGCTTCTGAAAAACATTCGAAAACCAGAATACTTACTTCCGAGTTTTCGGCATTCGGGAGCCAAAACGTACGAGTACCAAGGCATTCAAGAACCAAGGTACGACTGTATTCAGTTTACTGTTAGAGGAATAAGAACTCTCTCCCTCCAGAGTATGCACATGTAGAAAGAAAGGCTGCCAAAAAAACCCCTCATTCTTCCCCAACCTTTCTGTGCCTATGACCCTCTTCATTAGCTGAGCTCCGATACTTACTTGTTGAGATGCTCATAGCAGGGCTCACACACTCGCACCTCCTTCTCTATGCCGAACTTGGGAATGGTGGAATACTTGGAAGAGCACTTCCCGCAGAAAATCTGCCCACAAGCCCGGCAGTGGTGCTGCGAACACAGGGAGAGGTCAAGAATAGAAGCCCACTAGAATTTAAATCTCCCGGCCACCACCTCCTCTTGCTGCCATTATAACATGGCTCTGTGTCATGTCAGCTGCCACAGGAAAGGAGCTCCAGGTCGGGACAGGGAGCTGCACCACTCACCTTACGAGTCACCACCCCAAACTGGACTCTGCACCGGTGACACTCCTCCGCGTCCACCCAGTCTGGGGCCTGCCGCACAGAAACAAAGCAAGTATTGGGTAACAAAAAGGCCGGCACAAAGCCTTGAAGTGATCCTAAGAACCCGAAAAAAGCACCCCCAAGAGCAGCAGTATTTGGGGAGGGATCCCAGATAGAGAAAATGCATGTGTAACATAAAGAGGCAGTAAAAACTAAATAGATGGTTCTCTTCCCGAACTGGAATGCTGGCCATTCTTGGGATACTCTTGTCAGTGATCCATGCTCTGACAGCCTCACAGTTAAGACTACTGCAATGCATTCTATGTGGAGCTGCCCTAGAAGATGGTTAGGAGGCTGCAGATAGTGTAGAATGCCGCTGCTTGTTTACTGAATGAGATGCAAAGACAGTCGCATTACATCAATTTTCTGTGATCTGCACCAGCTAGCTATTTGATTCCAAGTCTACTTCAAGGTATTAATATTGGCTTATATTACACTAAATGACTTGGGACCCAAGTATATGTTTGAATTCTTCACTCATTGTGTGCCACTTGCAAGCTAATATCTGTGGAAGGGGCCCTTCTTGTGGTTCCACCCCTGAGTAGTGCTTGGTATGTAGGGTGTGGTTGTGTGAGAGACCCGTGTGAGGGCCTTCTCAGTTGTGGCACCCTCCATGTGGAATTCCGCTGCCTCTGGAGATCTACCAGGTGTCCTTCCTACTTCAGTTACATAGGTTGCTCAAAATGCACCATGGCAGTATATATCCCGGGGCAAAATCCTAAAAAAAAAGCTCAAATTCTAAAAAAAGCTCAACCATTCTGGTCGGCCCTCGTGCATGTTCACTTCATCAAATCTGGCCCTCTTTGAAAAATAAGTTTGGGCACCCCTGGGTTATGAGCAATCTGATTCCGTAACAATCTATTAGAAGTATTTACTTTCTGCTGTTGCTTTTAATGTTGGCTTTAGTTCTGCACATTTTTTTACCTTTTGTGAACCACCCTGGGATGCTGTTGTGAAGAACATTATAAAAACGAGATAAGCAAGTAAGTAACACAATTAGCTTCTCTTACTTCCCACAGCCCACAATGTACAAATCGAATGGGATACGTTCTATTTTTGCTATCACCCACCCCCAGGCAGCTGGATTTTCACTGGAGACTGATTCAGCCCAAACTCAGCAACAGAAGTATCAAGACAGGTTATAATTACCACAAAAAAGTCCAAATCATTTCCATATGTGAGGCGTGCCCCTTTCCCAACTGGGACACTCACCCTTTCTGCTGCAAACATGGCATCACTCTCCTTGAATTCTGGGAAAACGTGACCTGCAGGAAGATCAACAATGTCACTCTGCTGGGCTCTTCAACCACTGGCACCTGCTGGTACTTGGGATGGGGGCACCAAGTGACAGACCTGAGAAGCTGTGTACAAATGCACACAAGCCATTCACCTGCTCACCACGTTCCCTTTCCCAGCCAAAGAAAACATGACATCCCCACAAAGGTACTGAAGGGATGAGGCTAGAGCGATTGGCATAGATTGGCCTTCCAGAATTAAGTCCAACCAACCGCCTGACCCATAGTCCAACATACCGTAATATCACAAGTGACAAAGATCACAGGAATTCTTCTCGGCTCTGGAAGCTACTGTGTTCCGTTAGGGCTTATACCTAAGATACTGACATGCTACATGGAAGCCACTCATTGCTGTTTCTTAAATCAAATGCACCAGTGTGCTTTCTCCAGATCCCCAGCTGAACATACTCCGTCTTCCCACCTGCCCGCCCCCTTCTTCACAGCACAGGTCACTCATCCTTACCTTCAACCTTCATGATCTGGTAAGTGTCCTGCACCACCTTGTACTTGGGTTCATTGCGGAAGGCATGAGCCCATGCCTGGATCAAGTACAGGATCTTGTTGCGAACATTGGCTTCAACTTGTCTCTGTAGAAATGTGCAGAGCCAGGATCAGGCAATATGCCCAATGGAAACGAACCCACAATCTTCCAAGGGAACAGCGTAAGTGCAATTTAACTGGGAAATGACGCTCGGAGCAATGCCCCTTGCCATCTAGTATCAGAAACCCAACCTCAGTTATTCTCTTTGCTCGCTACCTGTATATTCGTCTTCTACTAGGGGTGGGAAGGACAGAAAGAGTGGTTTTCCTTGTAAATTTCCTCCTGCTGGAAAGGAACTCCATGTTTGGCCTATGAGGGTGCTTCACTGTTTATAAATTTGGATTTCTTTTTCTTTAAACAGCTGCTTACGGGGAGGAGAAACAGCCAAAAAGCTCCTACCTTCAGCAATTCCTTCAACTCCTCCATGGTCTGTTTGTTAGCCACTTCATCGTGAACTGTTTGACCACAGTTCTTTACCACAGATTCCAAGACCTACAAGGAAAATATATTCATGAGCATGCATTGTCCCTGACCAAATATTCAAAGAGGTGCCCTGCTGAATCAGGCCAAAGGCCTATATAGTCAAGTATCCTGTTTCACCCCAGTAGCCAACCAGATGTCCTTGGAAATACCACCAGCAACAAATACAAATGCAACAGCCCTTTCCCCCAGAGGACTGATACTGAGAGGCATACCGCCTCTGGTATTGGAGGTACTGATAGCTTTATCCTCCAGGAATCTGTCTAATCCCCTTTTAATGTTGCCCTAGTTACAAGTAATTAGCAGCAGAAGTTCTGGTCCTCCTTTGAACAAAAAGTGGGCTGGCTGCACATCTCTCTCGCAAGGTTAGGGAAAGAAAGCTTCTCTCATTGACCTGGGAGAGTGACTACACCCTGAGGAAGTTGTGTTCACTTTAGCTTACCTCTAGTGCGTAGAGAGCCACGTGTGGATTCTTGTCGTTGACTTTCTTCTTTATTGCACCAACAGCATATTTAGCCCTGGACAACAAAATGCGAAGAATAACAACTCAGTCTAACGGCAGCATACAAGGACCCATTGTCATTCTGAAGCCACCCCAAAATCCCTGCTCTCATGAAATATAATAGCAGCACTTATAATGGAAGAGGAAAAGGTGTCAATATGTGTCAAGATTCAAAGCTAAATTATTTGACTAATCTATGATAACTGTTCCATTTACCAATCAAAATCACTGACATGTGAGGCAGTGAATATCTTGCACATCTGTGAGTTTATTACGTAATGTGGAAACTGCTGTATGATGAAAGAATAAGTATCAGTAGTTGTAGAAAACACTTGGAAATACATGCAGTGCCTTCTCTTCCTATTCTTTTCTACAGGACCTTCCTTGTCAAATATTTTCAGACAATTTCGTTATTAAAGCTGAACACACAGAACCAAGCCAATATAAGCAAACATAATTGTCACATTATTATTATCATTTTCCTTTTGCACAAGGGCTGCAGCTTCCTAGTTGACAGCATGTCTCTAGTTTCACAGGACAAGAAACCCACAAAGCAATTTTCTCATCTCCTTCAGCAGAGGCTGTATATCTAGAAGAGCAGGACTCATATGTAGTTTTAACAGTTCTGTTAATAAATACACTAATAAATACACTGGGATGAGATGGAATTTTAAGACCGCAAAAGACTGACATTAATAGATGACTTATTTGACTGTCCTGAAAATCCATTTTTCTGAAGAAAATTTACAGCTACACAGAAGATATACCCTCCAGACACTAAGCTGAACCAATTCCCACAGAAAATTTAGTCTACACTCATCAACTGCTCATTTGGTTAGCCTCTTACCTAGCTAACCTTTTTTGGTTCAAGGGCTATATTAACCATAAAGTACCACTCCAAGGGCTGGATGCCAAGGCCATTTTCCACCCCCTATTGCAGCTGCAGATCAGCAATGGGGATGAAAGAGCAAATGCTGTTCCTTGATCTTCAGGGAGTGATGGGGCTCGACAACATCACTCCCCCTGCTCATCAGATCAATCTGATGCATAAGGGGAGATTCTGAGACATAAGGGGAGATCCCCATCATTGCACTGGTCTGGGTTGTGGAGCTGAAACCTCTCTGCTCACACCAGTACAACACGACAGCAGTGCTCAGCAGCACCAAGTCCTTCTCAGTAAACAATGACAGCAGCCAAATTGCTGGGGGCCACCAAAAATCACTTGGGGGGGTGTCCACACATGGCCCACATGTTATCTACCTCTGTATTAGTTTCATAGGCAGAGAGCATGCCACAGTAGCAACAATGTTGGCTTTGGATGTGGAAACCCCCAGGTTCAAATTTCTGCTCACCCTTGAGGCTCAAAGGATGACCCTGGGCAACCACAAATACTCTACCGCAAAAGGCAGTTGCGAGGTTAAAATGTGGGACAGTTCTAAGCATATGATCAATAAACCTTGATGTGAATGGAGCAAAGAAAGTTTGGTGCAGGCATCAGCACTTACTGGGTGTCACCCTGACGAATCATATCACAAATCTGGAGGATGGACTCCCAGTCTGTCTCCAGCAGAAGCTGACTGGTAGCTTTATCTGAAATACATTGAAATAACCATTAACCATTCAGGTCAAATGCTAATATAGTTATTTGCTTTAGGAGTCTGTTGGACAAATAAGCCATACTTGGTATTTGTTGGTAGAGTACACCAGAAATTTGAGAACCTAGAGCATTTGTTTTGTGACCGACTGTTCACCTAAAAGTATCTTGCAAAATATCTTACATGTCTATGCTTGGCATCAGCCCTTTGTATGTGGATTATAATTTTATTGAGTAATTTCAGTTGCATGGACTGGATGGTGAGTGGGATTGGGTGAGTGGTTGTATGAATGATGTGCATTATTTTGGTTGAAATTTTATGTTGTATTGTATTGCCTTGTAACATTCTCTGGCTTTATAACTGATATTATGTTTATGGTGTATGGTATATATGAATTTGTTTTGTTTATATATAAATCATTTTATATGGTTTTTATTTTAATTATTGTGTTTCTAAATTTATTTTTATCTATTGTAAACTGTTGAGATTTTCATATACAGTAGTTTGCAATCTTTAAATGGAAACAACACCACCACAGTTATGTTGCTGCTAAGTGGTGGCCCCTTACAAAGAGCATTTCTAACCCCCAATAGCACAGTCAATACTTGCAGAGCATACTTGCTGTCTAGTGACCCTACTCATGTTTGCTACTCCAACTCTGCCATCCACAAAGCCTAATTATTTGCAACTGCTTCTGTGCATTTTCATCCTCTCACTTAATTGTAAAAAAAATTTACTGTAAGCTTCTTTAACTTTTTTCTCTTTCTTTTGCTAATGTTACTCTAAAGTTCATTGTTCATGGACAGCACTATATAAAAATTGGCAAAGGAGCTCATAATCTAATGACAATTGTGTGCCCATCCCCCATCCCCCTTTTCTTGTTTTCTGGTAAGCAATGTTATTGCCACCCCCACAGCAGCTGACACATTTCAAACTCCTTCCCCATGTGACATCTGCCCTAAATGCACCACTGTGTGCTCTCTTGACTCAGTCAGCTGAGAGTTCTGTTCTTGCCCTGTCACTTCCTGGATTGTTAGTCACCTTGCAGAGCCTGATTTTAGTAATAGTGGTGAGATCAGCAGTGTTGTACTGTAAAAGCATAAAGCTTTTCATTTCTCAAAAGACTGTTAAGTTTCCCCCAGAATTCAAAAAGGGCCAGATTAGTCAGTTAAACAAACACCACAGCTCTGATCCAATGATAACCCCTTCATTCGTCACTGAATATATGTTTGTGTGTGTGTGTGTGTGTGTGACTTGTTTATTTTTCTAAGGGTTGTATCCCATGCTATTTCTGTTCAGAGTATATCCACTGAGCTTTATGAACACTGGTTAAAACCCCAAACGCCCATTTTCGAGATCAAAGGGCAGCAAAAGGAATGTTGTCATCCTGTCTGTGTCTGGCAGAGGAAGTCGGTTACAGCTGCTAGGCCCAAACACGGTTTTGTTTTTACGTTGGGAGCTTCAATCTGGGCGTATGTGAGGCGACCATAGTGAATAACCATGGGGAAATGAATAGGGGCGGGAGGGGGGGATGGGCAGCGAACAGATAAGCAGCTTTCAGATAAAAAAACCTATTTGGCTTCCAGCGTGATAGGAGCTGATGGAAAAGGGAGGTCCTCCGCGCAGCAGCTCCGGGCTTCGACGTTCCCCACAGGAGCTCTGCCCGAAGAAGCGCAGCACTGGGCGAAGGTGCGAGGGGAGCGAAGGGGAAGGGTCAGAACAGAATACCCCACCCAAGTATTTGGGGTCACAGGCCAAGGGGGCAGGTCGCTGCCGGGACTCCCCCCCGCGCCCAGTACCTAGAAGCCGCTCGAAGGTGCCGCCGCCTCGCCCCATGGCGATCCCCGTCCAAGAGCAGGTAGCACCGACCGCTGGATCCGGTTCGCCTCGGAAACCCGCTTCCGCAGCCTAGGCCCCGCTTCCGGCTTCCGCGGAGCGCCGAGGCGGGACTTCCGGCGGCAGCCATTTGGCGATTGGCGGACGTGGCGACCGGAGCGGCTTGTCGGTCCAGGAGCGGATGGATTCGTGGCCGGGAGGAAGCGGTCGCCTCTGGTTGCTATGGTGATGGCCGGCGGCGGCGGCGGCTCCACTTACTTGCTTCTGGGGGGTTCGGGCGCGGGCAAGACCCTGCTGGTGAAGCGGCTGCAGAATATCCCCTCGCGGCTGGGAGGAGGGCCGGGGTTGCGGGTGCCGAGCAGAGAAGGCGGAGGAGGAAGCGGGGAGGCTGCCTAGGGTGGAAAGGGGTGGTGGGTGAGCTGTATCTCTCTGGCCTGTGTGGTGTAGTGGTTAAGAGCGGTGGACTGGTAATCTGGTGAACTGGGTTCATTCCCTGCTCCTTCACATGCAGCTGCTGGGTGACCTTGGGCCAGTCACACTTCTTTGAAGTCTCTCAGCCCCACTCACCGCACAGAGTGTTTGTTGTGGGGGAGGAAGGGAAAGGAGATTGTTAGCCGCTTTGAGACTCCTTTGGGTAGTGATAAAGCGGGATATCAAATCCAAACTCCTCTTCTTCTTCTTGTGCCCCTCTTGCTGGTCATCCATGCCTGCCTGGCAGTGCGACTAGGCACAAGATGGGCAAAAGGCCAGGGAGGGAAGGAGAGGGGTAGGAGATAATTCCTGGTGACAGAAAGTTAAGTGTGGTGGGAGGCTGGCTTCATGACAACAGACCCTTCCCATGAGGGTTGCCATATTTTGAAAAGCAAAACCTTCATGACTTCCACTTTTAACTATGGATCACTACGACGACTCACAAAAAAAGAGGACATGCCCTGGGAAAAGAGGACATATGGCAACCCTACTCCCATCCTCTCTCCTGGGGGTTGAAGGGAACCCCTTGCACCTGTTTGGGCTCTGTCTGTGCTGTGTTGTACCGAACCTTTCTCCATTCCATTCCCACCACTTTCCTTAACAGCCTCTCTGCACAGCTGAGCTCCAAAGATGGTGCCAAAGACCTTGGGGAGCCGCCAGCTACTCTGCCTACGGTATGGCCTTTCTTGTCTTTGGTTTGGTTCTTGTGGCTCAGCAGATGGGGCTCTGCTGTAGAGCATGTGCTCTGCAAGCAGAAGGTGCCAGCAGGTTTGCTCCTGAACATCTTGTTCAAAGGATCTTGAGTAGCATCGGTAGGAAAGAACCACTGTCAGCCCAAGTAAATATTGCCCAGCTAGCCCACCAACAGTATGACTTGGCATAAAGCAGTTTCTTGTGTTCCAATTGGTACAGGATGTTGTGGTACCCAGATTAGAGATGATTTACTGCTCCTGATGGGAAGACGTGGCAAAATCTTTGACAGAAGCAAATTGTGGTAAAGATAAGGGCATTGCTGTGGTCACACTAGCTATTGTTTTACACTTCTGTCGTCAATGAAATCAAACTTCATTGAGCAAATTCCATCAGTGAAATTGAACACTGTATATACAGATTGGTTTATTTCAGAGTGGTTTTTGCTTGTGTGATAATGGCCGGTAGGTGGCTCTCAGGGAGTGGTTGTTCTAAGGCAGGCCCCAACCTCTTCCTATAGTTTCTGCTGTGATTACCTTTGTTGCATTTTGTCACTCTTCTTGGTACAAAGGATTCACTTCTTATATAGCTTATATAGCTTATACATGGCTGTGTGTTGTAGTCGGCTTACAGTTCGTTGCACACTGCAAAACTATTATCACGTTACCCCGTCCCCAGCCTCCAGCAAGTATTAATATTGCTCCAAATATTTTCAAAATAAGCTTGGAGAAGCTCAGCAACTTTGGGAAAAGAAGCAGTTGTACACAAGGAGAGGACATAGTTCAGTGGCATGTATAAGGCAAGACCACATTCAGCGTTTTGGGGTTTCTGGGCAACACACCATCCATAAAAACAACCAAGAAACTTGTAGTGCTCTCAAGACACTGGTTGAAACTGTTGAGTTATCCTTAAGCACTGTGGTTTTGATCACACAAACATTCCTAGAGCCCTCTGCCCAGATGAGTCATGTAAATAAACTAAACCTCAAACCAAATTAATTTGTTTTAAAACACTTTGACCAACTCTCTGTGATGTAGCTAAAGGGTAGCTTCACCATTCTCTATACCAGTACTCCCTGGGAACACTGTTATTTCACACCCCACAGCTCTTAGGTTACCTACACAAAATGACACTTTTACAGTATGAATTAGTCCACAACAGGCTGCTTGATCCATGAGATATGTACAGTGTGATCCCATAAATGTCTACTGAGAAGCAAATCCCATTGAACTCAGTAGGACTTGCTGCCAGTAGAAGACTTCAAACCTATGCACGTACTTGGGAGTAAGACACATTGAGTTCTTTAACTTCCAACTAAGTATGCACAGGATTGCACTGTCATTATAAGGCAGCAATAGCTTGTTTTGAGAATTGTAACTGCATCTCCAGCTTATCGGGCCTTTTAAGTGCATGGAAGAGCTCCAATCAGATTCTTCTAGTGCCAAGAGTTGAGTCATGCTTGACAGAAGTACCTGGACCAATCCCTTTGCCTGTGTTGTGAATAACAGCTCAGTTACCCACCAGCGTACAAGTCTAATTGGTGGTTGTCCCTTTGCAGGTTGGCACAAACCTTACTGACCTTCAAATACGAAAGAAAATCACAATTCGTGAACTGGGAGGATGCATGGGCCCCATCTGGTCTAGTTATTACAGTGACTGTTGCTGCATCCTGGTAAGGGAAATCTGTCCACTCCTGTGGCTGTTTGCTACTCTTAATTACTTACTTTCATTAAAAATGAAAGCATAGGGTCTGAAGAGCCTGGAACATAAGCACGTCCTGCACCTGCTCCTTGGCAGCCCTGTGTACTATACTTCCACATAGAAAAAATAACTCAAATTTCTAGAAAATCTTGCTCTGACCAGAGAATAACTAGGCAGTTTGTATGCTGCAGCACCTCAGTGGTTCATGCATATTTCCAAATTCTTCTGGCTATGCTGTGTTGGAAAACTCTGGAACTTTAGTTTTTCACTTTGGGGCTCCCTTTGAATCATTCTCTTTTTCTTTCTGTCTCTCCTGCAGTACATGATTGATGCTGCTAAGCCTACGCAAATCTCCTCATCCTGCATTCAGCTTCTGTCACTTCTTTCTGCTGAGCAGCTAGCATCAGTCCCTGTACTCATCATTTTCAACAAGATGTAAGTGATATTTAACTTTAATCTCTGTGCAGGGGACTCTGGAAGAGGGGGAGCCGAATTTGATGGGCTTCAGTGACTATTAGTAGCCAATGGCAAGGCAGTGGGATGATGAGAGTTATCAGAATGGGGATATTTTAATTTTCAGTTGATTTGCAACCTGCTCACAATGTTCCACTGCAGGGCTTTTCATTGGAAAGTTCAGCAGGCAGTAAAAAGTGTGTGACTACTGTTTTCTCTCTCTACTTGGACTTTAGTGACCTACCCTGCTATATGTCCCTTGTGGAGATGAAGTCATTGTTCCGAATCCAGGATATCATTGCCTGTGCCAAGCAGCCCATCACTGTTGTAGAGACCAGTGCGCGTGATGGCAATGGCTTATCCAATGTGATGCAGTGGTTTCATTCTACAACCCAATGTGATTGAAGCTGGAGATTGCTCTCACCTCAGGTACTTTGGTTGGACATGGAGCAGCAGAAAGAGACCTAGGCAACAGTCCTAGTCTTATCACTTAGGAAGCGGCAGCTAGCAAAATTTATAGCCAGCAAAACTTAATAGTTCCCTGCAGGCAGTGGAAACAACATTGCTGCTATGGACTTTGGATGTAGTTTGAACCCAAAAGTAAATATTTTCCTATTTAAATCATTCAGTATATTGCCTCTTCTGTTCTGCATGTGCTACTAGGATGCTGGAGGAGAATGCTTCTATGGAAGGGGAGGACAAACTACATGTCTGTCTCATCCATTTATTTTAATTAAGGTCTTCATTTCTCACAGTCCAGGTTCCCATGGCGTCTGTGCCAGTTCTCAAATTCCTTCTGTGGCTTAGAGCCTCTTTGCAGGATACTTTGTTCATGCAATGAATGCAGAGTTGTTAACAAAGAATCCAAAAGGTACCTCTTGGTTTCAGGGATATTGTAACTTTTACACAATATAATATAGAATAAATTTCTCCCTTCAGGTATTCACACAACAGCAGTTGCAACTGGCCTGTGGAATGTGGTTGTGTGTCGAGGGCACCTATTTGATTATATGTGGCGTGAAACTTACCTTCTGCCATATCCTTTTGTGATTTTATTAGCTGCATGTCATTCTCACTAACCATTGTCATTTACACCAAACCCCATGCCCCTTGCTTCATCTGCTGCAATGGCAAGATCTTTGATTAACAGAATGGTGAAAAGGCAAAGGATCCATTTGTCCATCCATCCTGTACATCAGTGAAGAAGCAACTTGCTTGGACTAATTTTCTGTGCCGAGCCCTGCCTCCTTTTGCCCAGAATCAATCACAGACTTTGGGCCATGTGAAGGAGGTGACACTTTGAAAGTTTAAAAATAGCCACCCCTCTCATCCTTTAAAAACCTGATGGAATAAAAACAGTGTGACTAATTTTTAGACGGTTAGGACAGAACCAATCTGGGGAGTTTCCTTGGGAAGGTATTTTGAGCTAAGCAGTGTAACACTGCCAAGAAAAGAGCTTTAAATGTTCAGGAAATGGTCCAGAAGCAATTGGGGGTGGGAGGGGAATCAAACAAAGATACATTTAAGCATAAAAGTACATTTAAACTAAGGAATCTTGAAAAAGATGATGGTGATCTGTTATATTATCATCAGCTATAATCTATGCTGTTTTTCTGACAATTATTGTCTCTCAAAGCTACTCAGATCAATAATAATGAAAAGATGTACTGCCACCAGGCTCACAAACAAGGGGAACAGCAAAAGAGGAAAGGATGGGGCAGGGGAGAAGGTGAAGGGGCGAAACCAAATCTTCACAAGTAGAATCACAGAATTGTAGTGTTGGGAGGGACCCTGAGGTTCATTTAGTCCAACCCCTGCAATGCAGGAATATGCAATACAGGAATATGCTGCTGTCCCATACAGGGATCGCACCTGTCACCTTGGCGTTATCAGCACCAAACTCTAACCAACTGAGCTACCCAGGCTTCATGAACAGCTGTAATTGGGTAGTTTTTCAAAAGAAAATGTTTTTAATAACATCAAATCAAGATGTCCTGGTAAAAATGGCATCCTGCCAACAAATGTCTTACAATCCTCTTATTGTGCTTCAATGGCCCTATAAATCCACTGTGCAAAGCCCAAAAGGAAGGGCCATTACAATTCTTAAAAATTCAGTGTTTGGTCCTTCTCTTTTAAATATCATTAGTTTCCGTATGCTTCAAGTACTTGGGTCCAGCTCAAGGAACATTTCAATTTGCCTGTTCATGGAAGCTGGAACTGCCAGCCAATATTAAGAAGGGATGTTATTGGGCTGAAGATGGATGAGATTCTCATGTTCTTCTGAACACAGAAAAGCTTGAAGGCAGACAAGAGGAGACCGACATTTCCAGCAGCACGGGCTATTCCTCAGAGCATTCCTAGAGCAGCTGACATCAATCCTCCATCTCACAAGGAGCATTTCAGGCAAAGGTTCATCTTGCCCATCCACTGATATACTGCTGGATTGAAAGGGAAATTTCAGCTGCCATTGTTATTAGAGAACTGGTTTTATTTTTACAATCAGAATAATGGTCCTAAATATGCACCACTCAGCAACAACACCTATATTTTTCAGTCCTTCCTTTTAGTGCTCTTTTACATTCCTCACTTACCAGAATAGCTGTTAGTAACACACCCTCCACCTCTAATCTTGCTTGTAAATTATTGCCTTGGGAGTGTGCTGGGAAGTGAACAGAAGAGCTAAGAGATTGCCAGCATCCAACGACAAACAAGATGCAACAGTGGCACAATCCAGTGTTAGCGGATCATGCCAAATTCCTATTAAGCAGAGTGGTGGTCATTTAAAATGAAACCTAGGCGAGACAGCAGTACTAAGCCCTTCTCCCACCTGCTCTCCCCCCAATTTATTTTTGGCAGGCACTGTTTCTGATGGAAGAAAAAAACAACTTGGAGAAAAGTACAGGCAGAGCAAAAGTTCAGCACCCCTCCCACTTTCCCGTGCTGCACTTTAAATTGCTCCCCTGCCCTGTTTCATAGGAAATTGATAGCAATCTGATTCCCTCCAATCTGCTACCATCATATCTTGCTTGCCCTCAAGGTCCTGCAATTTACTTCCATCAATTTGATTTCCTAGTGAAATACATTTTCAAAAATGGACTGCATTTCCTTTCTCTCTGTGTGTACATCTGCATACATTAAGCAGTAACAGGAGAGAGCGCTGCAACACAGCCAAGCTTGTCTCGTTACCAGTCTCTGCAGATGTTTTGCTTATATAAAATCCACACATAAGCAGGGTGAGTGGGGGGGAGCATGCAAAGCTCTTGCCATCCTCATCACCTCCCAGAAACTGCAGGGCCAGTCTCCTGTATTCGTGGAGGCTCACTGCACAATTCAGACAAGGGAAGATCAAGGTGCTTTGATGCATCATTCAAAAGCATCCTGCCTGCCAGGCACAAACTGCACAGGCAAGAAGCCACAGGCTATGTGGGCTTAGGGGTCATCGGGAAGCAGGAAGCAAAGGGAGAGGAGAAAAAGTTTCCTAATATCCAGCATGTTTTGGACCTCTCGGGTCCTTCATCAGGAAGTTACAAACTTCTGTTATACTGTCTCCACTTTCCTTCTACAGTACCTTTTCCTCCTACCTTTTTGCTTCCTCTGCTCCGCCCCATCAGCTTCCGCTGCACCTGGATGGGCTCATGTAAGCTGTACACTAGCTTTGGCTAAGGCAGTAATCCATTATGTATGTGCTACCCAGCCAAGCAGCTTGGCAGCAGCATCTTGTCAGTTCCATGGAGCTCCTCAATAGTCTTACCTCACCTTCAACTGCCCCCAAAGCCTTACCTCATCTTCAATTGCTGCATTCTCATTTCCCATATATAGTATGAAGCTTCTGAATGAGAAACATCTTGTCTTCCCCTTCCTGGAACGTTAGAGACATTAAGGTGAGTTGCGGGAAAGTGGCTTTCTTGAACAAATGCTAGCAATGTTAGGAATCTATATAAAAGGTTGAAACAAATACGATCTGTGCTCAGTTCATCCAGCTCAAGGAAACATTTCCATTTGCCTTTCCATGGAAGCTGGGATTGCTGGCAAATGGTGAGAATGGACGTTCTGGGACTGAAGGTGGATGAGATTACCGTGAAATTTCCTGAACAGGAAGAAGCTTGAAGGGAGGCAACAGGAGACTGACATCTTCAGCAGCATGGGCTTGTTTGCCATTCCTGGAGGGGTTAAAATCTATTCTGCCATCTCCCAAGAAGCATTTCAGGCAGATAATAAAAGTTTGTAATGCCCATTGCGTTTTCCTAACTGCTGTAGGGGTCTACTGCAAGTTTAATCTATTTATTATTAGTGAAGTGTCCTGCCATTATGACTAGCATGATTCATGCAGACAAAGGGACTGTTCACAGCAGGAACCTAATGTGGAAGCTGCATCTGTAGAATTTTGTATACAAGCACTTTGCGTGAGCACACACATATACACAGCCGTCTTCAGAAATATCTTTCAATGGAAGCTGAGAAACCAAGTATGCTTCTATTGCACTGCTTTTCACCACAGGGGAAATAATTCTCCATTCATTCATTCATTCATTCATTCAGGGAAAGAAACAGACTGCAGCCCATTTGCTTTGGTTCCAATAAATTCCAAGAACTAAGGGCCCAGTTCTTAAGGCCCCACTCAGCATGGTACTCATATTCTCTGACAAAGCAGGAATTAGCAGCACTTTCAGGTCCCGGAACTGCACAGGATAAAGCAGACTCCACTCACATTGGCAATCTGCTCCTTCAGCAGGGTAATGATTTTCCGCTGACCTTTCACCACTTGGAAGTTGAGGTAGATCACAGCGCTGCAAAATCACAAAGGCGCGGGACAGAATGAGCACAGAGAGATGTTAAGTGAGAAATGCGCAGAAGAGTAATATGCACACCAGGAATGTGGAACAGATTGGTGACAGAACTGATGCATCATCGTCTGCCCTCATACAGAGAAGAGGGAGGGCATTAAACCCTCATGATCCATTGGGCAGTCAGAAATCCTGGATGTTGGTGCATCTAAGATACTCATTCCCACGCGTATATTGGTGCCTCAGCCTCTGACAGCTTTGAGATGCAGATTCCTTTAAGTATGGTTAGCTGGACAAAGAAACTCCCCAAAATTTCTTCTCTGGATTGCATCGTAATTGGATTACGTAACACAGGGGTAACTAATGTGGTGCCCCTCCAAATGTTGTGCAACTTCCATCAGCCCCAGCCAGGTGGCCAGTTGCCACAGGTGTTGGAAATGGGAATCCAGCAACAAATGAAGGCCACCAAAGAGGAAATTGCGGTGGCGTTGGAACAGCATATGGCATCAACAGTGGTAAAGAAAAGCTTGAAATATGCAGGTTATATTTACAGGTTTAGTAAGTTGCATTAGTGCTAGCTTATGAGGTACCCCAGCTTGATAAGGGGAGGTGTCCCACAGTGGAAGCCATCAACCTTTTACAGAAGAGTACAGCTGATGCTACTGAAACTGAACTATGCTGAGAACAGGGCACACAATCAGCCTTCCTTCCAGTTATATCACAGGTTGAGGTATATGCCATTCCCGGTAAACCCTGTATGTTATTCACCAAACCACTTTGATTTTTTTGGGTTGGGAAGGGAGAAACCATCCATGGCTTTCTAAGCTTAGATAAATAATGGAGTCTTTCCAACTTACAGCAAAATTCCAGCAATCAAAAACAAGAAGAAGCTATTTTGGATCAGGTGCTGGTGGATCCAGGTAAACCAGGTGAGGTTTGGGTTGGATTTCTCCAGCTTCAGAACCCAGGTCTTCCCAGACTCATAGATGGTCTCGTGGTCTCGGAAGGGTCCACATATCTTTGATGGTTTCACTCTGGATGGACAAAGAGCAGCTCAGCATCAAAGAGCTATTCAAAAGACTGTTGCTCTACTTGGCATACAAAAGCTACACACCTAATCATTTTGTTTTTACAACATTTATACACCATTTTTCGATAATTTACAAAGCCATTTGTAGCATAAAAATGTAAGTTCAAAGGTGAGCGTCACTGATTATTTGGCCAAAATGACACCACAAGAGGGAGATACCAGCAGGCTCGAAAAAACCTAAAGGTTTGCAGAAATGCAAAAACGAAACAACCTTTAGACAGAAACCAAAACAAAAGATAGCCAAATAAGAACTGATTGTGCTCAGCAGCCATGGAATGCTGACTGACTGTCTGAGTTAAAGAAAACAATAGAAAAATGGGTGGGAGGGGAATGGAATAGAATAGAATATCATGCAGAAGACCATGGCTGACTGAACAGGAGTACTCCACTCTGCAACCTTTTACTGCAGGCCCCACATGGGTTTAACTAATAACTGATTGTGTAAATGTCTGAATATTCAGCTGCCTGCAGTAGCTAGAGCCCCCTTTTCAACTACAGGCAACTCCCCATTTATGCACATTCAAGGCACCCGCCACCGCACATGCACGCATTACAGCAAACCCAGAAGTGGCCCGAAAAGGGGCAAAAACAGCAAACATGGCGCAAGAACAGAATCTAGCATGAGCCTTGGCAATTGCGATCCCAGAAACACTTGCACTGACCTCTGTGGCCTATGGAGAGTTTGAGCATGGAGGTTTAGAGGGTCTTTGCAGACTTTTCAATAGTGTTCCCAATATTCAAGATTTCACTTAAGCGTGCAGCGCCTCAGAACGTAATCCCCACATAAATGGGGAGTTGCCTGCACTTCTTTTATATGCCAATTTGCACAAAGACAAGTTTTTAATATGTTACCTATTCTGTACCATACCACAATTTATTTAGCAGTATCAAAACAGGTGCACATGTCTGCCAGAATGAAAGCAAAAACCCTTAATTATGTTTGACCCCCGCCCCCATATGGAAAGAGTGCTTTACAGTATGTCCCGTGAGCAGGATGCCAAATGCAAGACTTCTGACACATTCTTCAAAGGAACAGCAAGAAATTGTATGTTTAAAAAAAGCAGCACATCAGAGGCCGCAATGACAGCATGCTCACCAGCATCAGAGAAGCCATTCAGACTTTAATGCCTTGATGGTAGGCTAGTGTGGCTGCACTAGCGCTAGGTCGAAGATGAGTGAGGGAGCAATGCAGACTAGTAACAAGATGCCTTTCAGGTGGGCATGGGGACAAGCTGTGCAGTAGAATGGGACGGAAAGCCCAAACGGGCAGGATGTTTTGATATCAGATATCATGGGTGAGAGAACTGGAATTAACAGAAGAATAGCAAAAGATCCAGCAGTCATAGCATTCCTCTAACACCCGGAATGTAACTGCAGTCAGTTACAACTGAACAGAAAATCTACTCACGCCCAGATGGTGTAGGAGAGGAATATGGAGGCACCCAGGAAAGAAGGGAAGCACAGCAAGGTGATGAAAATGGTGCTCATGTGAGATGCACGCCAGGGTTTACTGGGAGACTGGCAATTTCTCATCAAGCTGGTCTAGGAGGGTGGAAAAAATACACAGTTTAAACTAGCTTATTCAATCTCCTAACAACAGCAACTTCTGAGTGGGACTCAGCCATACAGTGGCACCTTGGGTTAAGAACGTAATCCGTTCTGGAGGTCTGTTCTTAACCTGAAGCACCACTTTAGCTAATGGGGCCTCCCGCTGCTGCTGCTGCTGCTGCTGCTGCTGCTGCTGCGCCGCTGCTGCGCGATTTCTGTTCTCATCCTGAAGCAAAGTTCTTAATCTGAGGTACTATTTCTGGGTTAGCAGAGTCTGTAACCTGAAGTATCTGTAACCCGTGGTACCACTGTATACTGAAGAAGACTGATCACAGCAAGCACTTTAAAGGGCAACGTGAGTCTAGAATCTTGCAGAAAGAAAAGCAACCCAGTGGGGAAATGGCCAGTGGGAAAAGCAATAAGCACCCCTTCTCTCCCACTGCTTTTCTGCTCAGAATTGCACCTCCCAAGGCTGTTTTTCATTTAATAATGGGGGGGGGAGGATTATAATATAATACACTTATATACACATGCATTTGACTCTCAGCTTCTCATGACTGATAAGAGTACAATCTAGGTTACTTCCCGCTGGTCAAGGACCTCTGTCAGGTTTCCATTTCCTTTAATTGTCTTCGGGACAGAGCGAAGGCAGTCTGGGAGGCAAGTCCACTCAGTGTGATTTGCTAGCTTGTCTCCACCTCAATTTCTCTGTCCACAAAACTTCCATAAGCCAACCCTCTGCTAATGCATGTCACCTCAGTGCAGTGGAAAGTGCATTAGTGCCCGTTGGAGATGGGCAGATAAATTACCTTCTTAATATAGAACAGGAGCAGCAACTTGAAGATTTGGACAACAGGGAGGAGTGGGGCAAAGAAGACTCCCAGCCTGGGCGGGGGGACAAAAAGGAGAGATCAGTAGTTTACTTACGCTGAGCTTGTAAACCCCTGCACAGAATCTCAAATTACGCAACCAGAATCCTGTGAAGTATTTTACATTATTCAATCTAGTTTCTGGCTTTTAAAGGAGGTGGAATTCTTTAGCAGAGTCTGAAAGAAATGAATGCACAGAAAGATTGAAGGTGGAGATGGATGGGCTACAAGGGGTCCATGATAAGGAGCTGTGCTTGACCCAGAGGCTCCAGCCCATTGCATGTTTTTGTGGTGTGGCGATCCTATTTTAAAAGTTTGAATGATATAAAATAGGGTAAAAATACTGCAAATAAACAACCAACAACAAGGTGCAGATATGCAGCAGTACCTGAAAGACTGTGGCAGCAGAGATTTAAAGGAAATTTAAAGCTTTCCTGCTTCAAAGTGGTTAATTAGGATTGTTTAATTTACTGCTGGTCTTGATATTTGTTTTAATAGGATTGCTATTTGCAGAACCTGCAGCTCGAAGGTAGAACAAGATGCTTTGCATACATAAGTCCCAGCCTTTTTCAGGTAAGGCTGTGAAAACCTTAGACAGCCCCTGCCAGTCAGTGTAGACGATATCAAGTAGGTGGTCCAGTGGCCTAATTCAGTACAAGGCAGCTTCCTCTGTTAACATATGTCATTGCACTAAAAGCCACCCTGAGCAGCTCACATGAGACAGGGTGTAGATGTTTTAAATAAAATGTATGCGATCTAAAGATCCTCTGCCTTCTTCAAAAACAGTTTGGTGCTCTTATCTGCAGGGTGAACAGAACATAAGACTTTAACATGAATATGGGAAGGGGAAAGGCGTGACCCAGCAAAAAAATGGAAATGGGCATCTCTCACCAGGTCAAGGTTTGTCCATAAATGAGCTCCAGAACATTTCGAGCAATGTCAAACTCAGGCCTCCGCTTACTCTGTAGCTTCTTCTCCAAAATAACCCTGAGTAGTAGTCAGAGAGAGAGAGAGAAAGAGATTGGGTTGTATCCCATGAAGTCATTGCACAAGGGGGACAACTTCTGCTCACATCTGCTCTGAGGATTCCCCAACCCTCTGGAGCAGATTCTGTGGGGTGTAGGGGAAGGAGATGTTCCATTGTGCCCATTGAAGTAGTTCTATTTATGCAATGACTTTACTGGATTCAACCCAGGACACAGCTATACAGCTGCAGATACAATGTTATAAGTGCATTATACAAATGTGACACTAGATGGTGCTGGTGAGCTTATGGCAAATTCAATATATTTTTCAAAACGCTTTTTTAAAAAGCATTTTTGTATGTGTCTAGATTCCACCCCAGTCAGTCCGAACTGCAAAGCAGAGCTTTGCCAGAGTAAGTTTTGGCATTTGGGAAAGGGATTGGCCTGATAATTACCTCCACATCAGCTCTGCGAAGAAGGTGTCCAAGAGACAGAAAATGAAATCCATCACCACCAAGCGGTAGAGCTCTTGCCCCACAAAGTTCTCCCAGCACTGTGGAAAAATGGGCAAAATGGAGGGGTGTTTCTCTTTCTGGAGCTCTTGGCCAACCAGTTTCTTCTGTCTGCTGTTGCTTCAGACATCCCTAGCAACAGAAGTTGAGTCCATCCCTGCTATGTGCAACGTGCCAGCAAAAAGATGACATTTTGCCTCTTGCTTTTGAAGGGGCAGGGCTCTATTTGCTGCAGGTTAAAACAAGGGAAAGCAACGCCAGCCTGCCTTTGCTACAGCCGGTCAACTCTCCTCCTGTTCCACAAGATACTTTGCATTGTTCCAATTTTAGCATGCCCAATGAACGGATTTAAGAAACTAATATTTGGCATAAATAAAGTTTAAAAGGTTATTCAAAGCACCAGAAAAGGTTTCCTGCTGCAAAGACCTTTCCCATTTCTCATGAGCTATTTGCTGGAAATTATGAACCATCCGAGTGGGGGGTCACTTTGTTCCAAGTACACAAAGCCACCTTTTTTGTGCCTGGCTTGGTTCAGTATGATAAAACCACAGAAGACCAGCAGTTGCTGGAAATGTCCCAGCAGCAGCTTCACTTGCCACAAATTCACACTGACCTCCATTTCTGAAGTCGTCTCTTTCCTGCTCAGCCAGTGATAACACAGCAACCCTAAGATAACCATCTTCAGAATTAAGTTCCTGAAGACAAAAACAAAAAGAAAGAAAAAGAGGAAAGGAATTTCTTAAGAAACAATATTCTGAGGAAGAAAATTGTTTCCAAGTTAGATCGACTAAACCCACCCACTCCACCTCCAATTGCCAGAATGTTACCTGGAGAATCTGGTCACATCCACAGCATGCATTTAAAGCACATGGCTTCCCCACCCCCCAAAGATTCCTGGGAGATGAATTTGTTTAAATGGGTGCTGGGAATTGTAGCTCTGTAAGGGGTACGCTAGAGTTCCCAGGATTCTTTGGCGGAACCCATGTGCTTTAAGTGTGATCCACTTAGTTCTCTTGTTCTTCTGCTTGGCAGGAGTAAAGAGGTAGGGAAAAAGCTATCACCAGCACATTCGGGCATGGAGGACCAACGCCAATACCTGGACACAAAATGCAGAGGAAGCAACATGCTCCTCTGTTCCAGCTGCTAGGCTCTGTGTTACCTGCAGATGGCGACATACACCTCTAGGACGGGAGATTCCTGCTTCTCCCAGGCAGCCAGGAGGTTGTATATGTAGGGGATGAGAAAGTTAATCAGAGACACCAGCAGAGGCAGGGCCAGGAGCAGGGCTTCTTTGCCCAGGTAGTTGCTTGTCAAGAGCTTCTCATGATGAACCTGTGAAAGTGGTGCACTGTGGGTTACCTGTTCAACTCTTATCAAGTCCCCACATTTAATGCAAACAGAGCTCTAGGTTCTAGGAACGGGATATAAGCATTGCAGCGCCTCCTTTATGACTATCACTGAAATCGCAACTTTCAGGCTGGGGAATTGCAGGAGATAATAATCTTCATCTGTTTATTACAGTGAAAAGTGGCTATCTTTCATGGAAGAAACAACTGGAAAGCTGGCACTGTTGTACTACAACTCCCATCACCCCAGGCCAGCAGGGGATGATGGGGATTGTAGTCTAATAACATCTGGGGACCCAAAGCTGGAGAAGGCAGGCCTCATGTGAGCCCAGTGATGGCCTCTTTCCCCAAAGAGACTAAGGAGTCCCTGCCACAGACCCAGAAAATCAGAGATAATGCTTGCTGCCAAGAACACAGCAGGCCCTTGGAAAGCAATGTAGCAGCCATCTCACCTGGTAAATGTATATAGAGAAGTAGTGAACTCCTAGGACACATCCCAGAACAATGCCCAGAGACAGAGTCCAGGCTATCAGTAGGATTGCCAGCCTCTGCAGTCTCTTGCACAGGTTTAATGGGCGAGACCTGGATCGCCGCTCAGCCAGACACTCCTGATAAAGGAAAAGAAGAAAAACAACCACTTGAGTGATAAATGAGGACAGGGGCTGCAACATGACTTCCTAGTTACATGGCCAATCTGCATTTCTTAGGGGTAGGCAATATACCCAATGCAAAAGGAGCCAGCACTAAATCTGTGGGAGAGGCACCTGGGAGTTCAAAGGAATCAAAGAGTGTGACTGTAATCTGCTCTGTAATATGGGGAGGTTATCAGTACAAAAGAGCAGATCAGAGCTGTTGTCATCATCATAGGATTGTAGAGTCGGAAGGGACCCCCAAGGGCCATCTGGTCCAACGCCCTGCAATGCAGGAATCACAGCTAAATGATCCCTGACAAATGGCCATCCTAACTCTGCTGAAAAACCTCCAATGGGAGTCCATTCCACGGTTGAACAGCTCTTAATGTCAGAAAGTTCTTCCTAACGTTTAATTGGAATCTCCTTTCTTGTAACTTGAAGCCATTGGTTTGGGTCCTACCCTCTGAGCAGCAGAAAGCAAGCAAACTCCATCTTCCATGTGGCATCATCTCTCAGGAAGAGTTTATACAGTTTGGAGAGGTATGAGCATCATGGCATAGATATTGCTGCACTATTTATATTCAGTGTCGTACAAAATGCCTTGTTACCTTCTCACATCTAGCTACCCAGAGTGGCTGCGGTGACCCAGTCAGATGAGTGGGGTACAAATAATTAATAATAATAATAACAATAACAACAACAACAACAACAACAACAACAACAACAACAACATCCTGCTGCATGGGATATCGAGAGCCCCATCACTCAGCCTTCCCAGGGAGACTGATTTATCCACCAAGCTTGTTGCATTTTCACAGCCTGAATTGGCACACTCAGTACTTGCCTTCAGGTGAGTGCAGATGTTTTCACTCTGAAGTCGGACGGAGCGTTTCTGGATCACCTTGTAGTCCCAGGCACAGAAGACTTTGATTGCCAGGTCCCCTGATGCACTGTCCACACGGTAGCTCTCCCCAAAGGAGTGGGACATGCTGCGAAGAAGGGAGAAGATATCGTCAATCAAGATTGCTTGTTTTAGAAATACTTTCTTTAAATCAAGTCCTCCAAGCAAGACCCTTCATGATTATTTTTTTCATTTCTTAAAGTTATTTGCACTCTTTCTGATACCAGATTGTTGACCATCTGGCAAAAAAAAAGAAGAAGAAAAAAGAGAGAGAGATTCTGACACTGCCTGAGTTAAGTAAGTCCCATCATGTTCCATGGCACTTACTCCCAGATAAATACGCATTGGATTGCAGACCTTAAAACAGATATTATTAGTGTTCACATGTCATAATAAACCATAAGGGCTTGCAACCAGTTTACTTGCAGGATCATCTTACTTTATATGCCTACTCAACTACTCTGACACTGTTGTAGCTGCCACGTAATACTCTTTCTGCAGTTCTGAGAAATCCATCTTATAACACGGTAGCAACAACGCTTTGAAACTCCCTGCCTATTGACACCAGACTGGCACCTTTGCTGTGGTCTTTTTGCTGCTTACTTAAATCATTTTTGTAAAATGGTGACATGTTTAAATCTTTTTAACTGTTTTTTTTTTTAAAAAATATCTTTAAAAATATGTTTTAACTGTTCTATTATAATTTTTAACATTTCTTGTAAACTGCTTACAAGACTGCAGATTTAACAAAATATGTTACTATTTAGACTTGCAATATATGCTATCACATTTGAATGGCAATTATGAACCCTTCTTGATTGCTTCGTTGTTGCTGCTGCAATCCTTCCCATCCTAGAGGCCTCAAAATGCTGCTGGATTGCAATTTCCACAATCCCTGACCATCAGCTCTGCCTTCTGGGAATGATGGGGAGCTGAATTTATAATTATATGGGAGGATACCAGGTTTGAGAAGGTTGGGTGTACCAAACTGCAGCAAAAAAAAGCAGTAAGAAATACTGATGGGAATGAGGAAGTGTTATTTGGAGCCCAGCACCTCTGTTTTCCCCAGAGTGGTTGGGGAAACCCAGCCAGATGGGTGAAGTATAAATAATAAAATTAATATTATTTTCAGGGAATTGTAAAAAATCAGGAAGGATGCAGAATATGGAAGATACCTAGACATTTTCTAAATGCAACCAAGAAGGAAAGACAAAATGAAAAGGTTGAGGACAGATCCTGTGTAAGAGAAAAAGCAAAGAAAACTCCTGAAACCCGTATCATCTCACCTGTACACCAGCAGAAGGCAGGTCACAAAGAAGGAGACGCCGGTGGCTAACACGTAAGCCAGTGGCATATTGTATGGCAGATGGACAGGCCTGCCCTGCCTGCAATTTGTGCTGCTGTTAGGGCTGAATGCGCAGGGGTCATTCAGTGTGAAGTTACTGTAGTAGCCGTAATACATCAATGTGTGATTGAAGTAGCCCTGCAAGGAGAAGAGAGAAATGGTTTCCAGTCCTTCAAGTGCTTTACTCTTTGCCCAAGGAACTTGGGCACAGCAACATGGGGATGGCTCGCGCATGCATGCTTGACACAACCACTGATGACACTGATGACCTCGGGTTAAGTACTTAATTCGTTCCGGAGGTCCGTTCTTAACCTGAAACTGTTCTTAACCTGAAGCACCACTTTAGCTAATGGGGCCTCCGCTGTCGCTGTGCTGCCGCCACGCGATTTCTGTTCTCATCCTGAAGCAAAGTTCTTAACCCAAGGTACTATTTCTGGGTTAGCAGAGTTTGTAACCTGAAATGTCTGTAACCTGAAGCATATGTAACCCAAGGTACCACTGTACTCACAATTCCCCCATTTCTTCTCAGAGGAGTCTGGGGTTTTTAAAACCCTCATGGGCTAAGCAAACACCTCTGCTGTGCAATTGTTTCCAGAAGTAGTGTTGGAATAAGGAGAAAGGCATATTTTACGTTGTGATGGGGGATTTGTGGCCCTCCCAATCTTGCTGGACTACAGCTCCTATCGTGCCTGGCCACTGCCTGTGCTGTCTGGGCCTGATGGGAATCAAACTCCTAGGAAATCTGAATGGCCACAGTTTACTCACCCCCGTTTTTAATATCACTCCACACATGCCACGATTAGAAGTACGCTGCTTTAGTCCAATGGCAGCAAAGGGACATCAGATGTATTCGACAAATGCTTACCGCTCCAGTGAGGGGCTCAAGCCCTGTGAAGGCTTTGCTGTTGGGTGTGGTAGGAGGGTAAGCAGCCTGCACGGCAACCACGAAGACCAGCAGGAGCAGAAACAAGAAGAGATTGAACATGAGCAATGTCTTGAGGAACAGGAAGTAGGAGAGGATGCTGGACCCAAAGCGACCGCTGATCTGCTTGAGGGAATAATGCCAGGGCTGGAGGGTGTGACGGAGGGACAGAAGGCTGTACCAGAGATTCCGGAACCCCTGCAGGGAAAGCAGCCTTTGATCAGAGAAGCCCTTCAGCTGAAGAGATGGTAGCTTTCAGCAAGCCATTGGTTGGGGTCCTACAGGCATGTTTCACCAACACACAGTTAAGCAGATCGTTCCATGTCCTGGTGAGGGTCCGGGTCATGTGCAAGAGGAGAAGGAGAGGGAGGAAATCCCCTTGCATTAGTGCAACTATTTAGTTGACTCCCAAGCACCTGAGCTACACTTGACTAAGCATCCAGCCCAACCCTACTGGACTCCTTCCCGTTAGCCTTGGCAAGATAAGTAAATCCACTGCAATCCAATGTGTCATTGTGTTCCCAAACTGTGGTCTGCTAGTTTCATTCAGGGGGTCTGCTGAGCATCTGTGAATTTGTGGTTGAAGATGGGAGATGCCACATCAATCACATTGGATATTCGTATTAATTTTTAACTGTATTTTCATCGCTTATTTCTTATATTGTGTTTTATCGTATCACCCTTTGAATTCTATGGAACTGCAGCTGCCACAACAGGCAGAAAATCCATTAAGTGGTCCCACCAAGACCCTCAGCCATTTTCAAGTGGTCTGTCGGGGGGAGAAGTTTGGGAGCCACTACATTATATGAAACATGCAGTCACCGCCTGTTTTGAGCAAACCACTGGGCCACAATCTCTGAAGTGTGAATTACAATGTTCTAGCTCACTGGGGTGCGGCACAAAATGAGTAAATATTTGCTTTGCATGTGGCACAGTAAGAATGTCATAAGACTATTAAGTGCCTCCTTTCCCAGCCCAGCTTGGAACCTAACATGGTGCCTTCTCAAAATGCGAGCAGAGCCAAAAATGAACTTGTGTTGAAGAGAAAGCTGACATAAGTCTTCCATTATCTATTTACTTCATTCCTATCCCACCTTTCCTTGAAGGAGGTCAAGGTAATGTACATGATTCTCCCCCCCTCCCCCCCGCCGAAACAAAAATCTCATTCCCGCAACAATCCTGTGAGGTAGGTCAAGCTACTGGCCCAAAGTCAGCAAGAGAGCTTCATGTCTGAATTTGAAGCCAGGCCTTGAGTACAACATTCTAACGGCACTAGAAGAAACTTAGAAAGAGGCTCCTAAAACATTTTAATGCCTTGATGGCATTAACATAAACTCTGTAACTGGCAAAACTTGGGCCGACTCAAATCCTTAACTACCCCGTGGATTTCTTAGAAGGATTCTGATGGATATTTCCACAGCTATGCAAGGAAGATTCTGGAGGCCACACTTCTTCTCAGAGAGGCCCCTGAGTCTGTTTTTCTCCTCACAATATAGATATACAGTGGTACCTGTTCTCATCCTGAAGCAAAGTTTTTAACCCGAGGTAATATTTCTGGGTTAGCGGAGTCTGTAACCTGAAGCGTATTTAACCCGAGGTACCACTGTACTAATGAAGTGCTTGGGAAGCTGTTGTATGGACAAATGAGGGATTTCATTAGTTGTATGAAAAGAATTGGCCTCAATTAGGCAACCTTGTATCTAGAAAGGGTGTTGGTAAAGTTATGCCCTCATTTAGCAGCACCTTCAATGGGCATAAGCAGAGATTCTTCTCTCTTTCTGGGGGCAGCTGGTGGTGCCAAAGCAGGCTGACCTTTCCAGGCCTACTTCTAAAGCATACATTTAAATCAGTAGTATACCACTTTAATAGTCACAGCTTCCTCCAAACAAATCCTGGGAACTGTAGTTTGTTAAGGGTGCTGCAGGTTGCTAGGAGACCCCTATATGCTTCATAGAGATGCAATTCCCAGGGTTCACCAAGAAGAGGGCTTGATTGTTAAACCACTACTGTGGCTCTGTGAGGGGAACTGAGGTGTCCTAATACCACTCAGCACCCTTAACAAACTACAGTTCCCAGGATTCTTTGCAGGAAGCCATGAACCGCTGCTTGGGTTCCGAGATATTCAGGGGAGGCCTTTCTCTCAGTCCCGCCATTCTCACAGGCATGCTTGGAAGGGACGCTGGAGAAAGCCTTCTCAGTGGCTTCTCCCAGACTTTGACACTCTCTCCCTAGAGAAGCTAGACCTGCTCCCTCCTTGTTGTCCTTCTGCCTGAAGGTGAAGCCAGTTCCCAACAGGCTTTTGGGAACTGACTGTTTTTAAGGAAAGGGCTGGTGCTATGCTGTTCTATTGTAAATAATAATAATAATAATAATAATAATAATGGGGTATTAAAGTGTTTTAAAGGTATGGCACAGATGTGGCCCAGGACTATGCAGGGCAGGTGAAGTTCATGACTTACTATGATGATGTGGTATTTAAGCCGGCTGCAATGTGACAAAGGAGCTCTTGTCTTGGGTTTCATCAAGGTGCCTGAGTACCCACTTGATTCCTGCCTACAAAGGGACAGACAAACAGATTTTTATAGAATCATTGCAAAAAGCTGCTCTTTAGATGAGAAGTACAAGCTCCTCATGTCGTTCAGCACACTCACCAACTGCTCCCTTGATTGCAATAATTAATTATTATTATTATTATTATTATTATTATTATTATTATTATTTATTACTTATAACCCGCCCATCTGGCTGGGCCTCCCCAGCCATTCTGGGCAGCTTCCAACAGAATATTAAAAACACAATAAAAGATCAAACATTAAAAACTTCCCTAAAGAGGGCTGCTTTCAGATGTCTTCTAAAAGTCAGGTAGCTGTTTATTTCCTTGACATCTGGTGGGAGGGCATTGCACAGGGCGAGTGCCACTGAATCTCATTCCTGCCCATTTTAGTAGTGCTGAAATGGCTTAAAGGCACTGACCTCAGCTTGCACTTCTCGCCCAGGCTTAGAGGCATTGTTCTCAGCATGCTGATGCGCTGGCTGGCTGGCAGGCTCCGGAGTTCTTTCACCAGCAGGCTGCGTTTGTCTAGGGAGGGAAGTATACAGGATGTTTAAAGGCCACTGCTGGAGGAGGTAAACCCAGCTGCATTTCCAATGGCAGGCATTTTGGCAAAAGAGAGAAAATGTCAAAAAGAAAAAAGTACCTCCTTGGCTCCCCTTCCTTACACATTTTGAACTGGGTATTAAAAAAAAAACAAGTCGTACAGAAAACAAGAAATAAACCACACACTGGATTCTGCAGCTCTGGAAAAGTGTTTGTTCCATGGCCTTTCCTGGCAAGGCTGACCCTGTGCCTTTTCTTGAGACAGGGCCATAAATGATAATGCCACCTTGAAGGGCTACGGTAGTTGGTCTTCTGAGCAGTCATTGGCCTGGAAAGGTATTCTGCCCCACCTGCTCTGGTGAAAAAGTCCAATTGTTCTAATGATGCAAATATTTGGAAGGGTGAACCATATGCACAGAACAGTGACCATAAATTATTATTATGGGAAGCTTTTAATGTTTAATGGATTACTATACTTTAATATTTTGTTGGAAGCCACCCAGAGTGGCTGGGGAAGCCCAGCCAGATGGGTGGGGTATGTATGTATGTATGTATGTATAAATAAATAAATAAAATAATATTATTATTATTTCCCTAAAATGCTCATCACTCAGACAGCTGCACAATGAGTACACGGCCCCTTCCAATTTCTTGCCAGAGTGTGCATCTCCCCAAGCTTTCCATAGCGGACTTACTATCCTCTTCCTCGTGGCTGGAATCCAGGTCTAGATCAAGCTGCCGAATGCTAGGCCGCGCGGAGCGGGACACTTCTTGTAGAGGGGCGCGGGTGCTCTTCCGGCGCAGCCGGGCAGTGCGGTTACAATACTGGGAGATGACAGCTCCTCTGCTGCGGCCTGCAAGAGGATGGGAAAGAAGATGAGAGGAAGGCTCCTGGTCTGATACCATGGAGAACTTTCAGTCCCTATCGTTTGTGCCCCACGCTGAAAAGCCTTAACTCTGAGACCCTGCCTCTTGCAAAGGCACTTCCTTGCAGGCTTGCTCCAACTCACCAATAGTTCGGCTGGGCATGCTGGCCAGGATGCGCAGAGTGGCTGAGGAGAAGTCCGGATGTTCTGCCATCTGTCCTGGTGCCTCCCAAGCCTCAGTCCGGCGGGGAGGAGAAACCGTGTAGGCCAGATTCTCTAGAGGGAAGGGAGGAACAAAATGATTTTTACTGCATAGTCTTGGGTAGGGAGGTGGAAGGGGTGTTGCCCCATTGGAGCAGGGATCCTCCTTACCTACTTTTCATTTCCAGTTCCGTGCATGCTCCCTCGTTTTAAATAAAAGCAGTGCTTCTCGAACTTTTAAATACTTTGCTACCACTTTTGAACTTATTGTGCCTTCTCTCCCCAACCTCAACTCAGGACCAACCTTTCGTTCCACAGCAGACTTAAGAACAAACGTTGAATCAGGCATACAACCCATCTGGTCCAGCATTAAATATGAAAATCTTTAATGAACAATAGCATTTTCTGTGAGTATTGCAACACTCCAGTTCTGCTAGTGCAACAGACTTCCATTTGCACAACGGAACTTCCTTCTTCTCTCCCCTGAAGGCCCTAACCATTTGCCAGAGATGGCAAAAATTAGGTGCACTAATAGAATGTACTTATTCATAGATATGTGAAACTTGTATGCATGGTACAGCAATTATGCTGCCTTCCTGATGGTCTGAGACATTGCATTGTTGTGGAAACCCATCCTTACATTGATATATGTGTGTGTGTGTCTAGGTTCTTTGGTTTCTAGACCTTTTGAGTTCTCCACAGCTTCAATGCTGTTAACAAAGGAAGCTTCAAGGAGCCCTTGGGAGATTATTATAAACTAAATTAAATGGCACATTTTGTCATCTAGGCTGAGTCGTCTATACCCCTGGGAAATCTCCCCCAGTGTTTCTTGCCAGAGGCTTCCGAAAACACATGAAGAGTGAAATTAATATTCAGCACAACAAAAAAGCAAAACAACAACAACCCAAAAACATCTCAACTTTAATCACATCTGAGAATCTCACAAGTTCACTGCCAAATCTGTCTCTTAATCTGCAAGTTCATGAATTCATAGTTTTGTTATTTGTATTTCATTCTTCAGTATCCAGTAATTTGGTTCACTCATCTAGCACATCAAGTTACTTAAAATACAATAATTACTGTCACAATTACAACTGGTGTTTTATATAAATCATTTTGCAAATAAACAAGAAAACAAAACAGCTGAAATATGTAGAAGTTCTTAAAGCACACAATTCCAAAATTCTCTTATCACTATGTCTTGGAGACATCTAAAATTTCTGAGTAAACAGAGCAAAACCAATAGTATATAACTTACATAGGGGCACTTTCGATATACCGTAGATTCCGGCGTATAAGACGACTTTTTAACCCCGGAAAAGAGGTTAAAAAGTTGGGGGTTGTCTTATATGCCGGGTATTGGCGGCGCGGTGCAGACCGGAGCCCGCCCCCCCCGGGCTGCTGCAGCAGGGGCGGCGTGCTCCACTCCGCGCGGCTTTCTCCCCGCGTGGAGCTGCCCAGCGTATTAGGCGACTGGGCTTAGAAGACGAACCCCCAAATTGCAGCTGCCATTTTTTGGGGTTGTCTAATACTCCCAGTTGCCTAATACGCCTCAGACCATTTGAAGGTCTTTGTCATGGTAGCAATGCTCTCGTCTTTGAGTGCTGTAGCAATGTTAGCTGTATAGTCTCCCTTGGAAAGAATATTATACAGTATTATCCAAAGAATAGACAGAGCTGTTTCTACTGTATTTGCCAAAGTAACTGAATTTTGCTTTGGGTAAAATTCACTGGCTTCTGCAAGCCAGTGTGGTGCAGTTGTTAAGAGGCCCAGGCTAGGGCTAGGGACACCAAGGTTCAAATACCCACTCAGTCATTAAGGTCACTGTCACCATGTCTTAGCCTAACGTACTTCGCAGGGTTGTTGTAGAAGAAAGAACTGGCTGAAAATGGAATTTAAAAAAAAGACGTGAAAATATAACAGTTTGTTCTCATTCTACTTTCACTACATACAGATCAGATTGCAAAATCAGCTTCTCTGAAATAAAACAATTCTGATTAGCTGTAGCACTCCTGCATTTTAGTGGAGGCTAAAATGTTCTGAAATTAGGACGCTGTGCATTTAGCAATATCTGTCAACCCTGACTTTCTAAGTGAAAACTTAGAAGCTACATCAGAACACTTCCCCAGGTTTTTCTCCTGCTCTACAACCACATTGGCCTCTGAGGAAAAGCAGAATCAAGAAAAATTACTTTCACCACACAAATCACACTCCATTACAGCTATTTCCCTGCAGCAATCAGAGGGATGATGTCCACCCAGCAGTTCTCAACACTGAGTCACATTGTCTCACCTCTGCCTCTGGGAGCCAGATTCTGCATCTCCACCTCCTCCTGTTCAGCCAGCCAGCTCTGCTCCTCGATGAGCTGGTGGAAGGAATCGTGCACAGCACCTTCATCGTAAGGACTTATGTCCTGGCTGTGGGGGAACAGAGAACCAGGATCCAGAATTATTCATAGAATCATCGAATGGTAGAGTTGGAAGGGATCCCGAGGGCCATCTAGTCCACCCCGTTGCAATGCAGGAATTTCAACTAAAGCATTAAGCTGGTGCATTGCCTAAGAAGACAGCATCCTAACTCCCAACTGGATCCATGTGTAGGATAATGCTAGGAGTCAGATGTATATAGAGCCTAAGAATAGAGATGTCCCACAAGGCAGTGTTTATTATCAGTCATCAAAGCAGTAACTGTGGACCACCAGTTTTAGACACAGGTCCTCCACCACAGGGACGTGGGTGGCGCTGTGGGTTAAACCACAGAGCCTAGGAGTTGCTGATCAGAAGGTCAGCGGTTCGAATCCCCACAACGGGGTGACCTCCCATTGCTCGGTCCCTGCTCCTGCCAACCTAGCAGTTCGAAAGCACATTAAAGTGCAAGGAGATAAATAGGTACCGCTCTGGCTGAAAGGTAAACGGCGTTTCCGTGCGCTGCTCTGGTTCGCCAGAAGCGGCTTAGTCATGCTGGCCACATGACCCGGAAGCTGTACGCCGGCTCCCTCGGCCAGTAAAGCGAGATGAGTGCCGCAACCCCAGAGTTGGTCACGACTGGACCTAATGGTCCCTTTACCTTTACCTCCACCACACCTAAGGCAACAAACCTAAGAGAGGGCCTATGACAACAGTGAGGAATGGCTAGGGGAGGGGAAGCTCAAGAGGAGCAGGGAGCTGCTGTTGCCCCCAGAACCTGTCACCTGAGGGGGCTGCTTCACTCTACCTAATGAAAAGGATTTTGAGAAGTGCCTTAGTTCAGAGGCAAGATTAATGAAATCTATGTGTACCATTTCCCTCTGCTTGCAGAGCCCATAGGTGCATAAATCCTGTACCTCTAGTTTCCCAGTTCCAAGCTTTGCCATTTGTACTGCAAGGAACTGTGGAACTCATTGCCACATGGTTCAACCATGGGAAGTAGAATATCTTTCATCAAAAGATGAGACAATTCATATGAAAGGAAAGGAACATTTAAAAAGTTTAGGTAGGGTGATCGGCATCCTTCTGTTGTTTTGAAACATGCTGGGGATGAATGCAAATTACATATGTGGTGGAGTAATCTATTATTGCTCTGTGCAGTTAGCCGTAGGCTTCTCTCAACTTGTGCACAGCTGAATAAATTTTGGAGCCAAGGACTAAAATAGACCACCTGCCTGTCCCAGTAAGTTTTTTCTCGTGCTATTAAAGAAAGCTTGCATTCTGCAAACATAGATGAATCAGAAGAACTTCCCAATATTCCATCACATGTGTGGTCTGCTTCACTGTGCGCTGGAATCTATCCCCTACAATGAAGTAAATCCCTCAGGCCCCATCTTTTGAACAAAAATGTCCAATTTCCAGGTATTTCTAATAGTTGGCATGTCCAGAACGTTGTGCATGCCAAAGTTCAGCTTTCGGGGGGGCCTGGAAGTATCCTTGTGGTACATTTATTTGCCCCCTGCTTCTAGGGAGAGTCTTGGAAGCACCCCCTTCGGACTTCTGTGGTTATCAGGGTACCACATTTCAACTTCCTAGTTACCAAGGAAGTGGTGTAACCGGCTGGGTTCTGTTTTGCGCACAAGAGAGAACAATCATGTCCTCTTTCAGACTTTCCCTGTTGCCAGGTTAGTGCTTCTAGATTTCTGGAAATATCTTTTGAGTCTTCCATTTGAAGGGAAATAAGGCATGAGTGACTAGGATGCCTTGGAACAGGAACACAGGAAGTTGCCTTATACTGACTAAAGTCACCAAACCACCTGTCCCTCTAGATCAGCTTTGTCTGGGACCCTCCCAGCCCTACCTGAAGATGCTGGGGATGGAACATGAGACCTTCTGCTTACAAAGCAGATCCTCTACCTATTGAGTTACGTAATCCCTTCTCTAAAGCATTACACAGATACCAAATTTCAGGATGAAGACAATTTAGGGCAACAAAACAAAACAAAACCCCATATTGGCAATTTCAATACCCCCAACACCATGGAGTTAATGAGGCCCAAGTGTATTTACATTAATTTTTATCATTTAAAATACTGTCACTCACCTGGCAGCCTCCCTATTCTCGGTGGCAGGAAAGGTGAAGGCCACCGTGTGAGACATCTTGTCCTCCCTCAACAGCACCAATCACTTGCCTACTGGTTTGCTTGCCTCTTCATGGTTCAGTCTGACGGCGTTTCTAAATGCAAGTTAGAGAGGGATCCCGTCACCGATGAGCTGCTTCTGCTGAGGTGGCCCCACTTTGGGGCTCAGCGCTGCTACACTTGAAATCACAAGACTTTTGAGGTTAGGAAGACTGATCTGGCTTAATCCTGTTGACTCCCACAGACAGCAAAGCTAGGTCTGGAGTTATGAGCTGCCTCTATGCTACAAGGAGGACCACAAGACCAGGAACGCAAAGCTACCTTCAACTCCCGCTGCAAGACTCTTTTAAACAGAAGGCAAATGTCTACCGCCACAGCAGCCCAGTCAGCTAGGAGCAAAACACTGCGAAGAGGAAGGAAACGGAGGTCGAGACAAAGGCTGCAATTCAGCATGGTGCAGTGACCTTGCTCTGCATTTCACCACTGAGATAACACACACACAGAGCAGCAGATTCCAGGACAGTCAGAACTCCACCCGCTCAGGGGCGAAAAAGAGTGGCTTTCTCCATTCTCTTGACTGAAAGGGCAGGGGAGCGCTTCTCATGAACCCACCCACATGCAGGTGCTTCTCATACATCCGCCCACGCTGCTCTGGGAGCAGACAAACTCACTAAAGTTTATTTTGACTGCCTCGGCCTTCATCAGACTACACCAGCTGTCGCCACATGTTGCCAGGGAGATAAGGGTGTGTGTTTTTTTTGCAGTTCAGTGCACAAGGGCTGCTTGGCTTCCAAGGGATAAGGAGAGCCTGACCCTGACATTCTTAAGGGTGGAGAGGAATAGAAGTCCCTCATCAGCACTCGGAATTTAGGGGTCAGCAAACTTTTTCAGCAGGGGGCCGGTCCACTGTTCCTCAGACCTTGTGGAAGGCTGGACTATATTTTGAAAAAAAAAAAATGAACAAATTCCTATGCCCCACAAATAACCCAGAGATGCATTTTAAATAAAAGCACAGATTCTACTCATTTAAAAACACCAGGCAGGCCCCACAAATAACCCAGAGATGCATTTTAAATAAAAGGACACATTCTACTTATGTAAAAACACGCTGATTCCTGGACTGTCCGCAGGCCGGATTTAGAAGGCGATTGGGCCAGATCCAGCCCCTGGCCCTTAGTTTGCCTACCCATGGATTAAATCGTTCCCTCACAAAACGCCTCACTTGCTTCAGTGAACTGAGAACTACAGCAAACAAAGCAGCTGGTGCTTCCTGCCTGACAGGAAACACCAGGAACTCCTGCTTCAGGTTCCAGGAAAAGTCTGAAGCTTTTAGGGCACATGGGAGAATGAAGGAAATAAATGACTGGATGCCTGAAGTGTGTTTTACACACAAGATAAAAGCTGAGCATGGTTGCCCATAGTTCTGACGTCCATAGCCAGGAAATCACTTGGTTCATTCTGTGTCGCTCGGTTCAGGAGGAGTTGCAACATATTTTTTGCTTTGAAGGAGGTCTCAAATTTTAGAGCCTGGTGCAAGGGACACCCATTATTTCACAAGCCTACATCAATACTGCAGAAGAAAAACAACAACAGTGTAATGCCCTTACTTCTTGAAACCGTAACCCCGTTGTTCTAAGTAAGGGCGAGGGAACTTGTGGCCCTCCAGACGTTGTTGAACTTTTATCTTTCATCAGCCTCAGCCAGCATGAAATATGGGCAGGGATGATGGGAGCTGGAGTTCAGTAACATCTGGAGGACCAGAGGTGCCCTCAGTGCTAGACCACAACTACTATGATCCCCAATCAGAGACCATGATGGCAGGTGCCAGCTACAGGTTGCCCAACCTTGTTTGGAGATGCTGGGGACTGAACCTGGGACTTTCTGTATGCAAGGCAGACGTTCTACCACTGAGCTATGGCCCCTCCTCAGACCATCTGTGAGAGATATTTATTATGGGAATGCAACACTCCCATGGGAACGTTTGTTAGTGACTCATCTCACAGTCAGGAAGCCTTCCTTAAAAACTGAATTTATTCTAGAGCATTCCTAATTATATGCTGACCCCACTTATTTCTCCTCACTCTGTTGACATTTTGGGCTCTTTTAGGCTTTTTCTATGTGGCAAAAGTTGTTCTGTCTTCTTTTCATTTTGGCCTTCCATAGGCCAGAACCATCTTACCATGCCTCCACCCAGAGCTTCCAAGCTTCCCTCACATTTACAGCTCCCTGAACCATCCTTGGGCCTTTCTTTTGACCTTGCTTAACATTATTCATCAACTTCTCTCTTTTGGCTAAAGTGGGAATTGTATTAGGAGTACTGATGGAGGCAGGTCTTACAGCAAAACGCTATGCTCCTCTCCTTCAAGTAGCCCTGAAAGAGATTTGAGCTAAAATGTCCAAGAAAGTCGACTGGCTGACCTGAAACCTATTGCGAAGATAACGTGAAACTTAACAACGTCCCATACTACTGCCCTGGCTACCTCCAAGAACAAGTCTGAGGAAACCTTGGCCCCAAGTTCATGCTTGCTAGGAACAACCACTGATCTTCTGAATTCCTTATCAGAGCAAGCAGAAAGGTTTAGCCCTGGATAGTAGCTCAGCAATGGTGTCTGATGCAGATTGGTATTGTTGGAACACTTAGAACTCTGCCTCTGTACACACTACAGTCATACCTCGGGTTCAATAAGCTTCGAATTCAGCACGTTCAAGTTGCGCTCAGCGGCAACCCGGAAGTAACGGAGCGTGTTACTTGCAGGTTTTGCCACTTGCGCACGCGCAGACACTCAAAATGACGTCATGCGCATGTGCAGAAGCGGCGAAAAGCGACGCATGCGCAGACATGCCGTTGCTAGTTACGTTTGCTTCCAGATGCGAACAGGGCTCCGGAACGGATCCCTTTCGTATCTAGAGGTACCACTGTATTTATTTAAAGTACATCCCACCCATGCCAAGAATTCTGGGAACTGTAGTTCATCCCTCACAAAACTACAATTCCCATGCCCCTTAACAAACTATAGTTCCAGGGATTCATGGGGAACTTTAAATGTGTGGCATGTATGTAAACCCCAAGCTTTAAACTCTCTCGCTTCTCACCAGAATGTAGGGGGCCAGGCAGCTGGTACAGCAACGATGCAACAAAAGGCATTTGTTTGCCCAGTCGTGGCTGCCAACCCTTTTCCTGCCCCCATATAAATTAGCATGCTTTCTCCTAGCATGCTTTAACATCAGCCTAATAGAATGCCAGAATGCCAGGCCTTTGCTACAGCCTTTGTCCAAGCAAAGAGTCACACCCGTCTCCTGCAGTTTGGTTTTGAGAGCATCTATATATCCCAAACATTCACGTACCTCCCCAGCCATACTTTATGCATTCCCCCATTTTTAATAGGACTATTCTCTTTGGGCTGAAGTAGACTTGCACCCTGGCCAGTTTTCATTTAACATCTGCAAAATTAGGCAGCAGGCACCATCAAATTTATGCATGTGTAAATGAACTCTTAACTATGCAAATGGCCGGAGGCAGTATTCTTTCCCCCTTCTTGGAATAAATGCCAAATCACAGAGAAGCAGTGATTTTGCACGGTATGGGGGCACACACAGACTCTCATTACTACAGCATGCACAGGGTTATGTTGGGGAGCAGCTGCATCCACTTCTAACTCAACACAAATCTCAGTGGCAGCTTAATTACCGCTTCTTGGCAGCCACACAGGAGAAGAATCATTACAACAGGCATGGCCACCACTGGACATAGAAGAGTTAATCGCAGTACATTCAGGCCTCTCCTCCCAGCCCCCAGCAGCAGGAATTTCAGAGTGTTTTGCTCACCCAGCCTGTGGGCATGTTTGGACAGATAACAGGTTGGGCTGCACACCCACTCCTATACATTCACCGGAACAGGAACAGTTCTATGTAGGGAAAAGGATGAAACTCATGTGCAGATTGTTACATGTGATGTCTGCATGCATCTGTTTCACTGGGTATATACTAGGATGAAACCGAGACGTGTAAAATTGTCACATGATGCTTCTGCGCTTTCTTCCATATGGAAGTATGCTTTCCTGTATGAATTCTTAAGAACCAAGAAGCCCATATTCAACACCAGAACTGCTAACGCTACTGTTGCTCAGTTAGAGTGAAACCTCCTACACTAGGTCACATGCAGGGGACGATGGGCAGGTCAGGACCATCATGTGGGAACCCTAGAACATTGGAGGGGGTACATGTGGCCCTCCAGATGTTGCTAGACTACAACTCTCATCATCCCTGACCATTGGCCATGCTGGCTGGGGCTGCTAGGAGTTGGGAGTCCAACATCTGGAGGGAAATAGGTTTACCGCCTCCTGTCCTAAATGAAACATCAAAGCAGTCTCAGGATGGTCACCCATGAGAGCCAGGATTGGCTAAGCAATTAGAAGCACTGCTCTGGTGTCTTTGTGCTGCATTCCAGATGTAGTGGGGTTTTTGGACTGAACTAATCACCTGCCAGTTAACAAGGGCAGGGCAGGGCTCACATCTGGCTTCCTGCAGTGAGTAGGGTGGTGCCTCCAGAGAAACAGTGCCTCTTTCAAAAACACTTTTTGCACTGCCAGTTCAGCACCCAAATAGGAATGCAGAAAGAAAGCTGGCAGGATGTGCCCTTAGTGCAATTGGTAATTCTCATCCCCAAACCAGATAGTTTACTTACCAGTGTAAGGACACCCAGAAGACCTCTGAACTCCATGAAATTTCTCACACTTCCAGGGCTAGAGAGAGCCTAGCCCAGCGCATCCTACTTCCCTGGCAGAAGGCAAAGGCATGCTTCCATCCTGACATACCTTTGCATTCTTACTGTCTCTCCACAGCAGCTTCTGAAATAATGGAAACAATAGAACTACTGCATGCCCAAGGCTTGCCTGCAGGGCCAAGAAAGTGTTCCAAAGATCTCTGCTTCTGCTGTGCCAAGAAGCACAGGCTGCAGCCTCATCCTCCACCCTCCCCCTATTCCTTTTCTGCAAACATCTCTTTCATATTATCTGGTCTGATACAGCAGGACAGCCCAGGAGGAGTCAGAGAAGCACAGCAGTAAATTCTGAAATGCAGGAGTTAATCAAAACAGCCTTCACAGCCTCACTCAAAGGAGAGTACAACACACCCACACCTAGCAAGCAGCACCACTTAGCAGAATATCCAATTTATTAGGATCATCCCAACTAAAACCATATACAGTACAGTATATAATTACCTAGGAGTATAGGTTTAATTTGTAAAGCACACTGGCATTTAACAAAATATCTCTAGTCAGCTGAAAAACAACCTTTAACTTTTAATGAAAAGTTTCCATTTAAACTGCCACTGTGAAACAAGGACCACATCAAAGAAAGGGAAAGCAGTACCCAGCGTTTGCTCATTTTCCTCAACCCCAAACTTCCTCTATGCTAATCTGTCACAAACATTATCACCTCATTTACTTGCCAGAACAAGGAGACTGTCAATCACACTGGCATTCTGGCAGAAAACACTACCTTTGAAAAAAAAGTCCAGGCACCACAACCCAATTCCCCTTTCTTACATTGGTGCTTAACATCTTGGGCTACTCGGAAGCAAGTCAACCAAGGTCATTGGCATTTTCTTGCAAGTAAACTTGCCTGTGACCCTAGCATTACTTTTCATTGTTTGAAAGTGCTCCAGTAGGGTACGTGGAATATGAAAGGTGGGGCCCAGCTAACCCTACTAACTAGAAAAATTCCACACACACCAAGTCACAGGGGCTGACTTTAAAATCATGTTATAGTGAAAATAAAAGGTTTCAGAGCTATCTTGCACCCAAAATTTCCATATAATTACTGCAGCTATGTTATATTTCTCATCATGAACTATATTTAGCAATGTCTTGGGCATTTTGCTACAAGTAAATAAAACAATACTTCGGTTGAGGCAAGGGAAGCTTTCCTGTGTGCAGCAGTGACTTAGAACTTCTAAAAGAAATAGCTGCACATCTAATAACTTCACACCACCTTGTCCCACTGGATAACCTTTTGCCCATCATGCCAAAAGTACCCCATTTCTGCTTTTACCCCATCCCCTCTTTGAAGGCTTTCAATAGAGAGAAAGGCAGATTTATTCATTTTTACTAAAAAATCAAAACAAAACAAAACAAAACAAAACATACCTAATTCCAGCCCACGACTCCTGGCGAGGCACTAGTTTTAGGACCCTGCAGCAAACTAAGCTGCTCCTATTGCCTTTCTCTCTTTATTTCCCCTTGCTGCCTGGAGGGAGAGAATGAGGAAGGGAGCAAAGGCAGCTGCTTCTGTGTACATGCACGCCGTGGGCATCTTATTCCCTTTCTCTCTTGAACCATAAAGGATGGGCCAGAAAGCGTTTTGGCCAAACACGATAGAGTATCTAAGAGGCCGTACTTCTACTACATATACAACCGAGTGGGTGTGAGAAGAAGGGACGGTCACGGGTCTTCCAGAGCAGTTTTGTTACCTTCCCACGCTTAGACTATTGAGAATCAGAACGATTACGCATCGGGGACACAAGAAAAGTCCTCAGTTTGTAGCCCATCCCCGCTCAGAACACAGCGGGAAATCATCAGAGGCAATAACAATGTAAGAAAATGTTTCAGTACTTACAAAACAAGGGGAACTGAGTTATTTCTCAGTCCAGCAAGTCACAAGCAGCCTTTCTGCGGCATCTTACTCACTAACCTGGTGGGATCCTGTGGTTTTGATCAGTAGAATCTTACCCACAAGATTCAGAAAACTTTTTTTCCCCTCCAAGGTCTCCTTTGTCCCGTCTCGGCAGTCTAAGACCACACCCTGCGCCTCACCTGTTATACAAAGGACGCTGGGAGATGTAGTCCTCCCCCTCTCCAGCATCTACCTGGAGCAAACTCCTAGGTTAGGTTTGTATTGAACGGCGGCTTGCAAAGAAGTCAACAACTTCATTTATTCAAAGGGGCCACGTTCGGACCAAATAAGCACATGTCTCCCGAGTTATCGGAGAGGACTACTGTATTATGGTATGGCTTACTATGTGTGCATATTTCCACTTGCACTGTTAGATGACCGCTCTCAGGAAGGAGAGCCTTGTATAATGGGAAAAGATGTACTGATCACTCTTTTCCCATCATCATCATCATCCTCTCAAAGGCTACATTTGCTCTATACCTTGAAAGCACTATGACACCAGTTAAACATTCATGTCTTCCCCCCAAAGCATTCTGGGAACTGTGGCTTCTTAATGGTGTTGATAGTTGTTAGGAAACCCCTATTCCCCTCAAAGAGCTACGATTTCCAGAATTCACTGGGTAAAGGGAGTGATTGTTAAACCCCTCTAGGAATTGTAGCTTTGTGAGGGAAATAGGGTTCTCCTATCAACTTAGCATCCTTAACTTCCCAAGATGCTTAAAGCAGCATGATACCATACCCTCCAACATTTCTCCAATGAAAATAGGGACGTCCCATTCCACAGTGGTAATTTTACTATTTATACCCCACACATCTTACTAGGTTGCCCCAGCCATTCTGGGTAGCTTCTAACATATAAAAAAACATAATAAAACATTAAACTTTTTTTTAAAAAAAGCTTCCCTATACTGGATTGCCTATGGCTCGGGGACTGGATAACTCCATACCCTCCAACATTTCTCCAATGAAAATAGGGACATCCTAAGGAAAAGTAGGACATTCCTGGATCAAATCAGTAACTGGGATGGCTTATCTGAAACAGGGTTGTCCCTGGAAAATAGGGACACTTGGAAGGTCTGTGATACTGCTTTAGATGTAAAGTTCAGATGGGGTCTGAGTTGCCTAAAAGGAAGGTTTCTGCATAGCTACACTTTACAGGAAACTTCGCTCTACATATGCTTGCCTCACTAACAGGATATACTACACTGCAACCTATATCAGATTTATACTAAAGTAACAAGCTTCTATTTCCCCAAAGAATCTTGGGAACTGTAGTTTGGTGAGACAGCACTAACAACTCTGTCAAATAACCTATTCTCCCTCAGGACTATTCCCAGGATTCCCTGGGAAGAGGAAATGTCTGTTGAACCATTTTAAAGCTGAAATCTTACATTTGCTAACCTAGGAGTAAACCCCATTGAACTCAGAGGGATCTCCTTCCAAGTAAACATATTTATGACTGCGTTGTGCATCTGCGAGCTTAGAACTGCTGCATCAGCCCTCCCAACCTGTGGCTCTGCAGCGTGTTGCTGGACTCCAACTCCCATCAGCCCCAGCCAGCATGACCAATGGTCAGGAGAGATGGGAGTAGTAGTCCAATAACATCTGGAGGGCCACAGGTTCCCTATCCCTGATGTAAACAAAATGCTGATTCCCAGGGAAACTTGAGGGGATGGGGAATGGTAGAAAGGGGGAAGAAAGTGGAATTATACTTCAAATAAGCTTTTTAAATACAGTAATGGAAAATAAGCAGTTCTAACATAGCATTGGCCTGGCAGTTTAAAAGAACTAGAAAAAGAAATGCAAAAATTTATTCATCTCTATCATCTCCAACAAGTGTAATCTACCAAGTGCAACGTATGAACCCAACACGGTGACTTGGTGCGATACAGGAAATTGCATCTTCCTGTCACATGGGCTTGCCACTAGCATCTCCACAGATAAGCAAGCAAAAACCCACAGCTAGGATGAAGACACTGTACTTCTGTTTGGTTCTCTAATCCACAGGAGAGCTGTATCGCCAGAACTGTACTTCAGGTTGACTGGATTTGGTGTGGTGCTGTAGTGGTGATACATGATAAGAAGCTAAAAGGACAAGGGGTGAGTTGCTTCCTTTTTCAGAGGCCGCATGCAACACCATACATTTAAAGCACATTTAAAGCACATGACTTGCCCCAAAGCATCCTGGGAATGGTATGGTGGAAACTGTAGCTTGTAAAGGGGTGTTGAGAATTGCAGCTCTATGAAGGGTGAACTATAGTTCCCAGGATTTTGGGGGGGAAGTCTTGCGCTTGTGTATGGTGTGTATACATGCAAGGGTACAAAGTGAATGTGTAGCCTTTATTTCAGCAGGAATAGCACAGGCAGGGGTGAACAGTTGTTCTTCTGTGCCCAACTGACCCACATAGATGTGTGAAAATCCTGTGAGAGGGAACAACCACCTAGGGAAAGAACAGAAAGTAAAATTAAGTGCCAGTGATACTGTTTTCTCTCTCTTCCATTTCCTCTCAGTGGTGGTGACTCAGCAGACAGCTGACCTGAGGACTGGGGCTGTCTGTGTAAACTGGAACGTGAACAGAACTGCACCCAATAGCTTCAAATTGGCTCTAACTTGTGTGCATTGTTTATCACAACACAGGATTAGGATAACAGTAAACTGAAGTAAACAGTAAACAGTAAACGACCTTGGCCCAGTATACCTGAAGGAGTGTCTCCACCCCCCACTGCCCGGACGCTGAGGTCCAGCGCCGAGGGCCTTCTGGCGGTTCCCTCATTGCGAGAAGTGAGGTTACAGGGAACCAGGCAGAGGGCCTTCTCAGTAGTGGCGCCCGCCCTGTGGAACGCCCTCCCATCAGATGTCAAAGCGATAAATAACTACCTGACATTCAGAAGACATCTTAAGGCAGCCCTGTTCAGGGAAGTTTTTAATGTATGATATTTTAGTGTATTTTTGGTTTCTATGGAAGCCGCCCAGAGTGGCTGGGGAAACCCAGCCAGATGGGCGGGGTATAAATAATAAATTATTATTATTATTATTATTATTATTATTAATGCTGCCTTTCTAGAGTTGAACTCTAGGAAAGAGGCATCAATATCTCTTAAAAACAATATTAACTTAGCATGTTGTACCCCGCCATACTAAAATTTGCCCCATCTTTTTTTTAAAAATGGGCTGTGATATGTTTTTAGGAGGCTGTTCAAGATTCTGTGGTTGTTTATTTAAATGCTTCACCACAATATGCACCTTTAAATGTGAAACAGTCATTTTATCATTTTACTGGCAGATGTTGAAATCCTAATTTACTTTAGCTATCTTCCCAATTTCCAGTCAAACATGAAGCGGAACAAATTAGAATTTAGGCTGTGGTTGCGGCCTAAAAGGCAGTCATGGTACATTAGGAGTGTTGTGTGGTATTTTTTTGTGGTCTGCAGTTAACAGATACATTCAAATTATAATGGAGGTATCAGGTATTCAGGCTGAGGGATAATTTTTTAGTTCAGACCTGAGGGCTAAATTCAGCCTTCCAGGCCTCTCTTTATGGCCCCTGGTATTCTTCCTAGGCCATATTCTTCACCAACCCTGCTCTGCACCCCCCTAGGGTTTTTGCATGGCTCGGAAAGTGTCCTTGAATAGAGAAAATATTGTTTGTTTGCCTGGATAGAGAGATGTGCATCTGTATGTAGAAGCCTTTGAGTTTTGTGTGGCTGGAATGCAGCCTACTATATAAAGGCAAAGCTGTGTGCACATTACCATTTACTCTGGCACTGGTGCGCTTCCACCGCTGGTGTTTGAAGCCGTCCATGTACAGATGTTGGCCACAATCGACATCTATCCTGTAGTTCAGGCATAGGCAAACTCAGCCCTCCAGATGTTTTTAGATTACAATTCCCATCATCCCTGACCACTGGTCCTGTTAGCTAGGCATGATGGGAGTTGTAGTCCCAAAACATCTGGAGGGCCGAGTTTACCTATGCCTACTGTAGTTTCTTGAGAAATATTGCTGTTGGATGCATTTCCCCTCAAACCAGCTTCTATCTGATTTGAAAACGTAAGCCACATTCTCAACAAATTGTATTCATTTGGTTATAATTTGTTTTAAAATTATGGAAAATCAATAAAATAATTTGGCAAAAAGAGAGAGAGAAAACGTAAGCCACATTCACTTCACAGTTGAGCTGAGGTGAGTGCATTTAAGACTTCCACTGCGCATGCACAGATGACAGCTTCATGAATAGGAGTTTGGGGTGGTGGTAGCTGCGGTCACAAGGGAAACAAATAAAGTAATGTTCTGTGGGTGAAGACATGCCCGCTCCCTCTCTGGTGTGCAAATGTGACTTAAAATGCAGCAAGGGGGAAACGATCTCACTGCTTTATAAGCCTCTGATTTGTACATAGCCCAAGAGTCACATCTACTTTTGCCTCTGGCCCTGCTCACCTTCCGTCCTCCAGAGGGTTCTGACCTCAGGCTGAAAAAGGTGTCCCACATCTGGTTTATTCTGTGCCCAGATCCTCACACCTTAACACATGCACACTTGTTGTTTCAGGGATCTCAAGTGATGGATGGCACCCTGGTCCTGAGGCACAGACTTGCCCAGCACGATGCTCTCTCTGATTCCAGCACAGAAGACTCCTTGGAGGAGCTGGGTAGTCAGGAGTTGCTGCTCAGGGACTTGCCCTGCTCCATGAAGGAGAAGCGCCTCCTCAGGTCTGGAGCAAGGTCACATGGGAAAACATATTTAGTATGTAATTGATTGTAATTGTGCAGACTGGTTGCTAAAACCACGCAGTACTTGGCAAGAAAAGGCACACAATTTTTGTTCCCCCTTCCCTTCCTTCCCACAACAGAGCTGGTTTGTTTCTACTTTAGATAGATTGCTTTAACCCAACCAAGTGGTGTAAAAACCTGTGGATTTTTGGTGGCCAACTATACAAAGGGAAGAGTCACAGTCATTGTTCCACTCACAGTTGCCCTTGGCCCTGCATACCAGCCCTGGGATGCCACTGCACAGAAGATTGCACATACAGGAATGTAGCCCCCCTGAACTGAAAAAGCTCCCCCATCCCACTGTAGCAGGTTCTGATATGGCACAGAAGCATCAAAGAAATACAGGTAATAAAATAAAGGATTAGTGGGGCTTGGCAGCGCAGAGGAACCTGCTGACTAAAAATAGAAGAGTATCAAAAGGGAGGCTTTGTCCCGGCGTGAGGCAGGTAAGTGCAGATATTCAACCGGAAGATGGGGTGGGACGTGTGGTCCTCTCCTAACCTCATCTCTCAAAGCTTCACTGATTCATAAGGCCCATTCTAAACTCAACCCATTCTCCCTTGCACAGGCAGCTGAGAGCATCCACAGGGAGAGATGTGTCCTGCTGGGTGGTCTGGAGACAGAGACAATCCAGGGCCCAGAAGCAGTTTCAAGAAGGAATCTGGAACCTTGTCAGGATCTTCCAGCTCTGGAAGCCTCCCCTGGATGAGATTGGAGGTAACAGTAGGAAATGGTTTTTCACCTTTAAAAGTTTGTCTACCCAAGGAATGTCACTGGCGTATCAGTTTGGTCCAGTGGCAGCAAACAAGGTGGGCTACTTCTAAAGGGAAAATGGGTGGAATCAGAGGCAGATTTAGATGAGCACAACTGGTTCAGCCACACTAGGTGCAGAACCTCAGGGGCAACGCAGGGGACACTGCAATTATGCTTTAGAATGGAGTGCAAAAGGCTGGGGGTGCCAAATTTTGGCATTGCACAGGGCACCCCTGGTATTTGAAACCCAGGGTCCACCCCTTGCAGGACGTCAGATCAACAGCTGCACTTGAAGAAAATATAAAGTTCTCTCTGTGTTGAGAAGGGACTTGGTATTATAAATGGCAGGGGCTGCTGGTTATATATACTAAATACAACAACTGAACTACTGATAACCTATCTCTAACTGGTGTGAGGCAAGGGAGACCTCTGCAGGCTGGTTGACCACATGGTTTGTGGAGAACACAAATAAATCTTGCTTTCCTCTAGTGGAGGGTAACCACGGAGTTGTGGATTTGTTGTGTACATTAGGAAGGGGAGGCAGTTTGCAGTTCTTTCTCCTAAAGAAACTACCCACTTTGGTTATTATCCTCTTTGATATGTGTGAACAGTTTCAAAATGCAAGATAACCTCTGCTTGACTGGCACTGAAGTAGACACAGCAGGCGGAATCCCCTGTCAGACCAGATAGGAACCAGCCACAGTTAGCAATACTACATGTGAATGAAGAAAGGGCTGTGGATCTGGGACAGAAATTATTGTGTGTGTCACTTTCATCCTCCCCATCCCCTCTGATGCCTGTCTGCTTGCCTTCCTGTGTTTCCCACTTTTGCTATCCTCTTCAACATACTGTACAGGGAACTTTGGTCCTGGCATCCAGTCCTACTTTACCTTCCTGAGGTTCCTGCTCTTCATCAACTTCCTGGCTGTGTTGCTGGCCACAGGCTTCATACTGTTGCCTGTTATCATTTCTCAAAATACGACGATATTTCCTACAGGTCTGAGTGCAGGTGAGTCTCTGCTGGTACTTCCAAGAGCATTTGTGCTTTCCCCAACATCCCATCTGGATTAGATCCTGTACTGACATCTAAGTGTCAGAGTGTCTAGTGCTATAAAGCTACCCAGTCTTTTCCCCCAGATCCTGAATGCATAAAGTACAGCAGTAACGTCAGTTATCGATCTGCCTGGCAACGATTCCAAGATATCTTCACCGGGGAGGTGAGTCTGCTGGAAATAGAGACTGGAGTTTACTGTGCTGGAGAGGAGAGGCTGATGGAGGGGCAAATGCTGCCTAAGCAAGTGGTTATAGATGGAGTGAAGAAGAATGGACAAAAATGGAGCAGTTGGGAAGACAAATATAGCTTGGAGTTGAGCAGGAAGGACAATGTTGGATTAATGGGTGATGGTTCTTATCCAAACTTTGTACTCACTGCCTTCTATGATTCAGACTTAGAAAGTCCTTAGAAAAGTATTATGGCAGTGGACAGGAAGCAGTGGCCCTCCACTGTTGTTGGGCAGTGACTCCAAGAGGCCCAGCCAGCATGGTCAATCAGTGGTTAGAGGTAAGAGGAGTTGGAGTCCTGCAAACATCTGAAGGACCCACAGGTCCCATGCTCCTCTGTTATGAGTTGGGTTAATCTGCAAGCATAAAGCTGGCTTGTAATTTCCTCTTATGTTCCATCCTTAGGGCTCTCTGGAGTATTCATACCTGTTTTATGGTGCTTATCATGTGACACAGGATAGCAAGAACCACTACAATGTACACTTAGCATACCTGCTTAGCATCCTGGGATACTTCTTTGCCTGCCTCATTTGGATCCTCCGGCGGTAAGGGCCCTGATGATGGCTGAGACCCAGGCCTTTCTAGGCTTGACAGCAGGGGTTTGGAAAAGGGAGCAGGAGAGAAGCAAGGAATTGCAGGGCAAGGGAGTGGATTCATGAATAGGGATTTACATACACCATGGCTTATGTTGACCCACTTAAAATGCTGACTCTTTCCTTGTAGTAATTCAGTAGGTTGTTGTTGTTGTTTAGTTGTTTAGTCGTGTCCGACTCTTCGTGACCCCATGGACCAGAGCACGCCAGGCACTCCTGTCTTCCACTGCCTCCCGCAGTTTGGTCAAACTCATGCTGGTAGCTTCGAGAACACTGTCCAACCATCTCGTCCTCTGTCGTCCCCTTCTCCTTGTGCCCTCCATCTTTCCCAACATCAGGGTCTTTTCCAGGGAGTCTTCTCTTCTCATGAGGTGGCCAAAGTATTGGAGCCTCAGCTTCACGATCTGTCCTTCCAGTGAACACCCAGGGCTGATTTCATTCAGAAATGAATTCAGTAGGTTATATACTCCCATATCTCACATACAGTCAGAATAATATTTCTCTAACCCAAGGATGGGGAGCCTGTGGTCCTCCAAGTGTTACTGAACTTCATTGTCCCCATTGGAAGCTGTAATTCAGCAACATCTGGAGGGTTGCAAGTTCCCCAACTTCTGCTCTAACCTATTCCTGGCATGTTCAAATTCCCTGGGAATGGAAATTATACACTTTCTGTTGGGAGCATATCCCCGTGCCCAATTGGGCAAAAATCTATTCTTCTTCCTTCTTCACTCCCTACCTTTTCTCCAATAAGTCTAGCATTTATTCATGTTACAACAACATTCTGTGTGTTGAGATCCTGCCATAGTACATCAGCTCAGTCTTCTTGAGACTCTGCATCCCTAACTCATTCCCATCGAATTTTCCTACTGTTCCCAGAAAACATTCCTACTCTGAAGCATCACTAGGTAATCCTCCTCCAGTGGACCAAGCTAATGTTCCTAAACTGTTGCATCTTTTCTGCCTTCATCACCCCCTGCAACTGTTTTGCACACTTTCACATCATACCATATATCCCTGTGCAGACTTGCAATCTCCTTCTTTCTAGAAACTGGGTATTACTCCCATGTTGATTCACATATCTTGGGCTGGACCCGCTGCAGTGACACAGTGGAACTTCTTATGCAACACACTGAGTTCTATATACTGCTCAGGGCAAAGGAATTAATTTGCTAGGAGAAAAGTCTTGCTTGCCTGTGACAATCTTCACTCCTATTCCAATATTCAGGATTGTAGCCAGCATGGCCCGGTGGCAGATGCTGCGGTGGGAATTCAAACCATGTGTCAGTGCCAGGATCTTCACAGAGTGGGATTTCTGCATCCAAAGCCCAGAGGCAGCCACCCTCAAACAGAGGAATATTTACAATCACCTAAAGGTACATGAAAATTGCCTATAGGGTTTCATGATAATTTGCTCATGTCCTCAAAAGTCCCACCGCTTTCACTACATCATCCTTTCAAGTATGTATACACATCCATTCATTTAAAAAATATTTTTGGACGAAACCTCAGCCATTGCCTAAATTTGGCTGAACTGAAAAAGCAAACAAACCAGGGTTGAATCCAATGTTGCACAAGCGGCGTTCTGCTTGCATAATGAGGCTTCCTTTTCTTGTCCTCCCACTGTGTACCCCCCCCCCCCAAATCTGCTCTGGAAGGTCTCCCAACCCTCTGGAGCTGATTTTGAGGGGAGAGGAAGTTCTGTTGCATGCATAGAAGTCTATTGCACAAGTGGAGCTACAGAATTTGATACAAGCGCCATTATTTTCTTTTCTTCAGGCCCTGTGTCACTTCCTTGCTTATTTCACTTGCAAGTCAGGCAGCAGCAGTTAACAATACCTGTCTTGGGTGAAAGCAAAGAGAACAAGCATTGTAGGTGTTATGTATTGAAGTTCTCAACCTGGCCACCAGGGGTATTGTGTACAGTACAGTGGTACCTCAGGTTACATACGCTTCAGGTTACAGTCTCCGCTAACCCAGAAATAGTACCTCGGGTTAAGAACTTTGCTTCAGGATGAGCACAGAAATCGTGCTCCGGCGGCAGCGGGAGGCCCCATTAGCTAAAGTGGTGCTTCAGGTTAAGATCAGTTTCAGGTTAAGAACGGACCTCCGGGATGAATTAAGTACTTAACCCGAGGTAACACTGTATATAGTTTTCACTCAGGTCCACGTCAGTTAATTTAGGCGGGAAACCTTGGGCTGTTATTGTTACAATGTTGACAGCCGGCTGCCTATAAAAGCAGGCTGGCTGAGCTTTTTCAGTTCAGTTCCAGCTTACTATAAAGAACTACTTGGAGACATCTCTGTGTCGTCTGATATGTCCACCCACTATTTAATAGTAGGGGCAACAAGCAAAGGGAAACAGGAATCATACCCTTTAATTCCTGTTCCCACCTCAAAGGACATTTCCCAAGGCAACAAGGGATTGCTTTGCTTTGTTTCAGTCATTCTTTCTAGCCTCAGATTATTATGTCTCTTCTGTACTCAAGGTGTTATGGCTTTCCTGGGCCGTGCATGCCTACTAGATTGGCTGGGTCTTCCCTCTCCTTTGCATGCTGAAGCCTGGAAGCAAACCTCTCCTCTGCATGCTCAACTGCACAAATAGCAAGTGACCAACTTGGTTTCTCTTCACAGATAGACCTAGCGGAGCAGATCCGGCATCTGCAGAACCAACAGCGCACACGGAAGCAGCTTGTTAAGCTCTACCTGCTACGCCTGCTGATCAATGGTGTCATCTTGCTGCTGACAGGGGCTGCTTTCTACTGTATCTACGCAGCCACTGAGTTTTCCCAGGGGCACAGTCAAGTAGGACAACCCTTCATCCCTTGCCAGGGTTAGAATGGGGCTGTGGGTGGCTGTACCTCAATCCAGAACTCAGCTGTGTGCTCTTGGAGAACGGCTGCTGCAGCTGGACCAGGAATCTGGGCTAGGCTAGGCTTAGGGATTAAGCCTGACATGCAGTAAACAGAAGGTACTGCTCTGAAAATTCAGTAAGTTTGGTGGTCCTGACTTTTTGCACTGTGTTTTGGTACTGAGTGGTCAGGAAATATTCCTCTGTGTTTTGATTCTAGGCACAAATGTGCCTCCCCATAACAAATCCATCTCTGTACTCCCAGAAAAATGCTGCCAGCCTTGATGTACTGAGCCAGTACCTGCCACCAGTGGTCATCTCCATAGTGAATGTCATCCTGCCTTTACTTTTTCATGTCTTGACCCAGTTGGAAGGCTATTCTCCTAATACTGAAGTCAACCTCACCCTAGTCAGGTAGGTGTTTTCATCTTGGTGGGGAACCTGGGGCAGATATATTTCCTGTGGTATAAGGAGTTTGCAGGCCTTAAATTACTTTGAGCAGCAAGCAGAGTTTTTTATGCTTTGTTTTAGTTTTGCTATTCTCTCTTTCTAAGTTGGGAAGCACTAGTTGCTCCAGTCGGTCATCAAGCCCAATATCCTTTATTGTAAATATGGCAGTGAAAGTATGAGGGAAGAAGCAGAACAATCAAGAAGGGATTGATACCCCTTACAATGGCACAATGATTCAAGGGGGCAAACGGGAATGCAGTAAAATCAATACTTCCCGAGACAGGCGGATGCCGACAGCAACAATATATACTTTTAAAATGTGTATTTTATCGATTCCCATTGACAAATAGTAAACACAAAGAAAACTTGAGGAATGCAGTTCAAAAAAGATTATTATATTTTCAGGGGAAATGCTGTCATGTAATGTATGTGTTTATGAACATCATCAATGCATTTCTAATATACCTTAGTTCTTTTACTGTCAAAATTCCCCACTCCTTTGTCTTCCTAAAATAATAGGATAGTGGTCGACTAAATTGTGCTCAGAGTGAACCCTTTGAAATAAATGGCTCATTTATTTAAATAGATATACACTGAGTAAAACTTTTTTTTTTATAAGATATTTATTAGGTTTTTTGAAATATTACAGTAAAGATGAAAAAGAAAAGAGAAAAATACAAAATAAAAACAGTTAAAAACACACATATTTCCAGTTACTTATTTTCCTTTAGCTTGTTTCCCGGACCTCCTCGTACCTCCCTTTTTTGTATTCCACTTCAATTTATTGGTTCAGCAAATCCTTACCATTAGATTTTAACCCATTTATAACCATTTTTCATATTCTCTTAAAGCATTACAGCTAGAAACCACTTAATTACTATCCAACATCATTCTATCATTCATTAATTTTACAATATTTCTGTAAATAGTCTTTAAATTTCTTCCAATCTTCTTCCACCGACTCTTCTCCCTGGTCTCGGATTCTGCCAGTCATTTCTGCCAATTCCATATAGTCCATCACCTTCATCTGCCATTCTTCCAAAGTGGGTAGATCTTGTGTCTTCCAATACTTTGCAATAAGTATTCTTGCTGCTGTTGTAGCATACATAAAAAAAAGTTCTGTCCTTCTTTGACACCAATTGGCCGACAATGCCCAGAAGAAAGGCCTCTGGTTTCTTCAAGAAGGTATATTTAAATACCTTTTTCAGTTCATTATATATCATTTCCCAGAAAGCCTTAATCCTTGGGCACGTCCACCAAAGGTGAAAGAATGTACCTTCAGTTTCTTTACATTTCCAGCATTTATTATCGGGCAAATGATAGATTTTTGCAAGCTTGACTGGGGTCATGTACCACCTGTATATCATTTTCATAATAGTCTCTCTTAAGGCATTACATGCCGTAAACTTCATACCTGTGGTCCATAACTGTTCCCAGTCAGCAAACATAATATTATGTCCAACATCTTGTGCCCATTTAGTCATCGCAGATTTCACCGTTTCATCCTAAGTATTCCATTTCAACAGCAAGTTATACATTCTTGACAAATTTTTAGTTTTGGGTTCTAACAGTTCTGTTTCTAATTTTGATTTTTCCACCTGGAAGCCAATTTTCTTACACTGAGTAAAACTTAGTTGAATGCCACCCATAATAATTATGATTATAATGCCATAACCCAAAGAACAACCAAATATCTACAGATTTAAGATATGCAATGCAGCAGCTGTTCTAAAAATATATTGTGGAATGTTAAAAAGATCCAGATCTTTCAGAAGTTTTGAAGTGCAAAGTGCATCAGGACCAAACAACTCCCCACTTTAGGGACAGATGTGTGGGGGAGTGTGTGGTAAGATGGATATTTGGATCCATTCATGGTCAGGTGGTAATCTGAAGCACTGGCTTATATGGTAGGATTAGTGGGGTGGAAACCAAGTGTAAGGTGCAGGCCCAATCTCTCTTGTGGTCTCTTGCAGGTGTGTAATCCTGAAACTGTCCAGCCTGGGAATGTTCATGTTCTTCTTGGGACGCAGAGTGCTATGCATAGGGAGCGGCAGTGCTCCTCAGTGCCACCAGTGCGGTTACAACAAACTCTATCAGGTGACATGGATGGGATATTTCAGCTGGACTTTTCCTGTTTAGAGCAAATGTGGCCCAGACATAATGTGTTCGGGTATTAAGTTTTCTAAAGCAAGGTATGATTAGCCTCCAAGGCAAAGAACTAGTTAGCCTTGACTTGCGGCAGTGACAAAAGTATACTTCACCTTTAAGCACCCAGCTGCGTAACTTGGTTTTCAATTTCTAGAATGGCTCTTCGGCTGTCTAGACATCTTTGAGTATTCCTTTTCCTGGTATTTCTTTTGTCTGCGTGTCAATGTATCATTTTTCACTTATTTTGTAGATTCCCACTCCCACCCCCACCCCCCGCCAACGCACACCTTGTTTGATCCCAATTCCAGCAATGAGGAAAGCTTGGTTGATCATTAGCAATTAAAGTCCGCCAGTTTTGGGGGTTATTAATGTGTTAGAAATTTGCAACTTTTACAACAATTCTCCATACATTCTATTACCTATATAACGTTGTATTGTGCATGCTTAATGTGAACTTAGCTTTTTCTTTTTCTTTTTTGCACTTAACACCATATACTTACGATATACTATGGTTATAATAATGTGCCTGACATGTCTAGGATTCCTTTCCCCCCTTCTCTTTCTTTTTTCCTTCCATATACTCATCATAAGACATTATCTCTCTCCTGATTGTGCATGCAGTGCTGGGAAACCCACATTGGACAAGAGATGTACAAGATGACCCTCTTCAGTTTCTTGACCACCTTGGGATCTGCTTTCCTTATCAGCCTGCCCCGGAGGTGAGGCAAGAGATCATAACTAATACTAGTGCCCCTACTCTCCTAGTTTCCTTGATTCTTGGCCTAACCTAGGACTTTTCCATACTTACCTTTTGCCCACTCTTTCCAGGCACAGGTCTGCACTCTAAAGCTCTGTGTCTGAGCACACCTTTTTTGTTCCAGAGCTTTCCCTGTGAAATCTTTAAAGCTGTATCGGAGCAAATGGCTTTCCATGGATTGTCGTGTGCTCCAACTGAGCTTTAAAGAGTGGGTTTTCCTGGGAAAGCTTGAACAAAAAAAGGGGGTGCTTGGATGCAGAGCTTTAAAGTGCAGACAGTCCCTGGAAAGCGTGGAGGGAATTTAAGTGTGGTTAAGCCCTCATTCAGCCTTTTCTTTCCACAAATGGACAGACCACTCCTTCCTTGGGAAAGTATTATGTATGGCAGGGATAGCCAACATTGTTAGACCATAACTCTCATTGTCGCTGACCACCGGCTAGATTGGCTGGAGGTGATAGGAACTGGAGCCAAAAAACACACATACCCCAAAGGCACCACATTGACTACCCCTGATCTACAGGTATTTTTATCTCATCTTCCTGCCTCCCAGTAGTGATGCCAGGTGGTCCAGTTGCAGGGTAGCTGTCATTGGGCAGATGCATGCTCTGCATCCAAAGCATATTCAACACACATGACCTCCCCCAAAGAATCCTGGGAACTGTACTTTGTTAAGGATGCTGGAAATGGTAGCTATGTGAGGGGGAAGCTTCACTTCTTTGGGCGAAGTCATATGCTTTAAATGTGCGGATTCGCCCATTGTATCATTGTTGACTGCAGGGTGCTTTTAGTAAGGGAGAATAAGCATATGTGCTCCCTATGCAAAAGAGGCAGAATTCAGTAGCATGATACCCAGCTGCAGTTATTGGAAGAGGTTATGCCCGCGGCCTCTGAATTAATTCTCTTTCTCTCTCTCTCTCTCTCTCAGACTGATTGCTAAGCATTCCTCCTGTGGACTGGCTCAGTGGCTTGGCAAAGAAGAGTTCCTGGTGCCTCACAATGTACTGGATATTGTAGCAGCTCAAACAGTCATATGGATCGGGATTTTCTTCTGCCCACTTCTGCCTTTGCTTGCCTGTGTCTTTGTCTTCTTCACATTCTATATAAAAAAGGTCAGTGGCATGCTGTCATTGGACCTGGGGGGACTAGGCTAGTCCCCTGGTGCCTCATTCCCAAAGCCTGGGAAGCTTCTGCCCGGCTTAGAGAAGGAGGCGCGATGTTCATGGGCGTGACATCAGCCCCACCCCCAATCACCCTTGCAAGCTGGTGTCTCTCGCCCTAACTGTTCCCCTATGAAAAAATTCACTGCACGCTATTGAAAAAGGTAAAGGTTGTGTATACATGTATGTGTGGGTGTTTGAGAGTACACACAAAGAGTACCTATCATGCCCATCATGATGTGGGTTGTGGATCCGGCCCTATTTTGAGCCCCTCATCCTCTTGGCTTGTACTGTGCCAGGGAAGATTGCCATGATCCTGGCTAAGGGACTGTGGAGGAGTTTGGGAGTTACAAACTCTCAAACCAGAGAAATTGCTGGTAGCAACAAGCAACCCACACAGGAAGAGGCGGAGGGTAAGGAACTTGCTTTTCTGAACTCACCTCTCTTGGAGGCAGTCCCACCCAGACTCAGACCTTCACTTTGGTGGTTACTGACCTCATCCTGCCCACAGCTGTTGCTAGCATGTATGCATTTGAAGCCATTGAACCTGGCAGGTTGGGTGCAACCTGGCCCTAGGTACTGTGAACACCTGGGCTGCATATAAATCATAATTTAAAGCACTCCCACAAAAAAGTAATCATGCTGCATATAAATCATAATTTAAAGCACCCCCACAAAAAAGTAATCATGGTCACTGTCATTTCTTAAGTGTGCTGGGAATTGTAGTTGTGTGAGGGGTAAACTGCAGTTCCCATGATTCTTCAGGGGGTGTTTCAATATACCATATTTTTTGCTCTATAGGACACACTTTTTCCCCTTCAAAAATGAAGGGGAAATGTGTGTGCATCCTATGGAGCGAAGACGCCATAGCCCCGCGACCCTCTCCCGGCTGGAGAGGTGACGCACGGCTATGGCAGGAGCCTCTATAGCCGCGTGTCACCTCCCCAGCCGGGAGAGCGCGCGCGGGGCTAAAGAAGCCATAGCCCCGCAACCCTCTCCCGGCTGGAGAGGTGACGCGCGACTATGGCAGGAGCCTCTCCGCTGCGCCTTTCCGCTGCTCCCTGACCTGCTCTTTGGGGCTGGTGGTGGGCTTCCCCCCGCCAGCCCCAAAGAGCAGTTCGAAGGAACCTGAAGCCTGGAGAGCGAGAGGGGTCGGTGTGCACTGACCCCTCTCGCTCTCCAGGCTTCCAAGGTAGCCGCCTGAACGCACCTTAAACGGTACCTTGTTTTAGAGCGGGAAAACAAGAGGGGGAAAGTTCTCCCCCTCTCTGCGCAGCGCCTCCTGCCGCTTCGCTGAAGGAGCGCTGGGCAGAGAGGTGGAGAATTTTTTTTTCTTGTTCTCCCCCCTCTAAAACAAAGTGCGTCCTATTGTCCGGTGCGTCCTATGGTGCGAAAAATACGGTATGTTTGCAGCTCTGATGTGAAGGCTTTAGCAATATATTTGAAAGTGGTATTGGAGCTGTTCGCCTTTGGGGACAAGGAGACACATATTTCGGGGGGACTGAAGTTGCTGGCTGAATCCCAGGAAGTATGGTATAAAACCACCTGCTTCCTAATGAAGGCCCTTCACTCTCTCTCTCCCAACCCCACCCCACCCCACCCCAAGGCAGTCATCCTTCTGCAAAGTCTCGTGGGTTTTATATCTCTGGGAATGTGTGAGGGTTCAGGAGGCATGCTCACTCTGTCTCTTTTTCTCACCCACAGTACACCTTGTTTCAGAACTGCCAGCCTTCAACTCAGCTGTTTCGAGCATCCCGTTCTAAATTCCTCTTCCAGATCATGCTACTCTTAGGCCTTTTCCAGGCCTACGTCCCCCTGGGCTATGTCATCAGTAGGTGAGTTTAGAGGTGGGGAGCTAAAGGGTTGAGCATCTTAAGAGCACAGGGGTTGATGAAGTCTATATTCTGACAGTCATTCTTTTTTCCTCCCAGGGTCTCTCCATCCCAAGCTTGTGGGCTCTTTACTAATTATTCAGCTCCATGGGAGGCAGTACCTAAGGCTTTGTCCCATTTACCCATGTCAACACAACGTACCTTGAGCTATGTGACATCCAATGTCTTTTGTTTCTTACTTCTGATGATACTCAGGTGCGTACTTTGGGGGGGGGACATGGATGGGGGAATACCAAAGGAGGGAGGGCTGGCCATATGTTGTTGAATTATTTGCAAGGCAAGCAACCTCCTTGTTTCTTGGCCTGGACCCTGTTAGAAAAGTGGTGTGTTACCGTCACTGGCCTTACCAGCCACAGAACAGCCTCCATGGCTCCTTTCAAGCTAAATCTGACTGTCTGCCTGACCACTCAGGGCCACTTGAGCAAGAGACCTGTCCTCTATAAACACTACTTCTTATCTTCTACTGCTTCACCCCAAAAGGAAGGTGGCTCAAGCACACCTCAGTGTTGGGTTATGATCACAGTGTGTAATTTCAATGGAAACTTTGCCACTAATGAAAAAGGAGTGTAGCTCTCTCGCCCCACCCCCTTTTTTAGTTAATGAAAGTCCCATAGTTCTGGCAAATGAAGAGTCACATTTGAAAAAATTACTGTACCAATATTTTAGGAAATGTCAAGAGTCCTGGCAGGCCTCTGTGTAACTACACATGATAGTGTAGCTGTGTATCCATTGAGTGGTCCGGAAGCAGGTGCTGCAGCTGAACTAAGCAGGTGTGGAGCTGGTCAATCCCTTGTATGGGAGACCATTATAAGAGTCAAGTGATAAGGATGGAATTTTTTAATAGCATCAGCATCAGACATTTCCTAGCACACCTGATCAACACTTTGATGCCTTGATGTTATTAGCAGGAAAAAGAGGCTCCTGGTGAGTGACCCAACTACAAATGCTCTAAAACAGATTGCTATTTCTCAGTTTAACCTTGATTAAATTTAACCTAGCAGATGGTGTTGAACTCACCCAGCCTTTTGCAGGTGGCATCCTGTTTCCTTGTCTGGCCTGGTGTGTAAGTGGGAACCAATATTCCACAAACTATTGGTGTGATGGCCTCTCTTTTTCTTCCATAGCCTCATCCTTACAGTGTACGTTTCTCAGGTGCAAGCAAACAGACACATCATTGAAAGGCTCAAGAGGCAACGTGTGCAGGTAAAGTGGTCCTGCAATGTTACAGAAGGATGCCAGATGGCGTGCAATAACCATGCACCTCTGGTAACCTGTGACTGTGTGATGATCTGTTCTCTGGCCCATGTAATGTTAGGTTATGTAACCTGTTTCTCTTTTTGCTCCTCTGTCCAGTGTGTCAAGGAGAAATGGTGTTTGGTGAGGAAGCTGGCTCAGCGGCTGGTGAAACAACTGTGAGTTCAGTTGCGGGGGGGAAAGGCCTCCCAGAGGATGAAAACTTCTGGTGGCAGGGCAACAGGCAGGAAAAAATGGTCTTGCTCCTGAGGAAAGCAAAGACCACAGAATGGTCAAAGCATATCTGGATTAAAGAAGCAAGAGAAGCCCCCGAGTGTGATTTGAACATTATATTCTGGAAGACCTCATTTTCCTGTGAACACAAGTTGGCTCATAGAACTACCCTATCATACCCTTTATCTTTTAGATAGGTACAATACCCACTTTTTCACTGTGCATATAGGTCCCTGGGATGTATGTTTGGTACCTAATATCATCTCTTCCCTGTGAGTTGCTGTACCTTATTTGGCCAACTTCATGTTAGAACAAGTTCCTGCCGGCCTGAAAATGTTTTGGGTAAAGAACAAGGTGTATGGCAAGAATATATACATCCTTATCATGCCAAGGTAAAGGTACCCCTGACCATTAGGTCCAGTAGCAGACGACTCTGGGGTTGCAGCACTCATCTCGCTTTACTGGTCAAGGGAGACGGTGTTTGTCCACAGACAGCTTCCGGGTCATGTGGCCAGCATGACCAAGCCACTTCTGGTGAACCAGAGCAATGCACGGAAACGCTGTTTACCTTCCTGCCGGAGTGGTACCTATTTATCTACTTGCACATGACGTGCTTTTGAACTGCTAGGTTGGCAGGAGCTGGGACCGAGCAACGGGAGCTCACCCCGTCGCGGGGATTTGAACCTTCTGATCAGCAAGCCCTAGGCTCTGTGGTGTAGACCACAGCGCCACCCACGTCCAAAGTAATTCTAATTCAACAAAAAAATTAAACTGAGTATGTCACCAGTCCTCACTGAGGTGGATTGCTTACTAACTAGATCATGATCTTTTGGTATTGCAAAATAAAACAAATGCTTTGTCTAATAAATGTCAAGAGGGCATGGGTATATGAGTCGTGTGTTGTACACAATGTGGATCAGATTGACAATCACATGAAGAGTTCTGCATAACTTGGAAGCATGCATAGTCCTAAACCAACATACCTCAATCTGTCAAAACAGTGGTTTTCAACCAGTGTGCCCTGGGGTGCCTTGAATGATGGTCAGGGGTGCCATGGGCAACACTGCCCCTCTTTCCTTCACTCCCTCCTCTGATGCCCTCTCACATTGTGGCTGTTGGTTGCAGTAGGCCTGGCTACAAGCTCCCCAGGGGATTGGTGCCTCTGGGGCTGACCAGGGGGTGCTTCCCAGGCTCCTGTAGGGCAGTGTGAGGAGGCATCTCTCTTTAGGACAGGGGAGGCAGCTCAGAGACTGGGGTGGCAGCTGCGGCTTCCAGGAGGACTCCCAAGGAGAGGGGTGAAGAGAGGAGGCTGAGGAAACACTCCAGAAGGGGTGGTGTTTGGAAAGGGGTGAGGGGCTGCCAGCTCTGCAGGAAAGGGGGACATAACTGGACATCTGAGCCCCACAGGGGTGCTGCAGAAAGAACGTAGGAAGCCATGGACCCAAAAAGGTTGAAAACCTGTGTGTTAAAACATACACTCCCACCATGTTGCACCTCTCTGTGTCAGAGACAAACTTGGAAACTGCAGTCCAAACCTTTCATACCTTCCCCTGTGTTTCGTATCTATTAGCAACACTCTCCCCACTTAAGACTGTAAACGGCAGATATCTTCATACTAAGTGTACGCACAGTCTTGCCTCTGGCTAGATGTGAATTCATGCTGTTGTCTAAGATTCAAGCCTCGTGTTCTTTTCTTGCTGCATGTTGTGTGCAACGCCGGGTTCCTGCAAGTTCGTCCAGTAACTACAGAATGTAATGCATTGTTTATAATGTGGCACTCTAAGACTCTCTGAACAGATATCTGACATGTTCTTTACAAAGAAACAGAACAGTATGGGCAATGTCTGGAGAGGGCTTAGTTAGGCACAGATTCCAGCAGTTAGAGGGATTGGGTGTTCTATACAGCTAAACCATTTGTTGCACCTCTCTCTTAAGAACTCTTATACAATGTCTTTCCCTCTGCTTTTTAAATTCACATTTGCAGTGCTTATAGTTTGCCCTGCAACAAACTACTAGGCGGTAACCACATGTGCTCTCAGACCATTTCAAGAACCAGGGCTTTAAATGGTTTTGCCTCCAGAGAAGCCAGCCCAGTGAACTCAGAGATGTCCTAGGGGAATGTACTAGCAAAAACGACTTAGAGGCACTAAGTTACATCTTACAAAGAAAATTAAATCAGCCTTTCAGGAAACAGCTGCAGAGGATGTAGGCTAAGGTTTTTTCACCTGACAGCTGACCGTATCCTTATGGGTGTCTTTCAACTGTTAAGAGGTGTGAAGGAGAATTGGGTATATAAACTAAGAGAACAACCCATAATCCTCTTTTCCACCACAGGAAATTATATGGGGGACAGCCTCACTTGGTGCAGTGTTCTACCAATATAGTGCCCCGTTACCTCTGACCTGGCTGGTCTCCATGCCAAGAGAAGAAGAAGAGTTTGGATTTGATATCCTGCTTTATCACTACCCTAAGGAGTCTCAAAGCAGCTAACATTCTCCTTTCCTTTCCTCCCCCACAACAAACACTCTGTGAGGTGAGTGAGGCTGAGAGACTTCAGAGAAGTGTGACTAGCCCAAGGTCACCCAGCAGCTGCATGTGGAGGAGCGGAGACGCGTACCCAGTTCACCAGATTACGAGCCTACCGCTCTTAACCACTACACCACACTGGCTCTCAAGAAAGTCAAGAAGGCAGCAATGGCTCTGAGGAGGTGGATGGGCTTAGGGAGTCTGGGTTATGGCAACCTCTGGCACTAGCCATGTTTCTACTGAGAGACCAGGCTGGGCTACTCTATACTGAATGGTTATTCTTTGCTCCCTGTACTGGGCCAGTGCTGGATAAAGCTTCTTGTTCCTCCTCACCAAATGAGATTTCTGGCCTTCTGTCAAAGGTGGGGGAACTACAACTCCCATCATCCCTGGTGTGACACTAGACCTGGATGGAGTGATGGGAGTCAGAGTCCAACAACAGGTTCCTCACTGCTGTTTTATATGCATCGTTCTGACATTACTTACGTTGATTCTGTTTCCTAGGGCAGCTAAGACCATATTTCGTCTCCCTCTGGAATTTTAGGTGGGACATAAATATTTCAACAAACAAACAAATGGGTCAGGACTGTGCAGATAAAACATCAATTCTGACAGCTGAATAGCACATTCAGCTCCTCTTCTCTGATTTAGGACGGATTTAGGTCTGGCAATGGGCCGTGAGATGTTTGGGGTTGTGGGGGCTCTTAATTTTGGAGGGACTTTGAAACATGTTTTTAAATACCACATGGAGTTTAGTGTGGACTATGGAAAAGGGGCTGATTTGTCGAGAAGGGTCAAAAACACTGTCAAGTTGGAGTTTCCACGAGTGAAAGGAGCAGGAGACAAAGTAAAGTACAGGTATAAATATGAAGAAGAGCTGCGGAAGGGACATGGAAGAGACTTAAGGGCCTCGGACATAAGATTACCAGGTTAATGAGCTAGATTGATGGGATAGAAAGGACTGACAAAACCCGGGACCAGGAGGAAGAGACACTGGATTAAGATTGGAAGAAAGTTTTTAAATTTTTTTTTATTAGGATTGTTTTATAAAATTGATGAATGTTAGAAAAATGTTGGAACGAAATTATTTGGCTTTAGCAAAAATGTTAAAAGAATTATGTAAGAATACGTTATGGTTATGAGAAATTGGTATAAATAAGATCTAAGTTTTAAGTTTTAGGGTCTTTTATAGTAAGGTTAAAATAGATTAAGGTAATTTAATGACAGAATACTATGAAAAATGGAAAGGATTTGCTGTGATAATTAACAACTAGGATACAAAAAAGGGAGGAGTGAGGAGGTCGATGAAATAAGGCGATGACAGTCAAGGATTTGGGAATATTGGATTTGTTTTTAAATTTTTGTGGCTTATTTTTGCTTTTTGATTGTGTTGTGTTACGTGTTTTGTTGTTATTTTTTGATTTTGATTTTTATCAATTTGTATTGTTTGCTTGTGGTTTGTTTTTCCTCTTTCTTTTTCTTTTTGTTTTTCCTGTAATTTTAAAATTCTTAATAAATATCATTTAAAAAAAAAAGATTTAGGACGGATTTAGGACAGTGATGATTGTTGTCTCCGTTGTTGTTTTTGGACAAAGCTGTGGCAAGAAATTGGATTTCCTGGGTGTTTTCCATCCATTGTACTAATCCCACCCAATTATCACCTCATCTTCTTTTTCTCTCCAAGGAATTCATATGGAATACTCCCTCCTTTTGCCACTCTAGTTCAGGGGACTGTAGCTCATTAGGAGATTCTAAGTTTCAGTTTTCAATTTAAAAATAAAAATTAGATCTGTTTTATCCTTCACAGAGCAAACCTCTCAACAGTTTGGTTTTTACAATGAATCTATGCTAGTTTCAGCTACCTCTGTGGTGCAAAAAAAAAAAAAAAGGGCAGCATAATCATAATAAAGTCTTCCTGTGGTCTACTCGGATTTTGTTTGGGGAGGGGTTGTTTTTTATAGTATAACCCCAACACTCTCTAACAGGGATCCTACTGCCCTGCGTAAAAGTGCAAGACTGAAGTCCATTGGGGTCTCCCCATCAGGTGAACTAAATAGCCATAAATCGGACAAGTTCAAAACGATTTTGAAATGGTATTAATCTACAAACACAAAGAAAAGAAAAAGCAACACTTACAAAGCTACTTGTTTTTATGTGAAATGGTCTCTTAGCTTGCAAGCATGGGTGATGTCTGATTGCCTCAAGAATTCCACTGGGGTGGAATTCAACACTGCACTATTACAAACATTCTGTCGGAGAAAGCATTTCAGCTTCCCAGAAACAACTCATCCTGTGCACTGTTTGAAGAATTCTCCCCCCACCCTCAAGACAATTTGAGAGGGCCTATGAATGGAAAGAGATTAGGAAAAGCACCTTTGTGCAACGCTTCCACTGACATGGTTCTTTGGGGGAATCCCACCGTCTGGGTCTGGTTTCTCTTCCTGCTTCTATGATCTCTTCCAGCCTTTCTCAGCCTTGGGTTTCCAGATGTTGTTGAACTACTGCAGAAATCCCCCCCATGTCACTTCTGCCTTTGAAATCCCGTAATGTCAGGGAAAATCTGGACGTATGGCAGCCCTGCATAATTCTCTAGCGGAAGCCATATGCTTAAAATGTATGGGGTTGCATTCTGTTAGCACACGGATTACTGCCAGTGCAAAGGGACTTCACTCCCTCCCCTCTCCTCCCCTGTGCACTACCTAAATCTGTCCTAGGTGTTTCCCTAACCTTCCAGTGCAGATTTGGAGAGGGTACAAGATGGCGGGGGGGGGGGAGAGGGGTAAAGTCCTGAGGCAGTAGCATCCATCCATGTGTTAATGGAAATAGCTGAATATTGGCTGTGGTGTTGAAGTGAGCATGAACTCTGACCACTCTTTTCATTCTGTCCACCCACCTCTGGCCCACTGCATCCATTCATTATGCATTCCTGTACAGTGGTACCTCGGGTTAAGAACTTAATTCGTTCTGGAGGTCCGTTCTTAACCTGAAACTGTTCTTAACCTGAAGCACCACTTTAGCTAATGGGGCCTCCTGCTACTGCCGCACCGCCGGAGCACGATTTCTCTTCTCATCCTGAAGCAAAGTTCTTAACCCGAGGTACTATTTCTGGGTTAGCGGAGTCTGTAACCTGAAGCGTATGTAATCTGAAGCGTATGTAACTCGAGGTACCACTGTACTGAACTGCCAAGTGCCTCATTTCTTAAATGAATGTGCCTGCAACAAGGCTCACTGCATGCAGTATGAGATTTAAGCTGATGTCCAGATCCTTATTTCTAGTTCTCTGTCTTTTATTTAGCATGGAACAGTATAAATGAGGAACTGACATTTTCAATCCTTTGTACACCAAAATAAGATCTAAGGCAGAGACAAGCTGAAATACGGTTTTCTATTTTTCCTTTGTACGGTAGACTAGTTTCTACTTGCGCACACCACACTCTGACCCCCATCTGCGTTATTCGTGTAAAGTAGCGTCATAGCACTTTAAGCAGTCGTGGCTTTCACCCAAAGAATCCTGGGAACTGTAGTCCGTTAAAGATGCCGATCATTGTTAGGAGACCTCCTCTTCCTATCACAAAGTTACAATCCCCATTCAAACTCTATTCTAGGGGATGCTAGGAATTATAGCTCTCTGGTGGGGAAAGGGGATCTCCTAACTTTCCTCATCACTCTTAATCTACAGTTCCCAGGATTTTTTGGGGGGTGGGGGCTTCTTTAGTGGCATACAGCTTTAAACGTATAGCGCTGGTGGGGTCTTTGTCCTCCATCCAGAGAAGCAAAGAGGCATTGTTAAAGTTGAAAGAGCGAGCAAAAAAACAAACATCTAAGAGGATATGAAACGGCGCGGCTGAGGAGGGGTGTAGCCTGGGCGGGGTTGTAGGTTGGGGAAAGACTCTCTATCCCTGAAGTACGGCTTGCACCTTAGTTCCAAGCGGCCATCAATCTGAAACCCAGCCTGCGAAGTGCGCTGCAGCCGGCGCGGAAGCACGAGAAGCCGGCGCCGCTCTCGAGGCAGGAAACCCGGCGGGCGCGACCCTCGTGGCTTCCATGGTCCCGGGTCGGCTCTCCTCCCCTGGGGGCGGAGTGGAAAGGCGGGGCTTGCGGACGCGCAAACACAAGTCGGGGCGAGGCGGGCACCGCGAGTTCCGGGCCGCGAGCGGGGCAGCAGAGCGCGGCGACTGAGTCATGGAGAGCGGCGACGGCGGCGGCGGCGGCGCCTACGGAGCTGCCAAGGCGGGCGGCACCTTCGACCCGTGGCGCTTCTTGCAGCAGCCGCAGGTCATCGCGCGCCTTCTGAGTGCGGTGAGTGGCGTCGGGCCGGGGCTGCCGGAACGCAGCGCGGAAGTTGGGCTCTGAACTTTTGCAGAGGCCGCCGGGCTCCTTCCTAACCCCGGGCAAGTCGGCGCGCGCGCGCCCCCACGCTGCGCTTGGCCGCGAAGGAGGGCGAGCGAGTGGCCAGGGTGCCACGAGCTAGTGGCCCAGGTGAGGCTGGCGTAGCTGAGGCGGGGCCGTTAGGCACCCGGGCCGTGTCTCCTGCCATCACCCTAGGAGGGGAAGTAGTTGAGGCGGAGCAATGCGGTGTCATGCAGCGCCGTCGGGAATGGAGACACCTGCTGGAGGCAACGGAAGCCGCCGCCGCCGCCACCCCGGGCGTCGGCTAGGAGGAGTCTCTGAAGAAGACGCGTGGCCAAGTCCTCTGGAAATTATCCACTTCGGGCCAGTGGCGGGTCCCTCAGCTCTCGGCCCCCGAGGCCGCATACAGACGGCAGGTGCGCCCTGGCGGCGCGTCTCCCGCGCTGCGCCCCGTCTCTCTCGGCCGGCGGGGAGCCCCGCGCGTGGGAACCGGGCAGGGGCCGCTTCTGGTTGGCCCGCCTCCGGCCGCTGCCTCGCTCCCATTCACTTGCTTAGGATTGGGCAACTCTGCCGAATAAAGTCCACCGCTTTGTATTGCGGGTTGTTTGAGGAGAAAGCAGCCTGTCATATGGCTGTCAGCTGATAGGCCTTGAGCGGAGCTAGGCTGTTGCCTTCCTTGCCTTTTGACAAGCTGGGTGCTCAAGGCTTCTGGGTCTGTAACAAAAAGAGGAACGCCCTTCCCTAGGGGCAGCGTTTGTAGATGGAGAGAAACTCTTCAGATATAGGGGTCGTTTGCTTGGCAGTAAGGAAGAGCGAAACTGCTTAGGAAGCAGCTGGCTCCCCAGTTTTGCTAGACCCAGTAAGACAGATCCTTTCATGGCTGGTTCCTCCAAAAGAGCATTTCCCAAGCTTGGGTCTTCAGCTGTTTTGTACTACAGTTCCCATCATTCCTGACCACTAGTCCTGACAACTACAGGTGATGGGAGTTGTAGTCCAAAACCAGCCGGAGACCCAAGTTTGGGAAGCTGTGCTCCAAACATTCTGAGGGAAAGTTATGCTTCTAGTCCTCTGGTTTTCAGTGAGGGTTCTAGGAGCATCTTCCAGAGGTGATGTGAAATTCTGTCAATAATGGCACTCCTTAAGGACAATCTAAAAGCATTATCAGGTACTTATAATGGGAGGGGGCAGGCACGGAGGGTTGAAGTTATGTAGGAAATCATGTCATGTTAGCAGAGGTTAACAGGCCTGAGTCCTGCTTGCCTCATTTGAAAGACATTTTCTTGAGAGGTGAGCAAGTGCACTTCAAGCATGCTTGATTTTTGACCTGTGGCTGAGAGCAGCTTGTTACTGGTGAGGAGAAAATGACAGCTTTAAAATTAGTTGGGAAGGTGGAGAGATCTGTCTGAACCCTGAAGCGGCTTTGACAAGTCAAGAGGGAAGGCTCCTCAGCCATTTGTATGGTGCTCTTTCTGGGATGCACCGATCTCCAGTGCCAGGTGGTCTCAAACAAAACTCCTTATCTTAGCTGGCATGATGTCCAGCACCCAGCTATAATTATTGCTCCTCTTTTCCTTAGGGTGAGGTTTGAACTATTGAGGCCTCTGCTGCTCCGTACTTTGTTCAGAATGAATGCAATGCAATTCTCAGCTGTGCACAAAGATGCAGGTTGGGACCTTGCAAGGGTAATGTTTTGCATAGAGGTGGGATTTCGGTATTTAATGGTCCCAAGTTATGATGTTAAAAGCACATGAGGCCACCATCTTGCTGAAGCTAAGCAGGTCTGGTCAGTAACTGGATGGGTGACCACCTCAGAACATGTACACTGCTGGGTTCCATGATGTCAGAGAGATGGGATTTAAATGAAATCATAGTTGATTTGTGCCTTAGCGGAAGCACCTCACTACTCTGGAAGATGGTGGGTAGCATTGTACTTTTTTTGTTGTTGCAGATTTTCGCACTCATTGTTTTCTCCTGCATCATTGGTGAAGGCTACACCAACCATTCTTCATCCGACAAGCTGTACTGCGTCTTCAACCACAGTGAGGATGCTTGTCGTTACGGCATTGGCATCGGAGTGATTGCCTTCCTGGCTTGTGTATTCTTCTTGATGGTGGATATCTACTTCCCACAGATTAGCAATGCCACTGATCGCAAGTACCTCGTTATGGCCGACCTGGGCTTCTCAGGTATTTCTTTTTGGGAGGTGTGACATGAAACAAGTCCTTGTGGGGAGGGAGGGCAAGGCTCCGCACATGTTCTCTTCCTCCTCTCTCTTTTCCCCACCCCCTTTGCAGAGCTGGACAATGCCTTCCCTTGTTTTCTCTCAGTATGATGTGAGTCTGGAACAGCTCAGCTCCCCTGGCATGCTGCCTGCGAGGGCTTGTTTTGTCTGAATGAAAGTGTCTTCCAGGAGAGACTGCCTGTTTTCCTAAAAACACTGGGATGCTATATTATTGGTAAAGATTAGTGCTGGGCAAGGAGGAGACACCATTGAATGGGTGCCCCTTTGTTCCCTGACGTAAACGCCACATGCCTTAATACCTTGAAAAAAATGTCACACGTTTCTTTAAGGGGGCTTCTAGATAGCGTTTGTTCTACTTTGAGAAACAGGAGATTCTGGACTCCCATTCCAGGCCTTGGCCTAGATTAACTAATACTATAATCAAAACTTGGCCCACACATCCTTCTGAGACGGTTGCAGAATATGCCCATTTTGTTCAGTGTAAGGTCTCCTCCAGACTGTCAATACTTTGTGGGAGGGATTCAGGTGCATACCAGAAATTCAAAGCACTTTAAATCTGCAAATCTAAAGTGCTTCGCTGCCCTAGAACAATAAATCCATTAAACAAATTATGTAGTTTGGAAAGCGATGGGGGAAAAGTGTGATGCATTGAAAAGGGTGAGATAAACAAATGACTAACAGGAAGATGTGGAACATCCCACAGGCAAATCAGGATGAATGCTCATAGTTACATAACTGCCCCCCAAAATTATAAATGAATGCTCAGTAACGATAAGACAAAAAGCCGGGTAGCTTTTGTGCAAACAAGCTGGAAATAATGCTCATTAAACAAGTTGTCTGGAGGAGCCGTAGAATTTCCTGATAACCAGAGCACAAGTGGCAGGTATTTTATCATATAGTTGTAGCCCCAGTTGATAGCAGGAGCAGAATGGTAGTGCTCTGTACTGCAGGCTTCCCCAGCCTGGTGCCCTCCAGATATTGCCAACTATCTGCGACCATGGGCCATTCTGGCTGCGGTTAGTGGGAGGTGTCCCAGCACACCTGGAGCACACCAGGTCGGGGTAAGTTGTTCTCCTGTAACTTCAGCTGAAGGGTGCCTGTGCTTCTGTGAAATTTGAAGAGACTGGCAAAATAACCAGCAAGTAAGCAAAAAGGAATAGAGACCTACAGTTGTATTCAATGCTGTGCAAACAGAATGGGACGTTCCCCTCCTTCTGCAGCATGCCCCCAAATCAGCTCAAGGGTCCCCAAGCCTCAGGAGCTGGGAGTATTGCCTGACTAGAAGTCTGTTTTGGCACTGAAGCTGTGGCATCAGTTACAGCCCTTAGAACAGGGCTTATCGTAGGCCTTCATATTCTGTTAATAAGTCACCCAGTCTCTTCCACTCTTGCTAAATATATTTTTTTCTCTTTGTGCAGCTCTCTGGGCCTTTCTGTGGTTTATTGGGTTCTGCGTGCTGACAAACCAGTGGGCATCAACACCTCCCAAAGATGTATCGATTGGAGCCGACTCTGCCCGTGCTTCAATTGCCTTCAGCTTTTTCTCCATCTTCTCATGGGTGAGTGAGGGTTTCTCTCTGGCCCAAGGAAGTCCAAGGCTGAAGTCAGGCAGGCTGCCAGCTTGCCAGCCCTGAACTGGGGATTGGCTATGAAACTGATAATTAGTTTGCCAGCGCCTGTTAAACTGAGCTCAAAACAAGCAACCAGCTCAGATCTCTCTGGCGTTGCCTCACAAGGTGGCCGTAGAATTTCCCTGGCCTTCCCATCCAAAACAAAGCAATGCTACTAAACTACCTTACAGAGGAACGGCTGTATAAATGGCTGTTGCATGTGACCAACTCTTCACAGACCCATCCTGGTCCTTGCCAGCCAGAGCTAATAGCTTGTTTCTGTCCACAGGGGCTCCTGATCACCTTTGCACTTCAGCGCTACCGCATGGGGGTGCAAGATTTTGACCACAGCTACGTTGACCCAGCTCCAGGTCCTGTGCCCCCCTACTCAAGCTACCCCAATGTTGGTCATGAGAGCTACCAGCAGCCACCCTTCACTCCTCGCACCGGAGAGGACTCTGAGGGCTACCAGCCTCCCCCTGTGTATTGATTGCTACTAGCACTGTTTAAAGCAGCTCATGTGGGGAATAGCCACCTAAGTGCAATTGATTCACTTGCTTGGGTTGGGGAAAGGCATCTACTGTGAAGAGTAAGAATGCCACAGCTTAACTTTTGTGTGTGCGTGTGCATTGGGTTCTGGGGTATCCTTGCTGTTTTCTACCCTTGCAGAAAATACTTCGCTCCCCCCTCAGGGGTGTGAGAGGCTTTCTTTCTGGCCTGTGTGTGACGTGCAAGGCATAATAGTTGCCAAAAAAATACGCAGAGGATATTCAGCTAACTCTATAACAGGAGCTAGAGATTTCATCCAGCAGTTAAGGCAAGCGTCCCGTTACGTTGCTTCCTACTGCAGTTATCGTAGCGGGACCCTTGCTGCTGGCCAAAGTACTTTGTGCCTTTTGTGCTGATGCTGTTACATCCTTGACTCATACCAGCCACTGAGTGGGGTGGGGGGGTTAGTTCCCACGGCTCCTATGGTGCTGCCTTTCTAGATAGGATAGTGCGGATGCAGTGCTTTCCTTACAGCTTTTCACTTGCTGCTGGATGGACATGATGCCAAAGCTTAGGCCTAAAGGCCCCCTCATTTCTTTTTTTAAAATAACAATTTGTATATAAAGTGCTGGACTGAGCAATGTTGAATTTTTCCTGTGTGCCTTGTCTTGTTTCCCTCTCTCAATTCAGTCCTAGTTCAAGATGGGAGGGGACCAGCTCCCTATCTGCACAGATATACTAATAGTGAAGAAACATAGCTGGGGTGGGGTGCAGGTACTACTCTGTATGCCTGTTGGGGTGGGAAGCCCACTTGCACAAAACTTACACTTTCCTGGTTACCCTCTATCTTCTTAGGTTGGTTTCCCAACTGTACCTGTTGGGGGAGGGGTAACAGGAGACAACCCACTCACATGGGAAGCAATTTGAGGATTTGGGAAGTGTTCTAAATCTGTATCATGGCAGAAATAAACCTCGTCACTCCCATCACTTGGAATGCGAGATTTTATTATACATCCTCCTCATTGCTTCAGGGGAGATGTTTGTGTGTGAACCCAGCTATGTGACTGAGGGCTAGCTGTGGGAAAATAATTATGCTGGCTGTAGCAAAGCAGTGGTGTAAGGTCTTGGCACCTACAGAAACAAGTACCATAAGCCTTATCTCAGCTCCTTTTTTTAGGCCGTGCTTTTCACCTCCTGCTGTTCTGGGTTTTGGCCAACCAAGCACTCTAAACAGCTGATGCTGTTTCTCCCAGTGCAGCTCTTAACATGAAAGGGTGCCTGTACTATCGGGAGAAGGAGTATGGGCATTTTCAGTGGTGGTCCTACAACAAAAGTTTCCAAGCAAGAGGCCGGTCATCTTCAACACTTCTGATGGGGAGGGGACTGAGAGCTGGATGTCTCCTACAATCTAAGTGGGTAGCCTTTAAAAACAAAATAGACACCTTGCTCTGAAGTCTGGTGAAATGATGGTGGAAATCAATAAAAAAGGTCAAAGAAGACATTCAGTACTAATTTATTAAAATAGCCTGATGAATAAAACATTTTTCTCTTAATTGATCACTATGGGAGAAGACAGCAAATATTCATGGGAAACAGAAGTGGCAGCAGAGCAGTCTTAGGGCATGTTTTAAGTGCAAAACTGATGGTTTGCTGAATCAAATGCAGAAATAGCTACTACCATTCATCATGCAGAAGACAGTAAGATCGAACTGCCAGAAGTTATACGACAGGTACATGCCCCAAGCTTCATATATAATGAACATGATTGACGCTCTCGGCCATCCTGAATAAATTAGGAAAGTAAAGGCCTGACACAGCACACAAAATCTTAAAGCCAAGACTACAAAGAACATAAGAATTGCTTATTGCCCACTTCTGGAGACACATTATATCTACCAAACCCTTCTACAGAAAAGCAGAGGCCTCATAACTTATGCAGGATTAGTAATAATTTTGTTAGTTTGGAAGCCTCACAGAACTATGCTATATACCCAACATGTAGCTAGATGTTAGATCAGAAAGATACACATAGAATTGAAGAAATGTTCTGCTCAGGCAGTTAGTCTAGAGTTGAACATTATGTTCCATATTCCATGTTCAAGAAGGGTGAAAGACTGGGAGAGAGACTAGCCCTTCCAAGGTAAACTGTTTAACAAGGACACTGGTGTTTGCTGAAATAAGAGACAATGGCTTTAAGGTATAAATAATATTCTAGTTTGACTAGGAAACAGGTTCTGCTAGTGAACATAGAGGAAACACCCAGTTCTATGAGACAGTAGGAAGTCTTTCCCCATAAATGTGAAGCCACTAAGAGATGAGCTTTCGGTTTTTAGCACACCTAAATTATTAGCCTTTTGCAACATGCCCCAGCCTCATTTCCACTTTTAAAAGCAGTTCACTCTTTCTAGTACTTTCACTAGTATTGTCCTTTGATCCGCACACCTTTTTAACGGTATAGGGTTGGAATGAAGAACAATTAACCCCACAGAAGAAAAGGGCTGTCACTTTCCTAGTTCAGTGTGATGGGCTCCACTGCATGATCTGACGAGCAGCCAAAGCCTTTCGGGAACCAGCAATATCTAGCTGCTTATTTCCTCCCGGCAGATTCTCTTTGTCGTCGGTTGCCTGCTGCTGCGGCCGCTTCTTGAAGTAGCAGACACGGCAGACTGAATGGTACTTGTCTGCTCCTCCTATCACTTCCACCTAAAGGAGAGAAGTGTTAATTACTCAACAGGTAAAAAGCACTTTTCTGCTGCCAGACTGATAGCAGGCACATTTCTGCCTCACAGATGGAAAGGAACCTTTCTGAGAAGGAAAGTGCAGTGGACTCTTACCTCCTTCTCTGTTCCCAGCCTCTTTGTGTAAGAGGCTTCACGGTAACACTCCATGCAGACGGCGTTTAGTTTCACCACACTCTCTGCTAAAGGGACCAGCTGCAAGATGTTGCCAAAGGCCTGCAGTGAAACAACCAGATGCATCGTTGGGTTGGGACACATACCAGCAGGAAGAGAAAATTAAGAATTTAGAGAGGTTTACCTTTCTCTGGAAGGTTGCATCAAGAGCGGCCACAATGACAGTCTTCCCCGCATTGGCCATTGCCTCACAGAACTCTACAATGTCTGGAAACTAGACAGGAACAGAGGGGAAAAGTTATGTTCCTCCACAGAGGACAAGTCGTATCTCTTAGAAATTCATAGGACTACATGTGACACAACCAGTTCTTTGGTTGTGAGGAGACGGTGGCATCCTCTTAAGAGTATTCTTAAGAGTATTTGCATGGTACTCTTACAGCGAAAGCCTATGGGGTGGGGAGAATAGCCAATGTGGTGTGGTCTCTTGCGGTTGCTGAACTACAGTTGCCATCAGCTTCAGCCAACATAGCCAATGGTCAGGATGACAGAAGCTGTAGCCCACCCTCATTGGCTAACTCCGGCCCACACATACCTATTCAGAAATAAGCATTCATTAGGACTTGCTCCCAAGGTAATAGTATAGGACTGTACCTTAATCCACCTATGTTTAAAGCGAAATTAAGGGAGCCAACAGGTCTCACGTTCTCTAACTGAATACTTTAAGGTATTCCGTGATGGGAACCCTATCTGCTACTGCTAGAAAGGTCTCAATTATGGGAGGAAAGGATGATGGCTTGGTGATAGATCACATGCTCTCTCTCTATCTCTCTTTTTTGCAGAAGGCCCCAAGATCAATACAGTGGTACCTTGGGTTAAGTACTTAATTCGTTCTAGAGGTCCGTACTTAATCTGAAACTGTTCTTAACCTGAAACACCACTTTAGCTAATGGGGCCTCCTGCTGCTGCCGCACCGCCGGAACACGATTTCTGTTCTCATCCTGAAGCAAAGTTCTTAACCCAAGGTAACATTTCTAGGTTAGCGGAGTCTGTAACGTGAAGCGTATGTAACCCGAGGTACCACTATACCTGGCAAGCCTGCTGCTACCACCATCACATCACCTGAATTTCCAAAAAGTCTTTAAAGGGGTGGGCCAGCTGTAGTGTGGGCTTCTCATGGTCCAAGACAGGCAATTATCGCCCAATAAGCTTTTAAATTAAAATTGTTTGTTGCTCATCCATCTCCACATACTCAACATGGGTGAGCCGAGATCAGTCTTGTATATATGAGTTTCTTTGTTTTCATTAAAACTCCCAAGGTCTACTAACGCATTTTACATGTACAAAGCAAGAGTACATCCTCAGGGTCTCTTAACAGCTATTAGACAGCTAATTTGTGTAACAATCTGAAACACGCACTTGTTCTTAGGGAGACAAGCAACACTATATCAGATCAATCTCCACCTACTCCTGCATTCTTGACAAGAATACCAGCAGCCACAGTGCAGTCCACACCAAGAACTGACCAGTGGATTGTTCATTTACGTTTTCACCCCTGCTCTACACCCCTTTAAATTAATGTCTCTCCTAATCTTTCAGCAATACATTGTCCAAGTTCAGCTAACACTGCCAACACGGTCAAGAAAATAACTTCCAGAGAACCCACTAGCAGCAACCTGTGTGTGTTCTAGATAAAGATGTACAGTGGTACCTCGGGTTACATACACTCCAGGTTACATACGCTTCAGGTTACACACTCTGCTAACCCAGAAATAGTGCTTCAGGTTAAGAACTTTGCTTCAGGATAAGAACAGAAATCGGGCTCTGGCGGCAGCAGGAGGCCCCATTAGCTAAAGTGGTGCTTCAGGTTAAGAACAGTTTCAGGTTAAGAACGGACCTCCGGAACGAATTAAGTACTTAACCTGAGGTACCACTGTACTCCAATTACTGCAGGAATGTTGTTAGAATTGAACTACATTCTATTTAGCAATGATACATAAGAGCCTGCTGGATCTAGTCCAACATCCTATTTTCACAGTGGCCAACCAGATGCTTGCTGGAAACCCACAAAGAGGACACCAGCACAACAGCACTCTAGACACCTGCGATTCCCAGTATTTGGTATTCATAGCAACCCCTTCCATGTTACAGTGGTACCTCAGGTTAAGTACTTACCGTAATTTGTTCCGGAGGTCCGTTCTTAACTTGAAACTGTTCTTAACCTGAAGCACCACTTTAGCTAATGGGGCCTCCTGCTGCCACTGTGCCGCCGGAGCCCGATTTCTGTTCTCATCCTGAAGCAAAGTTCTTAACCTGAGGTACTATTTCTGGGTTAGCGGAGTCTGTAACCTGAAGCGTCTGTAACCCGAGGTACCACTGTACTGTTCTGTGTAAAAGAGGACTGCAATCCTACATCTACTCAGAAGTCCCAATGAGCTCAATGGGGCTTATTCTAGGAGCATAAAATGGCAGCCCAAGTCCCCATAGAGCTGTGAAACAGACTTATGCGGTAGTGCTTGACTGTTGACCCAAGCCAGATTTATTTTATTTATATATTGTTTATTTTATAAACAAGAGTAATGTTATACAAACAAGTATGCCAAGATTTCTCATGTCATCTGTGTATCACAAAAATAGCATAATGTGGAAAAAATATCTACAACATGTGTTTCATTATTCTGAGAAGATAAAAGAACTTACAAACTGGCCTTCATCGATGCCAATCACAGCAGCGTTAAGGGCCTCTTGATGCACATCTTTGAGACAACAAGCTGAATAGGCTTCCATGGTATTCCTACATAGAAACAGAAATATTTGTGATAATTGGATTGCTTTGGTTATAAGCCTACTCCATGGCAAAGAGTTCATTTTCCAGTGGCACTTGCAGAATGCTCTCCAATCTAAATAGCAGCTACGTGAGAGAAGACTTAGACAGGGAAGATGCTTGAATCCCCAGACTGAATCCCCTGAGGTCATATATTATAGCAAAGCATTACAGTGCCAACAGTTTAAGATAACAGTTTGTGAAAAATGGTGTGCCTGCTTGAAATTTCCCAAGCATATACACTGTATAGATTGGCCCTGACATTTTAGCAATTTACCTGTCATGTGTGGAGACGCCATTGACGCAGTAGCGTGTGTCCTTGGAATACTTGATCAGCAGACATTTGTACTGTGCAATTTGGAATCGGCGGACCCGGCGCATGAGTTCAGTGCTGCAAAACAAGAATGGAGATGTCCAGTGGCAAGCATAACCCAGGAAAGACTAACGTGTTTCTGGTCAGAGAGAAACAAGCTCTTCTACTAGAAGGGCACATGTGGCTCTATTGCGAGTCAAAAAAGCTGCAGCTGCTACATGAGGGAAATTACAAAAGCACAAGACTGACTGCTTTAGTCACTTCATTACTAAAGATAACACCTACAATCATGCAAAACACATTTCCCTCCCAGCTCTGGCGGAGACAATGCATTTTAAGAAATTGGTTTTTGTTCTAGAGAAGGCAGCACTGTAAGTTTAGAGGTGAAGAGTAAAGAAATGGCAATTGCCTCTATTCAGTCCATGGGATCTACTCCTTGCCCTACAGTTTGGCTTGATTGGCTAGGGCATGGCAAGGTTTCATTCAATTTGTCTGCCAAGTGGCATGACCCATTATTTGCTCTGGTAAGAGCAAATGCTGGCCAGAGCCTATTTTATAGAAAGCAAACTTTTTTGGGCAAGCAAGGTGCAAATCCAGCATAGGAGACAGTGCCACTTTTGCACTCATTGAAGGATTTGCAGCCCATTAGCCTATGCCTTGATATATTTTCACCTCTAGCTTACTGACTGAGGGAGGAAGCAGTAGCGTAGTGGTGATCAAGCAGGTAGAACTCCAGCCATTTGTTCCTCTTGTAGTATCCATGTTACATACAGATCAGCCACGCCAGTTAACAAAACTGGTGTGCTAGGCCCAACATCCAGATTACCAGTACAAATAACAGCAGCACTTATTTCAAATCTTTAGTGTACATACCTTTTCCCTGAGAACATGGGTCCGAAGATGACCTATAGAGGTGGAGGGGAAAATAGATTTAGGAATGTTTTCTTCTTAAAGCTAAGTACCAAATATACAGGTTGCAAGATGAATGGCTGCAATCAGAAACAGGTTGCTGAACTAGACTGAGCTCTTTTTAAGCCAGCAATCCCTACAAGAGGGAGTGTGGTATAGTGGTTAAGAGCAGTGGATTTGTAATCTGGTGAACCGGGTTCGATTCCCTGCTCCTTCACATGCAGCTGCTGGGTGACCTTGGGCTAGTCACACTTCTCTGAAGTCTCTCAGCCTCACTCACCTCACAGAGTGTTTGTTGTGGGGGAGGAAGGGAAAGGAGATTGTTAGCCTCTTTGATATTCCTTAAAGGTAAAGGGACCCCTGACCATTAGGTCCAGTCATGACCGACTCTGGGGTTGCGGTGCTCATCTTGCTTTATTGGCCGAGGGAGCCGGCGTACATGTGGCCAGCATGACTAAGCCGCTTCTGGCGAACCAGAGCAGCGCATGGAAACACCGTTTACCTTCCCGCCAGAGCGGTACCTATTTATCTACTTGCACTTTGACGTGCTTTCGAACTGCTAGGTTGGCAGGAGCAGGGACCAAGCAACGGGAGCTCACCCCGTGGTGGGGATTCGAACTGCCGACCTTCTGATTGGCAAGCCCTAGGCTCTGTGGTTTAACCCACAGCGCCATCCGCATCCCTTTGAGACTCCTTAGGGTAGTGCTAAAGCGGGATATCAAATCCGAACTCCCCTTCTTCTAACAAGAGCCCCTCCTTTATCAGAGGCAGCAGTTCTCTAAATGCCACATCCCAGGAATCCCAAGAGAGAAGATGGCATTGGGCCCATGCCCTTCCCATCTGCATCGTGAGAACAGGATGGTGGGCTAGAGGGGCCCTTTGGTCAGATCCAGCTGTGCCCTTCCAGCGCCCTCACGTAGCCTTTACTCCCATTCGGAGCCGGAGAGGCGAATATCGCTTTCGCACCCCCAGTTCCGCAATCGAGGTTGCTACCCAAAACCTCTCCCTCGCTCTCCTCTCCAGTACCCCGCAAAGCCAAGGGCCCCGAAAATATCACCATAAAGGCGAACCTCCAGCCTCAGAACTATCAGCCGCTCCCATTAATAAACCCCTACAGCTCAAAGTTCTGTCACATACAATGGCACCAACTTCTACGTGCCTGGATCTGTCCGCGGGCCTTAAGGGGCGACCCCGGCTGCACTCCCGGCATCATCAGGCAGTTCATGGCTCCGATTCCAAGTCCTTGCCCAGGCAGATTCACCTAACGCCGGCCTTTCTTTCCCTTCGCGCGCCCGGCTCCGGCAGTTTTTATACCCGGGGCAAGCACTGTCCAATCAGAACAGATCGCGCCGTTCCACAGACCATCAAAAGGAAACCCCCTCCGCCCCTTGGCCAATCAGAGTCAAGGCGGGAAAAAACTTTCTTGAAAGTGTTTGGCAAGGGCCGCGTAGGCGCTTAAACTATCTCCCGGCATGCTCTGCGAAAGTGAGGATTTTATTTTTTTTAAGGGGCTGGGGAGGCGCTCGCGTCCGGTCTCCCGTCATAGTTCCTCTTCCTGACTTTTTTCTCCTGCTTGGCAGTCGGAGAGCAGCGCCTAAAATCAGTTCTGCAGCTTTGCTTGTGCAAAGGTTGCCATGTTTTCCTTTCATCATTTCTGACCTCTCATTGACCGAGGAACCCGCGCGTATTCGCTCAAGGTTGTGTAATTGTGTTTAAAAATGGGTGTGAGTGGGTTTCAGCCACAGCTTCTTTGCCCCAGAACTTGTGGCCTGCAGCAGCACCCAGCAGAGACTCATCCAGTCCATTGCCAGAGTTGCAATAGTCTGGGTTGCAAGCAAAAGCGAAGATTGGCACCATTTATTGTGCTATCGCTATTCAGCTTTGACATGCCTCAAGGCTCTTTTGTCTTGTTTAACCCTGTTCAGTCTGCCATCTCCATCTTGAGAGGGAGTCTAGATGCAGATATTACAGTACAGCAACATGTCCAGTCCCTTCAACCTTTCCTCATAGGACATTTATTTGTGTTCAGGTGCTCAGAAAGTAATATACAGGTGTGTCCTGTAGGCAAATATTCCAGGTGATGCAAACTGCTGAATGTGAAATATCTGAATCAGCACATTCCTTTCCTGTTAAAATAAAAGTGTGTATTGGTCTAGAGCAGGGTAGCCCAACATCTGGCCTGAGGGCCACATGTGTCCCTTAATGCCTTTTTTGGTAGCCCTTGGTAACATTTGACACATACACACACGCACACACACCCTCTCTTGCTGCCTTCCCAAAGCCCATGAGGCTTGATGGCTCTGACAGGGTCCCAGAGTCCTCCATACTTCTTCCCAAAGCCAATAAGTGCTTTCCCAGCTTTGGGGAGGTGGGGACCCTGCCAGAGCCTCATGCCTGCTTTCCAAAGCTTGGTGCCTCTCTTAACCAGTTTTGGGAAGGCAGTGCGAGGGCTGGGCAGGGGCCTCGCTCCCCCCACCACCACCCCATACAACAAGGCAATGTGCAGCCTGTGGGTTCTGGTATGAAAAGTTGGACCACCCTGGTCTAGAGAGTCATTCTTCCTCAATAACTCAATTTCTTTCTACTTGTTACTCAGACATCTCCACTTACCCATCAGGGACATACAGTGGTACCTTGGGTTAAGAACTTAATTCATTCCGGAGGTCCGTTCTTAACCTGAAACTGTTCTTAACCTGAAGCACCACTTTAGCTAATGGGCCTCCTGCTGCCGCCGCGCCACTGCTGCGCGATTTCTGTTTTCATCCCGAAGCAAAGTTCTTAAACCGAGGTACTATTTCTGGGTTAGCGGAGTCTGTAACCTGAAGCGTCTGTAACCTGAGGTACCACTGTACATACTTGATCTTCATGGATAATTTCACCCTAGGACATCTCATTTGGCCACATCATACTTGTATGATACATCTACTTTTCTTTGGTCTTTCTCTAAAATTTCCTTCACACAGCCTCCCTTATACAAATAGAAAATTGACTTCCAATGATATATTTTTTTAGATACTGGGGGATGTGTTTCTTTTTTAAAAATAATCTATCAATTTACAACTGACACTGAATACTGCAGGAAAGTAGCAAAATTGATCACCATGTTCTAGTTCTTTATTATTTCTTGTATAGGCTGCATTAGAGAGTTAAACGTGTTAAGACTAGATTCCCCCCCCCAAAAAAATTCAACCCACACACTATCTATCGGTTGCTGATTACCCAGCAGCTGCCACAGTACGATAGTACTGCATGCTAACTAATTTTCTTTTTCACATTTCCCCCTCTTTTTCCCCAGATGTGATTAAACAGCTGTCCCATTTGAATCATAAACAGCACCTAACAAGGATTTGCAATGTGAAATCTATTATAATTACTGATGTGTTCGTTTATAAGGGAAAAAATTGGAGTGTTTCACAGTGAGGCTTGGCATATTTCTTGGTATATTTGCATATTAAGCTCACTAGCACAACATTGTTGTTAATGTTATCAAATATAACCTTCTGGCCTTTTGGGAATCTTCTTGGTAGCAAGGATAATTGCTCCTCTCATAAGGTTTGTTTAAGGGGTGCCTTACCTGTCACCTTCTTAGATTTATTCTCAGATGAGATCCTCCACCCCCGCTCACAGTGAACTAGCTCATTTCACAGCATAAAAATCTTGAAAGCTTTGCCGAGTGAAAAATGTTATAATGAGTTGATTATATTGTGACTGGAACACATCAGCAAAGGTGGGAAGGGTCAGATGAGGGATTTTAGCTAAGATCTGAAGAAGGAAGGAATAAGAACAGAGTGATGAATAGTGGCAGCAAAACAGCAGAGAATTGGGGGGGCCAGGATAGGAGAGGTTTTATGCCATAGTTTCACAGAACCAAAGCCCCATCAAACTGCCTTAGCTATTTGTGGGGAAATTTAATCAGACACTTTGTTCTTTTAAATACCTGGATTTAGTAGGTTAGGGACAGGGGATTTGCGGCCCTCTGGATGTAACTAGACGACAATCACATAACCCTCACCAGTGCCATGGTACCTGGGGCTGAAAGTTGCAGACCAGCAACATTAGAAGGGGGGGGCAGATTTCTCATCCCTGTAGCAGGTAAGTAGACATCCAATACTAATAGTTCATTCATTCCTGAGTGCTTGTCTTGATGCAGCCAAAACTGCACCAACCACAACACAAGAGGAAGGTATCAGCAGGCTTGGAGGAAGACACAAGGTTTGCAGAAGTACCAAAAAGGGTGGACGGACACCAAAACCAAACCAGTGAGGATTGAAAATGCTTGGTGGGTATGTAATGCTAACTGATGGGAGGAGAAATGTAGAAAAGCTTGGGGGGATGGAATGGAGTATCCTGGCAGAAGGGGTGGCTGAGTGGAACACCATGCAGTGTTATAAATTGAGTTGAATAGGATCCAAAAGGCAGCAGTCTGATTGGTCCCAGAACAATAGGATTCAGAATGCAGCAGTCTGATTGGTCCACAGGAGCCACCCAATCCAGCTCCAGGTGGAAGTGAATCCGCAACCAGATTGGCCTACAGGTGAATCCCGGAATTAGCCAATCACGTGGGGCCCATTGTGTAAATAATGTATATAAAGCAGACATTCTGGGGGAACTTCCATTCCTCCTCACCACTATGAGCTGAATAAAGAGCATCAAATCCACTCTCGACTCCGAGACCGTTTTGTTGCAGGCCCCACCTTGTATACTTAATGTCTAGGAGTGGTCAGCATGATGCAGCAGCACTGTGGATTAGCCCTCTTGACACAGGCCGGGTAGGGTGGCAGTGAAGCTGGGGCTGCCAGGACCCACCAGCAGAGCCATTCAGGCACTTCCGCTGGTATGTCTGCACAAACCTGACCACCACCACCACAACCCCCATTTGCAGGAGCAAAATTCACTCAATTTTCAAAGGAGCCGCATTATGCAAATATGTGTAAGGAAGCACTTTCTCAGACTCACTCTGCATTTTTACAACAGCGGGAGAAAAGTGCATTTGAATCCGAGGAGAAGGGAGGGATTGCAGAGTTGTTTCGCAGCACACCGCCGTCATAACTAAAAAGCGGCAATGAGAAACTATGGAAACAGGAGCTATTCAGGAGTTATGTTCCTTTCTAAGTGGGTTATGCTGCTTAAAGCATATCTGAGGTTGCTTTGATCTTACATACTTTGGCAGCCAGGACACAGATCCAAAAATAGTATCCTCGAACTGAGCTGAGCGTCTGTATCAATGGTTGTTGTTTTTTAAGTGCATTGGAAAATACAAGAATTGCTACATTGGGTAAATCTTTTTCTGAGTATAATAATAATAATAATAAATTATTATATCTCACCTATCTGGCTGGGTTTCCCCAGTGTGAGCAAGATTTAAAGATCACTTCTCAAAAAGAGTTTGTTTGTTTGTTTTTGTTTTTGACCGAGATGGGGGGAATTACGTGGCTACAAAAATAGCTTCCCCTGAATTTGTTCACGGATTTGAGCTTGTGTCTTGTAACTGGACGATATCAGTTGCCTTGGGATAGCTGTTCTGTGAGTCAGTGCTGAGAGTGAATATGACTGCCCTCCACCTAAATCCCAGCACGGATTTGTTTATTTGCAGAGAGCATAGTTCCCTATGTCAGGGTTTGCTGACCCCCCACCCCGCCCCAGCTCATGGAGCAACCAGTGGCCAAGGAGGAACACCTGATCTGTTCTACACTTTGTACCCAGAGGCTGAATTTGGTCACATGGCTGGCTCTTCTAACTAGTTGCTCTGCAGCACAGAAAACTTGGATGTAAGAAGATACAGCATCGGCCACATCTGAGCCGGTGACATGGGAAAGTGGCAGGAAATGACCAAGGAGGTAAACGAGGGGGGGGGGAATGGTATTACCTCTGTGTGAGAGAGATTTTGAAATATCTTGTTTTGTGTGAGTTTGGTGGTTACAGCCTGGAAAGGATTTGAGATGTCCTCTAGAGAAAAAGAACTTCTAGAACAGGCATAGGCAAACTCGGCCCTCCAGATATTTTGGGACTACAACTCCCATCATCCCTGACCACTGGTCCTGTTAGCTAGGGATGATGGGAGTTGTAGTCCCAAAAACATCTGGAGGGCTGAGTTTGCCTATGCCTGTTCTAGAAACTGTGTTACACTGATGCTGACAAAGTCTCCTTTAAGATGGGGATGGCAAACCCCGGGCCCCCCAGATGTGGATGGACACTTATCATCTCTGACTGTTGGCTATGCTGGCCGGAGCTGATGAGAGTCAAACAACATCCAGAATGCTACTCATTAGCCACCCTTGCATGGAGGACTAGCAGATATATTGCTTTTGTACATCAGATATATGGAAATGGAAATGATATACACAAGGGGAAATGTGGGAGGAAGAACTGTTGGGCAACGTTCAAAAGATACATTATCCTGAAAGCAGAGATATGTCTAAATCGAACAGCTGCATTTCTCAGGGTGGTCTCAGCAATACCCAAATCTTTGCAGGGTTGTGTTCAATATGCACAACATCAATGGGAACTTTTACCCCTAAGGTTTCTTCCTAGCTGTGCAGGGTGGGGTTGAATCATTTGGTAAGTTCTCCCCTGTCCCCATGCACTGCCTTCCTGACAGGGATCCCTGCTCCATGAGAGCCAGTGTGGTGTAGTGGTTAAGAGCGGTAGACTCATAATCTGGTGAACCGGGTTCGTGTCTCCGCTCCTCCACATGCAGCTGCTGGGTGACCTTGGGCCAGTCACACTTCTCTGAAGTCTCTCAGCCCCACTCACCTCACAGAGTGTTTGTTTGTTGTGGGGGAGGAAGGGAAAGGAGAATGTTAGCTGCTTTGAGACTCCTTTGGGTAGTGATAAAGGGGGATATAAAATCCAAACTCTTCTTCTTCTTCCTTTTTTTAAAAATATTTTTTTATTGGAAAATTTATTTACAACATAACACAACCCCCCCCCCAACACAGAAATCCACCCCCTTCAGACACAAACATAACAAACAACAAGCATAATTTACAACAATACAAACAACCAAACAAAAGACTTCCTTTATCCTGTTTCTGGCATCCTTATTTACTTCTTATAAGCTGTTTCCTTTATAAATAATTATTAAGATTTTCCTAATTATAACTTAAATATCCACAAAGTCTCCTGCAGACATTAATCAAAACAAGTCCAGGTATGAATTTTAGGGCACTGTTTTGTGAAATATTCTCTGCATTTTCCCCATGCTTGTCTAGTATGATCTCTAATTGCCTCTGTTAATCTAGCCAGTTCCATATACTCTTAACAGTTTGTCTTGCCATTCCATTTTTGTTGGCACAATTTCTTTTTTCCAGTTTTTAGCAATTAGGATCCTTGCCACTCCTGTAGCATAGAGGAATATTTTCTGATCTTCTCTTGCTATACCTGCGTCTGTTATCCCTAGTAGAAAAGCTTCTGCATTTTTTATAAAGTTATACTTAATCATTTTTTTAAGCTCGTCATATACTATGTTCCAGAAGCTTTTGATTTTTTCACAGGTCCACCAAACACGTATAAGTGTCCCCTCTGTTTTACCACACCTCCAACACAGATTTGTTTTTGTCTTATACATTTTAGCTATTTTGGTAGGTGTTAAGTACCATCTATAAAACATCTTGATTAGATTTTCCCTCATTACTTCACAGGCTGTAAATTTCCAGTTCTTTCTCCATAATTCTTCCCATGCTGTTAAGTCAATGGTTTTCCCAATATCTAAAGCCCACTTGATCATTACCTCCTTGACCTATTCGTCTTTGACCTCCCACTCCAATAATGTATCATACATTTTTGATATTACCTTAGTTTTGTTTTGTAATAACACTTTTTCTAATAATGAAGGTTCGTTTGAGAAACCTTCTTCTTCTTCCATGCCGTGCCTGATATTAAGTAAGAAATGCATAGCTGCATGCTACTTAGCAATGCTTCGTTTGGCACCCAATCTGCCTGTGTTTCTACTCAGTGCCCTAGTCACCTTACTCTGAGTGAAAAGAGGGCCACTGTGGCTGTGCAAGGTGCCTTGCTTCCTCTCTCTGCAGGAGCTGGAGAAGCAGTACTCACCTAGCAGGTGGTCTCCATGGCTGGACGCGGATGCTGTGATTGAGGCTCACGTACAGGCAGTGAGCGAAGGTAAAGGGTCCCTGGGCAGTCCACTACCTGGCAATAAGTGGGATGGGAGCGGGCAGAAGGTAGATCACCAAGGGGCCACTAACTTCCAACAGACCTCCCAGTGCCTGCTGGTTGTTGGCATTCTTGCAAAGAGCGCTAGCGTTGGTGGACCTGGTTCTGATCCAGCAAAAAGGGCATGGCTATCCTTAAGCAAGACTGCATACCCAGGGTCACTGAACATGGATCAGTTATGCTTTAGCAGTTAAGCAACCCTGAGGATGCACTCTGGCCGCAGAAGTTCTAGTGGGCCAGCTCACCTCCAGTGCAGGAGAGGGCAAAATCTCACAGGAGGTTCTGAAAAGGGATTGGAAATAAGGCTCTCCTTTGGAACTTGCGAGGAAGGTTTCTTCCCCTTGGGACTGTATTGTTGTTGTTTAGTCGTTTCGTCGTGTCCGACTCTTCGTGACCCCATGGACCAGAGCCCGCAGTTTGGTCAAACTCATGCAGAACTTCAAGAACACTGTCCAACCATCTTGTCCTCCGTCGTCCCCTTCTCCTTGTGCCCTCCATCTTTCCCAACATCAGGGTCTTTTCCAGGGAGTCTTCTCTTCTCATGAGGTGGCCAAAGTATTGGAGCTTCAGCTTCAGGATCTGTCCTTCCAGTGAGCACTCAGGGCTGATTTCATTCAGAATGGGACTGTATAGCAGTGGCAAAGCCTACCTCAGTTTTCCAGGTGGTTAGCAGGATGCCATGAAGTTTTGAACAAGGAAGGAACCAACAATCTGAAAACTCCTCTGGAGTGTGGGAGGGCAGCCCAGATACGGCCAGGCAAGCTGCAGACTCCCATCTCTCTGTGCCTTCCTCTGCTCTGCAGGTACCCGCCGTGCCCAGATTGGCACCCAGACTCTGCTGAATGTGCCCTACGGGTTGGGCGAGGGAGAGAAGCTTGATGTGTATCTTCCTAAGGAACACACTGAAAGTAAGAATACATGAGCAGCATGGGAATGATCGGGAAACTGGGATATTGGTGAAGTGCTAGTTGTGGCGAAGAGCCAACGTAAGAAAGCGAGGGGTGGTACCTTAGTGGGAGTTTGTGCTAAGTGATGGTCTTTGCTGCCTGATTCTTTCTCCCGTTTCCCTTTTCAGCCTTCCCCCTGGTCCTCTATATCCATGGCGGCTACTGGCAATTCCTGAGGTGAGTTGTGCTGGAGGTTGCCTAAGCCCTGGTCCTTTGATTGCAGGACCCCAATGGGATGATGTCCCACCTAGCGGAACCATCAGGGACTGCTGTTCTCTTTCTCCTCCTCTAGCAAAGATGCTTCAGGCTTTGCTGCGGGGCCCCTAGCGACCCACGGCGTTGCCTTGGCTGCAGTTGGCTACGATGTGGCTCCCAAAGGTACGCAACTCTGGTGCAAACCGTTTTCCCGTTCTGCTCTCCTTGGCATCTCATGTCTAACCTGGATATTGTGGTTTGTGCTCAGGCCAGCTGGAGGTGATGGTCAGGCAGGTCCGACGCAGCGTGGCCTTCGCAGTTCAGCAGTACACAGGGATCAGGTAGGAGGTGCAGACAGGGTGAAAACACAGAGCACCTTGGGGAAAAGAGACGATGGGGCCCGTCATACCCTGCTGAAGCCCTACAGGGTTGATGGAGGCCCTGGATAGCTTTCCTCTGGCAATTCTACTCCGTCCGACACCATCAGAACCTCTCACCTGCTCATTTCAGCTGTGTCTCATTTGCCTTTAGCGGTGTTTATCTGCTTGGACACTCAGCAGGGGCCCACCTGGCAGCCATGGTGCTCTCTACAGATTGGGCAGAATTTGGTGTTGTGCCAAACATTAAAGGTACTGTCTGGGAGACACTGATCCCGTTTCCCACCCCCCAGCTCTTTTTACATCCTTGTTGTTGTTGTTGTTTAGTTGTTTAGTCGTGTCCGACTCTTCGTGACCCCATGGACCAGAGCACGCCAGGCACTCCTGTCTTCCACTGCCTCCCACAGTTTGGTTAAACTCATGCTGGTAGCTTTGAGAACACTGTCCAACCATCTCGTCCTCTGTCGTCCCCTTCTCCTTGTGCCCTCCATCTTTCCCAACATCAGGGTCTTTTCCAGGGGAGTCTTCTCTTCTCATGAGGTGGCCAAAGTATTGGAGCCTCAGCTTCAGGATCTGTCCTTCCAGTGAGCACTCAGGGCTGATTTCCTTCAGAATGGATAGGTTTGATCTTCTTGCAGTCCATGGGACTCTCAAGAGTCTCCTCCAGCACCAAAAGCATCAATTCTTCGGCGATCAGCCTTCTTTATGGTCCAGCTCTCACTTCCATACATCACTACTGGGAAAACCATAGCTTTGACTATACGGACCTTTGTTTTACATCCTAGCATTCCCTATTTCTTTTATCTGAACTTCATGATCCAACTTGCACCAAGCTGGAGCCTCAATAAGACATGGACTCTTTTTCCTTCCCAGGAGCCTTTTTGGTGAGTGGCCTCTATGACTTGGAACCCATCACGCACACCTATGTCAATGATGTTTTGCACATGAGCCGGTGAGAGATGCATCTTTGAAGAGGAATTCTCAACCCATGTAGGGCAAAAAAATCGGCAGTGAGTGCCTTGGGAGCCCCCTACCCACCAACATGTTGCCTAAATTGTTAACAGCCCACGGCAGACCAGTGGGCAGGTTAGCAGCATCTGTGTCACCCAGCACAGCAGCCCCTCAACTTCCAGCACAATGCAGTTCATGAAGGATCATGTGAAACAGTTTAGTAAGGTAAAGGTAAAGGTACCCCTGACCGTTAGGTCCAGTCGCGGACGACTCTGGGGTTGCACGCTCATCTTGTTCTATAGGCCGAGGGAGCCGGTGTTTTTCTCCGCAGACAGTTTTTCTGGGTCATGTGGCCAGCATGACTAAGCCGCTTCTGGTGAACCAGAGCAGCGCACGGAAACGCCGTTCACCTTCCCGCCGAAGCGGTACCTATTTATCTACTTGCACTTCGTGCTTTCGAACTGCTAGGTTGGCAGGAGCAGGGACAGAGCAACGGGAGCTCACCCCGTTGCAGGGATTCGAACCGCCAACCTTCTGATCGGCAAGCCCTAGGGTCAGTGGTTTAACCCACAGCGCCACCCGCGTGCTTTCAAAATTGGGCTCTGCCTAGAAATGCCTGCCTTCTTGGCTTATCAGCAAGCCAGCCCACTCTGCCTCTCTTTCATCTCTGTATGGTCTGTGTGTCTTTCCTCAGGGAGGTGGCCTTACAGAATAGCCCTTTGAGGTGTGTGCCTAAGTTTGAGGGCAGGAGAAGTTGCCAGGTACTCATCACTGTGGCACAACACGATTCTCCTGAGTTCCACAGACAGTCCCAGGAGTACTTTGAGGTGCGTTGGCTGATGTTCGCCATGTTGAGTTTCTCTTTAATATTTGGTGGAATATAAGTGTTTTTTAAAATAAACAAATAATAAAGATGCATCCATGGAATCAAATGATGTGCATCCACACTCCTACCCATGTATTTAAAGAGCCACAAATGCATGTGTGAAAGGTGAACGCTACCTAAGACAGGTGAGGGGAATCTTTGGTCCTCCAGATGTTGCTGCAACTCCCATTCCTCCCTGGTCTTTCGTCATGGCTGGTGGAAGCTGTAGTTCAGCAACATCTGGAAGGCCAGGGGTTCCCAATACCTGGCTAAAACATTTACTTAATATTTGTTTCATACTTCTGGTCTCCCATCTCCCATTGCTCTTCAATATGAATCAATGAGACCACCAACCCCATTCCTCCCAAGTCTCTGCCATCTATCAGAGTAATGCATCTATTAGGGTAAAGGCACTAGCAAGTACTGTGGCGAGGATAGTTTTGTTAAAATCCCTATTGCTTGCCCATAGGCTTTGCGTGCAGCTGGCTGGAGTGCCTCTTTGCTGGACATTGGAGACACAGATCATTTTGATGTCATTGAGAAGCTCTCCCAGGAAGACTATTTTCTCACACAGGTAAAGGTAAAGGGATCCCTGGCCATTAGGTCCAGTCGCAGACAACTCGGGGGTTGAGGCGCTCATCTTGCTCTACTGGCCGAAGGAGCTGGCGTATAGCTTTCGGGTCATGTGGTCAGCATGACTAGGCCACTTCTGGTGAACCAGAGCAGCGCACGGAAATGCCATTTACCTTCCTGCCGGAGTGGTACCTATTTATCTACTTGCACTTTGACGTGCTTTTGAACTGCTAGGTTGGCAGGAGCAGGGACCGAGCAACAGGCGCTGGTACAGGGGTGCAAATGAGCTGCAATAAAATGATGGTGGCTGTCAGTATATTTGTCACTTGCCATGTGTTAGGAGTAATGCTTCAGGGAGAGCATGACATGCGCTGCATCTCCAGAATGCTGCATCAAGGAGGACTGCTAATTGTAGCTGAAACAAACAGGACTTCTGCATATATCCTTATAACTGAATGTATAAGCTTTGCCATTGTCATGTAATGTCCAAATCTAGTGTGAAGTCAAAAATGGAATGGGCAATAAGGCCTCCTTCACGCAAATATCCAGCAGCATGGGAGCCACTTCCTTATAGTGTGATCTCACATTACTATGGAGCTTAGTGTGAAAATATTCCAACAATGTGGCTGAGGCTGATCACATGGGACTTCAACATTAGTTGTGGCGCTGATCAGGTGGGGGAAATCTTTGAATTTAGACACACCCATGTGTCTGGAATATTCACACACTTACCCCAGCAATGTGGAATATACACGTGTCTCTGAAACACAAAGGAGCTAAATACTATGGAATTTGGGAAGTGTGTGGGATGTAGCTCCTTCTTAGGCCAACTTTATAATCACAACACACTCCCGATGATGAGTGAGAAGCTTCAGTGTTGAACCAATTTGTTATGCAAGGGAAACATATTCTTTCTTGATGTTCCAGGTGATTTTGAAAATGATTTCAAGAGGCTGATAGGTTGACACAAGATGGAACTCTCAGCCTGGAGTCCCCATCTACAGCCATCGCTGACCTTGCAAACCCACCCATCCCAATCCTCCACTCTCTCTGCTGTGCTGTTTTATTTCACCCTGGGAATGGACTTCCTGCCAACTGCAATTTTATCCAGTTAAGAAAGAACTTCAGAAGACACAAATCTATTGAAACGGAACTTTGAAACATATTATTCCTTGTTGCTTTGGAGGCAATTGACTTCAAAAGAGCACACAGTTCCTTTCGCATGGACTGCCTGACACAGAGACAGTTCCTGTCCACTCCTGCGATAAACTCTGTTCCTCCCAGCGTGCTGAGAACTTTAAAGTAACACCAACGCATAAATTACATCTACATTGTGGCAGTTTATCACCTTCCCCTAGGAGATAGTCTGAATCAGTGAGCACAGGCAAGGCATAATTGCTGCATAAATCACCACGTCTCTTTATTCCACAAAGGGCCTGAGCTGAAGATGGGCATCTTTCACTAACAGCAGTAACTAAACTTTTATTCAACCTTCTAAATCCATACGAAACTGCCTTATACAGTCAGAGCAGTGGCACTCTGTGCTTGTGCTATGGAGGCCCATGTCTCTACTCCCACGGGCTCAATGCCGTCTTTGAATCAGGGACCCTGCAAGCAGGAAGCTGCAGATTTAGAGCATAGCCAGACTGGAACAGTTCTAAAAGAAAATCGTGGGAATCATGGCAACAACGGCTATAACAACTGTGCTGCGACAGCCGGTTAGTTATGCTTTTGCCTTGGAATGGGCCAAAGTTAAGAAATACATCTCAAGACCTTGCGCAAGTAACGTCAGTTGTAATGATTATTGTGCCACGAATTGGGGGATGTCAACAGTCGGAGATCAGATGAGTGTTTAATTACTTTCTCTGCCCCTTTTGCATTCAGGTGTTGAGTGCTGCACAGAGTTATGATAACTAAATCCTAAGAAGAGGCCAAGGGCCAGTCTAGCCCAGCATCCTGGTTCACACACTCACTAGCCAGGTGCCTGTAGGAAACCCACAAGTGAGACCCAAACATGAGCACTCTTCCTCCTTGCAGTTCAAAATGCTTTCCTTTCAGCCTGGGCATGCTCCAAGACTTCTGGATTCCAGGCACTGAACCAAGTCTGACCTAATGAAGTATTTAGCCCAGCTTCTTATAATGGCTTTATGCTAACAGAAGCACTTCTGCAAGGCATTTTCATCAATTCCCCCCCCCCCCATCAACTGCACCCCTCTGTGCCATATGTGCTGTATTGTTCCAGAGGGTCCACCAGCAGTAGAGGTACTGGGTGCAAGGAGGATCAGATGCTACCCTGCTTGTGAAAGCACTTCCACTAGTTGCTACCAGCTGGTGCAAAGCCACCATTGGATACAACACTTAGCTTTTTATTTTTAGAGAGTGTTCTTATACTCTGCAAAAAATCTCCCCCAGATCGGCCCCTTTTAGCAATACAGAGTAGCAGAACATAATGTTTAATTTGGCGGAATTAAACTCTGGTTTGTATATGTCAGTACGCCTCACTTCAAAGCACATCTGAAAACCGGAAGTTCTGCGTGGGATGGTAGATGCAAGTTAAAGCTGATTTTCACAATTCCGATAGCCGGAGCAGGGTACGGGGAGAATCTGAAGTTCCAGTCCTATATACACTTGCCTAGGAATAAACCCCATTTAATTTAATGTGACATACAAGTACACTGTTAAACTGCACACCGTTCTATACATATTTGAGGGGGAGCTCTGTTAAAATCAGGCTTGTGCTGCACATCACCTTCGTTTGTTCATTTCTTTTAAATGGCTGACCTTTATTCTGAGACATTAAAACACATGATTAAGCATGTGTTCGTTTAATATATTTATATCTTGCTTTTCCTTATAGCAGTGGAAGGTGGTTCATAACAAACTACAGTATACTATCAAAAGCTACTGTGATCCAAGTGGAGCAGCAAGCCAAGAGATAATAAAACCAAGAAAGAGAGCAACTAAGCCAAGTGCCTGTAATAAAAAAAGCACTGCAGCCATAAACTACATGCTCACCAGAGATCAATCTTCGTGGAATATAATGGGGCTTAAACATGCAGATCAGTCCCTTTAATTTTCTGGCGAAGTTCGCCTCTCTTCCTCTAGCAAAACATGTAATATGAATAGAAAGTGAAACGTTGGTTTGCATTCTAGTGGTGGTGGGGCATTCCCTGATGTTAACAAAATACCTTCTCTTTGCAACTGCTGTATCAAAAAAACAAACTAACCCTAAATGCTCGATTTCAGCTCCTCGGCGGACTTCTTACACCCAGCAGCAGCAGCAGCAGCCCAACTATCTTTTTCTCTTTCAAACACCCAGCTTCGTTCTGTTCCAACAGCCACTGAACAAAATTTTGGGGATTTTTTTTGGGGGGGTGCGCATTACGACGAGAAAAAGCCCACCAACCTCTGTCTGTTTACTCAGGAGCAAGTCCCAAGTGTGTCCTCCTTAATAGGAAGTTAGGATCGCGGCCTATTTTAGTGAAACGATCTTACACGTGTCTTTAGCTTCTTTCTCCATCACGTGGGAAGCGAGGTTTCTAAATCCATATTATTATTGTTTTGTTTCTTCTGCCTCTAACTTTCGGAAATACAGCCTTATTTGCCTGTTCCAGCAAGAACAACGGAGACCTCATAGAGGCATTTTAAAGAGTTCGTCCTGTCTTGTGTTTCTGGTCTTTAAAACGTGCGCAATTTTGCCGCTTATCTCCTCTAACTGCATTTTATAAAGAGAGGGAGAACTACAACTCCCGGCATGCTCAGCGAATAGCAGCCGATTTCCCGTCATCCTTTGCTCGGCCGTTGTTCTGACCGCGGTGTTTTGAACGTGGCAGGAATGGAGGCGGAAGCTGCTTCTGCGGGTCCGCAAGTTCGGCCGGGATTCGAGGAGTTTCTGAAGGAGCACCGAGTCGCCACTTTCGACCAGTGGCCCTTTGCCTCCGACTGCTCATGCACTCCAGACCGGGTGAGGGACCCATTTCTCCCAGCCAGCTTGCCTCCTCCTTATCTACTTCCTGCATTCCATGCATAATTTTACACACTTCTATCATGTCTCCTCTTGGTTGCCTTTTCTCTACTAAACTAAAAATACCCCAAAGCGACCTTCCCTATCAGGGAGGTTGCTCCACCCTCTTGATCATTTTGGTTTCCCTTTTCTGGACCGTTTCCAGCTGTTCAATATCATTTTTAAGGTGAGACCATAAGAACTGTAAACAGTATTCCAAGTGTGGTTGCACCTTCAATTTGGAAAACAGTATTTTGATACTGACATTTTTATTTTTAATTCAATTTGATTTATTTTCTTAATGATCCCTAGCTTGGCATTTGTCTTTCCACAGCTATCACACACTGGGTCAACACCTTCATCAGATTATTCTCTATAGCCCAAGGTCTTGTTCCTGGTCAGTCACTACCACTCTGGACCCCGTGAAATACATATAATTTTTGCCCCTAATGTGCAGCTCTTTACACTTGCTTAAACTGAATTTGCGTTTCCCACTTTGCTGCTTATTCATCCAGTTTGGGGAGACCCTTTTGGAGTACAGTGGTACCTCGGGTTTCAAACACCTCAGGTTATAAACACTTTGACTACTTAACCCGTAAGTAGTACCTTGGGTTAAGAACTCTACCTCAGGGTGAGAACAGAAATCGCACAGCGGCAGCAGGAAGCCCCATTAGCTAAAGTGGTACCTCGGGTTAAAAACGGTTTTAGGTTAAGAACGGACCTCCAGAACGAATTTAAGTATGTAACAAGAGGTACCACTGGACTTCACAATCCCTTTTAGTTTTAACTACCCTGAGCAATTTAGTATCAGCAGCAAACTTGCCTACCTCACTGCTCACCCTAACTCTTTGGATGTGTGATTGTTGAATGTACACTTGTTGCACAACTTTCCTCCCCTCTCTCTTCCCAGATGGCAGAAGCTGGATTTGTTCACTGTCCTAGTGACAATGCACCCGACGTGGCCCAGTGCTTCATATGTTTTAAGGAGCTGGAGGGATGGGAGCCGGATGATGACCCTATGTAAGTATTTTGTTGTTGGATCTGCTGACTTGCAGTGCCTCCAAATAAGTGCTCGGGATAGGCATATCTGCCTTTTTACCAAGACAGAACATAATGTTTCACAGATGCTACAGGGATGAAGGAAGCAAATCTGCAAGCTTAATATAGGGTACAAGTAATTTAGATGGTTTGTCCACATCTTCCATCTTTCCTTTCCTTTGCCAAAAGCCCAATATGGCTACTTTAGACCCAGGGAGACCACTTGTCATAGGCAGGTTACATTTATCTAGTTTATTTGATCTTTGAACATCTGGCTACATTTAAGCAGGTGGTTAGATTATGCAGTATAGTGTGGACTGCATTTGCAAAGAGTGAATATTAAATCTGCTCCATGTTCCTGATGCCACACTGCACAACACTAATCAGACCAAATTCCCCTGGCTGCTCTGCAAGCCAGTAATGCTAATAAGGGCTCACTATTGACTAGCCTCAAAGGCAGGTGTGTCTGAAAACTGCCTGCATAGCTGAGTCTGGTGTTTCCTTGGAATGAGATCAGTGGAGTCATGGTTTTATTTACACATTTGTTTAAAAACCTAAGCATAGGGTGGAGGGTCTCAAAGCATTAATACCCCAACAGATCTTGCTTCCCCATTCTGTTACCAGGAAACCCCCAACTTCCAGTACAGCACACAGTTAAATGTGTCTCTCATCGGCTTTGCAGCGTCTCCCAGTTCTTTTGCTGGCTCACATAGCAGTTCTCTCCAGTGCAGCCCCACCTTCCTGGCCATGTAAGTCATTTCTCACTTAGATGCCACTATTAAAACCCAGCTCCTTCCTCTGAAGTGCATATCAAGGCACTAAAAATAGCTATCTGAGCTTTATCTGCAAATGAATTTGCTTGATCACTTTCCCAACCTCCCCCAAAATTTATAAGATTATCTACTTCCAAATATAAAATGTCTGCCCTGCGCATACAAAAAACAAACAGCAGCATAACACCTTGCCCTTAGGTAAAGGGACAGGGACAGGTTAAAACAGTGAGAAAGTTCTGTGTCCATATTGGCAGCAAGTGATTTGCTTTGAAGCAGGCCTAACCTAGAGACTTAGAACAAGCATCCTATACTGGACCAGTGGTGGGGTAGTAAATTTTCTACTGATTCCCCCCCCCCCCTTTGGAAAAGGTTCTGTTTCATTAGTAACAATGAATGGATGCCAGTAGCAACTAAATATTAGGGAAGCTTGACACTTTCAATGTTTCTGCCTTTGTTTACAAGTAAAAGAAGCATGCTAGATTAGATTACTCTCTAGGGCACGAGAAAATTTTCCTACACAAATTGCCCTAATTTTCACAGAAAAATTGAACAATTCAAAAATTTGGTGGAAAGCCTAGGGAGCGAGGAGGGATGTCATCTATTCTACTTTAATTCAGGAGATCAGATATGTTATTTCAGAAGTTATTACAAGACCAGCTGGTGCTGTGCAATCCACTGCTGAATGTAAAGCTGGCACATGACATCAAGCGGTCTTAAACTGAGCAGCGTAAACATTTAACGTCTTCAAGAGAAAGGCAGTTTCAGTAGCTGAATTTAGGGGTGAGCAAACTTTTTCAGCAGGGGGCTGGTCCACTGTCCCTCAGATCTTGTGGGGGGCCGGACTATATTTTGAAAAAAAATATATGAACGAATTCCTATGCCCCACAAATAACCCAGAGATGCATTTTAAATAAAAGGGCACATTCTACTCATGTCAAAACACGCTGATTCCCGGACCGTCCGCGGACCAGATTTAGAAGGTGATTGGGCCGGATCCAACCCTCGGGCCTTAGTTTGCCTACCCATGAGTTAAAGCCTCTAAATCCGTGTAAATGTTGGGCTCACATATGCTACCTTTATCCCTGTAAGATTTGTGAAAAGTTTTAAATCTCTTAGTAGTTCTTCACTCTGAACCCTAGAGAGGTCTGCCTTATCCTTTAAGAACCATTGTGCTAATATAGTTTGTCCTTCTTTCTAGGGAAGAGCACCGGAAACACTCTCCCAACTGTGCATTTCTGGCTCTCCAGAAAGATATTAAGGACTTGACACTGCAAGAGTTTATGAGACTTTGCAAAGAGAGAATGAAGGCCTTGGTCGTAAGTATGGTTTGCAGGGAGCTGTGAATGTACTCAAGCTTTTCCTGCTCTCCTGTTCTCCCTACAACAGTGTTTGCCAAAATTGTGTCTCTAGCAGTTTTTGGACTACAACTTCCACCATCCCTAGCTATCAGGACCAGGGGTAGTCCAAAAACAGCTGGGGACTCAAGTTTGGGAAACCTTGCCCTACAGTTTCAAAATGGTCATTTAGCACCCCACCCTCCTCCACACCAGATCATACATAGTCTCTTGCCCATAGAACCGCCTTGATTTGAAGATAGTGTTCTTCACTGGTTTGGCTGCAACTGTGAGATCAGTTTGGCTTTCCCTGCTGTTGTATGGTTTTCCTGCTTGCTTCTCAAAGTGAATAGCCACTGCCCACCCCTACCTGCAGCAAAGCCCTCCTCTTGTATTCCACTTTACAGCTCAAACACTTTCCTTTTCATTAGTTACTAACAGGAGTTCCTTTCTGTTTTTCTCCTAGAGAAAGGAAATTAACCAGAAAATTAACGACTTGGAAAAACGTGCTGAGAAGACACGTAATGCAATTGAATTGTTGCGTATGTAACGTTCCCAGTGTACTATCTCCATTGAATACAATGAGGCTTAAACATGCCAATCAGTCCCTTTAATTTTCTGGCAAAGCAAACATTCGCCTCTATTCCTCTAGCAAAACATGTAATATGAATAGAAAGTGAAACGTTGGTTTGCAGTCTGCCGGTGGAGGGGACGGGAAGCATTCCCCGATGTTAACAAAATATCTTCTTTTTGCAACTGCTGTATATGAACAAAACAAACTGACCCTAAATGCTCAATTTCAGCTCCTCGGCGGACTTCTTACACCCAGCAGCAGCAGCCCAACTATCTTTTTCTCTTCAAACACCCACCCTTGTTCTGTTCCAAAAGCCACTGAACAAAATTTCTGGTTTTTTTTGGGGGGGCGGCGCATTATGATGAGAAAAAGCCCATCAACCTCTGTCTGTTTATTCATAAGCAAGTCCCAAGTGTGTCCTCCCTAATATGGTTAGGATCACAGTACTGTGCTGTGGTAGCTCCTGAGGCAGGGCTTAGACAAGACCCTGCGTTCCTGCTTTCACACCTGTTGCTCTGGTCAAGCTGCACTTAAGGGCTGAATGAAGATATCTGCAGCTCTCCACTGATTTCTGTGGGTTATCCTGCACATTAGGACAATAATGCCAAACATATAGATTCACCAAGGTAGTCTAATTTAACTGGAATGTCATAGTAATGTTAATGTCACATTAAAAAGATCAGTGAAAACATCATTACTGTGAATTACTAGGATGAGGTGGGGGCAGGGAGTACCAAATATATGGTATGCAAATCTGGTAGTTTTAACTGAAAATGGTCATGACAGAGAAGGTGCCTAAAAAGGATGTGCAGACAGTCCTACTGGTGTTTTTTTATTCATTGGCACTTATTCTCCCATAGGCACAAAAATGAATTACACAAAAAATGCTGTGATGATAATCTTATGTTATATATATAAAATTACAAAATCCATAACAATTTTAATACAGAAAAATAAAGTCTGTGTTTTCAAGAAATGAAGTGTGATGTGCACTTCTCCTTTGCCATGCACACCTTGTTCTGTTTTTACTTGTAACATGATTTTTATGAACAAACATAACTGAAAAAAGAGAACGATTTGCACTTAAATTGGAATCTTCACACTAATGGATCCAGTACATTTGCAGATGTTTTCATTGGGGCCACCAGGACTAATGATTTTCTGTTTTCTTCATTTTTAAAAAACTTACTGTGCTATCATTACATATTACAAGTATTGCATACATATGAATTTGTCCAGCAGTCACTATCTATAGTCCTTCAAAAGTCTCCTGAAATCGAAAAAATGTGTGTGTTTTTTTAAAAAAGTAAATAGTTTTGAGGTGTTTTGGTTCGCATCTTACCTTATCTTACCTTACCTCCTTCCTCTGATGCCCTCGCATCTCTGCCTCCCAAAGGCTCGCACAGCTGTTCATTGCAGCAGCCCTGGCTACAAGCTCCTCAAGCAAATGGTGCCTCAGGAGCTGGCCGGGGTGCTTCCCAGGCCCCTGTGGGGCAGTGTGAGGGGGCACCTCTCTTTGGGACAGGGGGTGCAGCTCAGAGACCAGAGGCAGCGGCTGCAGCTGCCCAGAGGACTCCCAAGGAGAAGAGAGAAGGCTGAGGGAACACCACAAGGAGGGTGTTCAAAAAGGGATGAGGGGCTGCTGGCTCTGCAGGCAAGGGGTGACATAACTGGGCTCCTGAACCCCACAGGGGTGCCGCAGAAAGAATGTAGTTGGTCAAGGGAGCTGTGGACCCAAAAAGGAGTAAACCCTACACAAATTCGGAGTGTATTCCCTAGGACGGTTGTATGGTGCCTTGCATGTCTCCTTCTAGCAACACCGGCAGGCAAGCTGGTGCCAAATGTATTGTTCTGTTTTCCTTTGGACTACATTAGAGAGGCTGGGGGAGGTGGGGAGGTTTTGTTGTCTGGACAGCCCAGGACCTCCATACACACTGCCCTGACAGTTCAACAATTAACAATTTAAAATAAAAAAATGTTAGAGAACATAAAGCTTACCACTAGGTCACTTAACAACATCCAACGTCTTCACATTCTGTGTTAACTCCAAAGCTGATGGTATTGTCGCTTACTAACCCCACCCGCTGTACAAAAAAATCCTTATACTCATCAAAAGCTCTTTCCCCAGCTGTCTCTTATTATTTTTATTACTATCAGAGCTCTGCCTAGGCGTTGTTTGTTTTCAACGCCCAGCTTAGCTCTTAAATGAGAGTCTGTGTTGGTTGCAGGTTCTTATTTATTTTAGCCATGAAGCTCACCAGTCACTCTCAGCCTGCCTCACAAGCTTGTTGTGAGTGCCTAGTGTTATGTACTGAAGTTCTCACCCTGGGCCAGCAGGGGGATACTGTAGATAGTTATGCAAATGAAGGATCGAAAAGTGACGTTCAGTGATTGGATAGCTTTGTATGCAAATGAAGGATCGAAAAGTGACGTTCAGTGATTGGATAGTTTTAGAACGTTGCAACAGTTACAATTGTTCTGTAGCTGTATATAAGCAGGCTGACTGAGCTCCTCAGTTTAGTTCTGTTCCAGCTTACAAAATAAAGAGCTGCTTTGGAGAAATTGCTGTGTCGTCTGCTATGTCAACCCACAACTTAACACCTAGGAATGCCTTCTCTGGTGTCCTGGCAGAAGGGCAGGCAAAAAACCAAAAGAGTAACAAGCAGCACCTCTTTAAGCACTGCGGCTTGCCTCTTTCATTCTGAAATCCACTCCAGTTGGGGTTCCTGAGGGGGGCGGAGGCGGGGCGGGGAACCATAGGAGTAGGGCCATTCGTCCATCTAGACCAGTATTGCAGCTGCTCTCCCATCCTCTCATAGCTGGAGGTGCCGGTGACTCAACCTGAGTCCGCTCACCAGAGGAGTTGCAGGTCCAGCTGGGGCGCGCGCTTTCCTGAGCGGGAAAGCAAAAACGGGGGAAAGTCTCCTGAGAGGCGCCCTCCCTGCTCTCAGAATGGCGGGATGATGAGAGGCGCCCTCTAAGGGCCAAGAGACCCGGGGAATCCACCTCCCACTGAACTGAGCTGGGGGGGGGCAGTGGCGTAGCGTGGGTTGTCAGCACCCAGGGCAAGGCAAGTAATTTGCGCCCCCTAACCCTAACCCCCAGATGTTGCGCCCGGTGCAGCCGGCCCCCCCTGCACCCCCCACGCTACGCCACTGGGGGGGGGACTTAATTGGAAAGAGGATCGTAGCTTCCTCGAAGGGAGCCTTTGACCTTGAAGCTTGCTGCTGGCAGGGTGGCTTTTTGCGGTCGCCCCAATTTGGGGCGCAAGCACCCGGTGGCTTCGCCCCCAACTCCCGCGAAGATGCGGCTTGGGGGGCGCGCGCGCGTTTCCACCTGACTCTCTCAATCGCCCCCTCCCCGGAGCTTTGCAGTGAGAAAGGGAGAGCCTCCCGCTCGCCTGCCGCTGTTTCTCTCCACGTGTCCGCCGCCAGAGGCAGCAGCGTCGGCAGCGGGCGGCCGCGCCTGTGTGAGCAAGTCTGGCGGCGGGATGGTGGCGAGGTGCTGCGGCTGCCGCCGGGCCCTGGCGGTGGTGCCTCCCGGCGCGCTGTGCCTGGGCGCGGCGCTCAGCGGGCTCTTCAGCTTCGCCTTCTTGGCCGCGGCCCTGGGCACCGATTACTGGTACCTGGTGAGCGTGGACTCGGCCAACAGCAGCGCTTGGGACGCCGAGCAGCTGAGTTCCCACTCCGGACTCTGGCGCCTCTGCGAAGGTAGGGCTGCGCCGCGCGCGCCTTCTTTCCTCGGGTTCGCGACGGGAGCAGCCCGCGCTTCCCTTGCCACTGGGATCCGGAGAGGAGGGTGCTTTTTCTGGGATCCAAAGCGGATCGCGTCGGGGGTCGAGCGCCCCCACCCCCCAATAAAAAACCGAGCTTAGGCTTGGATCTGCCGGTTTCAGTAGTCGTGAAAAACTTTCTGCTAACAGAGGAATCGCCGTCGGGTCACAAGATGAATCGCTTGGTGGTGAGTTGTTGTGGCAGCCGGCATTCCTCTGCCCTACTCAAGTCTCTGCGTCCTGGGGACGTCTTGATTCTGCTTCACCCTTTTGGAAGATAGGACGCTGCATTACTAGTCCGTCTAGGTCAGTATTGCCAACTCTGGCCGGCAGCAGCTCTCGAGGTTTTCTCACGGAATTCTCTCACCGTCGTCCCTGGAGATGCCGTGGATTGATCCTGGGACCATCTGCATGCAAAGCAGGTGCTCTGGCTGCCCTTTCCCCAAGCCCCTGCTCTCTTACCCACCTGGGCTATCCCGACGCTCACCTGCAACTAGCTGTCCTCCCTGGTTTGTGTATACATTTGGGGGTGGGGATCCCAGTGCCTTATAATCGCAGGATCCTGGTTAAGGCGAACTGGAATTGTTCCATCCCTTTTTGCTGGCAATCGAAGAATTTCAGCCATCCCGGTGGTTCTTTAACCTCCACGGATTTCCACGCATTTATAACTTTCTGTGCTGGGGCCGAGGGGTGAGGGTGGGGGGAAGAGATGAAAAAAGGAAAGAACTGGATTGCAGCCAAGAATCCGCCCTCCTGGAGAGAAAGGAGGGCTGGGGTATCAGAGAGGAGGAAAGGGGAGGGGGAAGCGGAGGCAGCGCTTTCTTCAGCTCTCTGTTCAGAAGAGAGACCCGATTGAACTTCCATCAAAGATACGAAATGTCAGAGGGACGCATCGAATGTTCGCTTTCACACTCTGGCGCCCATCAGGAGTTCTGACACCCCTGGGTGTTGCACCTCTGGGCTCATGTGGATATGCCCCCTGCTAAATAAATCACAGCCGGGGGCGGGCGGAGAGGAGCCTGCTCTCATCTGAGCTGTGCTCTCTCGGAGGTCGCTCCCACGCCACCTGTTTATCGAACAGCCATCCTGATTTGTTTTGCGGGAGTCCTTGAATCAAGCCGTTGTTATTCCACATTTTCCAGCGCATGGACGTAGCCGGGGGGCGGGGCAGCTGCCCTCCCCCAAATCAAGTAAATAAAACTAAATGACCAACTGCGTCGCTGTAACTTGGTTCTTGCCCCCCCCCAACATAAAGCCCTCCACCAATAAATCCTGGCTACTCCCATCTTCCAGTGTGTCCTACTCTCCCACCCCACACTTTCCTTGTCGCAAAAGGTCAATTTTGCAGGAACTATAGTTCGTTAATGGGGCTGGGAATTGTGGCTTCGTAGGGGGAATGTAAAGTTTCTGGGATTCTTGCGAAGGTGTGTGTGTGTGTGTGTGCCATGTGCTTTAAATGTATGGTGTTGATTTGCCCTAAAATTGCACAGGCTGAATTGGTTGGCGTGTGATTTGAATCCGACCCACAAATAGCAACAGTTCAGAAGTACAATTGCAACCATACAGCTGAGGTTGAAATTTTCCTCTCTGTCAGGTTCAGTTGCTGTCATTCTCAAGCTGTTTGGTTCTGGGATTTTGGAACCTTTTGGGTCAGCGGAATTTTCTGCTGTGCATGAACACCAGTTTGCCCTATTGGGAGGAAAGGGAAGGTTCAAAGTCCTCCAGGCCTTTAGAGCGAGGGCTCCCAAACAATGGTCCGTTAGATTCATTCAGGTGGTCCATTCATACTGGTCTTTGACTGCATATTTCTTGCCTCTTTTTCTTATACTGTAGGCATTTTATTGTATTGCAACCTGAACTCGTAGACATAGAAGAAGCAATATTTTTTAAAAAACAATTAAAATTAAAAACCATACAGCACAACACATTGCAATTACTTAAACAGGCAGAAAAATAATTATGTGCTGTGTGAAGACCATCAGAATTTTTCCAAGTTGCTAGTTCCACCCCACACCTGAAGAGTGCACTTCCTAGCCCAATGGAGGTTCTTACCCCTCCATTGCCAAAAAGTGATAATTCAGGTACCTTGGATGGATACAAATCAGAGAGGGGAATGAAGGAGCTGCTGCGGCAGCAGCAATGTCATAGGGAGAAATGAGTGTGAGGCAGGTCAGCCAGCTGCTTTGATTTGCTCACCCAGTGGAGACTGGTCCTTTAGGGCAAATGGAGCCCTGCCCCACCAACTTCCCCCAGACAGCGCCACACCTGCCTTGGCTTTTTTACTTACAGGCAGTCCAGGGGATGGTACTGGCTTTCAGCTTCCTCCTCCTCCTCTGTCTACATTGTCCTTGGAGAACTCAGCAGGAAAGAGGATGGGGCAAAAACTAGAATTACCGTATTTTTTGCTCCATAAGATGCATCTTTTCCCTCCTAAAAAGTAAGGGGAAATGTGTATGCGTCTTATGGAGCGAATGCAGGCAGGAGGCTCTGCTCAGCGCTCCCTTTAAAGAGCCGCACGGAGCATGTGTGCAGCTTTCGGGGGCTTTTCCCCGAGAAGGGAGAAGGGACTGACGGGCTGCCCTCTGTCCCTTTCCACACCTCCTGGAAAAGTAAGCAAGAGACGCTGCCGGGCTCTGCTCAACGCTTCCTTGTAAGGGCTCCCTTTCATCCCTCATCCCGCTTTGCTGGGAAGCCAGCAGAACAAGAGGTGCTGCGCAGCTATCGCTCTTGCTCTGCTGGCTTCAGCAAGAGCTGCACAGCTTGCTCTGCTGGCTTCTCAGCGAAGCGGGAGGAGGGACGGAAGGGTTTAAAGCAAGAAAAGCAAGAGCTGCTTACATGCTCTGTGCAGAATATTTTTTTTCTTGCTTTCCCCCTCTAAAAACTAGGTGTGTCTTATGGTCAGGTGAGTCTTATGGAGCGAAAAATACGGTAGTTGATTTTGTCATTGGCTCGGGCTCCATCTACTGTTGATCTCGTGGCCTACCGCCCCACCCACGTCAATGGGCACCAGCCACCACTGTGCTCTCCCACCACCCCATCTTATTGGCAAGAAAGGCTCTGGGCTTAATAAGAGGAGTCCCATGGTAATCAACCTCAACCCAGTTAGCTCCACCTCTCTGTCTGTTCAAGGTCCCAGATATATTATGTGTTCGAGATGTAAAATTTCCTGTCTAGGTTAGCACTGCTGAAGGTGGGAGGCAGCACTTTGGAATGGCAAACTCTGTGGCTGGATCTCTGTTCATCATTTGATGCTCTTCCTCTCCTTGTCACTTCCCCCCAGGGCAGAACGCCTGCACGCCTCTGATAGACCCATTCGGCACAGAGAGTTGGCAAGTTTCCGCATCGCTCCAGCATCTTATATGTGAGTCGGCACATATAATGTGGGCTCAGCCTTTTGGATGGTGGTGGGAATCCCTGTATAGCAAGATGGAGTTTGGAAGTGTGTTCTCGGGGTGGGGGTGGCGTGATGTAGTTGGGTAATTTTGGACCCTGGACTTCGTGGCTATAGGGAGGGACCCTTTTAGATGGCTGTGTGTGCGTTACCACATTGACTAATGTAGGGATGGCCACCAAAGTGGTCAGCTTTAAAGAGGATTAGACAAACCCATGGACGATAAGGCTGTTAATGGTCATTAGCTATGATGGCAATGTTCCGTCCACTCTGTCGAAGGCCATATTCATCTGAAAACCCAGCTGCTGGGAATCAGAACTGGTACCGTATTTTTCGCTCTATAAGACGCACCAGGCCACAGTTTTTGGAGGAGGAAAACAAGAAAAAAAATATTCTGAATCTCAGAAGCCAGAACAGCAAGAGGGATCGCTGCGCAGTGAAAACATCAATCCCTCTTGCTGTTTTGGCTTCTGGGATAGATGCGCAGCCTGCATTCGCTCCATAAGACGCACACACATTTCCCCTTACTTTTTAGGAGGGAAAAAGTGAGTCTTATAGAGCAAAAAATACGGTAAGTGCCCTGTTGCACTTGTGGCCTTCTCATAAACATCTGCTTATCCACAGTGAGAACAGGATACTGGGACTAGAAGGCCTTTTTGCCTGATCCAACAGGGTTCAGTCATGAAGCACAAAATCAACCTTTATATTCTCTGTTCCCATCACTATTCCATGCTCTACAACTGCTCCATGTTAGAGCAAAGCAAACAAATTAAAAAGGAATGCAAACATTTTTCAAACTCCAATTTAAGAAAATACACACTGAGCATATACTGTACAGCTTCACATTTTAAACTGACTTGGATCATAGGACCATCTTGACTACAGGGAAGATACAGAACTTGCATTTGCTGAACACATTTAAGTGGGAATAAATCCCGTTTTGTGGTAGAAATGGATTCGCATGTTTTTTAAAAGAAAATAATAATAAAATTAGTATCTGTAACCCTGTACATGCCTGATCAGCTCACCCCTGGCTATAAAATGTTTTTAATGATGATAAAAAGTAGTAGTAGCAGCAGCAGCAGCAGCAAGAAAGGATGGTGTGGTGGCCAGGATGAGCCCCAGGTGCCGGTGCTGGGCCAGTTTGCTGCCATCATCTGCCACACTTAAGAGTGGTCATTTGGGGGCACCTCGAGTTGCACCACTGGTGTTGAGTCTCAGAGTGCGTTCACTTTCCCACCTTAGTGGTCAGTGAAGCTGGTCTCCCCTCCCCTTCGTCTTCACCCTAGGCAAAAGTGTCCACACCTTGGCCATAGACCAATCAGGCACAGTTTAAGGACTTTAATCTGTGTGAAGCTGGTTTGAGAAACAGCTGCATCCGACAGTGATATTTTATAACAGGATTAATGCCTGTTTTAGATAATGTGTGAATATGGATTAAATACCCAGCACTGGAAAAGCAGTAGGTACACGGTAAGCGGGAGTGTGAGCCCAGCCTTTATCGCTGGAGGCCCTTCTCCAAATCAGATTATGGTTGAAGACGAGCACTGTTTTGGAGGTGCGAGCAGGGCGATTTGTCTCTTGAAATAAAATGTCACGGGGAGGAAACAGAAAGGTGGGGGGCTCTCCTTCATCAGAGGCTTTTAAAAAGCAGAAGCTGGATGACCACCTATCAGGGATGCTGTAGCACTAGGGTCCCTGGATTGTCCGGCGGTTGAATCCAGTGACCTCTGGGGTCATCTGTAAAGCTGCATTCACCTATCCTCCAATACACCGTCCTGCTTTCCCCCTCCACTGGATGTCCTCCTCTTCTGTCTCTCTGCCAGCCATGCATCGAGCCTTTGTGGTCCTGCTGCCTCTCAGCCTCGTCTTGATCGTCTTTGGCTGGATCTGTGGGGTCATCGGTTCCTTGGTCCAGAGCTCCCGCCTTTTGCTCTTCACAGGCTGCTATTTTCTGCTGGGTGGTGAGTGAAGCTATGTCTTTGGAGGGGGGGAAACCAGGTTTTCTTTCTTTATCAGTCCCTCTCTCCCCACCCCCCGTAACATGGCAAAATGTCATTAAACACTTGCTCTCAGGGAATACTTAGCAGATTCTGTCTTAGCGCCATCAGGTCACAGCTGCCCCTTGGGGAGACCAAGGTGCAAAGGAGTGTGCTGTGGTCTTGGTGCTACGGGAACCACATATTGTCTCATCATCGACTCCTGACCTGTCCTCACCGCCTTTCCCCTTCCTTGAAGGCAGAAAAAGCAGGACTCTTGACTGCTCAGAACAGCAGATGAGCCTACCCAGAATCCTTTGCAGAAGGGATGGGGGGACTTGGTGTTAGGAGCTCAGCATATACTCGAGTAGGACCCTGGCAGAGACAGATGCCCGACTGGCATGTTCCCTCCCTCCTGGTCGATCATTTGGGAGCTTCAAAAGCTTTCTTCAGCCCGAACATCACAGCGACCGATGCCAACTGACACCGGCACATTAGGGATCCACAGAGTTTGCGCATCATGCGTAACAGACCTCAGCAACTCAGCCTTTTGGCTAATTACTTTATTTACATATAAACATACACGGAGCACTGCAACTTGGCTCCCTCTCTCTCTAGCATCAGACAGCAAAGAGAAAAAGAACAAAGAACAATAGTCCCACTTCACGGAACACAGTAACACAAACATCCTGTCTCCGTCACTTCCTACTCTGTGGAGTCAAAACATACACCGTCATGTGATGGACAACAATCCCATGACTGCAATCACGGAGCAGGAATTCTAACACCTGATGGTTTCCAACTCTTGTCAGCTCCTAGCCACTAAGATGGGAACTGAAGTCCAAGCGCACCTGGAGGGCCACAGGTCCTTCATCTCTGCTTTGCAAGCGTCAGGGTTTAGCACTTGATCCAAGCTGACTTACACTGGGACAAGGAAAGTTCTTTGGCTGGTGGAACCGCTCTCCTTGCAGGCCCCATGTGGGCATGGGTGGTCTGACGGTCAAGTAGATACAAAAGCTAATCTCTACTTGCTATCCTTCATGCCACTTGTTCGAGAACTGACTGCAGACTGGATTCCTGATGATGTTTTATTGTTAACACAGCTCTGTCTTACAAGACATGTGGAGGTTGGGGAACCCTAGCTCAGTGGTAGGACAAATGAGGGTGTCCCAGATGCAGCCACTGGCCTCTCCCATTAAAAGGGTCAGGTGATGTGAAAGCAGCAGAGGTTTAGCATCAAGAGTTATCCTTTTCCTAGAGGGGCCTTCTCTGTAGTGGGGCCCGCCCTGTGGAACACCCTCCCACCAGATGTCAAGGAAATAAACAACTATCTGATTTTTAGAAGACATCTGAAGGCAACCTTGTTTGGGGAAGTTTTTAATGTTTGATGTTTTATAGTGTTTTTAATATTCTGTTGGGAGCCGCCCAGAGTGGCTGGGGAAGCCCAGCCAGGTGGATGGTGTGTAAATAATAAACATTATAATTATTATGGCTACCTTCCCAGGTTAATGAGCCAAATCTGCATATAGATTCAATCGCACCCCACTAAAAAAAACATGAGAATATTGTATCATTCAATATTATTCGGAGCATCCATCATGTGAATAAATCCAGCTATTTTAATTGTGATGATGATTCACAACAACAATATTTACCCTACTGCCTCTGACTAATAATAATAATAATAATAATAATAATTTATTATTTATACCCCGCCCATCTGGCTGGATTTCCCCAGCCACTCTGGGCAGCTTCCAACAAAACACTAAAATACAATAACCTATTAAACATTAAAAGCTTCCCTAAACAGGGCTGCCTTCAGATGTCTTCTAAAAGTTTGGTAGTTATTTTTCTCTTTGACATCTGGTGGGAGGGAGTTCCACAGGGCGGGTGCCACTACCGAGAAGGCCCTCTGCCTGGTTCCCTGTAACTTGGCTTCTCGCAGTGAGGGAACCGCCAGAAGGCCCTCGGCACTGGACCTCAGTGTCCAGGCAGAACGATGGAGGTGGAGACGCTCCTTCAGGTATACTGGACCGAGGCTGTTTAGGGCTTTAAAAGTCAGCACCAACACTTTGAATTGTGCTCAGAAACTTACTGGGATGCTCCTTTGAGTTATCATGGTTAGGAGCAGTGTGGCATGAGCCCTGATCGGGGGCAGTGTCTGCTACAGGACTGGCACTGACCCGTCCCCTTTCCCCCTCCCCCCAGCACTGCTGACCCTGTCGGGAACCAGCACCTACATCTGCTACTCCAGCGCAGCCTTCGCCGAGACAGTGCGCATGTTTGACCAGCAGCGCTTCGAGCACGTCCGCATCGCCTTTGGCTGGTCCCTGGCCCTTGCCTGGCTCTCTTTTGGCACCGAGGGGTTGGCCAGCATCCTGCTCCTCCTGGCCGCTCAGGGGCTCCGCCTGAAGCCGGATGCCTGTGCGGTGTTCATCTGATGCATTGTCAGGGCTGTGACATAACCCTACTCTGCTTGATTGGCCTTCTTGGGGTGAAAATTCCACTGCTGCCGATCCCCCTCTTGTCGTGCAGCCACAACACGTAACCTGCATGGACCGCAAGGTGTTACGAAGATCTGCTTGTGGGTGTGCCAGGCTGAGGGATGCATGTGGAAGGGGCGAGGGACCCCCATCGATAAGGCGCAGCGGTTGCCATCCTTACATGCTGGGTTCATTACTCAACTCTTGGTGTGCAAGCAGAGCTGAGGAAGGGAAACAGCTAAGGCCTTGTTCCTCACCCAAGGGTAGGAGGCCTGTGTGACCCGCCCAGATGTTTCTGGACTCCAGTTTCCATCAGCCCCAGCCAGCATGGCCAATGGGCCTGGGGTGATGGGAGTTGTAGTCCAGCAACATCTGGACTAGCTCCCCATCCCTGTCCTAACTCAACACCTGAAGGATCCATGGCTCCTTCTCCCTGTTTCTTGGTATGCATAGCTGATGCTCCTTCCCTTCCAAGCATGCCCATCTGCTGGTCCTCCTCGATGCATCTGGGGCCTCTTGAATTAAAAAGGGCTCCGGTAGGAAGAGGTGCCATTTATTTAGTCAAACGCTTTCTACCCTTCTCCTACAGCTGGAAAAATGCTCCCAGAGCAGCTTACAGAAATCAGTCGTAAGGCAGCCCTTGCCTTCAAGGTTATAATCGAAAAGACGTGGCACACAAGGAAAAAGGGAATGGGAGGGAGGAGGAAAAATAAAAAAGCTCCTTTTCTTAAAGCTACAGGTTGTAGCTGGCAGGTATCCCTTAGCCTGAACAGAACAGGAACAGAGCATCCCTGGGAAACAAAGCTCCTTCCCCATTCCCTCAGAATGCACAAAGGCTGTGGGGTGTGTGTGGAAGCCATGTTGGGACTGTTTCCTGCAAGGCCATGAAGTGACGCAGCTCCATTGGTCTGGCAACAGAATCCTGGAAACGGGCAGGCTCTCCCACTGCTGTTCCCCCATAGCAGGTGGCTTGGGAAGTCGAAGCCTGCTTCTCTCCTCTGTAGAGCCAGACAGGGCTGGAGCCACGTGGACCATGTCTTTAGCTAGGCCAGGGCTGACCAATCACAGGCTTGCCTTCTTGGCACGCCCTGGCTTGTTTCAGACGGACATCCTGCGCGCCAACTTGGCTTCCGGCCCGCCAGACCGGACCGGCTTCAGGGTACGCCGGCACTTTGCTGCTCCCACTTGCCCAGGACAAAGCGCCACTTGCCCTCAGCCAGCTGCGTGTCTCGGAGGGAGACGTCGCAGTGCCAGACGGCGCGCAGGCAACGCTCGCCCCACGGGAAGAGCCTCACGCTGACGGCTTGGCCTGTGGCGGCCACCTCCTCCTCACTCACGGCCTCCATCAGCTCACACAGCTTGGCTGGGGTCAGCCCGGGAGCCGAGACGGTTGCCATGACGATGTTGGTCTCCACGGTGGCGGGGTTTACGGAGCAGAGAGGTGAGCCCAGGGCAAAGGCACCTGTAAAGGGAAAACACTTTGAGGTTTAAAATGGCGAGCGGGGATAAGTTATCAAACGACAGGATAAATGGGTGGGTGTATAGGGAATAGGGAGAGATCCTCACCCAGTAACAGGGAGGGCTGGCCTGCTGAAATCTGAACTGAAAGCTGACCCCAGCATAGGAGGAGCTGGAGAAATATACCCTCAGAGCCTTGGCTCAAGGGGGCACCATGTGTCAGCAAAGGGGTGGTGAGCCTTGATCACCCAGCAGAGGTTTAAGGTAAAGGTAAAGGTACTCCTGACCATTAGGCCTGGTGGCGGATGACTCTGGGGTTGCAGCGCTCATTTCGCTCTATAAGCCAAGGGAGCCGGCGTTTGTCCGCAGACATGTGGCCAGCATGACTAAGCCACTTCTGGCGAACCAGAGCAGCACATGGAAACGCCGTTTACCTTCCCGCCTGAGTGGTACCTATTTATCTACTTGCACTTTGACGTGCTTTCAAACTGCTAGGTTGGCAGGAACAGGGACCGAGCAACGGGAGCTCACCCCGTCGCGGGGATTCGAACCACCGACCTTCTGATCGGCAAGTCCTAGGCTCTGTGATTTAATCCACAGCGCCACCCGCGTCCCCCCAGCAGAGGTTAGGCGTTATCAATCCCTCCCTCGGCCTCACAGAACAGGCACCTTGGGCGAAGTGTCTGGCATTGTGATGATCCCTCTTCAGCGTCTCCTCCACATGGCTCAATCCAACCAGGCCAGCGGCTGCCAGGACCCCTGCCTGGCGCATCCCACCCCCGAGGAGCTTCCGCACGCGCCAGGCTTCGGCGATCAGCTCTCCGCTTCCAACCAGAAGTGCCCCGGCTGGTGCTCCCACACCCTGTGTCATCGAAAAGAGAAAAGATGGGGTTAGCCAGTGTGGAGGCTATGGAGAATCCTAAACCTCTCGGCCCCCCCATCTGGGGACTCTGCGTGGAGAAGCTCTTGCACAGCCCCTTCCACTAGCCTCTATCTAGCTTTGTTTGAATCCTGCTGATTTCTGCTGCAAATCCAAGGACGGATTGCAGAGGTTTCAAACACGTTGCCAGGGAAGGATTGCAGTTCTGCTTTGCAGGTGGATGGTCTCCGGCTCAGTCCCCAGGTAAGGCTGGGAGGGGCCCCTTTTTGGAATCCTGGGGAGCCGCTGCCAGTCCGTGTAGGCAATACTTAGCTGGATGGGGCAGCGGTCTGGCTCAGCTTCCTAAGTCCCCACGGTTAGGTGAGCCTCGCAGGTACTGCGGTTGCACTCTTCCCCGAAATCCACCCTGTTCAGAGCCACAGCAGAAACCACCTACCTTCGAGAGGCACAGGGAGATGGAGTTGCAGTGCTGCGAGATATGAGCCGGCGGCACTCCCAAGGCCACGGCAGCGTTAAGCACCCTGGCGCCATCCATGTGAATCCGCAGCCCGTATCGCTGGGCTACCTGGTGCACCTGTGTAGAGAATGGAGCTCAGCCAACAACTTAAAGCGGGCTTCCTCAACCTCGGTCCTCCAGGTGTTTTTGGCCTACAACCCCCATCATCCCTAGCTAGCAGGACCAGTGGTCAGGGATGATGGGAATTGAAGTCTCAAAGCATCTTGAGGGCCGAGGTTGAGGAAGCCTGGCTTGCGACAGGCAGAGGGGAAGACGTCCCAGAGCTGGTGGCCTTTCTTAGGGGCATTGCAGGTTACTGGGGTTACTGCTGGTATCGGGCAGGCTCCTATGATCAGAGGAGATTGCTCAGTGTCCTTGAGCCCAGCCAAGGGGTGCTAAGCTGGGGGTCTTCCTTTATCATCATCGCTTCCTCTAATAACAAACGTGGGTGGTGCAGTGCCTGGCAGTTGCAAAGAGTTTTTTTAAAGCAAGGAGCCCCCCCCCCCGCTAAAATAGGGTCAATATATATCTAGAGATACCCTCCCTAAGTATAGAGGTATGACTAAAACCTCCCAAAATGGCCTGACAAGGACCTATGAATTTCCAAGGCTTTACCAAATGTAGATGTGCCGGCTTAAGGGTGACAGTAGGGGTGGGAGAAGGAAACGAGATAAGGGTTGGGGAAGCCAACAGTAAGCATCCCGGAAGTGTGGATTAAGGTGAAAAGTGGGGGTGGGGTGGGGAAACCCTCCACCCTCCACTACACATGCATGCATTTTGGGTGGAGTCGAGATACACTGCAAGATTTTTTTTAAAAAAAGTTTTATTTATTGTATAAATAAACACAACTATTAAAATATTGATAAATAAATACAAACACTGAAAGTACTTGAATGAATAAAATGTTATTCCTCCTACTACAGCCACTATTGCTCACAATACCCACCACAACGAAAAGACTATTGAATTTTCTGAAATAGTCACAGAATCGTAGGGTTGAAAGGGACAGTGAGGATCGTCTCGTCTCCAGCCCCCTGCAATGCAGGAATACGCAGCTGTCCTATACGGGGACTGAACCTGCAACCTTGGCATCATCAGCACCATGCTCTAACCTGCTGAGCTATCCAGGCTCTCCCAGTCTGTTGGGTTGAGTCTGGATGAATGACTCATGGTACTCACCTCTTGCAGGTACTTAAGGGGCAGCACCCTTCCCCCGGCCGAGCTGTGCGTGTTCTCGAGGCAAATGAGCTCAGGGCGGGGGTGGTACTGGCTTTGGTGGGCCCGCTGGATCTTCTGCTCCAGTTCATCCAGATTGATGGTCCCGTTGGGCAGGTCCTGTAGTGCCTCTGAATGGACTCCCGCCACCTGGGTGAGAACAAAGTGGGTGGGTGGCCTCAGGCGAAGCCTGTACATGATAAATGCCTCATGCTGATAAAAGCTTTTACATTAACTTTGATGCTGTTTGTGGCGAATGTGAATATGTGGTACCCAGTTGGGTTGAAAACCAAGTTCTTTATGGAAAGGCACAAGCACATATGCAACCTCTCCGAATGAGCCACGGCCCCTGGCTGTTTGTGATAGTGAAGCCATCTGGTCTTGTAGTGCTGTAAACAAAAATCTGCCCTTTTCCCTTATGGGGTATCCAAGAGCTCATTTAGAGTCCTTACGTAGGTTCCCTATTGGTAGGAGAGAATAACAGAGGCCAACCAGAGAATACTGAGAAGCAAAGCAGCTAGTAAGCCTGATCTTTATTGATCTGTTGCAACAGGGTGCTCCCCTCACATGCAGGAAGGGAGGAGGAATCCAGAACAAAAGTGTGCCTGCCCTTTTATAGACATTTTAAATTCCCTACCCTGGAGCTCAAGACCACCCCTCCATACATCATACATACATCACAGAAAAAGCAGTCTACAGCAGAAATCTGAGTGTGTTGTTTATCTCATCTGACAGGTTCCCTGTTAATGCTCACTTGATTGGATACCCTGAGGAGCCTGGCCAGTCTTTTGTAATGATAAATATTTAGTTCCTGAACCAGGTCACAGGCTCATCCTATTCAAACACAGACATACCCTTAAGACAGAATTTGTGAAGGAAAAGTCAATGGGGAGGCTTTTCCATTTTCCTTTGACCTTGCAGACAAAACATTTGGTCAGTTTGGGAATCAAAAATGGTTTCAGGTCGGTCTTCCTGCACTGATCTATGTACATGCTTGGCTGGTACATTTATAAACATTTATTATATATCTAAGACCTTAAAATTCTTATCACAGTAGGGAACAGACACTTCAGAACCTTTGAGAAGGTTCTTTGGTCAAGAAAAATCCTGATGCTTCCTAATCAAGCAAAACGAAAGCTGCAATTATATCCCCATTGAACAAGGCGGGGCTTAATTCAGAGCAAACAAGCCTAGCCTTGCACTGTAAGGCAGAGAGGTTGTGTTTGGGCTGCCTAGGTGGGTAGGAGACTTATGGGGGGAGCTGATAGGAGGCAGAGGCAAGTGCTGCCAATAACTCTTTTGGAAAGTTAGGAGGGCTGGAGTTTGGGCTTATTTAAATGGATTAATACACAGAAGTAGTAGTTTTGGAGGTGGAAGCAACCTCAACCCAAAATGTTGCTTTGCAGATTTTGTGTTGTGCTCATATCTAAAGGCAGAAGTCATAGCATGTTAGTCTTGCATCTAGGTTCTAAAATGCATTAAATATATTTTAGTCCTGCTGCGGTCATTGGGACCACTGATTCAGGATCTGAGTGCCAGAGACACACAGCAACCCGTGCTAAGCATATGGAAGAACAGAAAATGGGGCAACCTGCTGATAATGCAGAAAGTGTTAGAATCCCCAAGGCAGCTTCCTGTAAATACTGATTCATGCAAGGACCGCAAATAGCTTTCTACTCACAAGGGGGAAATCCCTTGGTTGGATCAATTGAATTCAAAACCCATGCACTAGCATTGCAGCAATGGAAGCGTTGCAAAATATAACAAAGGGACAAATCACTAAAGCATCTGTCGGTGGGTGGCGAGGCATGAGGAGTCAATAAATATCCCATACCTAGAAGGAATCAACATCACCTAGCTTAATCTCCTGTGCCCAGGGTTCCAGCTCCTTTTAAATTACCAGCAGAGAAAATCCAGGGCTCTAAGACTAAGACACGGGGTGCTTATACTCTCCAATTCTCAACATTGGATCAGTGAGTTCGTTTCAAAAGCTTAGTGGAAAAGACTGTTCTGAGAAGGTATTTGCAGGCATAACATGCAAGCATTCTGGGGGGTCAGCTAAAAAAAACAAAACATCATAGGAGGTAACAAGGCAAATCATTAGAACGAAAGGGGAAGACAATTTCCTATTTGGTCCTTTAGTAATGGAACAATCTTCACACAATGTTATTTTGAGCTGAGCACAGAGAAACTTGTGCATGAAGTCTGGAACTGTTACTACCCAAGGAGAAGAGGAGGCAGCTTGTGCTAATGGCCACTAGAGGGAAGCACATCACCAGGCTTCTCACTCCTCTGGCCAAGGTTTGAGTAAAGCCCTAGACAGCTGCGTCCCCATGGCCCCTTTGCGAGACTGTGACCACATTTGGCTCAGCAGCTGTAAGTACATGACCTTTGCCATTTCTCTGGTTCCTCGTTTATGAGATGGAATATGGGTAGAAAGAGGCACAGTGGGCTTAGGTGATGGCCAGTGCTTCAGGGTCAACTCCCAGCATCACTTACCTGTGCAATCCCTCCGTGCTCAAACACATGGATGTGGGATTCCCTCCCAAGCATGAGCTGCGCCCCTCGCTGGCGACAGTGGCACATGACTATGGTAAGAGAGGACAAGGGTGAGAACTGGGGGGGTCTATAGTGGGGATAGGGGAAACACGGAACTAAGAGTGAGATGGCAAGAGAAAATGAGGATTAATCTGTCATAGTGATCCTCTCCACAACTATATAAAGTAGAGTTGTACTTTCTTGGGCTCCGTGATCACTGCAGATGGTGACAGCAGACACGAAATTAAAAGACGCCTGCTTCTTGGGAGAAAAGCAACGACAAACCCAGACAGCATCTTAAAAAGCAGAGACATCACCTTGCCAACAAAGGTCCGTATAGTTAAAGCTATGGTTTTCCCAGTAGTGAGGTACGGAAGTGAGAGCTGGACCATAAAGAAGGCTGATCGCCGAAGAACTGATGCTTTTGAATTATGGTGCTGGAGGAGACTCTTGAGAGTCCCATGGACTGCAAGAAGATCAAACCTATCCATTCTGAAGGAAATCAGCCCTGAGTGCTCACTGGAAGGACAGGTCCTGAAGCTGAGGCTCCAATACTTTGGCCACCTCATGAGAAGAGAAGACTCCTGGAAAAGACCCTGATGTTGGGAAAGATGGAGAGCACAAGGAGAAGGGGACGACAGAGGACGAGATGGTTGGATAGTGTTCTCGAAGCTACCAGCATGAGTTTGACCAAACTGCAGGAGGCAGTGGAAGACAGGAGTGCCTGGCGTGCTCTGGTCCATGGGGTCACGAAGAGTCGGACACGACTAACGACAACAGAGTTGGAACGGACCCTCAGGTCCAACCCACTGCAATTCAGAAATATGCAGCTGTCCCATACAGGGCTCGAACCTGCAACCTTAGCAACTATCAGCACCATGCTCTAACCAACTGAGCTAACCAAGCTGCCTGCTTCGCTGCTGCTTTCATCACTGCTAGGAGATCCCGGAGCTGAAGCAGTCAGTAACGCTTATTCCAATTTCTCCAGCACCTTTTAAGAGTGCAGCAGTTAGGAGCTCTCAGCTCACAGTCAAAAATGTTTTGCCTAGTAATTCTAAGGCTAGAGAAAGCCTCTTAGGCAGGGGGTTGATGGTGTACATTTTTCTTGTACATTGATGGTGCTGTACTGCCATCAATGCTGGTAACCCTGTGGCCCTCCAGAAGGTGTTGAACTACAACTCCCATCATCCCTGACCCACAGGCTCAAGGTGGTGTACGTGGTTCTCCTCCCTATTTCATCCTAACAACAACCATGCGAGGTAGGTTAGGCTAAGAAAAGAAAAGGTGACTGGCGCCAAGCCGCGCTGGGCTCCGGAGGGTTGCGCAGAGCTGCCTGCATTCCGAAGCCTCGGGTGAGCTGAAGAGCACGCCCGGGCTTCGTGCAGCTCTCTGCAAGCCTGGGGAGACCGGCGCGGCTCCCTAGGCTTGCGGATAGCAGGCTGTTCTGGGCTTCCCCCACGCCAGCCCCATGCCTGGGGGGGAGATAATTTTTTTCCCTTTATTTCCCCCCCAAAAAACTAGGTGCGTCCTATAGGGCAGTGCATCCTTTGGGGTGAAAAATACAGCAATAACAGAAATAATAAAAACAGAACTAGAACAATTCCCAAAATGAAACTCTCCCTCCTGATTGCTTCATTCAGGGGTAGGTGGGGCTATTTGTGGGTTTTTTATGACTGAGTCTTAGGGCATAGCCCTTACAAGGAGACTTAGGTAAAGGTAAAGGGACCCCTGACCATTAGGTCCAGTCGTGACCGACTCTGGGGTTGCGACTCTCATCTCGCTTTATTGGCTAAGGGAGCCGACTTACAGCTTCCGGGTCATATGGCCAGCATGACTAAGCCGCTTCTGGCGAACCAGAGCAGTGCATGGAAACGCCATTTACCTTCCTGCCGGAGTGGTACCTATTTATCTACTTGTACTTTGACGTGCTTTCGAACTGCTAGGTGGGCAGGAGCAGGGACCAAGCAATGGGAGCTCACCCCGTTGCGGGGATTCGAACCGCCGACCTTCTGATCGGCAAGTCCTAGGCTCTGTGGTTTAATTACATAATAATAAAACAGAGGGCATTAAAGTTATAGGCAGAGCACATATGTATTTATATGCCTGGTGTAAATAAGGGCTCTGATCCAGTGGAGGCATCTGCCAATGGGAGAAGCGGAGATCACCATGGCACCGCCCCCACCCAATCAACTCTAAAGCGTTGGGGGACCTTCCAGAACAGGATGGAAGGTGGTACGAGGGGCTGCAAGGGGAATCAGCTCCGATTGCTTCTTATGAGACTTACCAGCAATGAGGTTTGCCATGGTGGCTGTGGGAACAAACAAGGCCCCTTCCATTCCAAGGAGATCAGCCACTACTCTCTGCAGTTCTGAAGGGGGAAATAAGAACACAAGGACAAGAAGATGCCACCCTCGAGTTTCAGATAGTGCAAGGGGTGGGTGTGATGTCAGAAGTTCACAACTGTGAGCCTGTTCACAGAATCAGGATATTTGAGTTTTAACACCTCCTACTCCAGGTTGCTGAAGTCTCTCTTGGCTTTTAAAAAAATATATATATAATGATCAGCATCACGTTTTGGCAATGGGTTTATTTTACATACACCCCCAAATATTTCAGCCAGTAATATAAGCAAAACGTAAGTGGACTGAATATTATTCCCATGAACAAGCTCCTTTCAGACAAGTTTGGGGCAATTTCCAGAGGGGTAATCTCTTAAAAACAACAGCAAAATGACTTGTGACACTTCAAAGGCTAACGATTTTATTATGGCACAAGCATTTGCAGACTAGGCACGTTAAAATCACCCATGGAGCTTAGATTAATTCTTCATGGAGACAGAAACCCAGCAGCCAACATTGGCCCTTAAAGCCACAGGAAACTATATATTATATGACAATAAACAAAATCCAGGTGTAGAACCTGTCTTTCCATAAAATATTCAGGGCGGCTCTTTCCATCTGCTCCCCTCCAAAGGCAACATTTTCCCTGGAAGGTATTGCATTTTTATGTTGTGAATCGCCCTGTGATCTTTGGATGAAGGGCAGTATAAAGGTAAAGGGACCCCTGACCGTTAGGTCCAGTCGTGACCGACTCTGGGGTTGCGGCACTCATCTCGCTTTATCGGCCGAGGGAGCCAGCGTACAGCTTCCGGGTCATGTGGCCAGCATGACTAAGCCTCTTCTGGCGAACCAGAGCAGCGCACGGAAATGCTGTTTACCTTCCCGCCGGAGCGGTACCTATTTATCTACTTGCACTTCGTGCTTTCGAACTGCTAGGTTGGCAGGAGCAGGGACCGAGCAACGGGAGCTCACCCCGTCATGGGGATTCGAACTGCTGACCTTCTGATCAGCAAGTCTAGGCTCTGTGGTTTAACCCACAGCACCACCCGCATCCCATGAAGGGCAGTATACCAATTTAATAAGAAGAACAAATAACAAAAATAAATATCTGGCATTCACAGTGCCATTGCTTTTACAGCTGGGTCTTGAAAATGAGCAGCCTTGCTTCACAGCATTAGGCACAGCTGTACCCTAGCCTGTGGCAGCATGGAGCCCTTTGCAGAGCCTTACAGCCCCAGGGATGCCCCTTTTCACCCAGACTCACCATTGACCGTGGGGTCCTCCCCGTAGTCATCATCCCCCACCTCTGCCTGGGCCATAGCTTGCCTCATCTCGGGGCTCGGCTGAGTCACAGTGTCACTGCGCAGATCCACCACGTGGCACTCAGTACCTGCTGGGCGACTGGCATGGTAACTATGCTTGCCCACTCTTGGAGCGGGGACAAGGGAAGAAGCCGGCTGCTTGGGCCACCAAGGTAGACTGGCACAATGTTGCCCAGTGACTGACTGGCTGTATGTCCTTAACAGGATCTTCATAGGCCAAGGTGACCTGAGAGTGGCACTATGAGACTGGCAAGTAGAGCTTGGGTGGGCTAAGCTGCTGCAAAAGGTCTGACACGGACCCTTTCGGCTCATAAAGGTGTCAACACCCTGGTACCAACAGCGTGGGAGGGCCAGGCAAGCACCAAGTCCCTGGCACGGTCTGAGTTGATGCATGCAAGCTTTCGATATCCGGCAGCTGTAACCGTGCCCCGAGGGCACCAGGGTGGTGCCCACGCCCCACCGCCTGCGAGAAAACCGAGACAGAATAGCCCCTGGCTGCCTGCACCAGCCAACGGGCTGGCAGGAGTCGCTGCTGAACCCAGGGCAACCAGCCTTGCAGCTGCTCGGTGCATAGGCTTCCCCGCCGTGGCTGGTGGCAGGCGGAGTAGCGGGAGCCCAGCAGGAGCACATGCGGGCTTGGAGCTCCTTTCCGAGGAGGGCACGACCTCCGCGCCTGGCCATTTCTCCCCCGGTCTGCAGCGCCGCCACCAGCGACATCGCCGCTTCTTCCGCCCAGCACAAACTGGGCAGAGTCCAAAGCACCACGCTCTTCCCCTAAGGAGCCAGACTACAACTCCCAGCATGCTCCGGGCTCCGAGATATCGCTCTGCCCTGTTCCCACAGCGTTTTGGGAGTTGTAGTCCCGGTGCGGAATACAGCAAGTGCGACGGGATCTTTCTCTGCCCCGTTCGCGTGGCGTTTGGGGAGTTATAGTTCCGGTGGGAGTTATAGTCCGGTTTAGAAATGGCATGGCAGCGTGTGCGGGATGGGGGGAGGAGAGAAATTGCATTTGTAAGATAGGACGGACAGTTCCAGTTTAGGTGGGGGGAAAGGGTGGTCCTGCTCCTCCTCTCCCGCCCTCCAGCCAACCCTCGACGACGCCATCAGGAAAGTGGCAGCGAGCGAACCCCGTTCTCTCCCTCTCCCCCACATAGAATCATAATTTTTATTGTTTCCCCCCCAAAATAGAAATTAAACAAAGAACATCAAAGAACAACACATAACACTGTAAACACACTTATATACATGTTTTCCAAAATGAAAACTAATAAAAATAAAAAGAAAGAAAAGGAAAAATAAAAAATATATAGAAAAAAGACCCAAAAAAGAGGGAAAAAATACTTTTCATAACCTGGAATATTACCAAATTCTTGCTTCAAATACTGCAATATATAAATCTTAGTTAAAATTATATAAAAGACTTCCACAGCATTCACTACACGTCTCTTTGTTGTCTTACTCGCATTTACATCTGTTCTTCAATAATTTCCCTTCCTTAGATTCTTTCATAATCAATCAAATCTTTATGTTCTCTGTATTCTTCACAAGGTTAGTCTAGAATTTTATTTCAGAAACAATGGAAATGTTTAAATGATTATTTATACAAGCAGGGCTCCAATACGAAAGTTTGGTCGTGTCTAGAATCAGATTTGTAGAGTTGGAAGCGACCACAAAGATCTTCTGGTCCAACACCGTGCAATGCAGGAATCTTTTGCTCGACATGATGCTCGAACTCATGACCCTGAGATTAAGAGTCTTATGCTCTCCCAAATGAGCTATCGCAGGGCCACTACATTTAAGGCACCGGTCATTCAACTTTCCCTCCCGCAGGAGGAGCGACATCCCCCTCCCTCTTCCCTGAGCGCTCATTGGCGGTTCTGGCCAGGCTGAGTAGCGTCATCCGCACACTGGTGACGTCTTCAGATTGGAGCCAATGGCAGGCGTTCCGGAAGTATCTGCCACCTCAGGCACGCTGGGTGTTGTAGTCCGTCCATGCCCCTTATCTCTATAGTAACAGCGTACGCATGTTTCCTTCCTCCACCACCTGCCTTTGGGCATCTGGTTCAGCCGAGGCAATGGAACATTGTCGCTCCCCCCCCCGAGTGGCAAGCCTGGGGATTTAAAAGAAGAAATGTTACCAAAAAGGCACGCAGGCACCGCTCCGCCAGCAGTTGCGCTCCTGTTTAGACTCCTGACGGCTGCAGTTAACCTGGCTGGGAGTATGTCTAATAATCTAATTGAACCCAGTAGCGTTTACTTCCAGCTGGGCATGCGTAGGGTGGCACTGAAAATCAATAATGGACTTTTTTGAATTCGCATTGTTTTTGCAGAGGCAACTCCCCACCCCACCCCTAACTTCCCCAAATCCCATCAAGTCAGAAATCATGCCACCAATGGGACAAAGCATTCATCTGAGGCACGGATTAGGGTGAGTGTTCATAATTTTTAAACAGCCTGCCCAAACGACCATAAAACCCTTATTGCATCAATGACTCTGCACTTGAGGGGACCCATGCCCCGCATTTTAAAACGAACAAGAATTGCAGTCTCCTTGCAATGTTCTTTCTTTTCATTTCTGCCCGGGCGCCTCACAGTTGGGCCGAGATAGAATCTGTATCTTTGTAGCCAGAGACAGAATCATAATATTGTTCACCTGCCCCATCACACATTCACATTATGCACAGCAGGACTTCAAACCTGTGATAAAATCTTGCACAGGTTTCAATAATTACTTTTAAACCCATTGAAGTCAGTAGGAGGGAAATTTCTTGTACCAGGGCCAAAGCTGATGTAAAGTTGCACTGTTGATGGGGTATGAGGCCACGGATGGATAAGACAGAGAGAGAATGGAATAAGTGGGCCGCCTGCAACTCCACAGAGTAAATGATTGAACAATTGCATGGGCTTTGTTTCAACTGGAGATGAGGTGAGGCTATGCATGTCACTGAAGTTTAATTACTCTGCTTTCTGTGATACTGGGGTTTTCTGTGATACTGTGATACTGTGATTCCAGTCTCCTCCTTCAGTCAGTCCTCATATTCCTGGCTATGGCCTTCTCCTGGCCATGGCTGAGACACTGCCAGCGGGTAGCCTGCCAAATGGTTATTGGAAAAGTATCCACAGGCTTGCCTCATCGCTGGATGAGAGGCTAGTTTGGCCCATTTTGCGAAAAAAAGATGTGTGTACGTATATGTTTAAAATGCTTCCCCAGCCGCTACCAGGAAGGAAGTCAGAGATATGAACTCTGTTGCTGGGAAGATTGGTCCAATCTCGCTTGTAGTGACAAGCCTTCACGGCAGAGCTGACCCCAACTCCCAGCGTAACTGCATAAAACGTGTTTTATGAGCTCCATAAACCTCCTCCTCTTTGTGGTTGACGCATGATGCCTTGTTCTTGAGATCTATAGGCCGTTTGGAACCGGGACAAGATCAACACAATGCAAATGGATGTAGATCAGCTCTTCCCGCAGAATCCAGGCTGCCCCTCTTATTTACCTGCTCTGCCCACTGCCTTGGCTTGCCTGTCTGTACGGTAAGACCTCCCTGGGGCGGGTCAACGTTATTAACATACAACCACATATGTGTACATCGGGTACTTTTCTGTGTCTGCCTGCACCCTTGAAAAGCACACACTTTGGCACAAAGAATCACTCTTTGCTGCTCCTGCTCTCTTGCCCCCCTTGTACCATGGGAGCCCTATAAAGTCAGTGAATGAACCATAAACAACCCATCCTACAGCTACATCTCACCCCGTGGCAAGGGCCAGATGTTAACAGTCATGCTTTATTTATTGCTTTTATTTCCTCCCAGTTCCAGTAAGTTGTCCTCCTGCCCAAGTGGCTCATGATTAGGCAGCAAGAGGCCTCTAATCTTGCCGATCTGATTTACTGTCACTGAGAATAGCCACTTCCCGTTACTGGGCCCAGGCCTGGGAACACAGTCAGCATTGCTGAACCACAAACCTATCCCGCCCTACTTGTACCTTCTTTCCTGGTAACTTCACCAGCCTGTAAATGTTGGATGGGCAAGGCAAAGAGAAGGGCCTGGGGAGAAAAGGCGTGCTAGCACCTGGGTGAGTGGCAGTGAAAGGGGAGGGAGAGGGAGGGGAGGCTTAAAAAGGCAGAGGGTGACCAGTAAGGCAGTAAACTGCATACTATTACAGGCTCCAATACAAGGTGGGATATGGCATACTCTCCAGTGAAAATAGGGACATCCCAGTCAATATTGTTGTTATTATTATTTATACCCCACCCATCTTACTGGGTTGCCCCAGCCACTCTGGGCTGCTTCCAACATAAATAAAAACATAATAAAACATTAAAAATTTAAAAACTTCCCTATACAGGGCTGCCTTCAGATGTCTTCTAAAGGTTGCACTTATCTTCTTGGCTTGGGGGTTGCACAACTCCATACCCTCCAACATTTCTCCAATGAAAATAGGGATATCCTAAGGGAAAGCAGGACATTCTGGGATCAAACTGGAAACCAGGACAGCTTCTGTAAGTCCAGGACTGTCCCTGGAAAATAGGGACACTTGGAGGGTCTGATATAGGGGGCAGGACAGGGCACAGGGTATGCTGGCAGCAGCACACAGTCCAGTCTCACCACTTTCCAGCTGTTCCAAACCACCAGGGTTGTGTACACACCATACATTTAAAGTTCATGACTTCCCCTGAAGAATTCTGGAAATTGTAGTTTGTTAAGGGTGCTGGAAATGGTAGCTTTGCGAGGGGTAAAGCTGCATTTCCCAGGATTCTTATGGGGAAAGTCATGTGCTTTACAGGTATGGTGTGTACACAGCCTAAATGTCTCCCATGCACTCATTAAAAGCTTTTGGGAGTAAGCAAGAGTGCCTGAGGTCCTGCTCCCACTTTGCAACAGGAGAGAAGGGTGCCCATCAGGAACTCAACCCACATCTCTTCCTCCTGAACCAATCAGAACGAGAGCAAAGCCACACAGACCCTTGCAAAGGTGCAGAGGCTTTCTAGTAGGGCCTGTCCTCACATTCATTACAAGTCTTTCCGGGCAACAACCTATTTATTGAGCATTCATCCTGATTTGATTGCAGGTCGATTAGATGATGCAGGCTAGTTAACGAGCATTCAATCTGATTTGTTTGTGAAGAAGTTAGATGATGTTGCATCAAAGCACGTGTTATTCTTCATGTTCCTTATCACAAAAGGTCTGATCTTTTGGGGAAGCAGGTTTCTGTGCATGATTTCTCTATCAGCTATAATTGGGCAACCTGAATCTGCCAGTGTGAGATTGAATCCCACCCCAAAATAGTGACAGCCTGGACGTGCCCTAAATGAGTATAGGGATAGGGTGGGTGATGGCTTTTCCACTTTCTCTGGAGTAAACCTAGGACCAGAGGAACAAGAAGTACTTTGCACACTTTGTCTGGCTTTCTTGAAAGATGTTATTGTGAGCTGACTGGCAGAACAAGGTCTTTCATCTTGCTCTTGGACTCTTGTAGATTCCAGCCCTTTCCAAATACATCCCAAATACATGCAGTGTAAAGTTTAGAGCGTCAGATTAGGGCTAAGGAAACACAGGTTCAAATTGTCATTCAGACATGCAGTTCACCGAGTGACCATAGGGCTAATTATCCGTTCTTACTCTGGCCTACCTCACAAGGTTGTTGTAAGAATAAAATATAGGGTGAGTAATTTAGAGAACCGTGTACACTGCCCCAAGCTTAATGTAGGATTAAAAACATGCAAGAAAAATCTAATTTTGCCTTTAAGGCATAGGATAAAGCTGTGCTAAATATAATGAATGATTTTATCTGAGGCTTCCCCCCAGTGTTTAAGATGTTACCTTCCTGGAAAGAACAACTTGTGCAGTCTGGGTGTGTGCATGTGAATTCCATTTGTGTGTGTTTCCCACTTGTATTGTAGTAGATTGTTCACCCGTGTTTTGTGATAAGGAAGTTGCAATTCCTGAGCAAAGTACATTATTTTTCTTCCGGGAAACACACAGTACAAAGGCTCCTATCTTCTGTAGATAGGAGGGTGTGTATTGAGATTGCACTGGTATCACACACACTGCACCTATTATGTGTAACTGGTGACAACACAATTTCTCACCTCTGCTCCTTTCCATTAAATTAGTTGCTCAGCCAAACCATGTTGAGAATCATTTTATTTTATTTTGGCATTTGGAGGCAAGAAGAAAGCATTCTTTCAATTAGGTCTCCTGAGGCACTCTCAGTCATTGGACCATCTGGTGTTAAATTCATGGAGGACAGATCTAGTGACAGCTGTAAGCCACAATAGTTAAATGGAACCTCCTTGATCAGAGGCAGTTTATCTCTGGGCAGCAACTACTGGGGTGGGACAAACAACAGCTGATGACTTCATGCCTTGCTTGTGGGCTTCCCACAAACATGTGGCTGAAACAGGGTGCTGGGCTAGCAAGACACGCTCTGTCTTCCTGTGGGTGCACGTCCCAATGCTCCAGTGCTGAAGTGCTGCATAGAAGCGCTTCCTTGTTGCCATCGTTATGGGAGTTTTTTTATCTATGGCCATTATGTACACACTTAGAATTACAGAATCATAGACTTGTAGTGTTGGAAGGGACAATGAGGATCATTTAGTCCTATCCCCTGCAATGCAGGTACCTTATTCAAATGTACATCCCTCTATCTATCTATCTATCTAAACAGCGAACACCTACAGAGTTATATCCCCCAAAGGAAAGGCTTGTATTATGCTTACATTACAGTATTGTGGGTAGGTGCTTCACAAAATGAATACACATGTACAGTGGTACCTCGGGTTAAGTACTTAATTCATTCCGGAGGTCCGTTCTTAACCTGAAATTGTTCTTAACCTGAAGCACCACTTTAGCTAATGGGGCCTCCTGCTGCTGCCGCCGCACCGCCGGAGCACGATTTTTGTTCTCATCCTGAAGCAAAGTTCTTAACCTGAAGCACTATTTCTGGGTTAGCGGAGTCTGTAACCTGAAGTGTATGTAACCTAAGGCACCACTGTATTGCAGAATGGCTAAACTGGAGTTGAAACACACGTCCAGTGATTGTACAGAGAGGTCCTCAAACAAATTTCCTCGTGTAAATGCTCAAGGCTGAAATGTATTCTCAAATCCCTTGGTGCCAGGCTCAAAGGTTTCAGGAGCCAGCATAATATTTTAGGCAATACCCCTGTACACAGAGGGAAACATGGATCTTGGCTGTGGGGAAGGGCATTGTTGGATAATAAGGCGCAGAACCTGTGGTCCTCCAGCTGTTGCTGGACTATAACTCCCATAATCCTTGACCACTGACCATATCGGCTGGGTCTGGTGGGAGATGGAGCCCAGCAACATCTGGAGGGCCACAGGTTCCATATATGTGTGTGTTGCTTATTGACTTGTAGAGGTGATGTTGCTTGCAATACCACAGTTTGTCAAAGGCGTATTGTGTTGAAGAACCTGCTGAAACACCTGAGGAGCAGAGGAACAATCAGTCTCCTTAAAGGTCCTCTTCTGCATCCCATCATTCTGGCCAGTAGCATTAGGGTACTTCCAGACAAAAACACTATTGCAAAAACTATACTGCTCATGCACACACTTTTTTTGTGCGCTGTTCACATGGTATCATCATCAAATGCCTACACATACTTAAAAAACAACAACATTTAATCCAGATTTCTCCTTACCACAGAAAAGCGTTAAGCCATCTATAGGCATATCAGAATTTTCACAACCCACTTCTGAAGAGCTGTTCTCTTAAGATTGCAACGCCTTGGAAACTGTAATTGCAGTAAAGTACATATGCCAGGACTTACTTTCTTTCTTTCTTTCTTTCTTTCTTTCTTTCTTTCTTTCTTTCTTTCTTTCTTTCTTTGCAACACCTGTGCAACACCCCTTTTGTTAGAACAGTTGTATAGTAGTATAGCTATATATCAGTCTTAAGGAAGACCTCTTTTAAAAAAATACAATGAAAAGGAAATGAATGTTCTCTCCTCCTTCAAAGTTTCCATTTTGTCCATAGTGAAATTAAATAGCTAGGGGCTGTTATTCCTGTGGCACTTCCTGTGGGGATTTTTATTTTAATCTGTGTTTGCACAGATACAGAATTACCTGCAGGCTCATCTTGAACAGGAAAAGGTAGCGGAGGGTGGCAGAGGGCCTAGGAAGCATTGTGTGAAAACATTTCCTCAAAGATTGCCCACCTGTATAAGTAGGAAGCACTGGAATGACTAAGCCCAGATAATGGGATGGAGGATAGTGTCCCAGTTGTGCCTATAGGGGAAAAATGGATCCAAATGACCGATTTGCAACCAGTGCCACCTGTCTGAAAGCATCCGTAGTCCCTGATCCACGGAGCATGTAATGGTTTGTTCTCTGAGGTGCGTCTCCCCAGAGTTACAACTAGCAGATAGGGTATATCATCAGTGTGTGCATGTATGTGTAACCTACGCTTCGTGGAAGAAGCCTTGCAGAAGCAATGATGGCCAGGAAACTTCGCTGCTGTGCTTGGCTGCAATCGGTTACAACATCGCACACCTCTGCCTATGAACCCGAGGCAGT